GATGTTGAAAGATGCATTATCATGTCGATTCCAGTACATTCCTTGTAATTCAGGCTTCAGTTTCACGCATACATGTGTTCCGTCCATTGCTCCCACAAATCCACTGAAGTACGGATAATATGTTCGATCAACTAGAAGTCTTTCAGGAATTCGGTATAGTTCTTGTCTTGTTGGAGTTCTAATATAATCACAGCCATAATTCAGTCGCCGTAAGAACTTCTTTAAATTTTCTCTGCACAGTCTCCTGATTTCGGCCAAATCTCATACCAACATCTCTTTGAACTTCATTGTGCCCACATATCCGTAGAAATATAGCGACACTTTCTTCAATGCTTATATTTAATGATGGTTGTAGGCCATAATTTGTCTGAAGCATTTCACACAAAGCTGTAAAACATGGTAGTGACATTCGTAATAACTGAAGACAAGCAGCATCATCTTGTTGTAGTCGACGCCAAATATTTCTCCACCCCAAACCTCTGTCAGTTTGAACCGGCGCTCTTTCAAAATACCGATGATAGTACGTAAGTGTTGGGTGGATAACTAACTCTTCAAATTGCTCATTTTCCAAATTCCACAATTCAATTCTCTCTTCATAGTAAGGTTGTGGATGCCTTGCGATCTCAACTGACATATACGAAAAAGCCTGAAATGTTAAACATAAGATAAATTGATGTCATTAGGACAATCATAACTAAATAATAATTTAAATTAAAAAAACATTCAATATATGAATTAATTTATTACATAAACGAGAATGATGAAATATGATTTATTTTTATAACATAAATGAGAACTAATGAAAAAAGATCTATCATAAACTAATCTTCGTCTTCCGAATAACTTTGATGAGGTTCATTTATATTTGTGTTTGTTCCTCCTGGAGTTCCCCATATATTGAAAAGACCACTAGGTCTAGGTGTTTGTGAAGTATGTCCAGATTCAAAATAGTTGGTGAAATCAAGACCGCGAGGTGATGTTTGTTGAACGTTTGGTGAAGCTCTTCCCGTTGCACCATCATAATTATCTTGTTGAGTATTCCTTAGACTTCCTCCTTCACCCCCAAGTGAAAATCCATATTGAACAGTTGTTGGAGTTGTCCTGATGACTCGCCTTGTTGAAAATTTTGAGTCGGAGGCTGATGAAAGTTTGATGGTGAAGCAGATGGCTGAAAGTTTGGAGGAAGCCCCCATTGTTGAGCGTTTGGTGGTGTACCCCACTGTTGAGCATTTGGGGTGTTCCCCACTGTGGAGCATTTGGTGGTGTGCCCCATTGTGGAGCATTCGGTGGTGTGCCCCATTGTGGAGCTGGTTGGGGTGATCCCCATTGTTGAGCATTTGGTGGTGTGCCCCATTGTTGAAAACTGGGAGCCCATAATCCTCCTGAACTTTGTCCTCCTAAACTGTTACGACAAAGATGGACTTCCAGATGATATCCCTCCTGAATGTGGACTCCCATACGAGTGGATTTGCCTAATTGTTTCGGCACATCTTGGTTGTTTCGTGAAACACCAGTCATTGCTTCCAACATTTGTAGCTTATCCTCGTCTATACTTCCAGCTAAATCGATGAAATATTTACGCCAAAAGACTAACTCTTTAAGTGAATTGAGACATGCTCAGTAAAATCTACCTTTTGGAACCTTTAGAGCAAGGAATATGTTTCTGCCTTTTTCCATTCATCGTAATCATCTTGGTCAAAAGCACCTGACGAAGTTGTTGCAAACTTTGGCGTTGGAACTCTGTATATCCAGCAATGGTGTCTTTTATAGTTGTTTCAAAGGATTGTCTTCTACGACCTCCTCGTGAACCAGTTCTACTAGAAAGTTGTGAACCTCCAACTCCTCTTTCTGAATTACTTTGACGTCTAGCGTTTGCCTGCAAATTAGACATTTCTCGTTGTTGGCCTCTACGATGGTATTTGGGACCGTTTCATTCAAATATATATCCTCATCAACTATAACACGATACACTTCTTCATCTTCTTGCGTCTCCTGAACTTGAGTTTCTGGAATATCACCACTATCACTGTTAGAGCCATCATCATTGTCATCATCTACTGCATGGTCATTGATATCTCTTCTCTTCTTTGACGTGAAGAATGTTGGGATTGTGAGCGTACATCATGTAATATGAGACATCGTACCATCACATCCCAAAACTCGGGCGGTTTTCGGTTGAATCCTTTGTTCTGTTACATCCCTATAAATTTAGAGTCGTTATTTTAACAGCTAAATTTTTGTATATATTTTGATAACTATAAATATTATGAATACTTACGAATTCACGCTCTTTCCACCATGCGTCTGATGCATATATCATGGATGCATCCGGATCAACAGATATACCAGTTGAATTCATAAGTTCTTTCCATCTCTTGTAGTTTTTTTTGAAATCATCCAACTTGTTTTTGAAGTAGTCGTAAATTATATTCATATTGAAGGCTTTGTTGAATTTTTCCACCATATACTCTCTACCAATAGCAGTTGGATTCTTGAGAGTATAATTATTTATGGCAATTGCTTCATCGAATAATTCAATTAGTGTCTTTTTTTTTTGTATGTACGACCATTTGGGTTGTTTTTTCTACAATTGTCAATATATTGATATTAATTAATTATATTAAATTTATGTAAAACTATTTTATTGAAAACAAAAATTTACCCTAGCCGTCGTTTCTGTTGGAGGAACTGGATTTTCGGTGGGTCGAGTTTAATTTGTCGGTCTTGAAGAATTCATGTTCCGTCGACGATTAGATGACATATCTATATTTTAAAAAACAACAATTAGTTTTATGTTCAAAAGTCAAAGATAATGTATGTATATTTAGGAAAACCAACAATTAGTTTTATGTCTTTTTTTAAAACTCAATCTCCAAGCTAAAAAATCATTTATTTTAATTTCTCATAATATTAATTTTTAAAACAAAAATATTTATCAATGTAAAATATATTTATTTATCATATATCATAATATTAGTTTATGAAAAAGTTATATAAATGGATATTACATGTTTACAGATAAATATAAGAGTAAACATAGAACTATAATATTTGTATAAATAAATATTAAAATATTTTTTAAGTAAATTATTTTGCTAAATGAATTTATAAAATATATTAGTATTCAAACATACTATATCCCCTAAATATAGTTCACAAGATCACAAATCCCTTACTTTTCTACACACAGACATCTCATAATGTCGTGAGAGATAATTATGTCTCTGTAAAATTATATTAAATATTTATTTAAATAACTTTAAAGTTTAAACACATGAAACAAGTATCAATCATCTCTATATATTTTTCTTTTAATTCATATTCATAAATTAATGTGCATGTTTATTTTTAGGCTTTCATTTGTAGGGATTTTGAAAATAGTTTTTTTCTGTATTTTTACCATAGTTTTAACAGAAATTTAGTTCAAATTAATTTGTTTTAAAAATCTAGCTATTAGTTATGTGCTGTAGTATACATGTCTTTCATAGTATTATTTATTATTTTGTAAGGAATAATTTTACGTATTAATAAATCCATAGTTTTATATTTATCGAAAAAATAAAAATGTAGAAACAAACAAAAACTAAATCTACAGAAAAATTAAAAAGAAAGATCAAAACCAAAATTTCATTTCAGAAACTAAAATCTAAAAACAAAAATAAAAAAAACAGCAAAATTAACAGTCATGGCCAAAAGTATGTAAGAATAAGAAATAACTAGTTTACACATTTGTAATATTAAGATGTATGAATGTTTTTAGAAAATTACCTTACAATGTTGTTTTTCGTGCAAAGAAAAATGAGAAGAGGCTATTTGATTATTTTGTGTAAAAAGTATGCTCATGTGTTTGGTTTCAAAATATAAGAAAGAGAGTGTTTGATTTCATTAAAGTGTATGAGAGAGACCAAAGAGTGCATTTTCGTGTGAAAGAGAAGTTGTTTATTTATAGGCAAATTTTTTTTTTTTTTTTTTTTGGCCTTGAATGGAAGCAAGACTGCGGTGCGTTTTCGAGTGTGGTTTACAAAAATCGCTTGAACATCACCAGTCACACATAATTTGATATATTCTGCGTTTGTTGTATTATTTTTATAAAGTACTATTGCGCTTTTCATTAACTCATGAAAACCAATTCCGCATGTTAAAACGCAAATACACATGAGGAGGTGTGGATCAAACAAAAACGCACATAGCTGGATAATTTTTATTGTTTTAATAATAAGACAAAATGCTATATGTATGTTAAAGTAAATATTATATTTCTAAATAAATGCTTCTTTTCCCTTTAAAATATTCCTCCATCTTTTTTTGCATGTTTAGTTCTGCTTTTAACTAAATCTTTTTTTCTTTTATTTTGTACTTTTGACTTAAGTTAAATTTATAAATTATATATTTTAATAAATAGTTACTCAAAAATAAGGATAAATTACAAAATAATTTGTAAATTCATGATTTGATCAAACACACACATATTCACATATATATATATATATTACAAATTAAAATTTGTTTTTACCTTTTTCTTACGTTTTTGGTTACTTGTTTTAGTAATATCTGTATCAATTTTTTATTTTTATTTCTAATTAACTTTAGTATTTAAACTATTAATTTTTTATATAGTTTTTTTCACTAATATTTAAATGAAGTATTAAATTAAATTTACTCAAAAATAAGGATAAATTACAAAATAATTTGTAAATTCATGATTTGATCAAACACACACATATTCACACACACACATATATATATATATATATATTACAAATTAAAATTTGTTTATACCTTTTTTCTTACGTTTTTGGTTACTTGTTTTTGCAATATATGTATCAATTTTTTATTTATTTTTTCTAATTAACTTTAGTATTTAAACTATTAAATTTTTATATAGTTTCTTTCACTAATATTTAAATGAAGTATTAAATTAAATTTACTGCTATTGTTGATATATATGTTTCTATATTATATATACATATATATAATATGTATTCCGCACCGCTTTTTGATTTTTTACCATTCAAAAATTTGTTTGTACCGCTTATTCTGCATAAACCGCACTTGTTCCGCAGTTTAGTTTTATCCGCACATTTTAAAAATAAACCGCACCGCACTCTAAATCTGCTTGATCCGCACAACACAATACGCTGTCACCATTCGGACCATTTATCTGTTCGATTTGCGGTTTTCGAGTGCAACCGCTGGATAATAGCTGTGTTTTATAATTGCGGTGCGGTTTTTATCCTATGTGCAATTGTGTCGTCTTGAAAAGCGTGTGCGGATAAGTTTTTTACTTTTTAAAAAAACGCAAAAAAAGATAAAATTGTGTGATTGGTAAACATTTGCGGTTTTTTTTAAAAGAGTGGAAAAACGCACCGCCTTTTTGTCTCCATTCAGAGCCTTAGTAAAACATCTAAACGACTTATACCGAATTGTCTAATGTCTTTAACCCAAAGCAAACATGTCTAGTGATTTTTATTATCATTTCATAAATCCATGTTTACCTAATTGACGAAGAAGCTCAACAGCTCATACATGTAGATTTATAAGATCGCATTTGTGAAGTGATAATTTTATATTCAACATGTCAGAATTCAGAAAAAAATAATTTGATAAAAATATATAGTTATATATAACTCTTTAATGAAGTTATCACGACCAATGTAAACTAAACCTAATGCTCACATAGAGAAACTTTGGTGAACTTTTCGTTTATATCAACCTAAAAAATTGTTAACTTATTCACTGGTTAGATAGCCTCATAGAAACAAATTATTTCTGTGTATTATTTCTGACTTTCTATATTTACTGCTTTTCTAAAAATACTAATACGATAACAAATGTAGAAGAAATAAAGAAATCAAGATTGAAAAATATTTTGTTATAGTTTTTCTCTTTTCAGTTTTGTTTCTTGTAAAAATTATAAAATATAAATCATTAACTGAATTCAACTCAAATATAATGCATACAAATGATAATAAAATTTACAAAATATAACTACCTTTTTGATAAATTTCTTGCTGTTTCTTGCCAGCTATATTTCTACCTTACTTCTTAATTATTTTGTTTTTCTTTAAAAGTGAGATATTATTGACTAAAAAAAGCAGATATTCTTTAATATCGTTCCCATTTAAAAAGTAGAACATCCTTTCTTTTCTTTCTTTATTAAAAAAAACAAGGAAATATAATAAAATAATAAATATCGCTTTCCTTGTATATAAATACACTCAGACCTACACTATTCTCTAATCATTAAACACTGTTACAAACGAAAGCAAAGCAAGAGCTATCCAAGAAGAAAGAAGAAGAAGAAGAAGAAAATGGTGAAATTAGAGAACTCAAACAACATCGCCTTGTCCGATTCCATCGTCAATCTCGACCAGTACGTTTTCTTAATTTCACAATTATCCATAACCGCATTGCAGAATCATCGGCTCCAATAAAAAAATCAAAATCTCCGAGTTTCACTAACGAATCAGTTTCTTAGACTCTCTTTATTTAATTATGATTATAAAATAAAAAAAAATGGTTGCAGTGGAGATCCAACGGCGTACGAAGAGTACTGGAGGAAGATGGGAGACAGGTGTACGGTGACGATACGTGGTTGTGACCTGATGAGCTACTTCAGCGACATCAAGAACCTGTGTTGGTTCATGGAGCCGGAGCTAGCGGAAGCGATCAAGGAGTTGCACGGTGTGGTCGGAAACGCAGCGACGGAGGATCGATACATCGTGGTTGGGACCGGTTCCACGCAGCTTTGTCAAGCGGCCGTCCACGCACTATCTTCTCTCGCTGGGACCCAACCTGTCAGTGTCGTCGCCGCCGCTCCATATTACTCTGTAAGTCCCTCACCACTAAATCTTCTTCTTCCTCCTCCTCGTATCATTTTTACTTTTTTCCGTTGACATGTTTTTAAATCTTAATAGTTTAATTTGTGAACACCCTGGACTGTTTTTTTGCAACTAACAGAATATAGTATTAGACTAATGAACCGATTTTTTAGTTAGACTTAACAAAATTTAGCTCTGAATATTTGATGGATTATTTAAATCCGGAGTAGGATTTAGGATCAAGTCCAGATCTATCTCGAGTGCTCTATTTCTTTTGTTTTAAATATGTACTGCAGATATTTTTTTTTTTTTAATGACTAGCAATTTGAGTTGGGAGCAATTCTTAAACTCATCCAGATTAATAAACTAAATCTAGGAATAAGATTTTAAACGGTTTTTCTGGTATTGTTTTAGATCAAGTTTTGAAACTGCCTAACCAAATGTAAACCCTACAAAGAAGCAATTCTTGTATTTCTTCACTTATATATGATGATGACAATATGACATAAGAAATAATTTCTCATTAGGTCTTCTCCTATGTTTTTTAAAATTTTAATTTCATCTAAAATCGTGTTAGTCGTTTTTAATAGTAAGAAGTTGATTTGATGTGGAGATTTAGGTGGGTCTTCAGTTAGTGAAAAAGCAAATATTGGAGATCTAAAAGACACAGTGACAGACATGTTTCTCGAACACAACACAACACATTCACCAATTTTTTTTTGATTTAACATTTTACAAAAAACACTTTTCCCATCTTACATACATGTATTGTGGATTCATGTGCAGAGACATCAGTAACATGCTCATGTCCCCACTTTTATTTCTCGCTTTTACCAAAAACCATTCTCCTCTTCTTCATTATTCATTTTCTTTGAGAATATATAAAAACAAATAGTACAGTTTTTTTAATAATTGTTTTTGAAACAGACTTATGTGGAGGAGACTTCGTATGTTCGGTCGGGTATGTACAAGTGGGAAGGAGACGCGTGGGGTTTCGACAAGAAAGGTCCGTACATCGAGCTAGTGACTTCACCCAATAACCCTGACGGCACCATCAGAGAGACGGTGGTGAACCGTCCTGACGACGACGAAGCCAAAGTGATCCATGACTTTGCCTATTACTGGCCCCACTACACTCCCATCACTCGCCGTCAGGACCATGACATCATGCTCTTCACTTTCTCCAAGATCACAGGCCACGCCGGGTCCCGCATTGGGTCAGATATTCATTCTTTCATTTTATATTCCTTTTACTATATTGTTACCCGAATAATAACACAATATGCATCATACAGTCATTATAGTATTAGACTTTCAAGCATGTTTTTAGATTAGTAAATACTTTAATTGATGGGTTTAATTTGTTGGATTATGAAGGTGGGCATTGGTGAAGGACAAGGAGGTGGCGCAGAAGATGGTTGAGTATATAATGGTGAACTCCATTGGTGTGTCTAAGGAGTCACAGGTTCGAACCGCTAAGATTCTCAAAGTTCTCAAGGAGACTTGTAAGACCGAGACCGAGAACTTCTTTAAGTATGGTCGTGAGATGATGAAGAATCGTTGGGAGAAGCTTCGTGAAGTGGTGAAAGAGAGCGACGTTTTCACTCTTCCCAAGTACCCTGAAGCCTATTGCAACTTTTTTGGCAAATCACTCGAATCATACCCTGGTAACTAAAATATTTATTTTTTTGTAACGTTTTGGAATCTTGTAAATTGAAAAAGACGTAACGGTTGGTGTTTTCTCTTATTTTTGTTTTGGTTTGACAGCATTTGCGTGGCTGGGGACGAAAGAAGAGACGGATCTGGTAAGCGATCTGAGGAGACAGAAGGTTATGAGCAGAGCTGGAGAGCGTTGTGGTTCTGACAAGAAGCATGTCAGAGTCAGTATGCTTAGCCGTGAAGATGTTTTCAATGTCTTTCTCGAGAGACTCGCCAACATGAAGTTCATTAAAAGCATTGATCTTTAAACTAAGCCCCGTATGAAGCCCTGATATAATTAATTAATGTCTTAATGGTTACTGAAAAAAAAAACCCTTATAATTAAGAAGTTTTTAGTTTTTTTTAGCTTACCCTAAAGTATGTAGAAACAGTAAAAAGGTTCTCATATGTATGTGGGCTTTTCAATATGTGAAATATATAAAGGTATAAGTTTTAATTTGTGTTTTATAGATAAAAATGCTTTCAACCTATCTAAATATTTGAATTGAATCTTATTGAAGGTTTATAATTAAAACGCCTCTGATTTATGTAGGTCTGTTATCGTTTATAATTTTTGTTTTGTTTCTTTTATTATTTTGTAAAAAAAAATCAATTTTAGAAGACATGGAGAAAAAAAAGAAAGGTATTTTGAAATACCTCATATTTTTTGACAAGTTAGGACATGCCATATGAGTTTATGACACATCCAACGACTTCAATCTCATCTTCTCTTCTTCTCATCTTCTCTCTGCCTTGATCGAACTCAAGTGGTGGAGCTTCTGCCCACAAACCAAATGAGCTACACGATCAGGCGCTGTTTTGTTCAACTATTTAATATTTATTTTGTTGTTTCACCATTATGGGCCCAAAGTTGGCCTTTTAATTAAACACAATTAAATGGTCCATCAAATCACAGGAAGGTAAATTATTAGTTTTTTTTTACTTATTAACCACCTTGTAGAAGTTAAAAGTGCGAATATAAAAATTGACTGTACCAACAACCAAATAAAATATTATTTTATTACTAAACTGGTCTAACTGGTCTGATTAAAAAAATTTGTAATGAAAAGTAATTTAACATTTGATAACGTCATCGGCATTGTCATCTGAGAAGGACTCGATTTCTGCAGACGGAGAGATAACGGTAGAAGCGGCGCAGGCGAGAGAAACAATTCCGATGAAAGCTCTTCTCAATCCTCAATCTTCGTTTTCACTCTCTTCTCCGCAGATCAAGAGACCTCTCTACTTCGACGGACCGAGTTCTTCTTCATGTCTCCGGTTTCCTTTAACCGATTTCAACAACCGGCCGTTTCGGCGGAAGCTGACCGGTGGTTTGAAGATAAAAGCTGTGTTAGACTCCGCAATGATGGAGCAGTTAGGACTCAAGGAATCCGATATTAAGAATCCGGCGCTCTCTTCCACTTACCGGAGATCGGAGATTCCAAAGGCAAACGCCACCGTTCTTGATGCTCAAGCTAAGGTTTGCACCGGACCGACCCAGACTAAACCTCTCAGTGAAGAACAGGCCTTTAAGGTTTTTGATACTATATTAAGATCAGGTAAAGCATTTTCACTCTCCAAGATTTTGACTTTATTGATTGGTTAATTCAAAATTTTGAGTAATTGAGAAAAATCCTCGTTTCAAGACTAATGGTGATAGATTTCAATCTCAAACTCAAAGCCTAATCATTTCAAAGTTTCAAACTTTTTATTTTTAGAGTTTGATTTGCATAAGCTTCTTGGTTAGCAAAGTTTGTTTCTTTATTGATTTGCATAAGCATTTTCAGTCTCCAAGATTTTGACTTTATTGATTGGTGAATTCAGAATTTTGAGTAATTGAGAACAATCCTTGTCTCAGGACCAATGGTGATAGATTTCAGTCTTCCTCTTTAGCTCAAAGCCTGGTCATTTCAAAGTTTCAAACTTTTTTCTTTTTAGAGTTTGATTTGGATAAGCTTCTTGGTTCTTGTTTAGCAAGTTTGTTTCTTGATTGGCTTCAATAGAGAGTTCTTGAAGCCTAAGCCTTTTAAAAGTTTGGAACTTTTTCCTTTTTAGAGTTTGATTTGCATTAGCTTCTTGGTTGCCAAGTTTGTCTATTGATTGGCTTCTATAGAGTTCTTGTGCGTTGTTTAAGGATTGATGATGATAGATTTCAAATCTTCCTCTTTAGCTCAGAGCCTACTCATTTCAAAGTTTCAAACTTTTTGTCTTTAGAGTTTGATTTGCATAAGCTTCTTGGTTCTTGATTAGCAAAGTTTGTTTCTTGTGCGTTTGGATTAGCCTCTTTACTCGTCTCTCATTGGCATTGCAGCTAGAGGGGAGCTAAAAGACGAAGAACCAGTTTCAAAGGCACAGCTTGGGGCGTTTTTCGCTGGAATGACGATCCGTGCAAATGCATTTCCGGAGGAGACTCAATGGAGTGAAGGCGAGAAGCGAGCGATGGATGTGTTTTGGCCACTTCTTGCTCGAGTACTACCTCCTGACGTGCTCTTCATTGCGGATCCTGAAGGCTCTCTATTGGGAACGGGGAGTTCCGTTGGACCGAATTTCGTTGGCAATGAAACTAGAGAGATGAGATTGGTTGGTGCTCTTAGAGAGGTTTTAGCTGGAGGCCACTTAGGTTATGAGGAGGTTAAAGGTGTTTTGAGAGACGTTCTTCCGCTTGCAACTGAAGATAGCTTGGGAGTGAGCGAGTCGTTGCTTTCAGCGTTTTTGATTGGTCAACGTATGAACAGAGAGACAGATAGAGAGCTTAAAGCTTATTGCCTTGCGTTCGATGACGAACTTGGTAAAAACAATCTTTTGGCAAGAAAGAAATGATACAAAGTTCTTGACTTGTGTTAAAGCAATCTTCTACTACTAAACTTTCAGGGGCTCCTCCAGTTGCTGATGTCAAATCTTTAACTCATTATGGCGAGCCTTATGATGGGAACACTCGATTCTTTCGAAGCACTTTGTTCGTGGCTACAGTTAGAGCTTGCTATGGTGAATCCTCGTTGCTCCATGGCGTTGAATGGATGCCTCCAAAGGTATTAATGACAAAAACTGAATCTTTTTCAGTTTTTACAACTTTCTTTTCATTAAGTTTACAAATCTTCTTATCTTCTTCAGGGAGGTGTGACTGAGGAACAAATGCTGAAGTTTATGGGAGCAAATACAAGCTTGTCTGTTCATCAGGCAAAAGAACTCATTGAGGTGCCTACAGGTTTTCTCTCTTTTTTTGTTATGTCTATATTTCTCCTGCAAGCTTATTTCTATGATTTATGTGCGCTATAGTAACATCTTGTCTGTGTGTTGCAGGACGAGAAGGCTGGATTTGCATATCTTAGTCTACGAGAAGCTCGACCGTCTTTGTATGAAATCTGAGAGACATTTGTTTGAGCCATTTCTTTCTTAATCTTACATTTTGGGGGTATTGATGATTCTTTTTGATGTTTGCAGATATTCTGTGATTGGAATGAGGGAGCATATAAAGAAGCGGCCTCCTCTGGCAACAACGGAGAAAGTTCAGCAATTTGTGAGGGTAAGGGACCTATCACAGATCCACAAGGTCATTGCCTTATATGCTCCATGCAATAGATGTTTAATGGACTGTTTTTTCACTGCAGGCAACAGGGAAGGAAGCAATCGTTGCTGGTTTTTACCATGAAGGCTACGAGGAGCCTCTCCTAATGCTTATGAGAAGAAGAGGTGTCCATTCTGGTTTGGTCATTAAGGTCTGACTCTCTCTTTTGCCACTGAAATGAAGTTTTGAGCTTTCAACAGTGAAGTTTTCAGTGAATAAACAAGATTTGTCTTTGGTAATGCTAGGGAGAGGAAGGAGCTCTCTCAATGACAACAAGGGTGAGAGCAGCAAGCGCATCAAAAGGGTTTCCAGTTAACTACTGTTCAGGGTTTCGTTCATTGAGCTCAGACACCGCTCTAGAAGCTGACGGTAAGATTAGCTAACAATAGCAACATTCCTAGTCTCATGCAGACACAGTCCATTGTTTAGATATATGAAACTAGTCTTCCTTTTCCTTTGGTGCTAGTATTTGTCTTCTGTAACATCAATATTGCTATTGAATACAACTGTAGGGGTGTCGAGACAGAGTTTCAATCTTGAGGTGGATGCGAGAGACTATGGATTTGAACCAACCGAGACTCCAAGAACTGATCGTTCGGTAAAAAACTTTCAAAAACATTTTTGTTTTCACACTGTTGCAGATAGAAAAGGAGAAAACTTTAGTCATACTTCTTGTTGAATTTGATAGGTGTCGAAGAACATAGAGCTTGGTTTGGCTGCGCTGCGTGGTGAGAAAGGAGCGGCGTATGATAGAATCGTACTAAATGCTGGGATTGTGGATCATCTGTTGGGATGTGAAGGTGCGGAGGATGTAGCTGTAGCTATGGAGAGAGCAAAGGAAGCTATTGATAGTGGGAAGGCTCTAAAGAAGCTTTTGAATTACATAGAGATGTCAAGGAAGATGAAATAGTTTTCAAGAATCTTGAAAAGTCTGACAAAATCATACACGGAATAGAGAAAACAAAGCTTACACCTTTCTGATTCTTTTTGGTTTTACGTTTTTATGGACAAAGCTCTCTGTTTGTTGTTGTTGAAAGCTCAAAATGTTTTTTTTACAAAGTGGGACACATAAACACAATGCTTTGTGGGGCTCTCTGTGGATAACTGTTGAATTTTTTTATATACAGAATCTGGAGAAAATAATGGTTATTTGTAATTTTATTTTCGAGTGATTCACACTATTCATATGTATACAAGTTCACTCACTTTTGTTTATCCATTTTGTAGCAAAAAAAAAAAGAAAACGGATCCGCAAAAAAAGCCACAAAAGTGACATTTGTTATTGATAAAAACGAGTCCAGTGGCTCTGCTGCTTTGTCTTTTTGCGCTCTTCTTATGCCACATGACATGCAAATGATCTGACGAGTGTCCATTTTTACTAATCTGCTGAGAGTTTCCTACTAAAAACTCTCTCTTTCTTGCTATGCTCAACTTTGGGGGTAACGAAACAGATTGATAATCTTTTCATATTTTTGGTTGTAGAAGTGAGCAAAGTGTGTTGCTTTTTGAGTGACAAATCCTGAAAATGTCTCTCAAGGCATTCGACTACGAGTCTCTGAATGAAAACGTCAAGAACTGTCAGTATGCAGTCAGAGGCGAGCTCTATCTCCGTGCTTCTGAGCTTCAGAAAGAAGGCAAAAAGGTTTCAACTTTTGTTATGCAATTGCAAAGCTTAATTTCACTTAATGTTATTTAACTTGACGATGATATGGAATCATGTCACGTTTACAGATCATTTTCACAAATGTTGGAAACCCTCATGCTTTAGGACAAAAGCCTCTGACTTTTCCTCGTCAGGTCTATACAAAAACTCTCATTACTTTGTTGACTAATTCAATCTTAGGTTATAAGCCTAAAAAGATCAAAAACTAATACAGGTGGTTGCTCTATGCCAAGCACCATTTCTGCTAGATCACCCAAATGTTGGCATGTTATTCCCAGAAGATGCTATTGCAAGAGCTAAGCATTATCTTTCCTATACTTCTGGTGGTCTTGGTATGTCTTCTTTATCTCAAGAACTCAGCCAAATCTATTTCTTGCTTAGGTTTTGTACTTTTGTTCAAGTAATATTTTTTTTTCTTTTATCTTTGAATCAGGTGCTTACAGTGACTCCAGAGGCCTTCCTGGAGTTCGAAAAGAAGTTGCTGAGTTCATTGAACAGCGTGATGGATATCCAAGGTGATTGCTTCACTTTGTTCTCTTTGTTGTAACACAAAACTACTCTTGAGACCTTTTGCTTATCATCTTAAACACTACAGCGACCCAGAGCTTATCTTTTTAACTGATGGAGCAAGCAAAGGTGTCATGCAAATCTTGAACTGTATCATAAGCGATCAGAAAGACGGCGTAAGTAATGAAAGTCATCTCTTAGGAGCTAACTTTTACTTTTTTTGGGTGTCACAAAGTTTTCTTGGTTGGCAGATTCTGGTTCCAGTACCACAGTATCCACTCTACTCAGCTACAATATCTCTGTTAGGTGGCACTCTTGTTCCTTACTATCTTGAAGAGACTGAAGACTGGGGACTTGATGTTCACAACCTTCGCCAATCCGTTGCTCAGGCTCGCTCTCAAGGAGTCACAGTTAGTTATTTTAATTCTTCATCTCTTACTCTCATTGCAAGAGGATTCTCTTAAGACACATGGTTAAATGGCAGGTAAAGGCAATGGTGATCATTAACCCCGGAAACCCAACCGGACAGTGTCTTAGCATAGCTAACTTACAAGAGATATTGAGGTTCTGTTATGATGAGAGATTGGCTCTTCTTGGAGATGAGGTGTATCAGCAAAACATATACCAAGATAAGCATCCTTTTCTCAGTTCCAAGAAGGTAAAAATCATTTTTCATTGGCCTATGCAATTTTCTTTTGTGTGTCATCACCATTGACTTGATCCTTTTTGTTCTTAAAAGGTTTTGATGGATATGGGAGCACCGATCAGCAAAGAAGTCCAGCTTGTATCTTTCCACACTGTTTCTAAAGGTTATTGGGGAGAATGTGGACAACGAGGTGGTTACTTTGAGATGACTAATATCCCTCCAAAGGTTTGTACCCGACCCGACCGGTTTTGTTGTTTGTAGTTAGCGTGATTAGCAAGAAAGCTTGATAATGTTCTTGGTAATGCAGACTGTTGAGGAGATATACAAGATTTCATCTATAGCTCTTAGCCCCAACGTCCCTGCGCAGATATTTGTAAGTTTCTTTCTTAGTAACTTTTGGTTCTCAAAATGGTTTCATTTCTGAAACTGAATGATTTTGTTTTGTTTTGTGTGAAGATGGGTTTAATGGTTAGTCCACCAAAGCCTGGAGACATTTCTTATGACCTATTCGTGAGTGAAAGGTATGTTTCTACTCTATAAATCTAAAGAAACACGTTTTGATGAAAGGATCAAGATCTCAGAAACTTTCTTGAACAGCAAGGGGATATTAGAGTCACTGAGAAGAAGAGCAAAGATCATGACTGATGGATTCAACAGCTGCAAGAACGTTGTGTGTAACTTCACGGAAGGTGCAATGTACTCTTTTCCTCAGATAAAGTTGCCGTCGAAAGCAATCCAAACAGCTATATTAGCCGGGAAAGTTCCTGACGTTTTCTACTGCCTTAAGCTTTTAGAAGCCACAGGAATCTCCACCGTTCCTGGCTCTGGATTTGGACAGAAAGAAGGGTAATAAGTTAATAACGTAACGTACACAAAACATCTTTTCATGTTTCTTGCTTTATCTCTTTGAGCTCATTTTTTTTTTGGTTTTCAGGGTGTTTCATCTGAGAACAACGATTCTTCCGGCAGAAGAAGAGATGCCAGAGATTATGGAGAGTTTCAAAAAGTTCAACGATGAGTTCATGTCTCAGTACGGTTTCATAACTACTTAAACTCTTCTTGTGTTCTTGTGAAACCTTTGTATTTTTTTTGTTTTGTTCATCATAAGACTTTGTATCTATTGGAAAACAAACACACAAAATAAAAATACAATCTCAACTATATCTCTATTATTGTTATGGTTAAAGTAGATGCATGAAAGAAAACACAATTTGATCTTTGAAGCTCTGTTCTGTATTAACATTTTGTGGTATTTATCTAAGTAAAGGTAAACTAGATATTTAAATCAAAATTAGATTAAATTGATGAAATGACAACATTTTGAAATAAAAAGTTTAGCAAAAACTCTATTTTGGTGTGAAACAGGAAAGTAACAATCTGAAGATTGTTTTTGGTGAAGCTAAACATTAAATAATTATCCAATTATTAGGTGGTGAAGATTTTCAAAAATTGTCTTAGTTTAAGGAATATGGATGGTGATAATGATATCATCTTTGTATTTTTTTTTTTCATTTCACATTATAAAAAATGAAGAGATATAATTAAATAAGTATAGCACTTATCCAATCTTGACTAAAATATTCTCATAAGGAGTACACAAATTGTGTACTATCGAAGAAGAGATGCCAGAGATTATGGAGAGTTTCAAAAAGTTCAACGATGACTCGATGAGTTTATGTCTCTGTTGATAACTAGCTTTAAATCTTCTTGTGTTCTTGTAAAACTGGCTAAAGTACATGCATTAAAGAAAACACAATTTGATTTTTAAAGTTCCGTTCTGTTTTAACATTTTGTGATATTTATTTTAGTGAAGATAAACTAGATATTTAACTCAAAATTAGATTGAATTGATGAAATGACGACATTTTTGAAACATAAAGCTTAGCCAAAACTATATTTTAGTGTGAAATAGAGGAAAGTAAAAATCTAAGATTATTTTTGGTGAAGCTAAGAGTTAATAATTATCCAATTATTAGGTGGTGAAGATTTTGAAAAATTGTCTTAGTTTAAGGAATATAGATGGTGAAAATGAAGAGATATAATTAAATAAGTATAGCACTTATCCAATTTTGATTAAAATATTCTCACACACGGAATACAAAATAATCACGTTATATATTAAATTAAAAAGCATGATAAGAAAAAGAGTCCCCACCGGATCAAATGTTCCAAAAACTCTTTTCTTCTTAGCCTCCTTTGTTCTCGTCAAGCTTCAACAGAGAGGCATTAAACAAACCCTAAATCACAATCTTCTCTTCTTTTTCCTTTTCCGAGAGAAAAGAATTATCCTTTCCTTTTCTTCCAAAGAAAACTGAAGAAACTAACCTTTTCCCGCCCAAAAGTTTTCTCATTTTTTCTCATTAAGAGAATTTTTACTTTTTTTTCACAATTTACAACCTGTTTCTTTCTTTGTTTAGGTCAAAGGTTTTCTTTACCTTGTTTAACTTTTCTCTTCAATTTTCTCGGATCGCACCATGGATTTTCAAGAAAAGTCTCTTAAAGTGAAGATTCCGGTGCAAACTCCAATCATTTCCAAGCCGGAAAAAGAAGGAGAAGAAGAAGATGGATTCACAACTCCAAAGGGGGATCAATTTAGGATTCCGCCGCAGCTTGAGTGTCCTCCGGCACCTGGACCCGGCATCCGACGGAAGACCATCGACAAACGCCGGAAAAAATCCGCCGGGAGGAGGCTTATCTCCGTCAACGTTCAAGATTTGGACACCCTCTTCACAAGAACACATACATAGTTGAAGAAGATTCTAATTTAGTATTTAGCCTTCTAGTGCGTTCGTTAATGGCCTTATTAACTGAAGAATTTGCAGGGGTTTTCTTTTTTACTTTTTTTTTCTATTTATTTAACATTTTACAGATGATTTTATCTTAACTATTGGTTTTGTATATTTTTAGTAGCATTATTTTACAGAATTATAGATGATGAAGCAACTCAAACGTTTTCCATTCACACAAGCGGGCTCGGTTACTTAATTTTGGTTCTGCAAAACAATAACAAAGCATAGTTAACTAGTCCAAAATGCAATTGTTGGCCAATCATATTGTTCGGAACCAGTTTCTTTGGTACTTTTTCGGATTTCATTCAAAGATATGTAGATATTTGTTCAAACTACTTTTCTTTTAAAATTTGGATTAGCTGTGTAGTTGACAAAGAAAATCCATAGCTTGAATCTTATTTTTTCTTCTTCATATGTTACTTGTTACATAACTAGTGATCACATTTCATTGTTTTACAACTGACAGATTTTCTGATAAATATAAAGTTGAAACGTACAAGAACAACAGACAATCTAAGAAGACTATTCCATCTGCCACATGCTTAGTTTTGGACTTGCATCCAAAATCGCTAATAATTTGGTCAACTAGTACATAAAAACGTTTGAATCCGATTCTTTTTGTTCTTTAATAAACAAATCCTAAATCGTGACTAAATAAAGCTTCTGGTAAGAACTTTAATGTACAGAAGAAAAAATATTCAAACTAAAGAAAGTTGACCCACACGGCCACACAACAACCACTGAGTCTAAATAGAGGTCTATATCATGTTTGGTAATGGTGAGATATATTGAATAGTCCATTTCGAGCTGAAATAGAATCCTATGCATTAAAACCTCAATAATTTTCACACTCTTATGTTATTTATTTCATACGAGATTGACCTTATCTGTATTTTTTTTTGTGGGTAATTTTATATCATATTTTCCAGAGAACTTGTAGCAACATGAAACTTTTAGACAACAAGCACATCTTGTAGTTGTAGTTCATTTATAGTGACCAAACTTTTTTAATCCAAATTAATGAATCAAACCAATTTGTTACTAGTTGAGTTGCTATTCATACCAAATGTGAATCTGTGCAGTCTAACCGTACCGCACCACACTTTTTCAAGTCAACATTCATAGTCTAAAGAAACCATTTCAAAATTATTAATAAAAACGTACACTGCATAATTGCATCACGATGCAACAAAACAATAGTGCAAAACATCACTATCCACTATAATAAGTTCACATCGCCATAGGAATAGGATCTTCGTCACCGCCATATCACCACTGACGAAAAATCAGCCTATCCCCTGGCCCATGATTTATCTAGTTTCATAAATTTCCACATTTTTATCATATAATAAAAACAAAAGATATTATTTTTATAAAGTTAAAATACGGTACATACATAAAAATACAACAAAAAGCTTTGTGTACACTAGAGATTACAGGCCCAGCCCAAAACAAATATTAATTTCTTCTTGTTTGTTAGCTTTGGTCCACTCTGATTGTAACTCTTCCTATACGAATTTTCTTGGCGGTTTAAGTATTCCACGTGTCAGACTGAGATCTCGTGGATTTAACTGTTTCTCATCGCACAGCCGTTCGATCTTCGTACCGCGTAAATAAAAAGAAAAAGAAAAATACAATTTATACATACGCGGAAAAAAAGAAAAAAAAAGAAATCACCAAACCGATTCCGTTTACTTGCCTCTCTTGACTCACGAGGAAATCGACGGTGGTCTCTTCTTCGCCGGAGAAGATGAAGCAGAGAACGTGGCCATGCACATCCGAAGGATCTCGTTACACCTCCTTGTCGTTTTTGAAACCACACGACAAGGAAAAACGGAGTAAATTCTCCATCAGAGCAACGGCGAAGTCATCGAGCTCAAGGTCTTCTCCTCCTCTACCGTCAAATGAAGGAGCGGACTGTGCCGGAGATTTCTCGATGCTTCCGTTCGACATACTGATGAAAATCGCGGCGCCGATGAGTCTTCCGAATCTCCAGGCGGCTTCGTCGGTGTGCAAATCGTGGAGAGACGCGTTACAGCCGCTGAGGGAATCGATGGTGCTGCTTCGTTGGGGGAAACGGTTCAAGCACGGACGAGGAGGCGTGAAGCCGAACCTCGACAAGGCTCTGCATTCGTTCCTGAAAGCCGCCGCGGGCGGATCGACGCTGGCCATGGTCGACGCTGGGCTTATGTATTGGGAAAAGGGAGAGAAGGAGAGAGCGGTGGGACTATATCGGAAAGCTGCGGAGCTTGGTGATGCTGTTGGTCAATGTAATTTGGGGATTTCTTATCTTCAAGGTAACGGATTGCAAAATTCGAGTTGTTGTTTAGGGTTGAAGTTTTTCTCGATTGAAGTGATGGATGAGATTAATTGTTGATCGATTGGTGATGAAATTAGTGGAAATTGCTTGGTTGTATCTGCAGCTCAACCTTCAGATCCCAAGGAAGCAATGAAATGGTTGAAACAATCTGCAGAAAATGGTTACGTTCGAGCTCAGTATCAGTTAGCTCTTTGTTTACACCAAGGAAGAGTCGTGCAAACCAATCTGCTTGAAGCTGTATGTGCCTTCTTCTGATCCTTTTTCTTCATGCTTATGGTTAAGATTCTATACACTTTGCATCATTGAATGTGGTCCTTCTTCAAATTGATCGCTGCTCACACTTAGTGGAATTTGATAATGATATGTTTCTGATCATGTGCTTAGTTCATTTGTGGAAATGTTTGAATGATTGGATTCCTTTTCCTCATGCTTCTGGTGAAGATTCTATACAATTGGTATCTGTCCTCGTGTGGTGGTGCCGCCATTTAAATTGAAAGTTGCATATTTGAATGTGACCCTTCTTCAAATTGATGACTGCACCTTTACCAGTGAAATTTGAGAATGCTATAAGTTTCATTTGGGGGAAATGTTTGATTTCTGTCATTTTCATTTGTGGAAATGTTTGAAGTTTTTGTATATCTTTAATGATATGGATGTTTGTTCTCTCTTTTGACAGGCTAGATGGTACTTGAAGGCAGCAGAAGGTGGCTATACACGAGCCATGTATAACATTTCGCTTTGTTACTCTGTTGGAGAAGGTTTACCTCAGAACCGCAAGCTAGCAAGAAAATGGATGAAACGAGCAGCTGATCTTGGCCACAGTAAAGCTCAGTTTGAACATGGACTCGCTCTGTTCTCTGTAAGCATCTCTCTCACCTCAATTCAAATAAAAGCTCGTAAAGAGTCTACTAAAAGAGTTTATTCAATTTGAGAGTATGTAACGAGGAAATGGAGATTGAACTGATAAAAAATCTATGATTTTGATGAGCAGGAAGGAGCACTGTTGAAATCTGTAATGTACTTAGAACTCGCAGAGCGTGGTGGTGAGAAAGGTGCTACTCACGTCAAGGAAATTGCACAGCAAAACCTTTCATCAACTTCTCGTGCTCATGCCATAAACCAAGCTAATCGCTGAGTCCATGTTTTGAGTATAGTGTGAGGTCAAAGTATAATTGGTTCTTTACATGTCTGTTAAACTCAATTTTCAATTTGGCAATGCTTGAATAACAAATCTTTTCACTCAGAGAATTTATGACCAGAGAATGATTTTAGATCAATCTAACAAGAACATCTTAAACGAAACACCATTTATAAAATTCCAACAAGGTTCATAAACTACTAAATCTCTCTCAAGATCCAAAACAAAGATAAAGTTTTATCCAAGATTCAAAAAAACTAAAAACGGAAATGGGAAAGGGAAATTTCGATAAAAAACCTAAGCTGTGAGCACAACAGCACCACCAGCTTCCTTGATCTTCTTCTCGGCGGTCTTGGAGATGAGCTTGGCCTTGACAACGAAAGGTTTGTTCTCAGGCAAGTGACCTTTACCCAACACCTTGAAGAAACCGTGCTGCGTGACATCGATCATCGGGACGTTGTCCTTGGTGGACTTCGCCTTGACATCCTCAGGGACGAGTGACCAGAGCTTGTCGAGGTTCACGATCGGGCAGTAGAACTTGTTTCTCAGCTTGTGGAAGTACCTCATACCGACTTTACCGAAGTAACCGGGATGGTACTTGTCGAAGAGGATCCTGTGGTGGTGCATACCTCCGGCGTTACCACGACCTCCGGGATGCTTGCGGTGCTTCCCGATACGACCGTGCCCGGCGCTGACGTGACCACGCTTCTTCCTGTTCTTCTTGAATCTCGTCGTCATTTCCGCCGATCTCCAAACCTCAGCCTCTCTCTCTCTCTCGAGACCCCTTTTATCTACTGAAGAAGCAGGCACGGCTCTCACTTTCTAGGGTTTTTCTTATTTTTAGCGGGCTGGGCCTAATAAATGATAAGTCCATTAAGAATATCAGATTTATTTTCAGCCTTGCATTTCGAAACGACGTTGTAGAGGGGAAATGATTCCCTTATCACCACATGAATCTCCACGCGCCTTTCCCACGCGCCGGTGATGCTTTGTGGCTCATGAGCTCGGTGGTGGATCTCCGCGGGTCCCATCTCGGTTTTTGTTGATTATTTTGGTTGACACGGAGCTTCCTTTTCCTTACGTTACGTCTTCGATTTTCGAAAAAACGACGCGTTTCATATGAGCCAAGGAAAGCTTGGACGGAGCTCCAAGTCGTGAAGCCATTTCGTCTTCTTCCCGCCGAGATTCATGGCTCTGCAGGTGCTCGGCTGCACTAGCCGCCCAATCATCCGCGTTTCCCTCCACCGACGACGGTGTTCTGTTATCGCTACCAGTGACATTAAAAGGAAGAATCTCCGATTCGTTACCAAATCGAAATGGTCCTTCTCTTTGCAATCTTCAATTAGAAGTTATCGATTGACTTCGGTTAATTGCTCGACGGTGAATGGAGCAGCAGTGGAAAGCGCGGAGTATTACGAAGGAGAAGGAGACTCCGTTTCGCTTCCGGAGAGAATTCGGCAATGTATTGGGTTTCTCCGAACGATATTACCAGGAGGAAGCTGGTGGAGTTTCTCCGATGAGGTTGATAGTAGGTTCATCGCGAAACCGGTGACTGTGTGGCGTGCGCTGAGTCGGATGTGGGAGCTTGTGGCTGAGGATCGTTGGGTTATCTTCGCTGCGTTTTCGACTCTTATCGTTGCCGCGGTGAGTGGTTATATCCATGGATTGTGCTTCGTTGCAATTCGCAATTGATTCTTTCATTTTCTCAGATACTTTTCTCTCTCTACATGTTTCAGCTTTCAGAGATATCCATTCCACATTTCTTAACAGCTTCGATTTTCTCGGCGCAAAGTGGTGATGTCACAGTGTTTCGTCGAAATGTTCGTCTCTTGGTTGTGCTATGTGTTACTTCAGGCATTTGCAGGTCAAGATCTTGTATGGTCAAACGCTCTTTTTTGAGATTTTCTTTCACAATTTTTTTCAAGCTATTTGATATTTTGGAGCTCCTCTCTTAACGCTTTGTTTCAACTCATGATTCCAGTGGCATACGAGGATGCTTCTTTGGGATTGCAAACATGATACTTGTGAGTTTACTTCCTGAATTTTTTTCTTTCTACTTGTGTTTTTAATCTACTCAGGAATTTTGTATGATGATTTCGTTCTACTCTGTAGGTGAAACGAATGAGAGAAACGCTATACTCTACTCTTCTCCTCCAGGTTGTGAAAGTTTCCAGCTGTAGAATCTTGATAACTCATGTATACCTCGAGATTAGTCTCGCTAACTTGGCTGGACTGTGTGCATCAGGATATATCGTTTTTCGACTCTCAAACTGTTGGTGACTTAACAAGTAGACTTGGATCGGACTGTCAGCAAGTGTCAAGGGTTATAGGAAATGATCTGAACATGATATTACGCAATGTTCTTCAGGTCTTCCTCTAATTGATCTTGTTACCATTTCCCCTGAAATGTGTTTTTGTGCATGGTTGAGTCTGTTGACATCTTTATGTAATGTTTGTTTACGTTATTTCTTTCAGGGGACAGGGGCATTAATTTATTTGCTGATCTTGTCTTGGCCCCTTGGACTGTGCACATTGGTGATTTGCTGTACTTTGGCAGCGGTTATGTTCGTTTATGGGATGTGAGATTCTGCCATTACTTTTCTCCGTTTATGGTTAAGATTAATAATCTGTAAATATATAATAGATAATACACTTGGTACTTATGGCTAGTGATTTTGGGACTGAAGGCGGAAAGTAAAGTTACATCTGGTCATGTTGTAGGTACCAAAAGAAGACAGCGAGGCTTATTCAGGAGATCACAGCTTCTGCAAATGATGTAAATTGTTCAAAAAAAAATTATGTTAACATATGTCTTTGTTGCAATGAATTATTGTGCTTATATTTCCTCACTGAAATTCAAGGTCGCTCAAGAGACATACTCTTTGATGAGAACTGTTCGTGTATACGGGACAGAGAAGCAAGAGCTTAATAGGTGCAATCAGATTCCCTGAAACCCTTCAAAATCTTTCCATTTCTTGAATTTTTCTGGTGTAGTTTTGCGATATCAGCCAATCTGTTTAAAAAACAGGTTCTGTCACATCCAAGTTACTTTTTGACATGGATTTTCTCCCCTTCTGTGGTGGAAAGGTACAATTACTGGCTTCAGAAAATGGCGGATGTAAGTTTGAGACAGAGTGCCGCTTATGGTATTTGGAATTGGAGCTTCAACACTCTGTACCATGCAACTCAGGTTCCTCAAACATAACCCTTTTTTCTTTAACTTCTCTCTTTTTTACTGTTTTTGGGAAGGATCAATTACCCTGTGGTTCTTAAAGATGGTGATAATCATGCTAAGAATGTGACAAGATCCATCATTTGTTTCTATTATAGATTCTTGCTGTCTTGATTGGAGGAATGTCTATCTTAGCCGGTCAAATAACAGCAGAGCAGCTGACAAAGTTTCTGTTGTATAGTGAGTGGTTAATCTATGCTACGTGGTGGGTGGGAGATAATTTATCGTCTTTAATGCAATCGGTTGGAGCGAGTGAAAAGGTCTTCCAAATGATGGATCTCAGGCCAAGTGATCAATTCACATCAAAAGGCAAGATTCTGTTTTTTTGGCAAAGAGCAGTATAGTTTACAAACATGTTGACCATTTATGAGATTTGTGAGAGCAGAGCTTGAGTTAGGCCTCTTAGAGTAAATCACTTTTGACTTCCTACCTAGAGGCTTACAGAGATTGCTACGCTCAACCATGTAATGTATTATCTTACAAACTGTTTTGCAGGAACGAGACTGCAGAGACTAACAGGACATATCGAGTTCGTTGATGTGTCGTTCAGCTACCCTTCAAGAGAGGAGGTATGACTGCATTCGTGTGTGTACTGTAACCTAACCTTTTGCCTCTAACATTTGCACCTTGCATTTACAATTTCGTTTATAACTGTATGTTATAAATTCATGCACACGCATCATATATAGTTTTTCCTGTCCTGTTTATGGTACTGATTGTGTCGGGCTCATATTTCAAGTTTGTCTAAACAAATCATCTCATATGTAAATCTCTCAGGTGGCGGTGCTTCAAAATGTAAGCATTTCCGTGCGCCCTGGTGAAGTGGTGGCAATCGTAAGTATATATACCTTAAAGTAGTCCAATGCTGCCACTGTTTTCCTTATAATTTATCGAAAGTGAGTTCAAAACCAATCTGTTATGTTTAGGTTGGTCTAAGTGGCAGCGGCAAAAGCACAGTGGTTAGTCTTCTGCTGCAACTGTACGAACCAAAAAGCGGTCAGGTAAGTTATTCAAACTCGCTGTAGACTTACCCCTTTAAGCCTCTCCTTCCTAAAGTCTTTCTCTTTGTAACTTCAGATTCTACTCGATGGAGTTCCTTTGCAAGAGTTGGATGTCAAGTGGCTAAGGCAAAAAATCGGATACGTGGGGCAGGTTCTCGTCGCATTTCCACTACGAAAATCAAAATAAAAATCTGATGAATCTCACTTTCCCTTTCTAAAAGCTGTCACAATGAAACAGGAACCAAAACTCTTCCGCACAGACATCGGTTCCAACATCAAGTACGGATGCGACCGTAATGTGACGCAAGAAGATATAGTATGGGCAGCAAAGCAAGCCTACGCACACGACTTCATCACAGCTCTTCCCAATGGCTACAACACGACGGTTGATGATGATTTGCTCAGTGGAGGGCAGAAACAGCGGATTGCCATCGCTCGTGCCATCCTCAGAGATCCTAGAATTCTCATCCTCGATGAAGCCACAAGTGCACTTGATGCAGAGAGCGAACACAACGTTAAGGTAAAACTAAAACCTCTCTAGCGCCAAAAAGAGATATTACTTGGATGCAAGAATTCTTAAAGCCATTTCTTTTTTTCCAGGGCGTACTTCGTTCTATTGGAAACGACTCAGCAACAAAGAGAAGTGTCATTGTGATAGCTCACAGGTATCTTTTTCTTGGTCCTATAGTGTTTACTTGTTTTTTGATGATTGCTTTGTAACATCATCATTCACATTGTGTTCCTTCAGACTTTCTACGATTAAGGCTGCAGATAGAATAGTGGCTATGGACAGTGGACGAGTCGTCGAGGTAAACCACTCTCTCTTACCGGTTTTGGTTAATTGATTGGTAAAACCTGTGTTATTAATATTCACTGTTACGTTTGTTTACAAACAGATGGGCAATCACAAAGAGCTTCTGAGCAAAGATGGCTTATACGCGAGATTGACAAAGAGACAAGCCGATGCTGTTGTATGATTGGATCCTCTCTCTAAAGCTTACACATGCCAAACAGTTTCATGAATAGTCATGATTATGTTTTTGAATGGTCATGACGAATATGTAATGTAGAAAACTGTGTAAAGATGTAGCCATATATATATTCTTATCACATCACACACTCGTTCGTAGACACAGATCATGTAATTTTCTTCTCATAGTTAATGTAAACTACTTGCCGTTTTCGTTGCTCTTCAAAACGGCACGAAAGTTAAAGGAAACGCCTGAAGATGGCTCGCAGTTTTCTAGATAAATTTTTTTGTCTAATCAAATTCGATCTCAAACGCAAAGACTCGAGTCGCGAGACTTTTGCTGCTCCTTTTTCTTCGTACCGGAAAAAGTCTTAATGGACGCATACCAGCCACCGGGTCCGTACATGAGGCCGCCGCCTGGAGCACTGCCTCCGGCGGATCCTTACCACCAATACTATCAGCATCAGGTGAGACCCCCGGGACCTTCTCCAACGCAACCCGGCGGTCCTGCTGCATGGTACTCCAACCAATTTCATAACCCTCACTCTCCATCGCCACCTCCTCCACCTCAGCAGCAGTGGGGGCCACCTCCGCCGCATCATCCTCAAGGCGAACCTTACTCTTCTCCCGCTTATCCTCCTTTCCCGACGCAATCTCACCAGCCGCCGTTCAACGCCGGCGCCAACGGTAACAGTCAGTTTCCCCCACCTGCTGGACCGCAGCCACCTCCGCCACATCCTCTGGCTAATCAGGTTTGCTCCGTCGTTGGATCATCTCGTGTTTATCAAACTGTTGGTTTTAGGATTGAATTTTGATTTTTGCATCTTAGGAATGGGGAAATCCAAATTGGGGGCATCAACAAGGTCACGCCTCTCATTCTTCATTGCTTTCCATTGTTATTGAGTGAAATATTAGTGTTCCGCTTCTGACTATATTGTGAAATCTGGCAGCTCATAGCAACGCCGACGACTGGGCAGTGAAAGCAAGAGAATGGGCAGCTGCTAACGAGGATCCACACTCGCAATTTCCTCCGAATCAAACTTTTGGACAAGCCTTCCCGCAGTACTTTAATCAAGATGTTCATCAACAACAAGCGGCTCCAGGATTAAGCTATCAGCAATTCCCTGTTCAACACACACAGCCGGACAGCTATCCAAATCCAGCAATTCATCAGCAGGAGGTACCTTATAGTTATTCTTCTGTAGCAGGTAACCATTTACTTAGAAATATCGCTCCTAGCTCCTTGTCAAAGCAGTGTCTTCAAAGTTACCATATCCTCAGTTCACGATAAATCATGAACATAGATTAGCACTTTTAAACACTGTGCATCTGTTCCTCGTTTTTGTTGGTCTAGAAATTGGTGAATACTATGAAGACCTCCAGAACTTAAACTTGTTACTCTGTTTGCAGGGAAAGAAGAATCTGGCAATGCAACACAACACCATGAGGTGCAGATATCAGTGCCTGATGGTGGAGGACCTGTTCACGCAGAGCAGCAAATGCAATATGGATATGGAGATCAAATAGCCGCTCCACCTAGTGATCACAGTGCATGGCCGCCCCATGCCGCAACTGGAGTAGTTTATCCTCCGATCCCTCCTTCATCAGTACCGTCAATGCCGCAGGTATTACAACGTTACTTGTTTGGTTATCTTTCATTTTTGTATTAGTTTAATGGATGCAGATTCGATGTTTGCTTTCCTTGCAGCATGACTCATCTATGGCTGTTTCGGGTCATACCATGCCTCCATTTGGAAGGTTTCCCCCACCAAATGTCCAGCCTGTTGGATATGCTTTTGGGACAAAGCCGCCTCCTCACCCTGTTGCAGCGTTCATGGACGACTCATATGCAGCATCATCTGTTCCTCCTAAAAAGGTAAGATTTTTTTTGTTTTCCTAGAGGATTTCAGTATCTTCCCTGAATTCTGGCTAATGAGGATCTTTCCAGGCTCCTGTACCTAACTGGCTTAAGGAGGAATTGTTGAAGAAGAAAGCATCTCTTGGAAGGCCTTCTTCAGGGAGTTTTGAGGAGAGAGAGTCTTTGGACGATGATGTACTTTATAAACCTCCTGCAGAAGTTGATCAGCACGACGACAAAAGATTCAGCCTCTCTAAATTATCTGACGAAGAAGAAGAAGAAGAAGAGGAGGACGAGGTTCCCTGAACTTTTTAACATTGTTTTATTAACACCAGTTTCTTATGACGGTTCAAGCTCCGTTGGTAGTTACAATTCCATTTTAGCACTATCATAAACATGCATGGTTTGCTACATGTAGGATGAGATAGATCCAGCTAGAGCCGCAGCAATTAACTCGGAGATAAAACGTGTCTTGACTGAAGTTCTTAAGAAGGTATTTGGCCTGGTATATATCAGTCTATAACACGTTTCTGCAACACTGAATATAACCATTAATTGTATCATATGTCTTAATGAACAGGTTACTGATGAATTATTTGATGAAATTGCAACCAAAGTCATAAATGAAGATGAAGCAATACCTAAAGGTTTGTGCGGGTCACCAAGATTTAGTTTTGTGCTTTTAATCTGTGGAACAACTACTAAACTTACCATCTTTTTTGCTGGTATGTGTGCTCTTTAGATGACAGTGTCAAGTCATCATCCCTTATCTCGGCAGCTGATCCAATGCACAAGGCTTCAGCAAAGATTTTGGTCTCGGTAGAAGGCGCACATCAAAAAGCTGGCTCTGGTTCTCCAGCAGATGTGCTAGGTCTTGGTAGCTATGCCTCTGATGATGATGATGATGATGATGGTGATACTGATGCTGCACCTAACGCTGATGCCAATGGCAGTGATGGAGTTGAAAGTCTTGGCATTGGGTTGAGAAACGATGTTAATCAGCAGCCAAGCACTGAGAAACTTCCGGAACCTAAAGCAGTGGTCAATGCGAGAGTGGATCCAGAAGTTGAAGTCGGTGATAAGTCCCCCGAGAACAATAAGGCAAGCTTGGATCAGATGTTGAGCTATAGAAGAAATGATGATGAGGCAGGTAGTAACAAAAATTTAGATATAAGCTCCAGCACCGGACTCGATGATGGTACCTCAGGAAGCAGAACAAACCATCCTGAGAGAACCGATAGTGAGAAAGATTCAATACTACATGAGCATCACAGGAAGGATAGCAACAAACGTAATGGGAAAGACTTGAGTGGCGATGTGAGTAGGGATAGAAGTAGAACAGATGAAACGAGAACTGTAAAAGAGAAGGTGGATTCTCAGAATGGATCAGAAGATAGAATGAAGCAGAGCGACATAAAGTCAGGAGAGAAAGTTAAAGGTTTGGAATCAAATAAAAAATCTACTGATGTCCATGTGAAGAAGGACTCAAGGGATACAGAGAAGCCTCAGAGAACAGATTCAAAAGAAGACCGGAGTAAAAAGAGGGAGAGGGAAAAGGACGAAGATCGGTCAAGAAACAGGAAGTCTTCTTCGAGAAGAAGGCATGCATCACCATCTCCTGTGAGGTCCAGAAGGAAACACTCTTCTCCATCAAGTGATGAGTCCTCTGATGATTCAAGAAGGTGGTATTAGAGGCTTTTTACTTTGAGTTTTATCTTCTACACTTCTTTCGTCTAATGCTAACGATCTTTATCTCTGTCTTTCTTTCTTCAGGAAGTCTTCTTCAAGAAGAAGGAACCGGTCACCATCTCCGGGAAGGTCCAGAAGAAGGTAACTTTTTCTATAATGTTAGCATTTTGAGATCACTGGTGTTTCTGTGTTTTTGTTTTTGTTTTTGTGAGTCTATATTAGCAAAATGACTCTGTGAAGTTAAACAAAAACTTTTGAAAGCAAAAGTTTTATTGATCAAAAGACAAAATGGGTAAGCGTCCGTTAAAATCGGATAAGGTAGTGTGAAACTCACCACAGAAAGTATCTATGTATGTTTGATTGTATAGACATGTTACTTCGCGGTCACCACATAGCAAGCATTCTCAACGCAAGCATTCTCTACACTCTTCTCATGACACCTCCAGGTATGCATTCTCAATCTCAGATGTTACTTATGTCCTAACAGGTGGATAATGCTGGATTTTAAGAAACCAGAAAGAAAAAACTTTAGTTTGCTATTTCCTCTCTTGCATATTCAGTTAAAACTCAGACCTAATTTGCTACACAGGTCAAAGCGGTCAAGATCCAGATCCCCCCGCAGACGCCATCGGACTTGAACTCCGGCAACTGGTCAGAGACGGTTCCCAGGAGGACAGGACACTGCAATGCTGTGCAGAGCTTTGGTCAGTCTATAAGGTCACTTGTTTGAGCGCATTGTAAATCGTTCTTACCTTAAAGTTCTTCAAGAAGAAATGTGTCCGAAATAATTTTTGACTGGTTTTTTTATAAATTGACTTGTGTGACTCTATATAATGTTGGTTGCTTAAGCTTTCCTATGTAATTTGTTGGTTGATGGTTTCAAACATGCGATAATCAAATCTGTGCACTATCCTCCGAGGTTTTTGGAATTGTATTAAATAGATTTTTCTTTTTGTTTTTAAATTTATGACCCAAAGTCCAAAGATCAAGAGAAGTTTTATCTCTGTGAAGTCAAATGTCAAACAGCGACTCAGAGACAGTGAAGGTTGTGATGGATCTGGTGTTAAAGGTCGTCAGAAATTCAGAATCGTTAGGCGAAATGGCACGAGTTATAATATGATTTAAATCCTGAAATAAATTCCTTGAAGACGACGAAAAGCGTTCACATGTCTTCTTCTTCCTCCATACTCATTTCCCTTCCCTCCGCCGGCTTTCCGCTTCATCATCAACTTCTGGAGTTTCGGTACTTTTCCATTTTCTTCCTTTTTTCCGTTAAAGTTCCCTTTTAGTTTTTTCTTCTTCTTTTACTCCTTCCTTCGCTTCCTCTTCATTCAACATTTCAATGAAGCTTAAGGTTCCCATTCTCTCTAACGTCTACCAACTTGCTCTTTCTTTTTGCCAATTTTTTTTGAGATCTCAGTGTTTCAATTTCTGAAAAATTTCACTTCAATTTGAATTTGAAATCTTACAGGGACTTCGAGCTGGGCTATTGACTGTTTGGCTATCTGGATTTCTCCTAATCGCTCTCTCCTTCTACGGAACTCAGCTTCTCTCTTCTTCTTCTCTCGATGACCGATTCAGATTCTCTTCATTCTCCCGAGATCCTGTTTCTCCCAAAATCACCATTTTCACTGCTCTCAGTGTCTCATCCTTCGAAGAAGATCATAGCCAAGCTTTACTGGTTATTCGCTCATGGCTCGCTTTGTCTTCTCAAATCAAAGTTGTCATATTCACTCAACACAACTCCTCTTCTTCTTCTGCTGCTTCTTCCTTCGCCGACAAATTTGGCTCCCGTCTTCTTCTCGATTCCACCATCGATTTCACGTAAGCTGCTCTATCTCCACTTCACTGAGTGATTTACATTGCTGGAGACGCCAAATTTCGTCATGTTTGTTTCAACTGTTAGGTTTCTGGGGACTCCATTTTTACACTCGATGCTGGAGAAAAGCAAAGCTTACAAATCCGATATAGCTGTTCTCATGGATCCAGAGACTCTTCTTCTTCCAGATTTCATCTCATCTCTAACTTACGCTCACTCACTTGATCGCGATTGGCTTCTCGTTTCTTCACCATCAGTGTATATTCCTCGTTTCCCTCTCCACTGGGACGAAACAGGACGTTTCTGGCGACAGAACAATGGCAAAAGAGTGAGATTTGGTGAGGTACATGGAATGAAAACTTTCTTGTATTTGTTGATAAATGATCTCTGATCCCTCTTCAATCAAATTGATCAAAATCTTCGTTTTTCAACAGTTGCAGAAGATGAAATCAAACTCTAGTGAAGCCAAAATGATTATGGCATGGAACAAAAACGTTGATTTGCCTTTGCAATGTGGAGTCTTTCCACCGTTTTTGTATCAAAGAGGGACGCACAATCAATGGATCGTTAACGAGGCTATGTCATGTCAAAGAAGGTTTGTTTTTGACGCCACTTCCACCATCTCAAGCTTTTTCCTAAGGAGTCATGATTATGTCTCACAACTCAAATCAAGAAACTGGGAATATCTTGGAAACGCCCATCTCGGGAAGCTTTACGGTTCACTGTTCTTCAGTGACAACAAATCTCCTTCTCTTCCAAAGCTATTGAAGTGCAACAAGCGGTTTATGTTCGTCACCGCTTCAGATCTTTCGGTACCTGAAAGCTACAATGTAGGCTTTAGGAGGCGAGAGAAGATCTCAGCTTGTATCAGCAGGAGTAAATCTCGAAGCTTGAAGCTAGAGTCTGTGCAGAAAGATCAGACACTGCCACTATTAAAGTTTCCTTTTCACTTGGAGTCTCTTCTTCCATTAGTTGCAGACAAGAACAGAACCGTCATTCTTTCAATCGCTGGGTTTAGCTATAAGGACATGCTGATGAGTTGGGTCTGCAAATTACGCCGCCTCGAAGTTCCAAATTTCTTAGTCTGTGCACTTGATGACGAAACTTACCAGTTTTCTATATTACAGGTAAAAAAAGAAAGTCTATTGCTTCACCATGTGATTCAATTAGAGAGTTTATAATCAGTTGGTCTTGTGTTCTTTAGGGTTTGCCAGTTTTCTTTGATCCATACGCACCGAAGAACATTAGCTTCAATGACTGCCACTTTGGATCAAAGTGTTTCCAGAGAGTGACCAAAGTTAAGTCAAGAACAGTCTTGAAGATATTGAAGCTAGGCTATAACGTTCTCTTGAGCGATGTTGATGTGTATTGGTTTAAAAACCCATTGCCTATGCTTCATTCGTTTGGTCCTTCTGTTCTTGCAGCACAATCCGATGAATACAACACAACAGGTGATACACATTAATTAGAGACCAGCCTTGTTCTAAAATGGGTCTAATATACTAATGAATTGAGTTGTGTTTGGTTTTTGCAGTACCGATAAACCGACCAAGGCGCTTAAACTCAGGGTTCTACTTTGCACGTTCTGATAACTCGACGATAGCAGCAATGGAGAAAGTGGTGAAGCATGCTGCTACTTCCGGTTTATCGGAGCAGCCTAGCTTCTACGACACGTTATGTGGAGAAGGCGGGATTCATCGGTTGGGAGACGATAGATGTGTTGAGCCAGAGACGAATCTGACTGTTTGTTTCTTGGACAGAAACTTGTTCCCAAACGGAGCTTATGGAGATTTGTGGTTGAAGGAAGATGTGAGAGCAGAGTGTGAGAAGAAGCATTGCTATGTTCTACACAATAACTGGATCAGTGGGAGATTGAAGAAACTCCAACGGCAGATGATGAAAGGTCTTTGGGATTATGAAGCATCCATGAGGATGTGTGTATAGTGTTAGATGCGACATTTCAAAAAGGCTCTTTAGCTTTGGATATGGTTGGTTATACAAAAATGTGTTTGTTTGATAAAATAGTTTCTTAGGCATATGAAAATGTAAAGTGTAAACTGCAAACTAGTGTTGATGAAAGAATATAGTTGATTTCTTTCATAACTTCTTCAATTTTCATTGACTAAAAAAGAAATCAATAATAAATGATGATCCCCAATCTCAATCATCTTCCACATGTTCACATGCAGAGTATAAGATCACTAGGAACCATATCAAGTCGTTGTTGGCGGTAAGTAAATGTTTATCTTCTTTGTTGGGGATGATACTTGATTGACAAGTTAACTTAACAAATATTTGCAACTGCAGGAGCTTTTCCTTGGAGCAACTGACACCTCCTCAACAGCAACACAGTGGACAATGGCAGAGATCATCAACAACCGTAAGGTTCTTGAGAGACTGAGAGAAGAAATTGATTCCGTGATAGGGAAGACAAGGTTGATTCAAGAAACAGATCTACCAAACCTCCCTTACTTGCAAGCAATAGTCAAAGAAGGGCTAAGACTACACCCGCCTACACCTCTCATAGTAAGGGAGTTAGATGAAGGGTGTGATATTGGAGGGTTCTATGCACCAAAGAACACCACACTTGTTGTTAATGCTTACGCTATGATGAGAGATTCTGGTTCTTGGGAAGATCCTGACGAGTTTAAGCCGGAGAGGTTTCTTGCTTCTTTAACAAGGGAAGATGAGGAGATAAAGGAGAAAACCCTTAACTACCTTCCGTTCGGGAGTGGAAGGAGAGGATGCACAGGAGAAAATCTTGGTTCTATCTTTGTAGGAACTGCGATAGGAGTGATGGTTCAGTGCTTTGATTGGGAAGTGAATGGAGACAAGGTTAACATGGAAGAGGCTGCTGGAAGATTCTTCTTGACCATGGCTCATCCACTTATATGCACTCCTCTTCCTCGGACCCTAAACCCTTCACCTTCCAATCTGGAGCGTCTCAGTTCTTGATTTCCTGATTTCACTCAATCTGAAGACGTAAAAGGGTCCTAAAGATCGTCTTACCCTAAACGAGAACGTGTGAGTTATTAGAGCAACTAGGTTATCCAAGACATTTTTTCCATTCAGTTTTATTTATATTTGTTAATTTAAAATATGATGACTTTATGATAAGTTTTGGTCATATTTAGAGTTAATCCAACCACTCACGCTAAAGATATGATTAATTCGTTTTCTAATTTTATTTTATTAAGATGTCAATTCCACACTTTATCTCGAATTTTATCTTTCTAAAATTTCGAATGCTTTAGAATATATATATATATATTTATAAAATAAGAAAATATAAATAATGAAATATGGTGAAGAATATATATATATATATATTTTTTCTAATTTTATTTTTAACATGGTAAAGAATCGCATTTGCACATGAAATATGGTATAAAATAATGTGTATAACTTTTGATATATCTGCTTTGTTGTGTTACCATTGATGATCATTAGTTATTTTTTCATTATGCTAATTTTATAAATATAAATTGTATTTTTGCAAAAAACATATCACAATCCTTAAATTTTTCATGTTTTTCTTTCCAATAAAATCTACATATAATAACTCGAATTCAATTTGTTTTTTTTAAATACTCTAACTCTAATTTCTCATTAGCTTTATACTATTTTAAATAAATTATATTCTATATGTTATATAATTTGTAAAAGCATAATAACACTTTTAAGTAGGATAATTATTTTATACAACTTTTTATTTATTCAAAAAGCTAACAACTTTTATTTAACTTTTTATATATATATATATATATACTATTTCGGTTTAAATATTTCTTTAGTCCATCTTTATTTTATATTCTAACTTTCTTTAACTTTTAATGTCAAATTATCACATACTTTATATTAATTAATTATTTTGTATGTTTATTTTCTTGTTTTATTTATGTTTAAGATAGTAATATATGTAAAAAAATGAACATGTATTTCATAAATAGTTTAACTACAATTTAATTTTTTTTAAATAATTATTGTAGGTTTCATTATGTATTGACGTGGATAGCCTAAATGGAGAGAGCACTTCTTAATTATATATTAGATATATTTCGACTGTTTTGAGCTTGTTGTGTTTCACTTAAGAGTTTTTCTTATAAGTTATCTTAAAGATTTTTTCTAGTAGCTTTGTAAGGAAACTCTTCCGTCGATTATGATTTAATACTGCAACTAGAACTCTTTGCATTTTCATCGACTAGGCTTTTCCCTTTTTAAGCTATACTTAGAAATGTGCAATGAAAGACGTCATTAATACGAACTCAACCTGTGGAAAGACTGCACATGAGGTTCTATAATGGGGGTGTTTGAAAAATAATTTCAACTGTTGAATCATTACAGCGAGTATGTTGAATTATGGTGTTAAACTGATGGTTAATTTGGTATTGTAAAATTTCAACTAGTTGAAGAATGAGAAATGTGGGGACACGGTATCACATGGACCAATAAGAAGAAGAGAGAATGTTATTTTATTTTATTTTGTTTCTTTTTTCATTCATCCCTAAATATTATTTCGCTTTTATAAAGATTTTATACCAAAATTCATTATTCTTTTTTCTTTATAAATATAATTTATTTTTATCAAATTTGAACACATAAAAAAATATATCATTTTCTTTATAATAATAAAGATAAATTATTTTAATGGATGGGTAGGATGTTGAATTTTAGTAAACAAAACCATTGTAAAGTTATAAGTTTGAAAAAATGTTAGAATGATTATGTGGAAGAAAGAGAAGATGATGTTAAATGTTAAAAAATGAAAAGAGGGTGTTGAAAAAAAAAGCCATTGTACATAGTCTTAGAAATTAAAAGTAAATATTTTTTTGAGGAAAATACAAAAAAAAAAAGAACTGACCAATTGTATGATGACACATAAAGAATTCACTTTCAGAAACGTCTTCACATCTCTCAAGAGAAGGATTTGGCTTTAAGCTTGCCATATAGATATTTCTTTTCCTTTCTTCTTTAATTTTTGGTTGTAGATACCCCAAAAAACTCTCCATTCTACATTAACTACTTGATCTAGTAGCAGTAATTAATGACGATCTCCTCAACTGATCACTAAATGTAAGCCATGCTCCCTAAGTTTGTGGGATTTTTTAGTCTCCTTTTCTATTCTTGATCAAACTTTACGTACAAACTCATTAAGATCTTAATTTGATTAAGACCACGTGTATATAGTTTTTTTGTTGATTTAATAAATTCTACATTTTAAGAAAAAAAAAAAACAAGTTAAAGATAATAACATAACTACAAAAAACTAAGGCTGTGAATGAATACTCATGTAAGAGTAAATAAGTAGGTGAAAAATATTTTTTACTACGAATTACTCTATAGTTACACTAATCAAGTGGTAAAGGGAAAGAAAACATTTCCACCCAATATCCCTACCCTAGTTTCAGTGTTATCTATTGTTCCATAGAATATACTCCATCTGTCCCATATTATAAGCTGTTTTGGAAAAAAAATTTGTCCCAAATTATAAGCTATTTTCTAAAACCAATGCACTTTTTACTTTACTGAATATTGTGTGTCCAATTATATTTTGTAGTCTTTTTTCATGGTTAAGTTATATTTTATTTATATATTAAGTAATACTTTATTTTTAAAAACTAAATTTCTTGTTTTGTGTATTTAATCTTAAACAGATTATATAGTGGGACAGAGGGAGTATTAATTTTCTTTTGTTTTTCACTCATTTACTATAATTATCACTTTTTTTTCCTTTTCATTTACTTTTTTTTTTATCAATTACTCTAAATTACTCCAATATTTACCATTTACACCCTCTGATCATTTAACGTTTTAAACCATGTTACATCATATGTCTCATTATATAAGTAGTTTTGGGTATATGCACATATATTAAAAAAACTTACTTTAAAAAAACAAATATCATTTAATAATTTAATTTGACTAATCATAAAAATAATTACATAATGTAATTGTTTACACAATATTCATTAAATAAAAAGTGTATAAAAATGTAAAACAGTTTATATTTTGAAACCAAAAAAATCTTCTTAAAACTGCTTATATAATGAGACATAGGAAGTAATATAGTACTCCCTCAATTTATTATTATTTAATGTTTTAGACTATTAAATGTACTTTTGATTAATTAATGCAATAAAAATGTAAACTCCAAGATAATTCTATGGTTTTTATTGGCTAGTAATTATTTAAAATTAAAAATAATATATTCATAATTAAACTTTAATTGTTTCTTAATCCCTGTGTAGATTACAAAACATCAAATAATAAGAAACCAAGAGATATAAAAAAACTCTTCTTAAATTTATTAATGATAACAAATCTAATAAATGCGATCTACTGTACATCATTGACTATGTTTTTAATCATTAAGGGATTTTAAGTGGGCTTATTCAAAGTAATCGAATTCATACAAAAAAACAAATTATACCACACATCACGCAGCTGGCAGCTTTATATAATTTATATAAGTGTGTCTATTTTTTTATATAAATTGCATGCATTGGAAAGGTAAATTCTATTCAATGCATATCTAAATTTGTTGGTCAACATGATACGTAATAGTCTAATAGATACAAGAAAATAGACAACTAACCAAGTGGTTCAAATCTAGTGATTTCTACTTAAAAATTAAGTTATCATATTGATCTAGGTCAATGATTCACTCTTTTCAAATGTAGAGATTATTTAAACATGGTTTAAATGAAATCATGTTTTAAATTTATTTTTTTGTAACTAGATATTCATTTAAAATTTTGATGAGTAAACTACTCATTATTATATGGAAATTTCAAAACTACATATTTTTAGGTATATATTTTCAAAACTACACTTCTAGGGTGTATTTCTAAAACTACATTTTTTCAATAAGTAAAACAACTGTAAATCACAAATCTAAATTCTAAACCTTAAAATCTAACTTTAAACCCTTAAAACTAAATTCTAAACCCCAAAATCTAAACTCTACTTAGGGATTAGTTAATCCAAATTAGTTAACGGAGGGAGTATTAAATTTGTAAAAATTATAATTTTGAAAATTAACACATATGTTGTTTTAAAAATTGACACTACAAAAAGTATATTTCTTAAAAATTCTCTTAATTCTGGAAAAATTAATGAAATGTAAAAGTCTTAATCACCTCTTAGTAAATAAATAATATAGTATTCTTCTGTAATACCAATGGATTATCAAAACCATTGTGGTATACGTACATAAATCGCGGATGTATAAATTTAGGTATAATATAGTTAAATAGACAAATTAGAGAAAAAAAAAGTAAATGCAGTTTTATTATATATAGCGTGAACCAGAAGAAATGCTATATCTTTTTTTATAACAAAATTGGTTGTGACGTTAGAAATTTAATTTTTTTTTTGATAGAGTGGCGTAAAAAATTACTCCCTCTGTTTTAAAATAGTTATCATTTTGGCAAATCTGCAAATATCTAGATACATCTAGATGTGTTTTGCATTACAAATATATTCAAATAATTGCAGATATATTTTGTTAAAATGATAACTAATTTGAAATGGAGAAAATATTAGCAAAGACTGTTCTAAACTCCTATGATTTATTTTTCCTAAAATAATGAAATATTCGAAAATCGCAATAAAGAATATACTTCTGTATTTTTTTTCCTAATAAGATCTTGCATTGGGGTTCACGCCTTAGATCTTGCATCGTGTACAGATTTTCCAATGGGAATGCACATGTAGTTACATTAAATATGAAAAGAAAGAAACTTCACGAAGTAAATCTTATGTCGTTTTTCATGTTCAACTTATGTGAATAGTCGCTTGTTCATATTGTCTCTGTTTCTTTAAAATAAATTTTCTAAATTTTTTTAATATATTAAAAAAGGTAAAAGCTTAATAATTTTTCTAAACTAAACAATTCTAAATCAATAGTAATGCAAAAAAAGACATTAGAATATATTTTGTTTACTTTAATCAAGAAAACGTATATAGAAAACCTATAAAAAATATTTTTAAAAAATAATAAAAAATAGCTAAAATTAAAAACGGAAGAAGTATTATGACACGGGAAGACCGGTAGAATAAGCGCCGGCCTAAATTCACGAGGAGACATGTAACGATCTGAAACGTAAATACAGTAGTATTAATTAAATCAAGTCGTCTACTTTTTTTTCTGTGGATATATATATATTATTATCGGACAGATTAGTATTATCTTCAAGTGTGCATGTGCTATTATTGTGTTTTGCAGAAATCCTTTAACAAAAAAAGAAATGCATGTGCTATGCATGGGTAATATTATATATTATTATATATATACTAGGGATTAAATTTTCGCGGGGTTGTTTGCGATAATTTGTCTGTTTGATTTTATTTATATTTATTGATTTGGAATTTTGAATTATGATAATTATATGTTAACTTCCATGTTTTGGTTATATTTTGAGTTAACCCAACAATTAACACTAACATTATTCATCTCGAGTGTTCTATTTCTAAAATTTAAAATGCATTTGACTCAACGTTAAAATTTGTAAAACATAATGTAAAATCGCAATTGCACTCAAAATATGATGAAAAACAAAAAGATGTATAACTTCTTAAGCATATGACAATTGATTATTTTCTATTATATATTTGCAAATATAAATTGTATTTTTGAAACAAACATGTCACAATTCTTAAAATTTTCATGTAAATTTAAATAATAACTCAACTTCTATTTATTAATAAAATAAACTCTAACTCTAATTTTTTATTAACTTTTTACTATGTTAAATAATTTATACTCTATCTTTTTTTACTTGTAAGCACATTATAACATTTTTAAAGAAGATAAATTCTGGGAATATCAGGTTTTTTAAATATTTTTGAAATTAAAAATACTCCCTTTGTTTCAATATATAGGGGGTTTAAGGTTTTGGCACACAGATTAAGAACCCATTTAATTTTTGTACTTTTTGAAATAAAATATATTTTCATCAATTCCAAAACATTTCAACCAATGAAAAAGAAATCTACAGATATAAATAATTAAAAGTAATAAAAACACATTTACTTTTGCACAACCCCTTATATTTTGAAACAAAAACAAAACTCTAAAACCCCTTATATATTGAAACAGAGGGAGTATTAAACATTTGCTGATCCATTATAAAATTTTCTTTTTTAATATTATTTTATTAATTTTCTCTTTATATTATTATTGCTTTCCGTTCCTTTACATCATGTCTCGTCATTTAATATAAAAAGAAGTAGGCAAAATTCCCCTCTTCTTGCATTCTGTTTTTTCTCGTCTCGTTATACCGTTCTCGTGTCATTTTGTCTCATAATACTTAAAACAATGTTTTTTCTATAATATCTTGAGAACTACTAAATTATAGTTTTTATATGATTTATATAAAATCTCTCTTTTTTAAAATGATTTTTCATTGCTAAACTTATTTAATAAATGATAATTATTATAATTTAGATGGCTGGAATTAATGGGCTTCTTCATATGCCAACCATTATTAATGAGTTTCGTTTTTGTTCAATTAATGGGTTTCGTTTTTGTTTAATTTTAAAATGAAGAGGAGGTGGCTGACGTGGCCAATTCATGAATTTAGAAACACCCAGTTTGGATGAGGTGGCAACACCAGAAAAGAATCACCCCAACTTTTTAAAATGAAGAGGAGGTGGCTGACGTGGCCGATCCGTGAATTTAGAAACACCCACTTTTGCTGACGTGACAACATCAGAATAAAATCATCTCAACTTTATATATATAGATATAAGAGCATAGGTAAGAAGTGATGATGTCTCAATTGGTGAGCTTGTAAAGACAATATTGAGTCTATAATAAATGTGGAGGCTTAGGATCGGAGCAGCGGCTAGAGATGAGCCTCACTTGTTCAGCACCAATGACAACGTGGGGAGACAGATTTGGGAGTTTGAGACAGAAGCAGGCTCTCCCGAGGAACTCGCTGAGGTCGATCAGGCTCGCAATAACTTCTCCCTCAACCGGTCACGTTATAAAACCAGTGCCGATCTCCTTTGGCGCATGCAGGTGAGTGAGGTGATCAAACTTTCCCAATTAGTATTACTACCAATTAATCAATACTTTGACTTAATTTGAATTGAAAAAAAAGTTTCTGAGGGAGAAGAAGTTTGAGCAGAAGATCCCACGAGTGAGAATAGACGATGCAGATAAAATAACCTATGAAGACGCCAAGGCGGCGACGAGAAGAGGAATATTATATCTTGCGGCGTTGCAGGCTAATGATGGACACTGGCCGGCTGAGAACTCTGGCACCATGTTCTTGAACGGTCCCTTTGTAAGCTTCCCTCTGCCCCCGAACACTTAATATTTTATTCTTGATAGAAATGGTCAAATTCACACGTGATCTGATCTTGTAGCAATGTTTCTTGGCAAAAAGAGAATACTTAATTACTCTATTGATTTATATTTTATTTTTCTGAACTGGCTAGGAACTGAATATATACAGTATCTTTTATAATTGGACTTGTTTTCTGATGATTGATGTATCTTACTCAATGAAAAAAAAAAAAAAAAAACAATCACAGTTCATATGCTTATACATAACTGGACACCTGGAGAAAATGTTCTCCGTGGAGCATCGCAAAGAGTTCATGCGTTACATGTACAACCATCAGGTACTTAATTAATTAAGCGCATGCAACACATATATATGTTTGAATAAGTAGGAAGATATATAATGAAAGTTTTGTAGAACGAAGATGGTGGGTGGGGAATACACATAGAAAGCCACAGTTGTATGCTTAGCACGGTCATCAACTACATCTGCCTACGGATACTAGGAGTGGAACCATATCAAGGGAGTGCTTGTGCAAGAGCTCTTAAATGGATCATTGACCATGGTGGTGCTACCTATACTCCCTTGTTCGGAAAAGCTTGGCTTTCGGTATCCAGTACCCTCTTGTTATACTTAACGAATCAAACTAAGAAAAGATAATCATCATCGTCAAGATTTGCCCTGAATATTTGTCAATTCAACAGGTTCTTGGAGTGTATGATTGGTCTGGCTGCAAATCTATTCCACCCGAGTTCTGGATGCTCCCTTCTTTTTCTCCTATTAATGGAGGTTGGATTTTGTGACTACTTTTTTGCTTTCTTTCTTATGATGAGCTTGATGGCAATTTTGTTTGATTTTTATCATATTATTTGTGAAGGTACCGTGTGGATTTATTTCCGGGAGAGTTTCATGGCATTGTCATACTTGTATGGTAAAAAATTTGTAGCTGTCCCTACACCTCTTATTCTACAGCTACGCAAAGAGCTTTATCGTCAGCCTTATTCCCAAATCGTTTGGAGCCAAGCCCAAAATCTATGCGCAAAGGTTATTTTTTGGATAAATCTTGATATTATATTAAAAACTTTTGCATTGTAAATGTAAAAAAAAAACGATAAGGAAATAAAAAAAAACTAAACTATAAAACATGTCTTACAAACTAAACTAAATGGAGGGAGTATTACAAATTATTAATTACATGTCTTTGTGCACAAAAAAAACATTTTAATTGCTTTAATTATTGGGATCTTAAGTGTTAGAACTTAAGATAAAGAACTAAAAAATGTAAGAGGGTTAAAACTTTTTTTTAAAAGAGAGAATGGAGAAGAAAAATAAAAAGGAGGTAATTAATTACCTTCCAGTATGATGCCAGTTAATTTTTGCATAGTTTTAGATTGTAACCAGTGGAAATATTAATAGAAATAAATGCAGGAAGACACATACTGTCAGAAATCATATATACAAGATTTGTTTTGGAAAAGTGTTCATATGTTCTCGGAGAACATCCTAAACCGTTGGCCTTTCAAGAATCTCATAAGGGAAAGAGCTCTTCAAACCACAATGAAACTCATTCACTACCATAACGAATCCACCCGATACATCACCACAGGAAGTGTGTCAAAGGTTGCATTCTAAAACAATTTTGTTCCTCCGCAATATCTTACATTTATGTAAACGGAAAGAAACAAGAAATAACCGATCAGTTTCAAATTTCGTGTTTGTACTTGATAGGTGTTTTGTATGCTTGCATGTTGGGTAGAGGATCCAGAGGGTGAACATTTTAAGAAACATCTTGCTCGAGTCCAAGATTTTGTATGGATTGGTGATGATGGTCTGAAGTTCCAGGTTAGTTCTTTGAGTTTAAACATGTACATGTAGTTATGTATTTTGGCATATCATAGTTACTTAAGATTATAGGTCGATGCTTCTTAATCTGTGCAGGTTTGTGGTAGTCAAACATGGGACACAGCCTTCTCACTCCAAGTCCTTTTAGCTGATGTTGATGTTAACGTTGATGATGAGATTAGATCAACGCTGACAAAAGGATTCGACTTTCTGAAGAAATCTCAGGTAACAGAAAACCCACCTGGTGAGCATCTCAAAATGTTTAGAGACATTACAAAAGGTGGATGGAATTTTTCTGAAAAAGATCAAGGATTGCCAGATTCAGATTGTATAGCTGAGAGTTTAGAGGTGGATTCTCTTCATCATTTACTGACCCTTAAATAGTACTATTTGATACATTGAGGCTAATTCATTATTAACCGCATCTACTTAATTATATGCATGCATGTGCAGTGCTGCTTAATGTTTGAAACCATGCCTTCAGAGTTCATTGGTGAGAAAATGGATGTAAAGAGACTCTATGATGCTGTCAATTTGATGCTCCATTATCAGGTTATTAATCATACACATATATATATATAAACTAATTTGATTAATATATAATCCTATCAATCAATATGAAACACACTCTATCAAATCTAAAAGTTTGTTTTTATATATTAATAGAGCAAGAATGGAGGTTTAACAGCGTGGGAGCCAGCTCCTGGGAAAACTTGGCTAGAGGTATCTTTTATATATAAATAAACAAATAATGTTTTTCAAGATTATATTTTGGCTGATTTGAGTGTAACAAAATGCCTAAAACCAATCAAATGCAGTGGTTTAGTCCGGTGGAATTTATGGAAGATGCAGTCGTGGAGCATGAGTAATTAACATACATATATATCGACAGACATTATCATTTATAAACACAATCTCTTTTTTTTTTTTTTTTTTTTTTTTTTTTTTCCGGTAAATGCGTTAATTAGGTTATAACCGGTCTTTAGGTCTGTGGAATGCACCGGGTCGGGGATAGCAGCGATAGCTCGGTTCATGAGACAGTTTCCGGAGCACAGGAGAGAAGAGATGGAAGAGTTTATAAAGAATGGAGTTAACTACTTGGAGGATAATCAAATGCCGGATGGTTCGTGGTATGGAAGCTGGGGAGTGTGCTTCATTTACGGAACCTTCTTTGCGGTAAGAGGTCTAGTGGCTGCAGGCAAGACTTACAACGATAGTGAAGCTATCCGTGGAGCTGTTAGGTTCCTTCTCGAGACGCAAAACGAGGAAGGAGGTTGGGGGGAGAGTTATAACTCTTGTTTTGTAAGGAAATATATCCCACTTGGTGGAAACAACAATACAAATGTCGTGAATACAGGCCAAGCGCTTATGAGTCTGATGTTGAGTGGTCAAATGGAGAGAGATTCGCGACCGGTTCATCGTGCTGCCAAAATCTTGATCAATCTACAGTTAGATGATGGAGATTTCCCACAAGAGGTAATTTTTGTTGGTGTTATAGATTTTTGATTTCATCCTACACTAGACTTACTATTTACTTACAATTTTTGTGTGTGAATGTGCAGGAAATGAGTGGCGTGTTTAATGTGAATTTGAAGCTCAACTATCCTACTTATAGGAACATCTTCACTCTTTGGGCACTCACATATTACACTCGGGCTCTACGTCTTCTCCGCTGAGCACTCCTTTTTTCTTTGTGCAAACTTCTTCTTCTTTCTTCGTTTCTTTGTTCACAAGCAAACAACTTCTTCATATGTATGTCTAGTTTTTAGATACTGGATTCAACATTTATATTTTCTAGGTCTAATTTAAAAAACGTGTATTATTTTCTCAAGTTTTTTTAATATAAGAATTAGGAGATGACTTCTTTTACTTCACTACTTTGCTAATAAGGTCCTATGTAATTATACATAAATACATATATATATATACATGTTAATTATATTTTCTGTAGGAGGTCATGAACGATCCACATTTCACAGCCAATGGATTATGGATACCCGTACGAAGCAGAAGTTATTAGGAAATGGTTTAGCACACGGATTAACGATCCACTTCTCAAGCTTCCTCATCAGAACCTTGTCCCAAACCGTACTCTCCCGTCTGCGATTCAGGAGTTTGTTTGATTGTATTCTTCCTGCTTAGTCTTTCATGTTGGGCCCTAGTAGTTTCCTTCTTTATGACAGTATATTTCGTATCTCTAGTTGTAGTTTCTGTAATTACATTAACCTAGAAGCTTTAATAACCCTCTGTTTTTTTTTTTTTCTCTCTCTCAGCCGCCATCCTCTCCCTTCTCTATTCCCTCTCTTCTCTTCATAAGTCTCTTCTCTTCATTTGTTTCTCCAACAATGGCCGCCACCAACGATACCGTTGATATCTCTCAACAAACCATTCACAATATCAACATGTCTAACATCATCAAACTCAACTCCACCAACTACTTAATGTGGAGCCTTCAAGTCCACTCACTCCTTGAAGGCTATGATCTCGCTGGCCATCTAGATGGATCTACAGCAGTCACCTCGGTCAATCCTGCATACACCAAGTGGAAACGCCAGGATCGACTCATTTACAGTGGTCTTCTCGGAACCATCTCTCTGACCATCATCCAACCGATCCTCTCCACCTCACGGACCTCTTTTGAGATCTGGTCTACGCTCGCCTCTACGTATGCCAAACCTAGCAGAGTACATATCAAACAAGTCAAACATCAACTCAAGATTTGCTCCAAAGGAACCAAGTCCATTGATGAGTACAAGTTGGTGGTCGATCAGATCGAAGGCCGTGATACACCTCCCTCTCTCACCGAAGTACATGAGAATCCAGTCTCATCTCTGCCAACTCTTCTGAGGATAGAAGCTCCAATCACTACAAATCTGGCCAACACCTGTCCTCGTCAGTTTCAGAACAAGCACACCGCTCGCTTAAACCAGTCGTGGAACTCAAACCCCACACATCATCCACACACTGAGATGAGTCAAGACAATCGCATGACAAGAGGAGGATACCAAGTCAAGTGTCAACTCTGCGGTGTGCAAGGCCACAGTGCCAAGACGTGCCCGCAACTTCCAAATCAGGTGCAACAGCCACAAGAAGGAAACTTCTTTATGACAGAATAATTTATTTTGGATCTCTAGACTTGGTAGTTTCTGTAATTACATTAACCTAGAAGCTTCTCCTATGTACAAGTATATAAAGCATTGTAATGTCTCTGTTTGATCAATAAGACTCATATTCTACAATTTGTACTTGCTAAGGAACGGGAGAGGATCCAGGACGTAAAGCTTCAACTGGAATATACGCGTTGGAAGGCTGAGAAGCTGGAGAGCAAGTACAATGTCGAGCTGAGTCTCAGGAAACAATCAGAAGCTGCATTGGATGAAAAAAGGATTGAGTTGGAGGTGACCAAGCAAGAGCTTGAGACAGTGAAAGGGCTACTCGAATCTTCCAACGAAGAAACAAATGCGATGAGAGAAGAGAGGGATTTAGCACTCGTATTAGTAGAAGAGATCACAACAAAGCAAACGGAAGAGCGTCAACATCCAAGATCGTTTATTTGCCCTATCTCACAGGCAAGACCATTTTAATATCATTACAAGAAAGATTACTTGCACAACAATCAATCTCGTAAATTTTAATATGTTTGTTTATATTTATTCGCAGGAGGTCATGACAGATCCACACCTCACAGCCGATGGACATACCTACGAAGGAGAAGATATTAAGAAATGGTTTAGCACTGGCCACGATACCTCACCCCTGACAAATCTCAAGCTTCCTCATTTCAATCTTGTCCCAAACCGTTCTCTCCGGTCTGCGATTCAAGACTTGAATTTGTGATCCAGATTTTTGCCACTCTTGAATAGTTGAATTTGTGAGCCAGTTTACTGTAAGAAAATGTCAAATGTGTTGAGTTATTTTGGAGCCAAATCTTGTCATTTTTTTTTCATGAATCTTTGGATGAAATGGCATCAGACCAAAGAACCCATCAGTTTCTCGTCACCTTAATTCGGTATAGTTGTTAACTAATTAATATTTATTGATTTTCGAGCTTCTGTTTCGTTTGACTCATCTTGGAATCGTTGAAATTTTTAGGAATTATCTCTTTCCATAGATTTCCAGATTCAAACGCCATCCTCATGCCTTGAGGAGGGATGGTACTAACCCCATGAGGCCATGACTGGCTCTTATTACGGCCATTGAGTTCATGTCCACAGAGCAAGCAAGTTTCGTCCGTGTAGGGTTTAGTTAGTTAGTGAGGGACATTGCTTACACCTTGAATCGTTCTGTTTAATTTACTAATTTGATGTTAGTGTGGCAAAATAAACTGTGAGTGTCGTCAGTCAACTTTGGAGGCTCCTTCCCACCGCTATTTCACGGTCTTCCAGGAAGACTAAGAAAAAAACAATTTATATTAGGTAATAAAACAAAGCATGATCGGTCATATAATAAGCGAGTGTTTCATCTGCCTTTTATTTTTCACTTTGAGCAACAATGGCAGCAATGTTCACCATTGAGTTGCAAAACTGTTTCATCTTTATCCTCTTATGCCTCTTCTCAGTCACCATTTACTATCTCTTCTTGGTCAGGAAAACAAAAGCCGGCCGCTGTGATCGGCCTCCGAGCCCTCCCTCTCTGCCTATTATAGGCCACCTTCACCTTCTCCTCTCTCTTCTACTCCACAAATCTTTACAGAAACTCTCCTTCAAGTATGGACCTCTCCTTCATCTCCGCGTCTTCAGTGTCCCCATAGTACTCGTCTCCTCTGCCTCCATAGCCTATGAGATCTTTAAGACGCAGGACCAAAACGTTTCCAATCGCAACCTCCCTGCGAACAAGGGCTCTCTCTTCCTCGGATCTTCTGGCTTCGTTAACACACCTTACGGAGATTACTGGAAGTTCGCCAAGAAGCTTGTGGTCACCAAGATCCTCGGACCTCAGGCGCTCCATAGGTCACGAGGCGTCCGTGCAGATGAGATAAAGCGGTTTTACGCAAACTTGCTTAATAAGGCGATGAAGAAAGAGAGCGTTGATGTTCGTGAGGAAGCTATGAAGCTGGTTAACAACATCATCTGCAAGATGCTCATGGGGAGGAGTTGCTCAGAGGAGAACGGTGAAGCAGAAAAAGTCAGACGCTTAGTGAACGAGTCAAACTCCTTGTTGATGAAATTTATCTTGGCGGGGATCTTGCACAAGCCGCTTAAGAAACTCGGCATTTCGCTGTTCAAGAAAGAGCTAACGGATATCTCCAATAGGTTCGACGAACTGCTGGAGACGATTCTTGTGGAGCACGAAGAGAAACTGAGCGAGGAGCACCAGCAAGATGCTAACCTGGTGGATGTGATGTTAGAAACTTATAGAGACAAGAACGCAAAGTATAACATCACTAGGAACCATATCAAGTCCTTAGTCTTGGTAAATTTTTATTTTCTTTTCTTGCAATGCCAAGAAAGTCCTTTCTTTTGGTAGTCCTGACTTAAGAAGGTTTTGCTACTACAAGATCTTTTTGTCGGAGGCACTGACCCCCCAACGCACGCCATAGAGTGGACAATGGCTGAGATCATTAACAGTCCTAACGTTCTTGATAAACTGAGAGAAGAAATTGATTCCGTGGTAGGGAAGACAAGATTGATTCAAGAAACGGATTTACCAAACCTTCTTTACTTGCAAGCAGTCGTCAAAGAAGGGCTAAGGTTGCATCCAGAGGCGCCTGTCACGTTAAGGGCGTTCCAAGAATGGTGTGAGATCAAAGGGTTCTACATACAGGAGAAGACAACACTTGTTGTTAATATGTATGTTATAATGAGAGATCCTGAGTTGTGGGAAGATCCAGAGGAATTCAAGCCAAAGAGGTTTCTAAAATCTTCAAAATCAGGACAAGAGGAGGAGATAGTAAGAGAAGAACACCTCAAATACATTCCTTTTGGCAGCGGGAGGAGAGGCTGTCCTGGATCAAATCTAGGTTATGTCTCACTAGGAAGAGCGATTGGAGTGATGGTGCAGTGCTTTGACTGGAGAATCCAAGGAGTCAAAGTTAACATGAATGAGAGTACTAGATCATTTATTTTGAGCATGGCACATCCTCTCAAGTGCACCCTTGTTCCTCGAATTGGGACACCTTTGATTCTATAAGTGAGGAAGCTTCGGTTTTGGATTTGTTTTCTTCTTTTTCTGTTCTTTTCCAGTTATTGTAAGAAACAGAAATGTGTATGTGTTCTGTTTTTTTTGTTTTGTTTTATCCATTCTGTTTTGTTTTGTTTTGTTTGATCCTCTCTTCGTTTCTTTTAACTGTGTTTAAATGGCATCAGAGCAAAGTAAACACCATAATGTTTTTTTTTTTTTTTTTTTTTTGGTAAAAAACACCATACACCATAATTTTCTTTGTTTATAGTTGTTGATTAATTCACTTATTTCAGTCTTCTCTTCCCTTTCTCTGTCTTTTGCTCATCTTGGATTATAGATTTCAAGTGATGAAAGAGGAAAATGGTGATTTCGTACGTACCAAATGTTTTTTTTTTGGTACAAATGATGTTAGTCTAATGGTTAATATCATGTGGTTCTAACTATATGACCATTGACCGATCCCTAAGTTTTTTTTTTTTTTTTTTTTTTTGGTAAAAACCGATCCCTAAGTTATACTATAAAATAAGGTTTTGGTGTATAGAAGTCTCTCATTAAACTCCTTGTCAGCCTTATAATTCAAATTATTATCAGCCACTCGAAGTAGAAGTTATATGAGGTTGCCACACAAACAACAAACCGTGTCATTGTTTTTATTCCGAATGCTTAAACAAGACATGTGGCTAAATGGTCAAGCACCAAACCGAACAATTTGTTCCCGCCATTTTTCTCATGCATGTTTTTGGCTAAATGGTCAACAGCTGGTTATTCACTGTGTAGTAATTAAATGTACATGTAATTCTTTCATGAAATTTATTTGATATTTTCCAGTTGACGTAGGCATGTTGTTTTGTGCAACCGGTCCCTTGATAGCCACAACGACCACGAAAATTTGCAATATCCTAAAATTCTTGATATTTATAACTGAGCATTTATAGACGTTAGATTCGACATTTAAAAAGGCTCTTTAGCTTTGGATATAGTTATACAAAAATGTGTTTGTTTGTCTGTCGTATGTTTGATGAAATAGTTTTTAGAGTTATATGGATGCCACATAAACAGTTAAACCGTGTCTTTGTATATCGATGCCACATAAACATTCATGCACTCTTTATTATACAGTAAGTGAGTGTTTCATCTTTATCCTCTTGTGCCTCCTCTTCTCAGTCATCTTTTTCACTTTGAGCAGCAATGTTCACTGTTGACTTTGTAAACTGCTTCATCTTCTTCCTCTTGTGCCTCTTCTCAGTCATCTTCTACTATCTCTTCTTGGTCAAGAAAACAAAGGTCGGCTATGATCTACCTCCGAGCCCTCCATCTCTGCCAATCATCGGCCACCTTCACCTTCTCCTCTCTCTTCTACTCCACAAATCTTTACAGAAACTCTCCTTCAAGTATGGACCTCTCCTCCATCTCCGCGTCTTCAGTATCCCCATAGTCCTCGTCTCCTCTGCCTCCATAGCCTATGAGATATTTAAGACGCAAGACCAAAACGTTTCCACTCGCAACTTCCTTGCAAACAAGGGCTCTCTCTTCTTCGGATCTTCTGGCTTCGTTAACGCCCCTTATGGAGATTACTGGAAGTTCGCCAAGAAGCTCGTCGTCACCAAGATCCTCGGACCTCAGGCACTCCATAGGTCACGAAGTGTCCGTGCAGATGAGATAAAGCGGTTTTACTCAAACTTGCTCGATAAGGCGATGAAGAAGGAGAGCGTTGATGTTCGTGAGGAAGCTATGAAGCTGGTTAACAACATCATCTGCAAGATGCTCATCGGTAGGAGTTGCTCAGAGGAGAACGGTGAGGCAGATAAAGTCAGGAGCTTAGTGACCGAGACAAATTCCTTGTTCATGAAATTTATCTTGGCTGCCACCTTGCGCAAGCCGCTCAAGAAACTTGGCATTTCGTTGTTCAAGAAAGAGTTAACGGATATTTCCAGAAGGTTCGACACACTGCTGGAGACGATTCTTGTGGAATGCGAAGATAAATTGAGCCAGGAGCACCATCAAGATGCTAACCTGGTGGATGTGATATTAAAAGCTTATAGAGACAAGAACGCAGAGTATAACATCACTAGGAACCATATCAAGTCCTTAGTCTTGGTAAAATTTTCTTTTATTTTCTTGTAGTGCCAAGCAAGTCCTTTCTTTTGGTATCCCTGAACGTTTTGCTGCTACTACAGGATCTTCTTGTTGCAGGCACTGACAGCACTATGCATGCCATAGAGTGGACAATGGCTGAGATCATTAACAATCCTAACGTTCTTGATAAACTGAGAGAAGAAATTGATTCCGTAGTAAGGAAGACAAGATTGATTCAAGAAACGGATTTACCAAACCTTCTTTACTTGCAAGCGGTCGTCAAAGAAGGGCTAAGGTTGCATCCAGAGGCGCCTGTCATGTTAAGGGTGTTCCAAGAAAGGTGTGAGATCAAAGGGTTCTACATACAGGAGAAGACAACACTTGTTGTTAATCTGTATGCTATAATGAGAGATCCTGAGTTGTGGGAAGATCCAGAGGAGTTCAAGCCAGAGAGGTTTCTGAAATCTTCAAAATCAGGACAAGAGGAGGAGATAGTAAGAGAAGAACACCTCAAATACATTCCTTTTGGCAGCGGGAGGAGAGGCTGTCCTGGATCAAATCTAGGTTATGTCTCACTAGGAACAGCGATTGGAGTGATGGTGCAGTGCTTTGACTGGAGAATCCAAGGAGACAGGGTTAACATGAATGAGACTACTAGATCATTTATTTTGACTATGGCACATCCTCTGAGGTGCTCTCCTGTTCCTCGAATTGGGACACCTTTGATTCTATAAGTGAGGAAGTTTGGCTTTGGATTTGTTTTCTTCTTTTTCTTTACTTTTCCGGTTATTGTAAAAAACATAAATGTGTGTGTTCTGTTTTGTTTTGTTTTATCCTCTCTTCTTTTCTTTTAACTGTGTTTAAATCGCATTAGAGCAGAGAAAACCATAATTTTCTTCGTTTGTAGTTGTTTATTATTCACATATTCACTGATCATTAGTGTTGGTTATGTTGTGCTTGAGTTATTAGGAAAAGGTTTTCTCTGATTTTGATGCTATGTCTACGTGGCTCTATTAAAGTTTTTTTTTTCTTTTGCTTTTGTGATTGTAAGCGAGTGTCATATGATATAAATTAGTGTTTCTGCATATTTGTTTTGCTAAAGAACAGTAGACTTCTTGAGTTTCTTCTCTTCGAGTAAACGAGGATTGAATCTATAAGAGGACATTACTGTAGATTAGATTCAAACAAGATTTTCATGGTACATGTCCTTCTTTCATTTGATCAGTATAGAGTTTATAATCAGTTGGTCTCGTGTTGTATCATCACAGGGTCTACCAGTTTTCTTTAATCCATACGCACCGAAGAACATTAGCTTCAATGATTGCCACTTTGGATCAAAGTGTTTCCAGAGACATAGAGTGACCAAAGTTCAGACAAGAACAGTTTTGACTTTTGAAGATACTCAAGCTAGGCTATAACGTTCTCTTGAGCGATGTAGATGTATATTGGTTCAAAAACCCATTGCCTATGCTTCATTCGATTTGGTCCTTCTGTTCTTGGAGCACAAACCGATGAATACAACACAACAAGTGATGATAAAATGATCAATTGGAGCAAATTTGTTCTAACTAAAATATTAATGAACTGAGTTTATAACTAAGTTGACGAAAGAATATATATGATTTCTTATACAAGTTTTCTCTACTTATAGGGGGGTTGTTTTTCACTAAATTTAAGTTATTCGAATAATATGTTTTCCCTTTGGTAATCAATGGATATTGTTGGTCTAATGGTTATTATCATGTGGGTCTAAGCAAATGACCAATCCCTTAAATTGTATAAAAGTAAGGTTTTGTGTATATAAAACTCTCTCATTAAACTTGTTGTCAGCCTTAGAATTCAAATTATCATCAGCCACTCGAATTAGAAGTTTATATGAGATTGCCACTTAAACAACAGTCAACAAACTGTGTAGCGTTGTATTTTGATTTCCCCGGAAAAAAAAAAAAAAAAAAAAAAAAAAAAAAAGCAAATGTATTGTTATAGGATATTGCAAATCTTCGTGGTCGTTGTGGCTATTCAAGGGACCGGCTGCACAAGACAACAGGCCTACATCAATTGGAAAATATCAATTACTAATGTTTAATGGAAGATATATAGGAATTAAAATATCTATAAAAAAACAAAAGGGTGTAACTGGTTTTTAAAAATGGAATATAAGGAATTAATGAAATCAATTTGAATGGGATAGAAAAAAATGGAATGGAATAAAATTTGTATCTCATTCATTCATAAACGTTTTTGATGTGGAATGATTTTTCAAATTGATTTGTTTTTTCTTATGTGGAATGAATGGGATGAATGGAATGATTTTCCATTTTCTTTCATGGTAACTGGTACCAATTTTATGGGATTATTTGGAATGCTCCATTCCATGTCATTTCATTCAGAAAAATTGCAATCTAGTTGCACCCAAAATTCTCATATTCTTGTTTCTTAACGGGAAAGATATGAGAAAAATATCTAAAACTTTTAACGTAGCACTGAAAACGACAACATATACATGCAAAGAAGAATCTATTAGTACTATGTCAACCAAACATTGTCAATATTATCACAAAACACAACATACGTTTATAGAAGTATATAGCTTAACCTTCATATTTATGTTGTAACTACGTCTTTGCATTTATAATTTATTTAACTTCCACGTTATTGTGTGTGTTTTCTTCATTTCTCCAAGATAGTCCACATTAATATAAAATGTTATAAATCATAAGATCCAGTAGGATACTAGTAAAAACAAAAACCTACTCTTATTGAGAAGTAATCTAGTCTGTTTTTTTTTTGTCAACATACGGTAAAATCTAGTTGAGAGACAGTCTTTTAACAGTCAATAGTGTGTTTTGAAGTCGACTCATCTTGTAACACGCATGAAGAAAAAGAGAGATTGATTTTTTGATGACTCACTTTTGTCCCATGAAGTTTTCACTTTTTTCTATATCTTTTACATTCAAAGAATATTCTCAAAAAGTTTAAACGTCGGCTGAATTTTTTTTTGTATTTATATTCCAATAAATTACGCGACTCACACACACATAAGCAAATTCTCTAGAATAAACCATATTTTAAAATATCCTATTTCCACACTCCTTTGGAATTTCCTTGAAAACTCCTCTATATATAGCGATCAGATATTACAGTTGCTTGGCTTGAACAAAAGCAAATACACCAACAATCACTTTCCTCCTCCAAACTTTCAAAATAACCGTAAAAGCTATGGCATCGCCGAATCCAACCACCGTCAAATTCCTCTGTAGCTACGGCGGCAGAATAACTCCTCGTTATCCCGACGGCAAGCTCCGTTACCAAGGCGGCCACACACGTGTCCTCTCCGTCTCTCGCTCCATTTCCTTCTCCGGTGAGTTAATTATTCACTGTCATTCTCTTTTCCGTTTGAATTTCTCGCAATCTCTGACGGCGATTTTTAACAGAGCTGGAGAGGAAAATCGGCGAGATCTGCGGGATGAAGGTGAACATCCGGTGTCAGTTACCGACGGATGATCTCGACGCGCTTGTAACAGTATCCTCCGACGAGGATCTAACGAATCTAATGGAGGAGTACGATATGGTTACGACGGCGCCGCTGCTTAAGATCCACGCCTTCCTTACTCCGCCGAAATCGACGACGGCGAAGACCTCGTCTCCTCCGCTTTCAACGGCGTCTTCTTCTACTTCTTCCTCTTCGTCGTCGAAATCATCCTCTCGCTCTCGATCTCCTTCGTCGCCGTCGTCGAAGCCGGAGAATTGTTCCGTCTGTGTAGAGAGATCGATTCGCAACAATGGAGGCGGCTACGTTCACAGAAGTCCGAGTCAAAACCAATTTTACCAAAAATCATCGTCACTGTGGCAAAATAGCAATTATTAGAAGTCGCAATTTCTTGGATTAGTTTCGTGTAATCGAGTTTGGTTAAGCAAATCCGGTTATTAAGTCCGGTTATTTGTGACTAGTTCTTGGTTGAGGTTGTAAATCTCTCTGTTATTATGAAAATAAATAAGAAAAGATTTTATCTGATTTTTTATTCTTTTGCTTTTGTGATTGTGAGCGACTAGTACAACCATTCGTCGTGTGAAGATCCAATGAATCTAAACCACGTGTCTGGTAGAAACAAGATATTATTTCTGACATTTGTTTTGTGGGGTTGGTATAATTACCTTTTTGATTGTACGCTTTTCAGATATTTTCTTGTTGGTAAACCGATATTTATTTGGTTCGGTTGAGTACGGTTTAAGGTACCAATTAAAACCGGTTTAACAATACTCAAAACATTTCTTCCCCTATAAGAAAGAAGCCCTAGTTTCGCCATTTTTTTTTTTAAAAAAGCCTAATTTTTTTCTTTCCGATCATCACAATACGGCGAGGCCGGATTTGAATTCCACCGTGAAAGATGCAGAATGATGAGGTTACGTGGGGTATTCTCAACAAATACTGCAGTTATAAGGCCGAGTAGGTAACTTTTTTTACTCGATTGATTAGGGTAAAGTCTTAAGACTGATTGAGATTCTTTTATCTTGCTATGTTTTGCTTTGTAGAATCGAAACCGGAAAATTCTGCAGAAATCCTGACAATGTAACGGGAAGTTGCAACAGAATCTCTTGTCCTCTTGCTAACAGCCGCTATGCCACCATTAAAGACCACGATGGTACACTCATAAACCGTGATTTTTTATTTGTTACAATGTTATGATTTCTTATTTGTGATTTTTTTACTGTGTTGCAAAAAAAAAAGGTGTATTTTATTTGTATATGAAGACGATAGAGAGAGCACATATGCCAAAAGACTTGTGGGAGAAGATAAAGTTGCCATTAAACTACGACAAGGCTCTTGAAACCATTGACAAGCACTTAGTGAGTGAGCTTTTAGATTGATATATGAATATATATATATATATATATATATATATATATATTGAAGCATCTTAGAGCTTTAATGGTTTACTATTTTGTTCTTTTGTTGTGGCATGCAGTTGTATTGGCCCAAGGTATTACAACACAAGGTCAAACAAAGACTTACCAAAATGAACCAGATGCGCATTCGGATGAGAAGCCTTGCTCTCAAAACAATGTTGGTTTTTTTTTTTCTTTTCAATCCTACTTGTCTTTGTTTGATACTATGTTATTTCTTGTTGTGATCGTTCTTGATTCTGTTTCATAGGGAGAAGATAATGACAACGCCTTCCTGAAGCTCAGAAGAAAGTGGAGATTTTTATTTATTTTTGTTACTTAGATAAGAAAATCTGAAAGCTTGCTTCTTGATAGTGTTACAATTCAAAGCCTTTGAAGGCTTTCCAATTTTGTAGCTTAAGATTTAATTAATTCTAACGTTTGAATTGTTATAGTATTAAAGGAAAGCATTTTCTTTTACATTACTTAACTGAAAATGAAAAGAACAGTCTCTGTGATTTCAAAATTTTCTGATTCTATTCACTTGTGTCGATGAGTATCTGAATATCGATTCTTTGAGTTAAGCTCTAAATCTCGTAAAAAAAAAAGGATTAATCTGTTATTTTACCCGCCAAAAAAACTCTTCCTTTAAACATTTCCTCCACATGATGAGATTCTTCTTCAAGACCCACCATGGACACTTCCGTCGGATCATTACGCACGCGAGATCACTCGACCCCGTCGCGAAATTGCACAGCTTTGTTGATGATCCAAGCTCGCACCCGTGGCCCGAATGGCTTGGTTTGATGGGGATGCTCGTGAAAAAAGGCTACTTCGGAGAAACCATGAATCAATCGATGACTTCCATAGAATCGAATCATATTCGAACCGCATGCCTCAATTTCGCCCGCCATCGTTTCACTCTCGTCAGGTAATGCGTATCATTGTTACATTAATCGCTAATGTGAGCGAAGAAACCATTTTGCACACCAGGTGTTCGACGAAATACCCAAGATACAGAGTATATGAATGTTTTGCTGAAAAAAATCTTTCTTTTAGCTGTAATTGGTGAGAATTCACTGGAATTTTTTGATTTACAGATACTTGTCGAAGAACGATCTCAAAGTGATTGCTGGGTGTGGATGTCCTTCCACTGATAGGAAAGTTGTGAACTCAGGAAAACGTCTAAGATCTTATGTGGGCATTGATGAAGCAAATGTAAGTCAGAAAGTTTGAACCTTTTTTTGAGGTTTCAGTTGAAAGCTTATAACTTCACCAAGAAGCTTAAAAACATTTACTTTAGTAGGTGTGTGGGTCTTGCAACTTGAGAGGGAAATGTGAAAGGGCGTACGCGGAAGCAAGAGAAGAAGAAGGTGCTCGAACTATAGATGTCATGCGTATACTCCTAACGTACGGGCTTGATTCAATATCTCCTACCGTGGAGAACCGTGCCTGTCAGACCAAATTCGTTGAAGACTCTGTGAGGAAGTTGCTGAGAGAAAGCGTAGAGTATAGCTTGAAGGATGTTGAATCTTCTGAGACTGAGACAGCTCGAGATGATGAGATAGACCTGCGAAAACGGCCAGGGGATTGGCACTGTACAGAGTAAGTAAATCTTTACTTATGATTTGATTAATCTTTCAGACTCTCTTTTTGTTATCAATTAGTCTCGTTTTTGGCAGATGCAAGTTTCTGAATTTTGCGAAGAACATAAGATGCTTGCGGTGTGATGTGTTTTCTGAGGAGAGGCTGAAACAGTTGAAGCAAGAACAGAGAGATCATCTCCCACTGAAGAAAGGAGATTGGATTTGCCAAACGTAAGAGACATCTTGTTTACAGTTTTATCAGAAAGATCATCTTTTTACAAGAAAGAATCATTTTATTGTTTTTTCCGCAGATGCAATTTCATGAACTTTGCGAAGAACACGAGCTGCTTAAGGTGCAAAGACAAGCCTTCAATGCGTCAAATCAATCCTGGAGAGTGGGAATGCGAGTCGTGAGTCGTCATCATTATCCCTAAACCTTAAAAGCTAGTTAAAAGGCAGCTTAAAGTTGTGGAAATTGATACGTTTTCTATACTTCATCAGGTGCTATTACATCAATTTTAGAAGAAACTCGATATGTTTGAAGTGTGATCACAAGAGACAGAAGGCTCCAAACGTCACACCGGATTCAAAGACTGTTGGAGATCGTCACAGTGGTGTTGTTTCAAAGACGTGGAGTTTTGTAGAAGAAGAGAGTGGAAACCAATGCAATGTAGAAGAAGAAGAGGAAGAGGAAGAAGAAGAGGATGGGTTTATGGGATTTCCAGTGGAAGGAGGGAGAAGTAATGTTTCAAGGAGTGAAGAAAAGAGAGAGCAATGGAAGTTGGAGATGAAACAGAGGATGAGAAGAAGCAATGTGAATGGAAAGAGAAAAGAAAAAGACAATAAGGAGGACGAAACAGAGTCGAGATGTTATGATCGGAGAAAGCTTGAGCTTCTCGGTAACTATAGTGATGATGATGGAGAGATGGATGATTGGTTTGCTTCAAAATTAAGATAATCTTGTTTGGTTTGGATATTTTTGTGTGGGGAAAACCTGAAACGTTGAACGCAAAATGCTAAAGCGCGTTTGCGTTTTGATGATTTTAAACTGTAATGCAAATTATTGACATTAGAAGAGGAGTTGCATTAGTAAACAACTGTTTTGTTTGTCAACATTAGACGCATTATCAAATTAGCAATACTTAATCATATGGTTGCTAATTTTGTCTTAAATTTAATAATTAGTGGGTGTATAGCATCTTTATTTAACAACTAGATTTAGACCCGCGTATACGCGGGTTTATTTTAAGATTTTGTAATAAAATCATGGAAAAGTATTAAACCAAATTTGATCATTTTAAAGTAAACAGAATAATATTAAAAACCCGATAAAAATATTTAAATAAAATAAGATCGGTAACCTTTTTACGTTTTTATTGTAATTGATATTTTTTTTGAATTCATGATATAAAAATGAATTAATTTGTTTTATTTTTATTTTTATCCAATATAGAAAGACTTATATATGTCTAAATATGATCAACTGATTAATTAATTCAACAAAACTTTATTATTCCATTCAAGAGATTTCAATTGATGAAATCTTTATTTAATAATTTTTTACCTAACAATATTGAAAATTAAAACTATTTAAAATTAGAATATCGGTTCATTATATTTTCTTAATATTAGTTAGTTGCTTGATAATTAATTTGTTAGTTTTCTATTTATATTGTTTCTTTCTCAATTTTGTTTTTGACTCAGACCATTATAAATTTTCATTTTCATTATTAGTTAGTTTTTTTATTATCATTATTTTATTACACATATCGCAATTTTGTGAGTTATAAAAATCATACGTATTGCTATCATGTTGTTTGCTTTGATGAATTTGTGAATGAGAAAAAAAAATCTACTTTAACTCTCTTTTTATAGGGTTCATGTAACTTATTCCATGCAGTTATAGGAAATTTAGTTTACTAACCTATTTCATGTACTAATAGATTTTATTTATTTCATTAATTTGAATCTTTATGTGTTTGGATAATATAAATTTGATGAATGAGAAACCTTTTTCTATTAGGATATGACAAATATAATTTTTTTTTCTTTTAACTATAAAAGATTAAAATTTCGTTTTTTTCCTTTATCTAATTTTTTTAATTATTATTTTTTTTTTTTTTTTTCTAAGACACATGTCACGATCTTAACAGACATAAACTTTTAGTGACACATGCACAATCCTAAATTTTATAAAAATTTTATGTGTCGCAACTACGTCATGGACATCCAGCTTTATATAATAAGATAATGTCAGTAGATATCAGACGTGTCGACATATTATTGGAGTATATTTTTTTGTTGAAGATAGCAAACGGTGGAGACTACACGCACTTGACCAACTCTCTTTCTCTTTGCCTTTTCCTTTTTCGTTTTCTTTTTTCTTCCATTATTTTCTCTTTCACATCCTTCTTCTGATGAACAGTAGTTAGCCTCTCTCTCTATCCATTCTCTCCTTCGCTACTCTTCGTATTTCCGTCGCCGAGGCTTTCAGATACCGCCGCAGAGTTGACTACAGTCTCAGGTCGATGAGTTCGGAGGAAGAGAAGGTCGTTGGTAAGCCTCAATCCGATTTTGATTCGATTAGTCTATTTTCATTTGGAATCTAGGTTTTCGTCATGGCCTATTCTAGAGATTTTACAGTAATGATTGAGAATTCGTTCGTTACATAGCTCTGGATCAATTCGCAGTGTCAATTGATTTTCCATCTCAAGTCTCGATTGATTTTTGTGATCTGGAAATGATTCGGAGAGGATGTTTGACTAACGGATGAATCTGATTGGTTTTGGTTTTTTGTTTCGCAGTTCCCAGAAACTTTAGATTATTGGAAGAGCTTGAAAGAGGTGAGAAAGGGATCGGAGACGGGACAGTGAGCTATGGAATGGATGATGCCGATGATATTCTGATGCAATCTTGGACTGGAACCATCATCGGACCTCATAATGTAACGTTTCTTCTCCATTCTCTGCATCTTAACCTGCTCAAACCTTCAATATTCCCTTATTTAGTAGGTTTTGGAGCTAATTGCAAATGAGTCTTAGCTGTGTTTAATTAAACCATATGAAGCATTTTACCAATTGTGGTGAATGAGGAGACACGAAAAGAAAAGAAATTTGTTTACTTGTTTCCACTTTTGGTATCTGATAAGATTTATTTTTTTGTGTGTGTTTGGCGTTGAGATCAGACTGCGTATGAAGGGAAGATCTTTCAGCTGAAGCTATTCTGTGGCAAGAATTATCCAGAGAGTCCACCTACTGTGAGGTTCCAGAGCCGGATCAACATGGCTTGCGTCAATCCTGAAAATGGAGTGGTAAATCTTTGTTGTGCTACATTGATAGTTTCGAATGGTTTTTTTTCTAACAAGCTTGGATTGGATCGAATCGGACGAATCAGGTTGAACCGAGTCACTTCCCGATGCTCTCGAGCTGGAGAAGAGAATACACAATGGAGGATTTGCTGATTCAGCTCAAAAAGGAAATGATGTCACCGCAGAACCGGAAGTTAGCTCAACCCGTGGAAGGTAATTTTTCTTTGGAATTACTACCCGGTTTAGACTGTTTAGTCCGGTTCCTAGGTTTTCTTATCGAAATTGAATGTGTAAATCAGGTAATGAGGAAGGAGGAAGAACAGACCCGAAGGGACTAGTGGTGAAATGTTGTGTGATGTGAAGGGGAGAGAGGTAAATGAGGATAATTCGTAAGAATTGAAGAGAGACAAAAAAACAGTGTACATAAAAACATCAATTTAAAAACGCTACGAGATTTCCTGCCTTAATCAAACTATTGGGTTATGTATTATACTATTATGTAATGTTATGAGAATATATATATATATATCCACCAAAACCGGTGCCTTTCTTAATAAACCTCGGAACTCTTCTGCTCATTCATATTTTTTGCTGCTCTTCACATGTGTGTGTGGTGTACGAGACCCAATTTGAGTAATAAGGCATCAAAAGAAGAGCGTTGCACAGGATAAAGCAAACGTTGGAGAATGGGAAAGCTATTTACTTTTTAATTTTGGCAGAATCATAAAAAAAATGGAGTTATTTACGCTCATACACACTTATTGACTTTCATATAACAAGAAAACACACTTTCAACTTGTGATGCACTTTCAACATAGAGAAAGACAATAATGTCCTTACTGATTCACTCATGGAATTTACCTTCTCTTTTTTTCTCACTCAGGATAGCGATATCTTCACCCTCCGTCGCCACCGTGATTTCCTAATCCCAGCCTGAATTTTTTTATTCCGACACACAACTTCGAGTATTTCCTTCGTAAACAAAAATCAGTGGAGATTTATGGATTTAGCCAAAAAACCCTAAATCCGCCGAGACCAACTAAGAGGTGTTTCCGACCCACCATCAATCAATCGTGATAAACAACTAAGAGATGTTTCCGCTCTGACCATTTTGTTAACGCATTCGTCTCAAATTGGTATCCATGTCGATGTGTTTACATGCCTTCCAATGGTAGCACATCCATACTATTATATCCATGTGTGCGTCTCCAAAATTTAGTTTTTTCAACAACGCATTAGTTTCTCTCTACAAATGTATACGATTTTGTAGCTTTTTGTGTTGCCAATTTGAAGCGATTAGGTTCATTCTGAGATTGTCCATTTGTGATATGGAAAAACTTGATTATGTTCTTATTTGGAACTATTGCTTTGATTATGGTCTATGAAACTATTGCTTTGATTTTTGTATATTTTTTTAAGCATATATCCATCCAGTTGATGTCCAAACCCACACATCCATGTGGATAGTTCCATCAAGCGCTTGAGATTGTTAGTTTGTTGCAGGTTCAACATCAAACACAAGAGGGTTCCATGAGACTGTATCCATATGATTTTGTATATACCTCAATATCCACATATAAATATCCACGCATATGGGTCCATAACTGTGAACAAGTGTGTCCATATATCTTTGCTTTTTCTGATGTTTTCCTTTCCATACGCCATTGTCCAGAACAGTTTATCCATATGGTTTTTTTGTCAAATTTTGTATTTACATGGTGCTGCAGAGTCAAACCTGTGTGCAATCTTCATATATATATATATAGCTTTTTCAGAAGCTACTTGAATGTTTCATAATCGGTATTTTCCTAACTTTCTACACTTGATATTCGTCACCAGAGTAGTTTGTCCATTTGGATGTATCCATTTTTGTTATCTTGGTTCATATATACACTTTTGTCCATACGAGGTTGTTTATTTGGATACCATTTTAATTTACTAAAACTATATCTCACTAAATTAGGTTTACATTTTGCTTTTCCACTCAGATGAACTTAAGAATGATTGTTCCTCACAATATTCTGTCCATACAGATAGGTCCATTTGGATGTATCCATTTTGTTATCTTGGTTTACTAACACTTCGATGTATCCATAGTAGTGTGTCCATATGTGGTTGTCTATTTGGATGTTTCCAGTTTGTTTTCTTGGTTTACAAAAAAACTTAACTGATATAACCCTCAGTAGTATGTTCATATGAGGTTGTCCATTTGGATGTATTCTTTTTTGCTGTCTTGGATCATTTACACATCACTGTCCATACGAGATTGTTTATTTGGATGCTATTTCTCTAGCTTGGTTCACTAAATCTATATTTCGTTAAATGAGGTTTCAATTTTTTGTTTTTCCAGAGATTTGATTAGCCAAGAGAACACAAAGGTTTTGTAAGTTGTCCATGCTAACTTCTCCACGCTACTATTTGATTAAATATCTCTTTCCATCATTGTTTTCTATACTTTTCATCTATTCTTATGTGTTTAATGGCTTTCAGGCCTTGCCAAATTGAAGCCTTGAAACTATGAAAATATATACAATGAAGCAAAAGGAGAGTTCATATCTTATCACAATAATCAGTTGATGCTCACTATCTTTCCTGACCAAGGTTTTGGTAACGTCTGTACATGAGAAATCCACCAAGGTTTCAGACTCTGTTTTGGCTTATAATCAAGACTTTTGTGTGGGTTAATTGTTATATCTCCATCATAATCTTTAATATCTATTTTAATACTGAACGTGAAACTCAGTTTATTGCTCTATGAAATCATGAAACTAAAAAAAAATTCATAGTGTATTTACATATATGTATCCACGCAGATAGGTCCACATTTTTGAGCAAGTGTGGCCATATATCTTTGCTTTTTCTAATGTCTTCCTATCCATATGCCATTGTCCAGAACAGTTTATCCATATGGTTTTTTGTCTAATTTTTTTATTAATACGGTGCTGCAGAGTCAAACCTATGTACAAGTATCATATCTTGCTTTAGTTTTGTCTTAACGTGTCCATACGAAGTTCTCCATTTGGACGTCTCCATACAAGGCTCTCCATTTGCTTCTAAGATTATTTCTCCACTACTCGAGAAGATTGTTGTTTCAAAACCAAATCCAAATGAGAGTTTTCAAATTACCAAAAACAGAAAAAACCATCGAATTTGATTATGGTTGTATATAATGCAGACTTAGTTTAGAAAACAAGATTTGACTAAATCCAGATAACTTCTTAAGAGTTTATGATCGTACAAAGAGAAGACTGTAAACTAACTCTACGAGCTTGCGATGTACATGTATTTTGAAATACATATATCCATGCTCATCTATCCAGTGCATAAGTATAAGTTCATATCATGGCATACATTTCTAACCTATCCCTTCAATTTTGTTCATTGCTTGAAACAGCTACACCTCACTTACCATCCATATAAAAATAGAACAAAAAACCTCGGAAACAGTTTCATGTGTTTGCAGTCGTCCATTATCTTCTATCCATAAAGACATATCCATGCACATGCCATTTGAATGACAATCTTAACACTTTAATTCACACAGCTAATTTGAATACCAACCTACAATCCACTATTACATGTCCATAATAGCATATCCACAAATCAGTAAGAAGCTGCACTTTTAATGTCCACATGGAAAAAAATCCCCAAATCAAACCTTCGCAAAAGAAAATAACACCGATTTTCACAGAATTTCTGGTGTGATTGTCACCGAAAATAATCAACTCACTCCACATGATTGATCTCCCGTCACAACTCTTAATCTATGGACATGAATTTAGAGACTTTGTGTTCTAACTTCTAAAGCATCTGCCAAACCAGACCAGAAGAGGAAGGCTTTTTGCCGGAGAGACTAGAAAAAAAGTTAGAGAAGAAGAAGTGCCAACTGTTGCTGGAAGGTTACGTCGAGGCTGCTACGGCGCCGGATGATCTGACGAGCGCTAAGAGCTTGACGGATGATGATCTCGAGGAGCTTAAAGGTTGTTTAGATCTAGGGTTTGGATTCAGCTACGATGATAATAAGCAAAACCACCACAAGTCACCGGAGGTTTCTTCGGTTAAAGAGGACTCCTCGCCGCCACCACCGACCACGACCACTTTGGAGTTGTTTTTTCAGAAGACTAATGTGAATCAATTGACAATCCAATTTTCTGAATCGGAAGTCTAGTGCTATTCGACAAAAGCTCCGGCCAAGGGATAAAGGTGCAGTAAAAACAGTTTTTACCGAAGGCTATTTTTGGGAAAAACAGGCACAAAATTCTCAAAAAATGCACCTTAATCGCAAAGTGTGTTTTTGTGATAGAAAACTGCCAAAAGTGCGTCTTAGCGTAAATAACTCAAAAAAATGTTTTGTTAAAGTCATGTAAACAGTATACGCGTTATGCTCTTGAGATACAAATAACCAAACATTTTAAAATAAATAATCTCATCTGACAAGTGACAACAAAAGTACTAAGAACTGAAGTTGTCAAGGAAGCGAGACCAAAATCTTCAGTCACGTCGGTAATAACTTCAGGAGGTTTTTGAGTTGTTTGGATTAACATTGTTTGTAAAGCTGACTTTTTCGAATATTTTCATTGTTTTGTGTGATTTTGTGTGATACACTGTTCACGATGGATTGGTGGATAGATGGATCTATCCTTTTCTGTTGTATGATGTTGTCATATTTGTTCGTTTTGAAGAATAAATATATTTGGATTTGGATCGCAAAATTGATTCTTAGAAAACAGTTTATTTTTACTGTGAAAGATACATCATACAATAAAAATATGACTAACAGACAATAATCAAAATTAGTCTAAGTAAAGAGAACAACGCCTAAAATAATTGATCAGCATATTGCCAGGTCATCGGGACACACACCAGAGTTTTCGAATATGCTACACACAACTCAACATAATAATAGTGTAATGACTAAATTTATTTTTAAAACAAATTCAAAGGGTTCATGATTAGAAAATTTAATGGAATGTTGTAGGTAATTTGTAGAAGCAACGATCTTATATACCAAGTGTCGATCTGGAGAGGAAGGTGTGGCGTTTTCGTCAGACAAGAGATAAAGAATAAGGAATCTGTTACACCAAGCTTTACGCAACTACCATTTTATTATTTCAATCAATCTTCCAATGCGTGTGAATATTTGATGCTTTTTCTTTAAGCTCTAGCCAATTTTTTCAAAACGTTTCCCATTTAGTACAGAGTTTATTCAAATGAAGTCTCAAGTGTGTCACCTTTTTATACATCCCATTGTTTTCATTTTACTAAAAATGTATTTTTGTAGAACACTAACTGTTTAGCAAAAGACCAATCGGTAAACATGGGAATGCCTTACACATTTTGTCCACGTACTTTTGTCTGTTTTTGGCAATCGTTGGTGATATGTGTGTAAGCGTAAACTATAATTTTTCATACACACTTCATTATTAAAAAAATGTGAAGAAAAGAGTTTCTAACAAATACGGTTTGAAGCTGTACCCTTTTGCTTCAAACACGAAGCACTCATAATGGTCAAAACCCCAATAATTTAATTGTTTCTAAGCCATTATTTTAATATCTTACTCCACCAATGTTGCATAATTATCATCAGTCTCTCATCTCCTTTGCCGAGAAGTAATGTACATCACGTTTTTTTCTTTTTTCTTAGAATTTACGCTCATTAGGCCCCATTGTGATTATTCTCTTTTTTTTTGTTTCTGCTGAAAACAACTCAATGTCGGTATACATTTGCATTAAATATAATATATTAACTTGTGATATCCACTTTTTAATTTTACTGTTAAGTATCTCTAATAAATATACGAATAGGTTTTTTTTTTTAATAAGTAATACAAATAGATTATCTATTAAAGAACTTCAACAGTCAGATTTATTTTGTAATAATTAATGGGTGTAAATTTAAATTGCCTTACTCACTCCGATTCACTCTGATTTAATATAAATATCGTTTAAAATTTCAAAAATTTCTGAAATATATCTATCTAATTAATACAATTATTTATTTAAATTTCTTGTTAATACACTAAATAAATGAGGATAAAATTAGAAATCTACTCTAAATTATGCACTGGAAATGTAAAACAATACTTAGAACAAAAAATAAAGATAAAATAACACTTATTATAAAATAGAGAGAGTAATATTTATTTTTTCTTAATTTATGTAAGTTTCTTTTTTTTAATATCCAACTTTCCTGTGTGATTTTTTAAAAATATTAATCTATTTATTTAAGTACTGCCACACGTCGGCTACTCAAAAGGGGCAAAACCTGTCATCTTTGCAATTAACAGACACGTATAGAAAAAGTTATAACTATCAAAGCCATATATTAAAAAGAAATACAAAAAAAAACATAAGAGTGGTATTAAACATTAAATTTGGGTTCCGAGTAACGAATAATAAGAACTATTATTGGAAATAGGAAGAAAAAAGAGAAGTCAAATGAAAACTGAATGGGCTTAAAGATGGTTGCATCATCGAAAGCAACGTGGTGCATAAACCATAACCGAAGATAGCAAAATAATTAATGTCTGACGCATCCCACTCATTTTCTCGTTCTTGTATAAAAATTTATAAGAATACGAAGGAACATACATACAAACAACTGTCTTATTACATCGGCCAGAGCAGATCGAATCGAATCTTTGATTAATTTACATTATCATTATTCAATAAAATATCAAACAGTTAAAAATCTCGAAAGATAAAAGAAGCGTGTGTTTCGCCTTTCTCTTTTCACTTTTTTCTTTTCAGTTACTTCTCTCTCTCAACCATTTTATTCTCTCTCTGATCATGGCTTCCTCTATTTCCCCTGCATCAACCGGTACTTTCTCAATTTTATGGTCATAATTACGTATCATATCATAAATTTAGATCATTTAGATAAAAAGCTTCAAACGTTTTTTTGTAGGAGCGAAATTTGTTCCAGAAGAAGATAATTTCTTGCAGAGACATGTCGCCTTCTTCGATAGGAACCAAGATGGTATCGTTTATCCCTCAGAGACATTTCAAGGTACGGTCTTCAAAACTTCTTTAGTTCCACCAAAATATGTCTTAATCAATCTCGGAATATCTAAAACTAGATTAATAATATTGGTGATGTTTTGTCTTTCTGTGTATGTGTGTGGCTCTTGTGGTCTTATCTGTTAGTAAACAAATAGTATTGTTTTACTAATTTTTACTGTTGGATCACGACAAACAAAAACAAAACAAGAACAGGGTTTAGAGCTATTGGATGTGGATATCTCTTGTCGGGATTTGCTTCTCTGTTCATTAACATGGGTTTAAGCAGCAAAACTCGTCCGGTAATTTGAATATTAATTATAATTGTTGATATAATTTTATTATTTTCATATTTTACATAAGATTGAAAAAAAGATTTAATGATGTGTTTTTGGTTTGCAGGGAAAGGGTTTCTCGTTATCTTTTCCGATAGAGATTAAGAATATCCATCTTGCCAAACATGGCAGCGATTCAGGCGTTTACGATAAGGATGGAAGGTATCTCTTATTTTTTAAATATGCCCTACTCATTTATTTTGTGATAAATACATTTCGTAAATCTAAATTTTGCTCTGTTTTTTTTATAAAATTTTGGAGGTTTGTGGAATCGAAGTTCGAGGAGATATTTGCCAAGCATTCTAAGACACATCCCGATGCTTTGACCAACGAGGAACTCAAAGAACTTCTCAACTCAAACAAAGAAGCTAATGATCGTAAAGGAGCGTAAGTATCCGAACCCGGTTTGGTTTAATTCGGTTAAAAACAGAAAAACGTATTATATGAATCTGAATAATAGTATTATGTGGGTTAAAACAAAAATGCAGGATTGCATCATTTACGGAGTGGAAGATATTGCATTACTTATGCAAAGACAAGAATGGTTTGTTGCACAAAGAGACCGTGAGAGCTGTTTACGATGGTTCTCTATTTGAAAAACTCGAGAAAGAAAAAGCTGCTTCTAAGAAACATCCATAAACCCTCAATTTAAAACAAAAGGCTATAAAGCTTGCGAATCTGTCTATTTATAAAATTTAATTACTTTCAATGTTATATATAGTGAAATGTGGCGTGAAGTTTGCAATGTGTTTAAGTTTCTAAAAAATTATACTATTCAATTGTGTGCGTACTGGTATCTTGTTACAATAAATGATTTATATGATTCAAAATAAAAACAAAGATATAGACTCATATATAGTGTCAATGCACTGATGCACGATGGTTTTCTTATCGAAAAAACTCGAGAAACAAAGAGCTAATACGAAACATCCATATAAACCCCAATTTATGCTCTTTGTGAATCTGTTTATTTATAGAACTTTTACTTCAATGTTATGCACTTATTGACTTATACTAGTGAAATATGGCGTGAAGATACAATGTGTTCCATTTTCTAAAAACTATTGATTTTTGTGTGAATTTGATCAATTGTGTAGGTAGCATATTCTTGTCATAAGCTATTAATAGAAATCTGTCAAAATTCCGCTAAAACGAACATAAATGTTAGAAATTAGCACATTTCCCTGAGTCCGTCACCATTAGTAAAGTCACAAAGCCCGATCCGACTTTAGGCCTAACTTCCTCACCAAAAAAGGGAAAGCTTGAGAAGGAAGACACAATCCATGAAGAAATGTAAATAAATCCTCATGTCGACCTTAAGAATGGAAGAAAATCATGAACAAGAGGAAGTTTTCTATATCGCAAAAGAGGAAGTTTTCCATCTCGCCCGAAAGAGAATATTCATCATTCGGCCGACTTATCAACGCTATATATTGAAGACCCCCCCCATTGGGGAAAAGACATCCGAGATCATCTAGAATCACTAGGCTTTTGCACCCACTTTACTTTCTCTTTTTGTTCATCACCATTATCTCGATAAGCTTGTAGCGAGATAATTACTTTGTAACTTTCTTGATATTCTTTGAGTCGAATTAAGCTTTCAGTTTCCTAAACTCACATCTTTGATAGCCCGTCTTGACGAGTGCTATTTCGGATTCAACAATAAATGATTGTAACCAAACCAGGTTAGTCCCATGGTTTTTGACATTGTTGCCAAACCAGATTGAGAAGCGTAAACTAGTAAACTAAAAATGAGACTTTAATATAGTTAGTGATACACTGATACTAGACTTTACAGACAGACATTGACAAGAAAAAAGAAGCAGCTTACGGGATTATTTATTACATGTGGCCTTGGTCCATAAATAACTGGGTCAGTGTAGGAAACTAAAGAAACGAACTTTATATGACCTGTTTTTCTAGATAACACATAACAGGCCCAAACTAAAAATCAGTTTCCTTTTAACGTTACACAAACATTGTTATCCGAAGTTCAGAACAAAAACTTAGAGTTGATAAGAGTGATTTTTTAGGTTGAGAATAAAACTTAAAGATCAAATTAAATACCACACTGCTTGTCATCGAAATATAAAAGAAAAAATTTCGACACTAATCTGTTATACATTCGTTGACAATTTTTTTTGTTTGTTTCACTTTATTTTTTGGCTTACATTGGTTGAGAAGAATGGAAAAGCAGAGAGGAGTTGAGGTTATAAGTATCATGTTCATACTTCTTTGAAATGTAATTTTGTGTTTTAGAGTTGTTTCATTCAAATTCATAGTTTAGAATTTATACATAAATGACTTGGTTTTATCTTCCAACTTTTGTAAACAGTGAAAGAAAAGTTGATAATTCGTCTGGCATGTGTAGTGTAGTTTACAGAAGTTTCATTCCCATGTATTTATTAACTCAATTAATTCGTAGAAAAAATGTGAGCCGACTAATAATGCTTACTATTCCTTAAGATTGTAGAAATGGATTCCAAGTGTGTGCTATTGCTATGATATATATTCGATCGGGATAAGGTTACAGCTGACTGATGATTTTGAACGGAAGCAAATTAGTAACAAGAAAACATGTACCTTAATGAGAAATCTGAAAAAAAAAACTGAATCAATGTAAACAATCTGACAAGATAAAAAAAATAAACCTCAAACGAAATATTCGACAAAATATTTTAGAAATGAAAGGAGACCAAAGCGCTAAAGTATATCATGAAGTATAAAGAAGAAGGATTTCACAAGCGCTAGAGCATCTTGGCATTGCAAGGAGTTGGTCAAGTATGGCAGACTTCGCCTTTCCACTATAGTGAGAATTAACCCTTAATTTCTCCAGGATTGGTGAATTCTGTAGGAAGTATCTTACTAGCTCCATTTCAATTTCATACTTTGAAATGCTACTTTTTAACTCCACAAACTTGAGGGATGATACCAAACACCCAGCCACTGTTGAAAATTTCACCTTTGGATCACTCCTAAACATGTTAAACATGCTTGTCTCCTTAACCAATTCCTGCAAAAACAGAAGAAATCAAACAAATTGAGTATAGTGATACGTAAAAAAATAAAATAAAAAGGTTTTCAGAAACAATATGGGTAAATTAAAGAGGGTTACAGCTACTCATTACCAGTATGAGAGATTCAAGATTTGGGCAGTTGTTAAGAAGGGTTGTCAACACTTCAAGATCGAATATAGTAAATGTAGCATTCAAACACGATAGGTGACGAAACGGAGGCAACGGTGCTCCTGATTTCAAGCCTTGATACATGCACTGGTAACAAAAGTTCAGAAAAAAAACAAAGTAATAAAAAAAAAAACATGTTAGTGAGAAACTTTTGGTAATAATTCAGTGAACATTGTATAAAAAAAATTGACATGTACTGCAGCAGTATACCTTCCAAAGGAAACTACTAATAACTAGATCTTTGACCCTTGCTATATCGGCGAGGATATCACGAATCACGTCTTCACTTTGACCAAACAAAGAAAGGACGCCAATATCTAGCTTGGCAGGGAAACTTGAATTGGTGATCGTATAGTGCTTTATTTGGTCAGCTTTAGTGATTAAACACTCGAGGAGAGGAGCATCAATCACAGCATAGGTACACCGAGATATGTCTATTCTCTTTAGCGTCTGAGAGCGCACTTGTATAACTCTTGGTCTATAAGTTATACTATTGTCAATGGTTAAATCTTCCAAAACTTGAGCGCCTGAGATAAGTTTCTCCAAAGTGGCCGCATTGGGATAGAAATTGTTTTCCAGATGCATCATCTTTAGGCAAGGTAAGGAAACAAACTCGGCGTTAACCAAAGCGGACTCACAGAGTCTTAGTTTTACAAGCCTCTCGCATGTATATATGCTTGACGGTATCTTATCAAGTTTTGGAAGATTTAACCATTGACAATAGTATAACTTATAGACCAAGAGTTATACAAGTGCGCTCTCAGACGCTAAAGAGAATAGACATATCTCGGTGTACCTATGCTGTGATTGATGCTCCTCTCCTCGAGTGTTTAATCACTAAAGCTGACCAAATAAAGCACTATACGATCACCAATTCAAGTTTCCCTGCCAAGCTAGATATTGGCGTCCTTTCTTTGTTTGGTCAAAGTGAAGACGTGATTCGTGATATCCTCGCCGATATAGCAAGGGTCAAAGATCTAGTTATTAGTAGTTTCCTTTGGAAGGTATACTGCTGCAGTACATGTCAATTTTTTTTATACAATGTTCACTGAATTATTACCAAAAGTTTCTCACTAACATGTTTTTTTTTTTTTTTTTTTTTTTTTCTGAACTTTTGTTACCAGTGCATGTATCAAGGCTTGAAATCAGGAGCACCGTTGCCTCCGTTTCGTCACCTATCGTGTTTGAATGCTACATTTACTATATTCGATCTTGAAGTGTTGACAACCCTTCTTAACAACTGCCCAAATCTTGAATCTCTCATACTGGTAATGAGTAGCTGTAACCCTCTTTAATTTACCCATATTGTTTCTGAAAACCTTTTTATTTTATTTTTTTACGTATCACTATACTCAATTTGTTTGATTTCTTCTGTTTTTGCAGGAATTGGTTAAGGAGACAAGCATGTTTAACATGTTTAGGAGTGATCCAAAGGTGAAATTTTCAACAGTGGCTGGGTGTTTGGTATCATCCCTCAAGTTTGTGGAGTTAAAAAGTAGCATTTCAAAGTATGAAATTGAAATGGAGCTAGTAAGATACTTCCTACAGAATTCACCAATCCTGGAGAAATTAAGGGTTAATTCTCACTATAGTGGAAAGGCGAAGTCTGCCATACTTGACCAACTCCTTGCAATGCCAAGATGCTCTAGCGCTTGTGAAATCCTTCTTCTTTATACTTCATGATATACTTTAGCGCTTTGGTCTCCTTTCATTTCTAAAATATTTTGTCGAATATTTCGTTTGAGGTTTATTTTTTTTATCTTGTCAGATTGTTTACATTGATTCAGTTTTTTTTTTCAGATTTCTCATTAAGGTACATGTTTTCTTGTTACTAATTTGCTTCCGTTCAAAATCATCAGTCAGCTGTAACCTTATCCCGATCGAATATATATCATAGCAATAGCACACACTTGGAATCCATTTCTACAATCTTAAGGAATAGTAAGCATTATTAGTCGGCTCACATTTTTTCTACGAATTAATTGAGTTAATAAATACATGGGAATGAAACTTCTGTAAACTACACTACACATGCCAGACGAATTATCAACTTTTCTTTCACTGTTTACAAAAGTTGGAAGATAAAACCAAGTCATTTATGTATAAATTCTAAACTATGAATTTGAATGAAACAACTCTAAAACACAAAATTACATTTCAAAGAAGTATGAACATGATACTTATAACCTCAACTCCTCTCTGCTTTTCCATTCTTCTCAACCAATGTAAGCCAAAAAATAAAGTGAAACAAACAAAAAAAATTGTCAACGAATGTATAACAGATTAGTGTCGAAATTTTTTCTTTTATATTTCGATGACAAGCAGTGTGGTATTTAATTTGATCTTTAAGTTTTATTCTCAACCTAAAAAATCACTCTTATCAACTCTAAGTTTTTGTTCTGAACTTCGGATAACAATGTTTGTGTAACGTTAAAAGGAAACTGATTTTTAGTTTGGGCCTGTTATGTGTTATCTAGAAAAACAGGTCATATAAAGTTCGTTTCTTTAGTTTCCTACACTGACCCAGTTATTTATGGACCAAGGCCACATGTAATAAATAATCCCGTAAGCTGCTTCTTTTTTCTTGTCAATGTCTGTCTGTAAAGTCTAGTATCAGTGTATCACTAACTATATTAAAGTCTCATTTTTAGTTTACTAGTTTACGCTTCTCAATCTGGTTTGGCAACAATGTCAAAAACCATGGGACTAACCTGGTTTGGTTACAATCATTTATTGTTGAATCCGAAATAGCACTCGTCAAGACGGGCTATCAAAGATGTGAGTTTAGGAAACTGAAAGCTTAATTCGACTCAAAGAATATCAAGAAAGTTACAAAGTAATTATCTCGCTACAAGCTTATCGAGATAATGGTGATGAACAAAAAGAGAAAGTAAAGTGGGTGCAAAAGCCTAGTGATTCTAGATGATCTCGGATGTCTTTTCCCCAATGGGGGGGGTCTTCAAAAACATGAAAGTAAAAGAGAAAAAAAGACACAGGATTAGACATATGCTCATTGTGGTGTCTAATCTACCATGTGTAGTGTTACATTCTTTAGTTCCCTTTATGTATTGAAAACAAACTTTTGTTCAAAGGGACAGCCCGTGATAGGGTGGCTGGGTGGGTGAGTTTTAAACTCTTTATTCCTCAAACTAATAAGAAATTTGCTGACAAATCATGTCTTATCCATAACTAATATATATACTTTTCAGATACTGCACTGATTAGTTTCTAAATAAACACTTCTTAATTAGTTACACTTTTGGAATATGATTGTCTCTATACGGTATGCTCTGAGTCTTATAGCATACAATTGCAAACGAGTATCATAAAATCAATGACTTGGAAAAAAAATACAAATTATATAAATTCTGACATCTTACACTTGTAAACAGATCCAATCATTGATGCGTAAGAAGAGAAAAGGTGGGAAATTAGTCATACATCCATGTGAAAATAAGCAGGCTTTGAGAAGAAGAAAGGTAAAACAGAGGGAGGGAAATTGATGTTGTCATTTTGCAAGATAACTTTTGAATTCTTGTTAATGAATTATGTCCATATTTTCTCTAGCCTGTAAATATGAAACAATTTTTTGATTTCAAACAAGACGATTCTAGTTATGATTTGTAAGCAGGGATTTACTTAAATCAAAACCATATATAGCCAGACAAAAGTCCTTTTGACTCTGTATTAGTTATAGTAGTTATATTGAATGTCTTTTTTAATCTCAGTTTTGAAAGACTTCCACAAATTTTCAAAGAAACGGCTTCCTTTTGGAATTGACGAACAAGTCAACTGAATTAGGTTAGTCTAAAATCAAGGAAATTGTCGACTCCGCATTATGAATTTTTATTATTATTTTCAAGAAATGGACCAATGACTTATTACAAGTCAAGCACGAAATTACTCACCAAAATCCCTTAAACTTTGCATTACTTTTATGCCTACTAAATCTTTTTATATCGAAATGATCATTACAGATAGACCCAACAAGGAAAAACAATATGGTCAAAAAAAAAAACAAGCAAAAACAATTTCTTTTATTAAATACAGTGGAGTTATGAACTTTGTATATGTGTTACAGAATTGGTCTTGGTAAATGAACAAGTGTTCATATGTTTTAGATAAAGTCTCTTTTGCTTTTGGTAGGCCCATGTTCGTTAGTGAAAAATTGATACAATTTTTAATCTGTCCTTTTTCTTCTTATGTTACGTAGAAATATAATAATAGTTTGAAAAGTAATATGATTGATCAAACCCACCATGCAATTACCAGACCTTTCTGCTCTCAGTTATGTCATCTTAATTATTTGGTTATTATAATTTCAACTTCTTAACTAAATCGGATGATCCCTTATCGACAAAATGATTACGTTGTATTGTTACATTATTGTCATTGTTTCATTTGTAATTAACGTTCAATAGCATCATATATGTTACCAACATGTGTGACAAACACTACAAGCATCATGTTGTCTTGATTAATTACAACTCATTTCAAACACTTCAAACATAGTTTTTTTGATAAAGTCTTCAAACATAGTTCTCTGTCCGTATGTGTTACAATGTTTTGATTGGAACTTGAACAATGAGATTGTTATGTTAATTAAAAAACTTTTAATTTCGCTGTAGAGTGGATATCTTCCATCGAGTCGAACCCAAGTTAAGTATCATCGCGCATGTGAACTCCAGCTCTTGATTAAGAACCTAAGTTAAGTGAACAATAATACAACTACATATGTATATTAACATCAAAATAAGTTTCACCATAAGTTAATAATAATATATTAAAACCAAAAAAAAAAAAAAGTTAATAATATTCTTAGTGTTAAATTAGAATACAAGTATATATAAAACATAACAAAAACAACATTAAATTTTGTGTATAGCCGTAACAAATACTACAATAATTTTTTAGAAAAAAAAATATACAAGAGTCTATAACAATTTATAGCCAAAGAAAAAGTCTACTCACAATCGCGATGATGTTGTGGTACATGAACTACAGAAAAGAGGGTCAAAGGACATCATTGTCTTCTCTGTTCGTTTACCGGTTTCGTAACTAAACTTTGACGTTGGAAGCAATTGATTATCTCTATTTCCTTTATATGAATGTGAATTTATTTCTGTAGAAGAACATTTTTAGTTACAAAAAGTGTCTTTTGGTGGCTAGAACATGCTTCCCTTGGCCCCTAAAAATAATCTCAATGTATAAATAAAAAGAAAAAGATGATACACGATGATACATCTCGACCAACACGCCAATATCCTTTTCCATATAATAATTTCCATCTTCTTAAATCACTTTGACGTACCATTGCCTATCCAAACTCTATACGCTATACTATAAATAATAACCATAACTCGTTTTCATGACGTATAGTCGTACATTACATAGTATTATTTCATATTGTTCTTGTAACCAAGAAACATCTTTCCCAAAAAAAAAACTAAGAAACACAATATGGTCATTATATATGATTATATAATAATGCTAGAAGCTTCTTCCTATCATCTTCTTAAAGACAAACTAGACCGAGAATATGAAACACTTTGAGAGAGAGACATCCAAGTGGAATCCAAATTGAACAGAAAAACTCATATTTTTGGCGAATATAAATATGTTGTATCTATCTCGCGAAAATTTCACCAATTTCACCTTTCTATACGGATTCAAACTCCACAGGAAACCACCATACTAAAAGAAACTCATCAATTTAACTGCCTTCTTAATTAGTGTCCGGTCCAATAGAAAGAGTAATTAATTAGTAAGAAGTAATAACGGCAGAAGCTAACGAACCACACAAGTTACTGTCAAAGCCAAAAATTAAACTCAAATGAGTAAAACATACAATACACTAACATAAATAAAATTGTAATGGACGACATTACATAGACTCACCCTTACACAAATTCCACATTAAAGCTCTAAACAATTGAAGTATGAACAAAGAAAGAGTGGCTGTATTTTCGTAATATTCAATAATATTTATGGAATAGTTACAAATTGTGGAAATTCTTAAGAATGTCCACCCCAAAAAAACAAAAACAAAAAAGCATGCAACATGGAAAACTACAAATAAGTTACTCCCTTCTTTACGTTAATTCTCTTTAAAGCAAACTCTTCGCTCCTCAACTTCTATTTTACCAAATCATATCTCTCCCTCTAAACCCTCCCCTGTTTCACGTCACCAATCAAAGCCACAACATGTTCAAAACAACGACGACGACCCTTCTCTGTTTCCTTCTCGCCGTCGTCATCCAAGCGGACCCTTCTTCCCCCACCGCAACATACCCCCCAACTTCCACCGGCTCCTCAACAGACACGTACGTATACGCCGTTTGCTCTCCGGCCAAATACTCCCCTGGCTCCGGCTACGAGACAAACCTCAACTCCCTCTTCTCTTCACTCGCCAGCTCCACTGTCCTCAGCCGCTACACCAACCTCACCGTTCCCGCCGCCGGCGTAAAACCCGAACAAGGCGTCACCGTATACGGCCTCTTCCAATGCCAAGACGACCTAGACCAGACTTCTTGCTCATCTTGCGTGTCACGCGCCGTCTCACAGGTGGGAACCTTATGTCCGACCTCGTACGCCGGTTACTTGCAGATGCAAAGTTGCCTTGTCCGGTACGACAAGAGTTCGTTCTTCGGCGTTCAGGACAAAGCGGTGGTGATCAAGAAATGTGGTCAGTCGATGGGATTCAACGACCAGGATGCGTTGACCAGAGCCGGTGACGTCATGGGTTCGTTAGGTTCAGGAAGTGGGCCCTACAGGATTGGTGGGAACGGGGATGTTACGGGTGTGGCGCAGTGCATGAGGGATCTGAGTGCATCGCAGTGTCAGGATTGCTTGGCTGATGCAATCGGACGGCTGAGATCCGAATGTGGAATGGCTCAAGGTGGATACGTCTACTTGTACAAGTGTTACGCGCGTTTCAGCGTCAGTGGTAGTCACGCGCGTCAGACCCCAAACCCAAACTTCTTTGGTCAGCTTTCTTTTCTTTAGTTAGTATAGTATTGATTAAAACATAAGTCGTAATCACACCAAAAGATTAATTAAGAACGACAACTTTTAATATGTAAAACTCTCTAGTCAAGAGCTGTGATTATGAGAATTATTTGGATGGTGGACTTTTTAAAGATAGAAATATAAGACTTGACGTAGAAAATGTGAAAGATATCAAATTAAATGTGGATAGTCTTGGTATTTTATGAATTTATGTTTAGTGTAATTGTTTTTTCTTAGCAGGAGGAGAGAAAGATGACAAAGATGATAATAACGGCGTGGGGAAAACATTGGCGATCATAATAGGAATCATCACCTTAGTCATCTTGCTTGTTGTGTTTCTAGCTTTTCTTGGAAAGCAATGTAGAAAACTACAAGGTAATTTTTGTTTTTTTCTGTTTTATTTCGATTAAAATTTTCTCTTTATCATTATGTAAAAAATACTAAATTACTAACTTAATGAATTTGCAGATGAGAAATGGTGTACATGAAGGAACAAAGTTGTAGATCAATCAACAACTCGAGTCAAGCCACTACTAGTTGTATTTTTGTAACCCGATGTAGTTATATAGTTTTTTCGACTATATTTTTGTATTTTTGTCTTTTCGACTCGAATTTTGTATTATTGTCGGATTTATATAGGCCAAAGCGATTCAAATGAAAAATAATTGATAGAAACATCCTTCTTATCTTCTGTTTGGATATGAACGCATCATTCGATTTTGGTATCTATAAATACAATGTTAATCTTCTTTTATCAAGACAAATTAAGGTCTGCCCAAATACACACATATAGAGAATATGTTACAAAATGAATGTGTCGAGAATAATGGAACATAGCAACCGAAAATTTGGATTGAGATCCAAAACATAACATTTTGTTCGTCCTATTGTGAATGTCTCTGCGAATCTTTTCTTCTTATTTATCATTATTTATTCTCATTCAATCCGTACTGTCTAAACAAATCAATTGAAGACTTGAATTTGGTCTAATATAATTTAATCATTAAAAATGTTGCCATTTATCAAATTTTTTAGGAATTTGACAGACCAACTAACCTCTAACTCTTTTCTATCTTTTTAATATTTTCTGAAATTCTAGATGATAGGATTACACAATAGGTTCTTCTTGTGTACACCACTAATAAATAAATGACACATATATATTTGAAAATCTCAAAGTACCAAATAATATATCCTCAAATGATATTTAATACGATTTTCATATTATTTTTCAAAACTAACGTGTTCTAAATTCATCATAAGAAACTAATTTTCTGGTTTAAAGTTTAAACAAAAAAAATCAGTTGGTCAAAACTCGAAAAGAAACCTCACATGCAAAAATAGCCAAATCTACCGAACGGTACTCGTATATATTGGGCTGAAACATACTTTATGGGCCTTAGATAAGCAAAGAAAACTTACATCAGCCCATTAAGCACGCATCCTAGTCGACGTGTGGTGGCTATTGTAGTCCATCAAACATGTGACACTTCGCCTTTACGAAAGAGTCTTTGCCTGCCCATAATTTATTATTGTTGTCGACTATCGTATTACTTTTCAAAGAAGAAATTTTTTTTGATGTGATAATAATATACAGTAATATAACAAACCGTTGCATGAAAGAAGGAACCACACATTTTACATGTGCGTGTTCACGAATAAAAATCCAATAACCATTAATTCAACTATTTTTTTCTTTCTATTAAATAAAATTTATAAATATCATATCCACCGACAGATGTCTACTATCCCCAGAGAGCAAAAAAACAAAGGAACAATAATAAACACGTGGGAATAAACCGGTCAAGCCAGTAACACCAACCGTTTTTTCCCGGTGAGAAAAAGCCCCACATGGTTTTTAATTCAAGCAAGCCTTTAAAAAACCGGAACACCAAAAGTGTGTCTGCAACATTACCAAAACGAAACCTTCCCTGTGCATTCCCACTTCTTCTTGCTCTGTTTTTGTATGTTCTTTAAATCGAACGTTTGAGCACAAAGAGAGAAGTAAAATTGAGCTTCGATTGATCTTTTGAGTTTGGTTTGAGATCATGGAAAGAGATTTTCTGGGTTTGAGTGACAAGCAGTACATGAGTAACGTTAAGCATGAGGTTGACGATGATCGTGTCGGAGAAAGAGGTTTGTGTTTCTTATCTCTCTATGGATTTATATTTTTTAAAAATTTAAAGTAGAGATCAATTTAATATTGCCGTATAATTAAAGCAGGTTATTATCGTTCAAAAGTTGTTGTTTAAATATAATTTTGTAGATTCTAAAGTCTTTTTTTAAGAAATCATTAATAAGAGATTCCATCCAAATCATGCATGAAAAAGTGAGAACTGGATCTTGCATAGATGAACAAATTTGATTTGATGTTTGCTTTAGGTTTGAGCAAGAACGCAGCTAGACAATGGGGAAAGGCAAAGCTCTTGCCTAATTCTAATTTCATGTCTGCTACAGATTTTCAGGTTGGTTCAGCTTAAAACTCAATTAATAGTTTTTATTTTTGCTAGAAGGGTTTTAATCATAACAGAATTTTCACAAATCTGAAACATCATATTTTTTTATGGCCGATCTAGTGGTTCGAAAAGCTAGTTTTTCCAGACAACTATTGAACGGGAATTTAACCGGGAAATGGTCGGAAAACCAGCCGGGAATTTAAATTTATTTCTCGGAATATCTTGTTTATGTGGCCAATCATTAATGGAGGAAAAAAATAAAATTGTAAGTTGTGTTGGATAAGTGCGAGTTAAAAGCTTTGTAGGGTCACTTGCCAAGCGCCAAACTAGAAAGAAAGAAAATATACTACTAATAGAAAGAATTTTGGCATTGGCGTTTGGCGTTTGGCGTTTGGCGTCTTGATAACACCTTCGCTGGCATTTTTTTCTTTGGGTTTAATTAGAGACATACAAAAAATGTTAAGATATTGTAATGTTGACGTCTCAGGAGTCTAAGGCGTTTCCGGGCTCATACCAGTGGGGCTCAGTTTCTGCGGCCAACATTCTTCGTAGAGGCCAATTTGGTGGTGCGTTTCAGAACGCGAATCCGCTTTTACTTGGCGGATCCGTTCCTTTGACAAATTATTCTTCTCACCGTCCTGCCTTTAATTGTCCGGCGGATCCACGGTAACGTAATTTTGCTAAAACAAAATTTCAACCGTTGATAGGGTTTCCAAATATCAACCTAATATAAAATAAATTAAATAGCTTTACGTATTGAGACGGGAAAAAAAAAAACCTTTACGTTTTGATTTTTGTATGAAAAATATCTAAAAGATAACTAATTTGGTTGTGGTCTTGTGGAACAGAGTGGCTTCTTCAGGAACATCTCCTCAGCTCACAATCTTCTATGGTGGAACTGTTAGCGTCTTCAATGACATATCTCCGGAAAAGGTATACATAATCCATATTCATACAATTATATTTACACATAACATGTTCTAATAATTGACTAACTAGGCTGATGGTGAATATGTGATTAGGCTCAAGCCATCATGCTATGTGCCGGGAACGGTTTGAAAGGTGAAACCGGAGATAGCAGTTTGAAGAAACAACCGGTTCAAGAAGCTGAAAGAGTCTATGGAAAACAAATCCATAACGGTGCATCATCAACCTCTGCCACTCACTTTGATAGTTTTTCTAGGTGTATAGACAACAACCCTGTTGCTGCCACTAATGCAATGAGCATGATAGAATCATTCAATGCTGGTCCTAGAAATATGATCCCTTCAGGTACAAAATATCATAAATGAAACCAAAACTATATAAAATAAAATAAAATTTGACTTGCATTACATAAATCATATGCCTAAACTAATATAAAATGCTTATTTTCAGTTCCTCAAGCTCGGAAGGCATCTTTGGCTAGGTTCTTAGAGAAGCGCAAAGAGAGGTTTGAATTAATCGTCTTTATTTTTTGGTATAGAAAATTGAGTTCTTGGATTTAGCGAGACGTTAAGTCTAAAAGAATGGATGTTCTTGCAGGCTCATGAGTGCAATGCCATACAAGAAGATGCTTCTTGATTTGTCTCCCGAAGATTCGTCTGCTTCTCATACCTAAAAAACCTATACCTTGGTTCTTCTTTCTTTTTTAAAACCTCTCTAAGGTTTTATTTTACTTTATTTACGATGGTAATTTGTAATGTAATCACTAGATTATGATTACAGCTACCATTTATTATGTTACGAGCAGGAGAAGCCGGTACGCGTCTGTGTATTTGAGCATTGGTGTGACGGTTTAGTATGTTATTGTAGGATTGCTTTATTACCTTAAACACTAACAGATATGTTTGTCACTGTCTGTCAATAATTTCAGATCATATAAAAGTCACTACTGTTATTGTTTTAATTTATTTTTGTTACTTTGTCACAAACACATTTCATTAATTGATTATATGAAAACATTGAAAAGAGCTTGGCCACTCATCCACTATTCTTGATTAATTGTATGAGAAACCTAAGATGATATTTTCATTCAACCAACCAAAAGAAAAGACATTATGTTTGCTTTTAAATAGCGTATTTATATAGGTCTTTGTTTTATTTTGTATTAGGGAAGTGCATTTCAGAATCACTAATTTACATGTTGTAGTTCTCAATCCGAACAAAGAGGTTGATTACCAAATGTAGATTCTCTTCACAAATGAAAAGATCTGTTTAGATATTTTAATTTATTGAGGCAGAGGAATTCTCGTAGGAAATTAATATTGCGGAAGGAGATCCACCGAAGGAAAGTTTGGTAAGGGAGGACAAAACTAACGAGTTTAAACATGTAAAATCGACCACAAAAAACACGTTCCCGTTTATAAGTGGATAAGAACGAGCTTCTTGTTATCGTTTTGCACCTCTTTCTCTCTCAATCTTTACTCTTCTTGTCTTTTCATGCCCCCACCAAGTTGCGTAATCTGAGCTACCACTTTATTATTCACAAGTTTGTTGTTTGGGCTAGTTTTGGTCGTTTTGTGTTTAGCTTGCATGTTTCATGAACTAGTGGTTGTGTGCTTCTATCTTTTATGAACCTCCATTGTTCAAGTTTTTCTGGTGATATTTGGAAGAAGTAGTTGCAATGTTCGATGTTGTAGTTAGAGTTTATATGTTGCGATTTAGAATTTAAATATGGACAATATTGACCACGGACATACCCAACGTATATGATAAGAGCAATACCGAGTAACGCTTCAGATAAAGAAGATAAACCTTCAACATGGTAAGATCTTAAAACTTTCAAAACTAGTGAACGTTTAAAAAGCTTGTGAAAGATTAAAACTAATGAAATTTTCAAAAAGCTTACTTGCCAACTTTTCCGAAAAGCTTGTAGAATCATATGCTATATTATATTTCCGATTATACTTGAAAAAATGTCTTAAACAGTACATGCTATCAAAGTATCAATGTTGCTATCAAAGTATCAATGTTGCTTTCAAAAGTTCTAAAAGCTTGTTAGTTTATGATAAATTCAATTCGCTTTACTACGAATTCGTAATGAGTGTCCACTACAATACACGTAAATAGTACAATTATGTCAAATGAAAGGTATTTTTCGCCAATAAAATAAGAAGAGAGTTTGTGAGAATGTAATTTGGTTAAATTAAGTTTTCAATTTAGGCTATTCAACAAATTGCCCTTAACTAACACTATAAAATTTTGTTGTCCGAGAACGTAGCTTTCCCTTACTTAAATGTCTTTATTTTTGCCTGATAAGAGACAACACACACACATGGGTTTTGGACAGTGACCAAAACTATAAACTAAACTTGTATTATCTCCAAGGTTTTTGTGAGCAAAAACTTGTTCTCTAATTAAGCTTTGTCGTGGAAATTTCTTGTTCTCTCAGTACACCACAAGGACATAAAGACTGGACAGACATTAATATATCCCAATCAGCAATTTAACATAAATCAACCAAAAACACATATATGTCTTACGTTTCAAAAGACATTTTTCTAGGTAATCCATGAATTTGTTTTCTTCCATTTACGGAGTATGTATCTTAAGAAAATTAAATTTAAGAAAACCATAATTATAGAAATTAAATTTCTAAACATATCAAATTCAACAGAAAACAAATGGTACGGAACCTGAAAAGAAATAAAGAAGAAACTAATTTATCAAAACTCACTAAAAAGTCTTCAATTTTATTTCTTTAACTTTTCATTTTTAGTTAAATTGACGTCTGACAATACATTTCATCCAGTTTTGTTTACTCTTAACAACATCAGGTAGATTAGAAGCCCAAACGGCTTCATCCCACCCACTATATCATGAAGGCAAGCCCGGCCCATTGGGGATACATAAACAAGATCAATGCTCCACAGTTCACCAGCGTTTTCAAATCATGCACAGTTTTGAAACCGTGGACTTTAGGTTCATTGAATCACCATTGTTACAGAATGCGATTCCCAAGTGTTCATTGCCACTAGTTTGATTGTTGTACGAAGAATTTAAAGCTTAGCTGAAGTTTAATTTAAGTAACAACTGGGAAACATAAGTTTAATTTCACACCTGACATACATAACTCTTTTCTCTTTTTTTTTTTGTCAACAACTCTTTTCTCTTCTTCACTAATTACGGGCTTACATTACAATTGGTTAATTAAGTAGAAAATAAGGAGTGACAATAACATTCAAAACAAATAAAAAAAGGTTTAGGGTGGCCTAAAGTTTCCAGCACACCTCTGAAAGGAGACAGAGAGAGTAAACTAAATAAGACCATTCCTCCTCATTGCCAAGAAGAATGAGTCGAGAAGTAACCGAGAAGCCCAACGAGTGGTGCGTTGATGTAAGTCGTGGGCTCCGACTGGACGAAGTAAGGCCTCGAGTCAGGAAACGCATCAGTGACATTAGGTCCACCCACTACAGCACCAACAAGAAGGTTCGGGTTTGGGTTTGGGCTTAGGTAATAACGAGAGCCTTCCTTGCAGCCTATACGAGCTGGATGGGCCGAAACCGAAGGAACAGAGCTTCCACGGTGGTGAATCCTACGTGGAAACTTTTGACCGTACCCAACCATGTAAGACATTCCCAACGGGTTGTCTCCCAAAATGTAATCCACCTAAAAATCATAAAACGGCTATGTCTTAAGATTTGGTCCAAAAACAAAACGGCTATGTGTTTTGGTTTTTTGGGTCCAAAATGTGAGAAATTATTTTTTGGGACCATTTTTTTTTTTTTATTTACCTGACGTTTGGCGATTTGGCGGAGGAGAGATGGGGAGGCAGTTAATTCGCCACAAGGCACAACCTTTTTGGCATGGCTCAGATAATTAGAGTAAGCCAATAGGAGGAAAGATAGTGATGTTACATGTTGCATGTTACTCCCTCCAGTTTTCACAAGTAGCCCTCCTGTGTATGTGTATGTAAGACAAAAAAGAGATTACTACTTCTGATTAACAGACATTTTTTTAACCAATACTATATACTTTTAGAGTAAAAGACAAAAGTTGATCACGTGAAGTTGAAAAACAGAGAAAAAAGCAGGGTCTTGCTTTGATACTGGGAATTAAGAAAAAAACAATGATGGGTTATTATAATTTACCTCGAGAGTATTGGACTTGAGGGTGAGAGATTCCAGGCAATATAGAACAGATAAACCCATCTGCGTTCTGCTTGAAAGACTCAAAATACTCTGCTTTTCCCATTAGCACTTCCTGTTATCAAAACAAGACAAAAACAACTTTATTTAAACCAATGCAATACATTATACATATATGAATCACGGTTTAAGGACATGGATAACAAGGAATGGGCAGTGAATGATGCATTAAAAAAAATACAAGAAACAAAAAAACAGAGAGAGCCATGTGAAAGAGTCCTTGACAATTGACATATCCTTTTCCTAAGCAAAACCAGACCGTTGAGAAATGACAAAACGAAAAAACCCACTTAGACATTTGCAGCAGAATGGGAACTGGTAAAGGATATGACACTTTAATTTTTATTTTTCTTCTTTCCTCAGTCTTTGTGCCACATGCTTTGCAGCAGTAAAACAAAGACTTCTTTACCCTTTTCCTCTTTTATTGTCCCCACTTGGACCCAATAGGCCTGAACCTCTGATACTACTAATAATAATGTTGGTATAAACTCTATGCAACCTTAGTTTTCATTACTTTATCCAAAACCACATAATAGGAAGTTTGATCATGTGATACACCACATGCAAACCTCCTTCATACTGTATACATTTCACCTACCTACAATGGAGGATTATCAAGTGTCTAATATTTTATATAAACGCACACTTTTTATCCATTTCACTATCGTCATGGCTCATGGGGCCATGTGAGCCTCTGGCTTCCATTTGGTAACGTTATAATATTAAAAACTATATGATGCCAAATCTAGGAGCATATCGAACACACACAGTGGACAACAAAAAATTAAAGGGGAATGTCCAATGAGGTATGTCTTACCTTAAGATTTTAGCTCCCACATCACATGACTATTTCTAATTGGCTATTTTCTCATGTGCAAGGTCTAATCATCCATCCCATAATTAATACTCTATAGTTTTAATAACATCATCATCACCTTTTTCTATATAAGCACGACCCTAGCATGCCTTTTATCTACCTAAACAAAAGACTCAAATATTTTTGTTCACACACCTAAAAAGCTTTAAATGAAAACACTAATGGAATTAGCAAAATAACTAGATACTAGGACCCATAATTGTAAATGTGAACCCCACTCCCAATTATATGATCAAAAGTCGTGCCTCAAACACGTGATCACCAGACACACTCCATCTCTCTCTACCTATGTTAATTCAATTCCTTATACATTAGTAGTCCCCTTGCAACCAAACAAACATAGAAACCAAAAAAAAAACAAATAAACACCACTCTTTCCATATAATTTGACAAAACCAAATCTTGGTTTCTTGATCAACAATTAAGGTCTAAAATCTACAATAAATGCACACCAAAAACAAGATTAATAACTGAGGTAATTAAAGTGTTTACCTTGGAGATCAAGACATTGATCCCAGCGTGCTTATTGTCCCAACCAAACTCATTGATTGTATCTCCAGCTCTGAGAACCACCTCATTCTTCACAATGAATTCTCTGTACGCTCGTTTCCTCGAGGCTTTGTGCAGCCACGCCGCACCCCACAGTAACTCATCCTGCACCATTAAACACACCACATTAATCATCCAACGTGCTGATAACAAAAACAGTAAAAAAAAAAAAAAACACAAGTTGAGTGGAGGTAAAGTAACTATTGTTTTTACCTGGTAACCGTTGAAATCACAGTAAAAAGGACACACCGCATGGTAAAGACTGTTACTGTACGCGCCGCGATATCTGTTTGCAAACGCGAATACCTGCGCCCACGTTACGTGTGTCGTCAAATTTCAACAAGTTTTTTCAGATCCGTGAATGCAATATATCTTCTCAAACGTCAGGAATTATTCATTCAAACGTACATATACGTAAGAAAAAAATACTCAAACAAAAAAAGACAAAATCATTACGTTAGGTGAATAATTTTTACTTTGAAAAAACGAATCATAGAAATGGGCCAACTATCAACGAATAAAAGTACTGAAAACAAAAAAAACAAACATTATTAGAGCATCCGTATTGCACAGCTCAAGTAGGAGCTCTATAATAATAATATAAAAAGGATTTTCGTAATAAAAATAAATAGAATAAAGAAAAAATAAATGCAACCAATGATATAGTGACACTTGTAGAGTTTTTCTTCTGATACGCTTCTTTAACCTCTGCTAACAGAGACGGTTCTCTTTATTTTGAGTGCCATGTCATTTCTTTTTAATTTTTCTCTTTATTTTTTTACATCAGAACCCCTTATAACTTGTGCAATGTGGATGCTCTTAGGAATGCATATGGGAGAGAATCTCTTATCTCACAAGCAAAGAATAATCGATCAATTGAAACTTTTGACTATATAAACCATTTATTATCTAGAAAAAGACAAACATAAAAATATATAAATGATAAATTTGGAAAACTTTTTAAAAAATTGCTTTGACGACCTATATACGCGTTTGATAAAACAAAATAACAAATTGTCTCCAAGTCTCCACAGTGAGAATATTAAAAAAATTAATTAAACATAATTAATGAACACACACACATGAGAGTAAATGCTAAGAACAGAGGAATGTTCACACGTACCCTTGTGGCACGGTCAAGCAACCGCCTGGAGTAAGCAGGATCGCGTTTCCTGAAAACGATAGAAGCTGCGGCCAACGCGGCGGCGGTTTCACCGGCGACGTCGGATCCGGGATGAGCTCTGTCGATTTTGTAGACTGTGCGGAGAGTGTCCATGTCCTCGGGACGTTCCCAGCAGTTGTGGTCGGAGTAAGCGTCTCCGACCTGGACGAATACGACGCCGGGAATCGCCGTCGCTTTGAGAAGGTAGTCCGTCCCCCATCTCACGGCTTTCACGGCGTTTTTCAGCTCCGGCCCCATCGTTTTCCCGAAATCGATTATGCTCCATGACAGCATTGTCGTCGTGAACGCCATCGGAAACCCGAACTTGATGTTGTCTCCGGCGTCGTAGTAACCACCGGACAAATCCACCTGAAATCAGTTAAAAAGCATAAAATCAGGAGTCGGAAAACGGAAATTGAAAGAGAGGAGACGAAATGTGGACTCACGCCGGCGGAGGAGCCGTCGCGCAATGCGGAGTCGCGGCGCCATCGGAGACGTTGATCGGGAGGGAGCTTGCCGGAGCGCTGACCTTCGAAGAACATGATGCTTTTGCGGAGCGCGTCGCGGTAATCGTGTCCTCCGGCGTGGATCGACGGCGAGAGTAGTAGAACGAGGAGGAAAATCAGGGGGAGAATCGCCGGAGTGATTTCCGGGGAAATTAGGGATTTTCGCGCCATTTTCTCTCTCTATTTTGTTGTTGTTTGTTTCTGTTAGTAGAGAGAGAAGACTGTGAAGAGGGAAGCTGATAGGACCAACGAAGGGGCTCTTTATACTAAAAAGGTCCTCTTGGATTCCAGAGGAAGAGCCAATGAATTGTCTCCACGTGGAAACTTTGGATTGGACGCTGCTCCATGTTAGATTGGTTATGGGGTTTGGATTCCGAGGCAGCATTTCGCTTGACCGGGTAAGAACCGGATTTAGCGAGTCGGGTTTCGAACCGGATATGACGGGTCGGGTTATAAACCGGGTTTTGAGCGTTAATGCGGACGGCGTGTACGCCGTCGGTACGGTGAGAGAATCCAAAAGAGTGGAAATCTGTGAAACGAAATAATGTAGAAAGACAAAAAAGCCTTACTTTTTTTGTTACCATGTGACCCACCGCCCTATTGGCATGCGACACGTGTTGTGATTCAATTAGGTGTTTTTGGAGTTTTGTGATTAATTTGATTTTTCTTGTTGCCTTTACTCTTTTTCACCAAGGCATAATCAGTAATTCACTGTTGAATTTTTTTCATATAGTTTCCCCATTAATTCAGGCTTTTTTGGACCTACAAATTAGAAAGAGATTCCTCCATCCATGAACTTCTTAAGCATTTTGTTTTATTAGCAATTAGAAAGAGATTTTAATAGCAATTTTTGTAAAACAACTTGTGGTTGTGATTATGAGGGTCATAAAACTCGATCTATATAGTAACGTAATAAATATTAGCTAACAACAAATTCTCGTCGATTTGCAATCTGTAATTCCACTTTAGTCATGTGATGTGTGTTTGGACAAGACATCGCATTTAGTTGATTCTGGAATGAACTTATTATATACTAGTAGTTTTTATAAAAGATTATGATATTCTTCTTAATGTTATTCGACAATGCCATCGCAATTGATATATTTCCTGATATTTTTTTCTCTACAATGCCATTGCAAGTCCTTGTTTTTGAGTCTGTTTATGTTCATAGCATAATTGATCACCATTACCAGCCATCGACGAACGTAAAGAAAAATAAAAACATTACCAGTCATCTATTTAAGCACATTATAGTTGATATGTTGCTAACATGATTTACCGCAATATTAGATGCAACAGGATTACGTGAGGAATTAACCGTGAGAATTTATCTGGTTTCTTTTAACCGACGAGAGAATTACCTCTAACATAATCTAATCAGAGAATGTATAGAATCCCTTGAAAAATCGGATGCAAACACAAATTTAAACAAATAATAGCCTCGTGCATGGCACATGAAACTGATAATCATTATTTAGTATTCAATTATATACTAATAATAACTACAGAATTAATTGTCGGGACAATTAATGAGATAGCTGGACATATAGGAATATTAATAGGACATGAATTATCAACGAATGAAACAAAGACACAAAGAAGTTGTACTCGAAATTAATAGCAAATGCGACATATGTCCGCACATATTAATGAATGAGTAATGATCTTTATCCAATTTAAATGTCCGGATAGTACGCTTAATCACTACAAGAAATCAGGGAAATAGCATTAGTTAATTGAAGTTATTTTGACAAATGATGTTAAGTTTTCTAAATAGAAGGATTTTAACATTATTTTGCAAAGTGACATTAAGTTAACTAACCCATCTTATAAGCTCACTCTTCAAAATACTTATTTTCAGTTAGATTTAGTGTGTTTTATTTAAGTGATGTTAACAAACTTAGCATCATTGAGTGTTGTGTTACTTTTGCGAGTGACTTTAAATTGTTAGAATCATTTTTAAAATGATGTGAACCATGTTTTAAAGTAACGTTAAATCCCTTGTTTTTTGTAGTGAATCACGCGATGGCTGTCCTGTTTCAATGAAATTATATGTTTGCTTTAAAAAAACAAGCAATGCCATAACCCTTATCCGACGCTGATTCAAAAGAAAAATACGTTTGTAAACAATAAGAAACCAACAATTTAAAATTTTTGTAATTCTTCGTGTGTTGCTAGGGTTTTAGTTCACAAAATGGTGAAAACGCGGATAAAAACCTATGTTTTCATAAAAAATCCCAATGGTTTAATGGTTGACTAAACCCGAAACGATTGTATTATAGAGTTGATGCATGTGATCCTCCTCGCTGTATCTCCCACGTAACTTTTGAAGTCTTCTTTTTCTTTATTGTTCTCACCTAAATTATTTTCTTTTCTCATAACCAAATAAAAAATGGACGACCAAGAAAAAGAGTGAGCAGAAAAAGTAACAAGAATCATGATACGGTGATGTCTTTATATCCGCCACGAATTTAGGCCGAATGGCCGATTAATTAGTATCATCGAGGGCATATTATTGTAGACAATCAATGCGATCTATGTGGCAGCGTATTTGTGGATAACGTAACATTTGGGTTAATTATACAAAAGTAGTGATCTAAACTAAAGTATATATTTATATAGTCTCTGCGAAGTTTTTTAGAACGTGTTTTGATAGTGTATGGATAGATCATTGCGTAAATATAGCTGATCATGCCAAAATCAAAGGATTCATAATTCTTGATAATAGGTTGAAGATCACAGGATTGGAATTAAACAACATCAAGACAGAATGTGACTTAAAGCGCACAGTATTGGATTTAAATATTGACGATATCAAATCAAGCCAAGCCAATGGTTATAAACAATCATGACAGTGAGAGTAATCGTGTGATTGAAAAAATGAAATCATGATATATTTCAAATCTTCTTTTATTGGTGTTTGGAGGAGTACTTACTTATAAAGATTTTTAAAGACCATACACCTTCGTCCTAACTTTTTTGGGTGTTTAGAAATACTTGGCAAGAATGAAAGATGCGTTTTTCTACCTCACAGAATTCTCATATTGTAATATCTTCTTGGACTTCTTCACTATTCATCTGTTATGATTAGTTTCTGAATCAAATCGTCCACAGGAACCTTGTCGTCTTTGTCTACTTGAGCTGCGTTTTGAAGATCCTGATAAGAAGCAAATCTCATAAGTTAAATTCTAAGGAGACATACATCTATATATACATCGCTTATAAACATGCTACAATATCAAAAACATTTTTTACAAACCACTTACATGAGAAATCTGTTGCTTTGCCTTGTTTTCTTTAGCTCGTGTTTCTGCTTCATGCAGAAGTGCCTAATAAGTAACAAAATAACATATAGTATACGTTAATGACAAGAGATACATCTTTTATACACAGAGAGTAGTTATCTCAACAAACTTGTACAGTAATAATATAGAGAACAAACTGATGAAAACATAAAATCTCTGTAAAAGTACTCGAAACTATCCACAAACTATAAATTTTCACAGCACTTGAAACTTGACCAAACACATCTGGTAAATTTCGAAACTCACAGCGATATCAACAATCGATTTCCTCAGATCACTTCCATAAAACAGAAACCCTAAGTGAAAACCGAATCAAAATTAGGGTTCAAAGAAAGATACCTTAATCTGAGACACGAGTTGTAAACATGTATCGAAATCCTTCATCAAATAAGCCTCCTTAAATTTCTCTACATAACGATCCATGGTTTGCTTTGGATCCATATCACTCTGGAACTTTCCTTTCCCTCTTCGTCGTCGCAAAAAAGTTTCCCTAATTTGTGATGAACTTAAGTTATTATCAGCCTGAATAAAATCTAAAGCCATATTTTTAATATAAAACGGGCACATAAAGCCCATGGTGCATGTTACAGTACTAGAGTAGACTATACAATGTTACAAATGGGCTAATCTTGTTTTAAAAGTACCTCATAATTAATTTTCTGTTTATTCAAAATAACTCTCGCAGTTCAATTCCGGTAGTAAGTTAATAAACGTGTGTTAAAAAGATTTTTTTATTATTAACATATGCATGTATAAGTTAGATTTAAAGAAAAAAGACATTTAAAAAAACCCTATAAACTCTCTTAGGAAGAGTCATCAATCCAATTCCAAAGACACATACACAAAGGTAACAATGATGAGACATTTTCTTTTTCTTCTTCTTCTCTTCTCTTCCCTTCTCCCATCAATCCTCACCGTTGATTCCCCACTCCCAGCACCCGACTCCGACGGCTCTGATTTCATCCGCACGAGCTGCAACGCCACACTCTACCCCGACCTCTGCTTCTCCTCTCTATCTTCTTTTGCCAACTCCATCCACAATGACTCCAACCGCCTCGCACGGTTAGCTATCTCCTTCACTCTCTCCAACACGCACCACCTTCTCTCCTACCTCCAAAACGCTTACGGCAACTACGGTGGTGGACCTCACAACTCAACAGCGGCAGTCCTCAAGGACTGTTTCGAGAGTCTTAAGGATGCGGTCAACGAGATGAGAGATTCGATGAAACAGATGAAGGATGTTGACTCCACGGGCTCGGTCCAGTCGTTTAGGTTCCAAATGAGTAACGTCAAGACTTGGCTCAGCGCAGCTTTAACTTACGAGTATACTTGTACGGACGGGTTCGACGACTTCCACGAAGATAACTCCATCAAAGTTGACGTATGCTCACGAGTCGATGACGTTAAGAAGCTGACCAGCAATGCGCTTGCTTTAGTTAACCACTACGCCGATAAAGCAATACCTTAGTCAAACATCATTCATCGATCGATCAAGTCTTTCTTTTTCTTGGAAAAAAAAAAGAGTTCGTATATACATAAAAATGTATTAATAAATAAACAGTATCTTTCGTTGTTAGCTGTAATACTAGTATACTAATGTGAGTTTTCTTATGTTGTTAATATATTCTTGTATGAAATTATTGTTTACTTCAATTGTTTAGTGAGGAACGTTAAGAGAACGTGATAAATAACTAATTAAACGATATGTTTCGCGTCTATAAGTAGGATTCTTGATTTTAGTGATGAGTCATTAAGAAGCCGTCGATGCATAATTGACATTGCATGCATGCGCTGTAACTCCCGATACAACTTGGGACTTTTGTAGTTTATACTATATGATAACAAATACTCGGGTTTCGAATATGTATTAGTAAGAAATGATCCAAAGGTAGAATTTTCTTTAGAAACGAGAACTACAGGTTTAGATAATTCTATGATGAATGGAAAAAACGTATTCAATCACTGAGCCCATGAGTCTTCATAGATGTATGTATTATAATACATCAAGATACATATATTTCGGTTGACGCGATATCACTATCCAAAATAATTGGAAGATGAGGTAAACGAGAGAGGTACAATCAATCATACACTATATTTAATGTGCTAATGTCTCTATTGTGATCATATGCTTTGTACACGTATATTAACCAATACGGACAAAAAGAGCCAACTCAAATAGAGTTTCTCACATGTTACGAAATAACATATGAAACTCATCGCATTTTACCCTATACATTACTATGAAATGCAATTTACAATAGTCATATATCCCACAACAAGTATTAAGTTTACTAGAAAAGTTGGGGATTTCAGTTAGTACATGGTTTTTCATACCATCCCTTACTTTGTAATTCTGAATTATTCGTCGTATACTCTACATTCAGTTTCCGATCTACCTTTTTTATTTTCTGAAATCTGTTATACGACAGTATGTTGTTTAAAATCGAAAAAAATTGGGACGCGAAAGTCCAACACTTTGAACTACATTCAACGCATGCAACACCTACTAGACAGTACTAGTTGACGTCTAAGATTATGAGTCAACTCCATAAAACGAATATAGTACCAACTCTACAAATGACAAGATATTTTTATACAACAAAATGTTATACCTGTTTATATTTCCTAACATTTTTTTTCTTTTGAGGACTCTCCTTACGTATAGTTGTAATTTCACCGAAAGTTAGTCTAAAATCATTCTAAATTTATGTGTTATCAAATGCAGATTCTCCACTTGTTAACCTATACTTTGAATATTGAAGCAAGAGAAGTACCCAAAGGTATATTAAAGAGCTAACTTTATATCAATATAAATGTGTACTAAAAAAATTGATGGTTAGCTAAATCATTAGTCATTGTTGAGACAAAAACCTAGTAAAAGACAAGAGATATGGAAAAAGGACAAAGGAAGAATGCCTAAACTGGGAGGAGTGTTTGGATGGTAATGAAGAACCAAATAAGCTAGAACCCGTGAACCATCTTTTTCGTCTAAACTATATACAAACTAACACATGCCTCGGGCGCTACCACTCTTGTTTTCTCTCGTTCGTTTATCTTATAAAACAAACCACACTAATAGATAATTTTGTAATCATGTAATGAATCAGCAAAATATATTGTGTTGTAGAGCAACATAATGTAGCGTCTAAATTAAGAATATATTACAACGGTGTATCATGTGGTTGTAATAATGTTAGTTATGATATACACTTATCTAATTACAAATCTGGCTTTCCATCACAACAATCTATTGGATCCAGGTATTACATTGTTGCCTTGTTGGATCGTTTTAGTTCATGCCAAGTGTCCATCTGCCACACATGCTTTGATATTCTCTCACCATTTTTTTTTTCCTCTTGACTTGAGAACTCGTACAAATCAACAAATTTAATTGCCAGCAATATGTATATATATTTCAGTAAGATAAATGTTTTAGAAGTTTGATTTTGTAAGTTAACAGATAATTCGAGTATAATAAACAAGAAAAAGAAAGAAAAAAACCCAAATTCATAAGAATTGAAGTTGGATTAAAGAGTAGACATCATCATCTGAAAGCAGTCTTATGTAATGACGGTTGGAGCTGATCGGCCGGTGAACTCTTGCATCTTCGACAGCTTCAAAGCAACATCGACCTGTGAAAATCAAACAGTAAACAATTGGTGTTACTAAACATGACAAAGATGAATTGAGTAAACTATTAATGTAATTAAGATATCTGAAAACTGACCAGAGGAGCGAGAGCATCCTGAGAATCTCTGCCGGTCTTTGACGCGTCCTTCTCGTACTGTTCAATGTAAAGCCTGATTGTTGCTCCTTCCGAGCCAGTTCCCGACAGACGGAACACCTTCGGACAAGAGAAACAAAACAATCTTTGATTAGCTTTTTTGTGTTTAACTAAATTTACCAACTCTTGACGTTGTCATAAGTTTTAGGTAGAGATCAAACTTACAAGCCGTGATCCATCCTCGAACAAGTATCGGATCCCTTGGTGCTTCGAAACAGAGCCATCTACTGGATCTTTGTATTCGAATTCATCCGCGCTCGCAACATTCGCCACTTCCGGATGCATTCCCTTCACCATCCTGAAACAATTCATCCAACAACTCTTCTTGAGTATTGATAAAAGGAAATGTATTTCAAAAGAAGTGAAGAAAGACGAACTTGTTGACTTCAGGAAGTGAAGACTGCAACTTAACCAAGAGCCCCATGAGTTCTTTAGCTGCAGCTGCGTCTACGTTCTTTTGAAGAGATCTAAAAATTAGTAAACCGTATTGTCTACTCCGCAATATTGTGAAGAAACTAACATATTTACCTCATAGTCGTATCGAGTGTAATAGTGACGGCCATAAGTAGCCCAGTGCTGGCGAACAATGTCTTCAACCGTCACCAGTTTCGCATTCCCGTCAAGGGTTTCCTTGTTCTTGTGAGCTAGTATAGACAACCAAGCAAGAACTGCCCAGATTCCGTCTTTCTCACGGATATGATCCGAACCTGTGGATAAGCTTCTTTGTTGAGATTTGTAGAGTTGTTAACGTTTCAACACATACTGTGAAAATATAGAAACAGAGGCTAACCGGTTCCAAAACTTTCTTCTCCACATACAGAGCACATCCCAGCATCCATAAGATTGCCAAAGAATTTCCAGCCTGTTGGAACCTGGAATATTATAGTCATGTTAGAGAAACGGACTGTGTTGCGTATAGAGAAGCTACACATTAACATGTACCTCAAAGAACTTCAAATTCAAGTTTTTGGCAACGACATCAAGAGCAGCAGAGGTTGGCATGCTCCTGAATCAAGAATGTTAACGTTAAAATTAATGTATGGCCTGAAACAGATAAAGCAAGAATCCGGATGCATACCTTGCAACACCTTTTAAACCAGAGCTGAAGTATGGTATAGCCGCAACAGCATTTGCAGCAATTATGGCAACCGAATCCGAAGGAGTTACGAAAAACCTATGAACAAGATATAATATATGTTTGGTTATAGGTGATATCACGAGCTCCAAATCTCTGTGCTTACTTTGAAGAGCATTAGCAGGCTATACCTTTTACCAAGGACCATGTTACGGTCTGCATCACCATCAGCAGCGGCACCAAACTCTGGAGGATCAACAGCAGCATCAGTTTTACTCAATCCCATGCGTGCCACGAGCTCCTTAGCGTATGTAAGATTGGGATCTGGATGTCCTCCTCCAAAGTCTTTCTGTACATTGTTGTTTTTGTGATAAAAGACCATGTTTCAAGGTGTAATTGACTAATTTCTCATCATATTAGGTGACAATATTGCCTGATATAACAGAAATGGTACCTTTGGTACGCAGTTCAACAACGAACTTTCTTGTGCGCCGAGTTCTTCAACAAAGATTCGGTGTGCATAGGCTCCAGCCACTCCATGCAATGCATCATAGCTTCATAAAACAGTTGCAAATAAGAAACAGGCAAACAAACTCAGAAGGAAATGTTTAGGGACTTTGGGAAACTACATACCAGAATGTAAATTTTGGAGACGAAAGCAGTTTCTTGATGGATTCAAAGTCGAAGATTGTCCTGAAGATACGAGAAAAATCTTTTAGATCATTGAGAACGCAAACCATTCTATCAACTACCAAGATGGAATTACATACTTCATTAATTTGACATAGTCGTCTGCAGAATCAAAAACTTCAACGTCAAATTTTCCATCCGGTCCCTCAAAGCTGGTTATACCAATAGCAGAAATATCAACCTGTTGCGTTCAATCATAAAGATTACAAAAACCATGATTAGTAAATACAAGATGAAAAAGATGATGACTAATAAGAGGATCATTTTGAAATGTTAGGTACATACACTAGGTAGATCTTCCGCAATAGGGTACTCTTTGATTGTCTTTGTGTTATCGTAAATCTTGTCAGTGATTGATTCAGGAGCTGGTCCACCATTTTCCATGTTGTATTTAATTCCGAAATCCTGAGACAGAACAGCATAGCATATCGTAGAGGTGAACGTACGTATATTTTACGAAACTGGAGGAAGGATGATGAGTGAGAACAAGAAGAGGACTGACCTCAGTAGGGCCACCAGGATTATGACTAGCTGTTAATATAAATGCTCCTGTGGCTTTAGATCCCTGAAATTGGAGACTCGGCTTAGTTTCTCATCACGTCAATAGCCAGAAAGAAAAACAACTAGCATGAGGCTAGAGGAAGATATCTCACATCGTCTCCTACTCTTTCACGAATAACAGCTGATACAGCAGGAGTTGAGAGCAGACTGTTTTGACCAACCCACACACGTCTAACTCCATTTGCTGCAGCCAACTTAATTATAATCTGTCCAGGTAGTAAACAAAGTTGTATAATCAGCTTAAAAGTATGATACATTATGATGAGAAAGAAACAAAACAGTCCATTTTATACAAGCAGCAGGTCAATCAATGTTAGCCAAAAGAACTCGCAAGTAGTGAAACAGAACAAACAGTAACAAATAAGCTAGTAAGACTAAGTAAATCTCTATTCTAGGAGTTGGACGCAAAACATAGTTCACACTTCACACAGACCTCAGAAGACACAATGAAATGTAAAATATTTTACCTGAATAGCCTCCTCCGAGTAATACCGTCCATCACCAGAGACCACAAGTGTGGCACCTGCACAAGTTAACAAAAATACTCATGCTTTAAATGGAATTTTCAGTTCTCTAAGGCAACGTAATGTAAACAATCATCTACCTTTGACTTTCTCTGGAGTAAGAGCATTGAACGTTGCCTGGACAAAATTTTCCAAGTAATTGGGTTGCTTGAACACTTTCACCTGTCAAATTACACCAAAACACAGCATCCATCAGAGAGAGTCCAGAGATATCATCGGAAAAACAAACTACGCAGTCCCTTAGTTTTCAGGAGAGATTAGAATTACGATCAAAACACAAACGCAGTCCAAAGCGTCACCATGTTGCCGCATCAACATCAACTTCAACGGAAACTATAATTTCAAATCTACAGCATGCGCGAAAATGAAACAATGCGGAATTCAAATCTCATATGATCAGATTATATGGTTTAACTAAATCACCATCAATTCAGTTCTAAGATCTACAATCTTCTGATATAACAAAAAAGTAGACGATCGTATTCGCGATCGAGACAAACAAAAGGTTACAGAGTGGAGAAATATGAAATCAAATTCGTTGCGATCTCCATCAGAAATAATAACAGATGCAATCCAATTCCGAGAAGAAGAAAAACGCGAGCTCGATAAAACCAATCGAAGCGACGAACCTTCTTACGGAGTCCAGAAGTTCCTGGTTTCTGGCCATCGATAGGCGATGTAGAGACGACAGAGACCTTGAACGACACCATTTCTTCAATCTGAAAGAATAAGAAGCAGAAGCAAATCGAATGAGCCTGAAAATGAGAGAAGAAGAAGAAGAAGAAGAAGGATGATGATAAAAAAATTAAAAAGCCACTTTACGCTTGTTTAGTGGGAGGCTAAACGAGAAGGTGACGCGTGTGGCTCGTCTCTTTTCGGCTTTTTAGTGGACCTCTCTAACTTTTACCCAAACCCAAAAGTGAATTATAAATCTACAACGCTTCTCTCGCTTTTTTACGCGCCATGTAAATAAATAAATATTTCTTCTATTTCAAATTAATAAATTTTCTAAGACTTTTACATTAAACAAATTCATGTTCTGATTATATATTTATAATTTTTTAAAATAAAACAACTTTGTAGCAATGTTAAACCAATAAAAATCCAGAAAAACATAACTATTGACATTAAAATCTCTGTTTGTTTTAATCAATAAAATATTTTAAAAATATATAAATTTTATCTTTAAGAAACACCAAAAAAAGACTAGAAAATGCATTACTCATAGTCATAAAGGAACAGAGAGTATCTCGTAACTCTAAAAAAAATCAGTTAAATTGTACTACCATCAGTTATTTTCATAAACAGTTTATATGGAGTAGAAAATAATTGTTTACAGTAACCTTTGTGTTAAAATGTTAACTGAAAAAAAAGTGTTTTAAGTAGCGTGAATGGTCTCATTGTCAGAGAGTTCAATATCCAAATCCAACCAGAGAATATGCTTTTTTTTTTCAATTCGTACGAGGCTAATAATGGTCGACCTCAAAAAAACATGACAATGATTTTATTTTCTTTCATACTAATGTAAACAAATGAATGAAATTTGTTTTGCTATCATACAACACTAATTATCTATCACTAACCACAGTCAAAAACAAATTTAATTTACTAGTCAAACCAAAAAAAAATCATGCGGCTCACTATTTACAATCACATGTAAACCAAACCAGAGACTTATATACTTCAATAACTCATAGGTCGTTTCCCGTTAGGGTCCGAGCTAGAGCTCGCACCTGCACCAGCACTTCTAGTGGCGTGAGCCCGAGTCGGAGTCCTAGAAGACGCCGGAGTAGCTCTCCCAGTTCCAGTGTTCGAGTTCAAGTTCGAACCAAAAGAATCTGTACTCGAACCAGTGGTCGAATGTGTACCAACCGAGGAAACCACCCCAAAAGGCCGATGATGATGCGTTCTACGTCGGTACCTAGACCCCGCTACACCCGGACCGTCCGGTTCTTCTAAATTTCCCGGTTTTCTCGAGAGAAGCAGAGACACTCGTCTCATAGTCGGTCTCTCGTGCGGATCGCCTTGAACACAGAGTAAACCAATATGAACACAGTGCTTGACTTGCTCTGGATCAGCCGAAGCTGCTATCTCCGTGTCAACTATCTCCATCGACCTCCCTTTCTTGTACAACTTATACGCCTAGAGAGTGTCACACAATCAAGAAACATCTTTAGCTTCGGTTTCAAAACAAGAACTTGAGACGAGAGAAGAGACTAGAGAGAAGCTTATGGACTTACCCATTCAAGAAGAGTCAGGTCAGGATGTCTCATACTAAAACTAGAACTCTTCTGGCCGCTGATGATCTCTAGAATCACAACCCCGAAGCTGAACACGTCTGCTTTCACCGATAGAACACCGTGCATTACATACTCCGGCGCCATGTAACCGCTAAAAGAGTCCAAAAGACGTTTTAGCACAAACAACATGTAAAGGAAGGGTTAGAGAGAGAGAGAGAGAGAGCATACTTGGTTCCTGCGACGCGAGTGTTGACATGAGTTACATCTTCTTGATAGAGTCTTGCCATCCCAAAATCTGCAATCTTTGGAACCCATTTCTCGTCAAGCAGAATGTTGCCAGATTTAATATCTCTATGGATGATACAGTTTGGTGCGTCTTCATGGAGGTAGAGCAGTCCTCTTGCAATGCCAGTTATGATCTCAAACCTCTGCTTCCAATCTATCTCCGCTTTTCTATTAGATTCTGCACTCAAATGAAGCAAATTAGTAACAACGAAACCACCAAATTAGTAACAACGAGAAGAAGAAGAAAGACTTACTGAAGAGGGCCTTGTCGAGGCTCTCATTAGCGACGTACTCATAGACCAAGAGCTTATCGTCTCCATGTGTGCAATAGCCCCAGAGATTAACCACATTCCGATGCTGGACTTTAGCTAACAACTTAGCCTCGTTTACAAACTCGTTCTTGCCTTGCCTTGAGCCTTGAGCTAGCTTCTTCACTGCTATCTCTCTCCCGTCATGTAACCTTCCCTATTTACACATCAATCAACCCCAATCGTTAAAGAGAGACTCACTACGCTAATCATCTCAAGCTAAAGGAGGAAACTTTTGTCGAATTGAGGATTGTTACCAACTAAAAGAGGAAACTTTTGCAGAATTGGGATTGTTACCAACTAAAGGAGGAAACTTTATCGAATTGTGGTGTTTGTTTACCTTGAAGACGGGACCGAATCCACCTTCGCCGAGTTTGTGGGTCGGGTGGAAATCTTTGGTGGCGGAGACTAGGACTTGAAATGGGAAAACTTTCTGCTCGAGAGCAGCGATTTTCTCGATATCGTCTTCGAGGCCTTTAAAAGTCAACGAGAAAACGAGGAAGAAGAAGATGTGAGTCGATTTGGACAAAATTAGGAACCCTAAAGATGAGAACTTTGAAATCAAAATGGGATTTTTTTTACCTCGATTGGAGCTGCGTTTGAAGGGTTTAATGATGTTCTGGAAGAAATTCATGGACTTTGTCATGCCCGGATCGCTCTTGTGTGATTTATTTGTGACCATCCCATAGAAATCAACAGATTGATTAGGAGATCAGAAAATCGAAGACCCAGAGAGTGAAATCGGATCGAGGAAGCTGATTTTCCGATTTTGATGCGGCGGCGTTTTAGAGTGGGTTTGGTCGGGTGTAGTCTCAGAGAATTGTGATTAGGAGTGATTGAGAATCGGTGAAGAAGGAAGAAGCGTGTTTGCGATTCTCTTTGTTGTAATTAATTTGACGGAGAAAATGAATCGACGGGAGAGAGGATTATGCGCGGAAGGACCATAGAGACGAAAGTCAAGATGAATTCGTGTTTTTTGTTAAGTAATAATCTCAATTCTGAATTCTCACACAAGGATAAATAAATAAAAGTCAAGTCTTTCATCCACTTTTTTCAACCATATTTGCATTTAACTTTTATTATTTTGTAGGGTTTTGATGGATGATGATGTGTCCGAGAAAAGAGAATGATGGTGATTTTTTAATTATTATTGTGATACTAAAAGTTCTTGATTTTGTGCTTTATAAATAAAGCATGTAGCACATCTCCAAGAACAGGCTGAAGAGCACTCAATATTAAGACCGGATCATCATCTTTAAAATAAAAATCCGAAGGTGTATTGTTCCAATATAACATTCTCAAATCTATTTCTTATTAAAAATGTATTTTTTATCATATAGTCTGAGTGAAAAGCCTCTGTTTTAATGGCTAGTAAGTGGAAAACAATTATCGAGTAAAGATGGAATAAATGAGAAAATGATAGTTTTGTACTATATACGATATGGTTAAGACAAGTACCACTTCTGAATTTAATGAAACCACTTGCCTTAACCAAAGCTCTATAAAACAAAGGTCGCAGCATATATATTCAATCTGAACATTTCCATAAAATAAAGAGAAAGTGTAAACATTACCTTAATTCTTATGTCAATTCAGATTGGATGCATCATACTCTGATTCTGTTTGACTGGTAACCTTTTAGTTTAATAATGAGTATGCCGTTTGGACAATACTACTATGTACTCTTTTACAAAACAACAAAAATCTATAAGTATCAAGAACGATGCTACTATATACTCTTTTACAGCTATTATTTATCTTATCACCAGTTGGATCGTATAAATTTATAATCCCTTGTACTGACATGCATTTTTTTGTCCTTCATCCAAGTACAAACTAGTGTAGTGTTTCTATTCATGGTTTAGGGAAAATCTTACATGTTATCACTGAAAAAAAAAAAAGAGATGACATCACTGAGGATGACGTTAACGAGTAGGAAAAAAAAAAGGATACCACTTGGCATATATTAACATGACCCAATACGCGTTTCTTTTGACTTTGTTCGTTCGGTCAAGAATAATTCGTCTCCTTTCTATTTTGTTCTGGTTGTTTTTTCTTTTAACTTAACGAGTCATACGACTCTACTTTGGGTAATCAATATACAAAACCATTCACTCAATCACATTCACATGTATTATATTCTGAAAAAGCTACTATAGTATTTTTGACTTTTGGGTCAAAAGCTATTATTTGTATCTTTAAATAGATGTTTTGAGAACAAATGGACAAGTAATAGGCTCTATAGCAAGTAATCGCTCAGCTGTCTTGCAATCCTACACTTGAAATCTTGGTTCGAAATTGGTGGGTCTCTCTCTCTCTCTCTATAGTGAAAATTAGATGGTCGTTGGGGTCAAATGGATAAAAAACAAACAAAAAACTAGTCGTGAAGATAGTCATTAGCAAGTGCACCGGACATACTATAAAGAGTCTCTACAAAAACTTATTTTTATTTAAGAAAAAACAAAAAAGAAAAAAAGAAAGAGTTGGCCAATAATATTTTGACATCTGTCCAGCTTGCTTCAGAAACGGCTCCGAAGTACCTTCTCATAGAGACGTTTCTCGACATTAATCTTACCAAATAGATAATTATTTAATTTTTTATTTATTTTTTATGTTGTAGAGACTCACATGATATGTCCGGTGCATTTACTCTTAAGTAAAGTAAGTATCCACCAAAAGAAGTTGCAACAATTGTCAATGAAACCATTAAATATTACTTACACATAACGCTGCATTTATATAGATGTATCTGTCTATATAGGTATGTACATTAAAACTTAAAAGCAATCGGAACGTAACCACTACCAATACATATTATATTCAAATGTTATATCTCACACCAATCTGTTATTTCGTAAGTAGTAACTGATAATAAAATTATATTAGTAATCGTATGCTATTCAACCATATAAAACTTAAGAGTTGTAGGCTTTTTTAGCTTTGCTTATATTTTGGCATCACTTAGATATGGACTGATGCCGGTAATTGGATGCGTCTTTACACCAATTTTGACCAAGTAATCTTTCTTACCGCTAGAAGCTTGTTTTCCCTAAACCAAACTAAAAGAGTAAATCAATGTATTTGAGTCTTAATTGATAGAAAGAGCAGATAAGAGTCTTAATCATATACTAGACTATCTAGGAATTTTCCTATATTACTATCATATCCTAAAGTCTAAAATCAATGTATCTCCCTTCTGGATCCCTCTCCGGTCAACTGTAAATTCAAGACAATGAAAATAACTTTTTTGAAAGCTTAGCTGATATAAATGCATCCTACATCTATCGTGATAATTTTAATAAACGTTTTTGTTTCGCATGTCAAAGCCTCAAGATCGAAGTGAACAGTGATTGAAACCTCTGGAAACTCTTGCAAACTAGTTTCGATCAGAAGTTATTTTGAATGAATAGATAGGAGGTTCGATAACAAGTTTGATTTATAATATGGGAGAATCATTAGATCACATTAATAATTCGGAAAGGTTCGCATGCATGCATTTTTTTACCAATCACAAATGTACAATGTGAAATGATCGCTTGATTTACAGTACTATGCTGATCCGTAGAAAAAAAAGAAGGCATTCCATTTTTTTACCAATCACAAATGTACCAGTGAAAAACTGAAAACCATAGTACGGTTATAAAAGAACGTGTACGGTATTAGACTTTGAAAGTGTCGTACGGTACAATAATATAATACCAAGTCCACAAAACAAAAAATTCATGCACACGCTTCTTTTGTGTTTGTGTGTGTGTGTGTGTGTTTTTCAACGCACATGCTTACTTGTCGAATATAATAATAATGATAAACTATGAGTAGCCTTCAAGTTCAAGTAACTCTGATCGTGTTCTTAATTAATCGTCTTTTCCACGTAATTCCCAGTTGGCAGAAGGTTCTTAATTAAGTCTTTTCCACGTGTACATCCCCCCACTTCTCTGGCTTTGAAGGCCGGGCTATGCATCCTCTAAGCCCAACACTGTACACCTGATAGGTTTTATTGATTCTCTTGGTACTTAAGAGTAAAGGTTTTTGGACGTCTTTTCTCTTTCGAATCTGTGCAACACTAAACAAGTTATCGAATGCAACCTAGTCAATTGGAAATACAACTAGCAAGGAAAGGTATAAGAGAAATGGTTTTCAATATATCAACTACTAACTACATTAGCAGATTAGCTATACAAACAGCATGATATCATTAAATCTATGCTTACAACGTAAAAAGAGGGAACAATGTAAATTTATGTTATAACTGATTTTGATCGAACGCAAGCCGCAAGGTAAGTTTAAGGACACGTTTGTGTTACAAGTTTTAGCAGAGAATAAAATTCTTTTCTTTTTGCCAAAGTAAAGAATTGTATTCTTGTAAGTTATAAAAGTAATACAAACACAATATAACATATATTAAAGATAAGTCATTTCGATTTCTCATCAACAATACATCTTAATTTAGTTAGACCTTCTACCGGTGGATCTTTTTAATATAAAGAACTATACTTTTTACATCTTTTGAATCACTGTATAGCTCGTTAGTTCATTCATTACAACATGCATTTAATCATGTAATAAGATACTATTGACCAATAATGTAATGGAACACCATATTATATATGGACACAAAATCGTAGGCATGTACACAGTAGGAGTAGATTTAAAAGACAAGCACATTGCAAGAGGTTGCTTGCATAATTCAGTGCACATGAGCGTTTGAACTTTAAGAGGATCGATCGCCGAAAGTCACCAATTTCAACTTCGACTATTTTATAAATTAAGTACAACCATGCTTTCTTCTTGACGCCTATGATAAAGGCTCTCGCTTTACAACATGTTACGAATTTATGATAAATAAATACGATCAGCAACGGTTGCGAGTCTATATCACCTAAAACTCCAAAAAGCAACTAATAAACATTTTTGGTGACATCAGCTTACGCTTTTGAATCTCTTAACTATCGCCTGATTTGGTTTAGCTGGCTTACCTACTTAGCTTGTTATATAAAACCATATATTCAAACATTTTATGCTATACTAGTTGAGAATGTTTATAATACTGGTCCAATATGAGTTAGTTATATATACTTCGTTGTTTTTCTGATGAAAGTGACAAAATGAACTATCATATATAGGGTTTGTATATATTAGATTTGTGCGTGTGTTGTGTTTAAATTCTTATAAAAATACGTACTTGTTAATTGTTATTGTTAACCTCCTACATCTTATATTTTGATATGAAGTTTGTTGATATTCTACCAACCAATATGAATATATAATATATTGCTTAGAACCGAATCCATTCCAGTTTCAGAATAACTTACATTTCAACCCTTCTCTGAACTCATATATTTTTCTATAAGACACAATAAAATCAGAAAAATACGAAAGTAGAATATTGATACGAAAGAAAACAAAGAACTCGCATTTGCATAGCGAGTACATGAGTAAGTTTACAACCCAAAGAAAACAAAAGAATTACAAATGAAGAAGAGGTTACTTACCGCACCTAAAGAACAATAATTCTAAATTTCCCTCCGAAAATGCTCAAAATGTTCTAAAAATTCCAAAACATATGTACATTGGAGCTTAAATCATTCCAGCTCTCTCCCACAAACATCCAAGAAATTTGACAGCTTGTCTTTGGCCTTTTTTTAATAGCAATTATATCTCACCTTACTTCTCACTCTACTCACTACACTACACACACATACACTCATCATTCTACCTTTTTTCTATTATTACCACTCATAAAGACAAAACACAAGTGAGAATTATGCTGACACAACCCCCTCTTTCTACTTTTGTATTAAAAAACAAAGTAATACTGACATTCTCTCATTCTCTCATCTGACACTTTTTCCTCAGAGAATATACTTCATTTATCTGAGATTTTTATGGCATTTTCTTCTTCATCTATAGACATTGTTGTTTATTCCTTGCTTCTCAAGCAACACTACAAACAAAGAAAATTGGATCCTCTTTAGAGTGTGGTTTAAGAAGGTTTAATGGAAAAGTAAACAGAGATTATATACACACATACCTGTACGAATCATTCTGTTCATGCCACCAAATGCATAGAGTGAAACTCAAACTCAAGCTCAAAACCAAACTCAAACTCAAAAACTCATGTCTCCGTTTTCTCTGACACGAATAACATCAATATTCTTAAGATCACGCAGATGTTGCAAAATCTCATTCAGAAGATGCACACCTTTATCCCCCTTTCTCAACGAACCAACACAATGCCTCAAGAACTCTCTATCAGCCTCTAACGCTTCAAGTCTCTCGTAAAGCTCATCCACTTCTTCTTCCACCGTCACACTCTCACCACCTCTCTCCGACTCATCAAATCCGTTTCCTTCATGGCTGTTTCCGTTTCCCATCTCTCCATCCACCGCGTCAAACAACGGAAGCAGTCTCTTCGACTTGATCATCACTCTATGATGCTTCCCGTTTGTCTCCTTCCCATGCAAATGCCCGTTTCCATTACCAAACGTTTCCTCTTCCTCATCCTCTTCATCGTTTAAAGCTGTGAGTTTCTCTTCAAGAAACTTCAACCTCCCAAGAATCGAAAGCCTCTCTCCTTCATACTCATCCAAACACTCATCAAGACGTACCACAACATCAACCGGCGTCTTCTTCTCCATCTCACCATTTCCATCGCCGTTATCTCTCATCCTCCTCCTCAACAACCCCATCTTCTCTCTACCTTCATACTCCTCCAACCTCTTCCTATACACCTCAAGCTCCTTCTCCAGCTCAGCGTTCTCCTTCTCTCTATTCACCATAAGCTCGTTCAACAGCTGCAACGCTTCTTGATCGAACTCGGACTGCTCCTCCATCATTCTCTGGTACTGCAACGCCTCCATCTGCATCGCCGCCTTCTCCTCATGCAACCTGTTTATCATCGCCATTGTCTCGTTCGCCGCAACCGCGGACGCGCTCCTCTCCACCTCCAGCTCTTCGTACAACGCGTTTAAAGCTTTTCGCTCTTCTTCTAGCTCCGATTTCAGCTTCTCCACCGTGAGTCCTCCTCCTCCTCCTTCAGGAAATTCCTCTGTTCCCGGAGAGCCTCTCCGGTCTAAGTGAAACATGGCGTTGTGTAGACGACTGTGTGAGCTTTCGTTAGAGTTTTGAGTTTCGAGAAGACGCTCTTCGTTGATGTTCAAGAATGGTCTCTTTGCTTCAAGCGTATTTGTTTTGAACTCCAACGTATCATCTTCATCATCCTCTGTGCAAGAAAGTGACGCTCATGTTAAATGGGAAAATCAAGAAACAGAGAAGGAGGAGTATAAAGCAAAGAATTGGGAATAAGAGGTCAAATCTATAGAATACTAAAAACAGAGACACTAATTTGCAAAATTGTTTTACATTTATGTTATGAGAAAAAAATTACGGTGGTTTAAAGTTAATTACCATGATCATGGTCGTCATCGTCGTCGTCTTCGTCGCCGGGAATGTGTTCGTGTGATTGAATATCTCCAATTTGGTCGTGATCGGGAATCTCAGTGCCAATTGAAACTTCGGCGTCTGTTTCTTCGTAGTCGTTCTGCATTTGCAGTGAATCCTCTGTAGAGTTTTCGATCAAAGCTCCTAGATTCGTCTCCGGGTTGGATTCGTCCGGCGAGGCAAACGCGGAGATTTCGTCGGGGGATAATAATAATCCCGCGTCCTCCGCCGCGAAATCAGGTGCGGCGCCGACGAAATCGAGGATGAAATCTCCGTTAATATCGGAAATCTCCCGAACTTCCTCGCTCGGTTTGTAGAACTCGACCGGAATCAAATGGCAGTCCTCGTCGTCAATGTAGAACTCCAGATTCTTCGGCGGCGGTGGCGACGGCGCAGATTCTGCCTCCATCGCCAGATCCACTTCCTTTTCAATTGTAACTTCTCTGTTACAGTCGAAACTCGATACATAGCACGAGAATTCCTGATCTATCTCATCATCAGAATCGGAATCGCTGCTAACTTCTTCTGATGATGATGATTTCCCCGGAGATTGAGGAACAATTCCGATAACCGTGTTCCGGTGAGGATTTTCAAGCTTCTCCTCTGTTTCCTCCTCCTGAGAATCGTTCAAATGCACGTTTTCTTCTTCCTCACAGACGAAGATCGGTCGAGATCGTCCGGTGAAAAACTTACCATTGTGAATTTGAACATCGTCGTCTCCGATCAGATTCCTGCTATAACCTAAAATCCCGAAATCAGTCTCGATCGGAGGAAAACACGACGAAGCAAGCGTCTTCTCGTAGCGAGATTCACCGAAACCTTTAGATTTTTTCAAAGGTTTTATAGAAATCTCGAGGGCGTGATCGTCGCATAGGAGATCTCTGTGGGAAGGAGATTTACCGGAGGCGTCGAAGAAACGGTCGAGTCGGGAGCAGAAGAGGCAAGGACGCTTGAGACCGAAGTAATCGGCGAATCTGAGGATGAAGTAAGAGAAGAGAGAGTGGAGGAGGATGAAGAAGATGAGAGACCACTCGAGGAAAGCGTAGACGAGAAGGAGAGTGATTCGGTTCGTTTTCCGGTGGATCATGGTCGCGAATCTGTTGGCCGCCATGGAAGAAAGATTGTGCAAAATATTTACAGAGAGAGAGAGAGAGAATGTGAAAGAGACGAAAGGTGTGGGGAGAGGGAAGAAGCAGAGAGAAAGACTTGTCAGCTTAAGTAAGTTGGCCGGAGAGTCGGACCGACCATTGACAGACTTTATTATTTTTTCAAAGTTGATTTTTTTTTTTTTAATTTGACAATAAAAAAAGAAGAATGCATAACTTTTGCTCCAAAATGTCTATATATGAAAAAGAAGAAGATAAGAGCCAAGAAACAAAAAAGGTTAGGAAAGGTCAAGGATTGATATTAAGATTTGGGATCAAGAATATCAAATTTATTCTAAATTAAGGTTATTTCATTTGTATAGAAAGATTTTTTTTTTTAGTTTTATTAAATATATTTGATAAAAATTTACTGGTAGTTACATTTGAGTGATATAGTTGACCAAGACAATACTATTTCCATCATATTATATGCATCAATCAAGACATTTATATTACTTGTCCAATTGATATTAAGTTATTTCACAAATATAAATGGTATCAAGGTTGCATGGAAACTCCATTCGAGATGCGTTTCTTATTTCACAACCATTTTAAAAATGGAAACTTTTAAAAATTTGTTGAAAATTCGTTTTCCCTATTTTTTTTAATTTAAAAATTATGATATTTATATTTAGTTAAACTATTTAATATAATTTATATATTTAATATTTTATAAAATGTACATTTTCAACATAACTATCAACTTGTTAGTAGATGTTAGAAAAAAAAATTATCAAACTTTTCAAATTTTATTATTTTTCGGCTGGATTTATAGTGGAAAACCGGAAACTAAGATACTGATTTATGATTTATTTATTTTTGTTAAACATTGCTCGTGATGTAATCTTACTGTTGAATTTCATTTTAGTTTTGTTTTATAATTTTTCTCCGGCAAAAGAAATTTTAACCAAGTAAAAAAAATCTTAAAAGAAATAAAGAGAAATTGCCACATGGCATATATGACCCTGCCACTCTAGCTTTAGCTTTGAAAGTGGACCCATATCTATGACCCACATGCGCGTAAAGAGCTCACACTTTTAATAAAATCGGCGCATATTTTTAACAGCCAAAATTTATAAACTCATACTTATTGAACGAATTAGCAGTCTTATTGGAAACCATTTTCTTTGTATTAGTCTTATTTATCTCTAATAAATTTGTTTTTCCTCACCATTTTTCGAGATATAGCGTATGAATGAGGCTTTCTTTTTTAGTTATATATATATAAAAAGTAAATTTCGTTAAAAATATATAGTTGTTTCATTGTAGAAAACATATGATGCATATGTGAAGAGAAAAATTTATTGGTCAAAAAAAAAAAAAAAAAGAAAGAGATAATTACTCTATTTACTCTAAAGAAATGGATGTACGTAGCTGTGCATCTTTTTTTTTTGAAACTAGAAATAAATAAATGGATATACATAGTGCATCGTTTTTTTTTTATCGTACAATGAATTGAAATCGTTACTCAAATTTTCCTTTTATTCGACACCACTTTACTTCTTTCATATTTTTGACCAAATCAAATAGGCCCCTAAAGAGAAAAAAAGAGAGGACAACACACTGTTACCCTCTCTTTACGATCATTTTGACTAGCTATAGTAGTGACTGTATTATTTAAAATAGAAAATTTAGTTGCAGATTTTATTGGTATATATCCATGGTTTGAATGTAAACCAATGTGCAATGGGCTGGATTTTTCATGGCAAGCAGAGGATGTGCTGGCTCAACCCTAGCTTGCAGCAGAAGCTGATCTCAGCTTCGAAGTTCTGAATATCTTTTCTGTCTCATAAGTTACATAATCTATTTGTGTTATTGTATCTAGCAGATTTGATCATCTTTCTCATTTAAGCAATGTTTTTTTTTTGAACATTTTAAAAAATCTGAAAACTCCTTTAAGCAATGTTGCTGCGGATGCACTTGCTAAATCAGCTATGCTGTCTGTATCAGTATCTCCTGTTATGGAATGAGCTCTTTCTTATCTACAAAAGCAGATGTTTGAGAATAAAAGTAAAATAAAATAAAAGAAAGCTATGGTATCAGTTTTTTTTCTTGCGTAATCAAAGATTTAATACATTTGAAAACAAGGAAAGAGCCACTTCCCCTAAAACATGCTTGATAAAAAAAAATTGCAATATAAATTTTAAAAGTAGTCATTATTCAGAGCCAATCTATTTGTAATGTGTGTCAACGATGTAATAGACATTCAAAATGGGAGGGCAAATACTGTTTTTTAATAATGAAAAATGAGTAAATGGATGTTAGAGGAGAAATTAGCACATTTCCCTGAGCCCGTCATCATTAGTAAAGTCACAAAGCCCAATCCGATTTTAGGCCTAACATCTTCAAGAAAAAGGCAAGACTTGAAGAGAAAGGCACAATCCATGGAGAAATGTAAATAAATCTTCATGCCGACTTAAAGAATGGAAAAGATCCAAAAACAAGAGGGAATTTTCCATATCGCAAAAGAGGAAGTTTTCCATCTCGCCTGAAGGAGAATATTCATCATTCGGCCGACTTATCAACCTATATATTGAAGACCCCCCATTGGGGAGAGGGATCCGAAATCATCTAGAATCACTAGGCTTTCACATTAGCTTTTACTCTATCCTCTTGTTCATCATCATAATCTCGCTAGGCTTGTTAGCGAGATTGCTCTCTTGTAACTTCTTGATAATCTAAGAGTCGAATTAAGCGTTCCAGTTTCCTAAACTCACATCTTAGATAGCCCGTCTTACGAGTGCTATCTCGGATTCAACAATTGGCGCCCACCGTGGGGCTGGAAACGCTTCTCGCTATTCATCTCGAAGATATCTAGATTTTCACGAACTAGCAACGATGGTAACTCGAAAGAGAACACTCCCACCGGGAGCCCGTCTCCCTCAGAAGAAAACTTAAGCGACAGTCTACCACGCACGATAGACAAGTCGCTACCCGCTGAAGGCAGGGACAAGCCTGCTCCCTACAAGAAACCCATCTTCTCGCCACAGAGATCCGTCTCGCCGCGAAGATCGAAGATCTACTTCGCCGCAACGATCCCCTCCGCCAAGAAAGGACGAGAGCCCCCTCCGTCCGCACCACGCCGCTCGAGAAAATCTTCCTCGAGCGACAAACCCCGCAGCTCGAAGAAATCCTCCTCGAGCGAGAAGATCCTCAAACTCATGGAGAATCTCGTCAAGCCACTCGCCGACGGTTTCGAGTCAATGCGAGCACAGCAGAAAAAGACTCAGGAACAGGTGGAAGCCCTAGCACGAGAAGACGATGAAGATCCGTCAAGTCCCACTGACGGAACAACCCCGTCCCGCGCACTTCAGGCGACTTACCACCAAGAACTCGAACGGATGAATCGTCGCCTCGACGAGGTCGATTCGAAAGTTCATCGCGCCACCAGCTCAGCTCCGGAATTGACGAAAGCACTCGCCGATACCCGAAGAAGCCCGCTCACCCGCAGGCTCCGCCAGATTGAGCTACACGAAAGAGTTCGACTCAAAATCGACTCTTACACCGGCGAAGAAGACCCCAAGAAGTGGCTAACCGCGTTCAACCTCGCCATGAGGAGGGAGAAATACAAATCTTACGATGAAAGGGAGGCCAACTACTGTCAAGTATTCGTCGAGCACATGGCGAAAGATGCCTTGACCTGGTTCTCTAACCTCCCCGCCGAGTCGATCGATAACTTCGACGACCTAACCAATGCTTTTCTGAAGCATTACTCCATGCACATGACCCGAATCACTCGGAACATGTTCACCACAACGCAAACCCAAGGCGAACCATTGCGCAGCTTTATGGAAAGGTTCAAACAAGCAGCTCGCGATACTGGCGACATGCCCGATAGCGTCCCGCTGGAAGCACTCCGCAACGGCCTCTGGTACGACTCCAAGTTTAAGGAGGATTTGTCACTAAAACCCCCTGCGACTCTGGAGGACGCGTTCCACCGCTCTCGGAACTACATCTTCCTCGAGGAAGACCAGCGCTTCTACGCCGAGAAACATGGAGATAGGAGGGCAACCTCGTCGAAACCCAGAGAGGAACCCATGGAGGCGCGAAGAAGACACGATCCGAAGAGGTCTCTCCTCACAGCGTTCGCAGCAGCCGACGACGAGTTCGAGCAAGAACACGCAGCGGCCGTTTCGATGCCACAAGACATCAACTCGCTCGGAGATGACAACGATACCAAAGCTTTCTGCAAGTTCCACGGGAGAACTGGCCACGCCACTGAAAACTGCAAACACCTAATGAGCAACCTCATGCGCATGTACCATCGAGGAGAAATCCCGCCAATGGACGGTGATAGGTCCCAAGGAAAAAGCTTCCCGCCGAAACCACCAAAATCTGGGCAGCAGGAGAAGCGCGGACGACAACCCCGTCCGAGGAAGGATGCAGAAAAGGCGGAAGCCCCGCTTGGGAAAAGGAATCGTGATGACCACGACGACCTACCTCCACCACCGAAGCGACAAGTCAGCATGATCATGGGAGGCCTCCTGGATAACGACGATTCCATATCGGCGATCAAGGAATACGAACGAAAGGCCGTCGCGGCACAACGCTACCCGTATATCCATAAAGGGATCCCTACATCTCCTTTACGGATAAGGATGCGAGCGGGCTGGACATCCCTCACCTCGACCCACTCGTAATCACTCTACAGATCCACGACTGTGACGTCGCGAAGGTCCTGGTTGATACCGGGAGCACGGTGAACCTCATCTTTCTGGAAACACTGAACCGCATGGGAGTGGAGGAAGGATCTATCAAACCTACATCCCGTCCCCTCACCGGTTTCACCGCCGAGCATGTTTACAGCTGTGGCACAGTCCGGCTCCCCGTTTATGTCGGCGGAATTTCAAAGCTCTTGAAGTTCATCGTCATGGACAAACCGGCCATCTATAACGCGATCCTCGGCACCCCATGGCTCCATGAAATGAAAGCTGTCATCTCGACGTTCCACCAATGCGTGAAGTTTCCGATACCCTCTGGAATTTTCACCTTACGTGGAGATCAAAGAGTGACGAGATCATGTTTCCTTCGCGAGCGCAAGCTCCGCACCGCGTCGTCCTGTATGATAACCGAGCCAGTATCGGACGACGAGACCAACGAGTCCAACGCAATAAAACGAGCCGCCACACGCAGAATGCAGATCCCCCGATCCATCGGCAAAGGAACTCCGAGCCCGCCTGGAAATCCGACTTAAGGTCCAGCTTTAGCACTAAACACAAGGATCTCTCCGATCTATTCGAGATGGAGCAACTCGAGGACGAACCGCTACGAAGCTACCTGAACAGATTCAAGAGTGCGCTGCTCGACCTCAGGGACATTCCGGGAGCACCCCCAATCGCGGAACCGGTACTCGTCCAAGCCCTCGGAAACGGACTTCGATACGAATCCGGATTCTGGGAAGATATCCGCATCCGCCCCTCCCCAACTTTGAAGGACGCCTTCCTTCGCGCTGAGAATTACATCGCCTCGAGCAAGACATCCCGCAGCTACGGTTCGACCCCGAAGATCCTCGGTTCCGGCTAAGAAACAAGAGAAAGTCATCATCCTCTCGCCCGGAGAAGTCCACGCATAAAGCACCAAGGTGCCATCACGAATCTCTCCCTCGCCGAGACGACACCCCTGTCTACGATGACGAGACCAGGAGAAACATGGAGAATCGCGCGAAGACTGATCGCCATGCACCCCCGCAATGCTCGTTCTCCGATCAGGAGATATTCGAGATCATTGCCGATATTCGAAGAACTCCCCTGACAAGCCGCCTATCCGAGGTACCACTGAAGAAGCGCGCTTCACTACACCTAAACTTCTACGACGGCCGAGAAGATCCCAAGCAGTGGATCACATCCTTCATGACGGCCATGAGAAGACAGAAATACACATCGCCGGAAGAACAAAGCGCGCACTTCTGCCAAGCCCTCGCCGAACACTTGCGCGGCGACGCCCTAACATGGTTCAGCAACCTCCGTGCCGACTCCATCGACAGCTTCGACGATCTAGCAGCCGCTTTCCTAAAGCAACACCTCCGTTTCGCATTAGACGACCTCGTCTTTTGCAAAACCGATGATGATACGATCTATGGTCTCGGCAAATTCGGCTCCGACTGGGAAGGACCATTCCGCATCGCGAAAGTCGTCAAACCAGGAGTCTATCAGCTAGAAGACAACCTAGGCACCACGTCCGATCGCCTCTGGAGCTCGTCGGATCTGCGCAAGTTCCATGACTAGACGCGAAGCACCGCGCTAGCCAAAAAAAAAAGACATGTCCATGGCATGAACATTTGTAACGAACTACGAATGGCTTGATCCCGGCACGGGTACGTAGGCAGCCTCAATAATACTTAATAAAATTTTAATTTTATTAAAACCTTTTCTCTCGACAAGCGCGCCTCATTCTGGCATAAGCTGAAACTTGTCGACACCCAGCACGCACCCGTTTGACGTCAAACCAAGTTATTGAGGCAAACTCAATAAGCACTTGCACTTTGCACCCTAAAAACATGGACTGATCACCCATTCATTAAGCCGAGAGCACGCACCTCGCACGGCTCTCAGTTCGTCGGACGAGCGAAAAACCGCTACCTCGTCACCCGCACGAAGCTTTGAAGTCGGAAGCATAAATCGAGTTTCTAGAGCTCGTCGCTGAAAGTAGGTTTAACATCCTAAGCACACAGACCTAATACGCGCCGGTCGGTGTCTCGAATGAGAAGTCATGACGAAACCCGAAAGCATCGCGTCTAGTCATGACGCACTAGCACCATCACGCGCACCATGTCGTGATACACTTAAAGGTAACGAGTCATCCCGATAATCGAATTTCCTACTCGGTGACGACCAAGTACTTAATTCATTTTATACGGTTGACGACACCATCGTCCTTTATTAAAAGACATAACCAAAAGCCGGATTACTTTCGTTGCGCTGCGAACTAATCAATTATGTCTAAAAGCCGTGACCGCAACACGCAAGCAAAAAAAACGCAAAGCAATAAAAAAATCATACTTAAAACACTTTAAGTATCTAGCATAAAAGCACAAATCCTAAAGCATACGGATAAAAACCTTCCCAGGCAATGTTATTTACAACAAAAAGGCCGCAGCCAGAAAAGTCTTAAAACAAATGAAAATGGGGCCTAAGCAGACTTGGCCCCAGAAGTAGAGGGTCCCGCACCCGGATCCGCACCATCACCATCTCGACGAGAAGGAGATCCCGGCAGCACCAGCCGTTTAAGGCTACAAAAGCAAGCAAACGCATAAGCAAACATAACGTTACGCAAAGCACGACATAACGAAAAAGAGAAGCAAAAATCTCACCTGTTAGGCGGAGCGAAGTCATCATCATCGATAACAACTTCGTCAATCGCATCCCCATCCGCGATACTCTTCGCCAGCTTAGCCGCGAGCTTCTCCTCCATCGCGTCGAAGTTCAGATCCACTCCCCGAATCTTCTTCACAAAGTTGAGGAGAGCTTCGTCGACTTGCCTCCTCCCCACAGCGGCTTCAACCATGTCCGCTGCGCGACGAACTCCGACAAGCGATGGAGGCGAGGAGCATACCAGTCATTCACCGAGTCGAAGACCTGAGTCACAGCCGCCTCGACCGATTCTCGACGAGACCGTCGGAGACGCTCCATCTCAGCAGCAGAAGCCTCTGCATCCCGACGCGCCTCCTCCAGATCACTCACTTGAGCCCTCAGCTTGTCTGCTACCTCCTGGAGTCCGAGAGTCTTCACGATCTCCCTGTTCAGCGCCGCGACCTTCGACTCAAGCGCCAGTTTATCCTGCTGCAAATCAGCCACCATCGTATCGACATCTTGGCCATCTCCTGCTCTGCCGCAACACAAAGGCTTCGTCCTTAGCTGCCCGAAGCGCCGTCTCGTACTTCTGGACCAACGCGGTGAACTTCCCGCCAGACATAATATGATGTTGAGCAGCTTCGTCGAAATCGGTCCTAAAGGTGAGCTCCTCACGCGGAATCCCCAAGCCGGGATGAACTTTAGACATCCAAGTCGCCCCTCCGCAAGCATCCTGGTCCTCCATAAGAGGACTCCCGCCATTCCACCACGTCTTGAACGCGTGAGGATTATAGCCCTCAGGACCATCCTTTGGAATTCCGGCGTCCACCCTCAGCACCGAGGTTCGAGCCAGGAGCAAAACCACCCGCCTCCGAGTGACGAGACACCGCCTCATCATTCTCACCTGGACGCCGAGATGATTCCCCTCCTTCGAAACCACCACGATCACGCCGGTCAGAGGAGGGAACGCCACCACCAGGGGTGAGGAACTCGTCCCCCTTAGAAGGCGAACCACCACGCGCCGGAGTCCTCAAACCATCATCGTGATGAGAAGCACTCTCATCGTGATGGGAAGACTCGTCATGGTCCGAGGAAGGAGGAGAGTCAAGCTCGATCACTTGCTCCGGAACGCCCTCAGGAACAGAAGTCGAGGCTTTCCTCGTCGAAGCCCTGCAAAGAACGTCTACGATTAACATCGGAATTCCTATCTCCTGAAGAATCCATCAATAGGCGACTTACCTCGTACGCGACGCAATGGAAGAGCTCCGAAGGGGAGAAGGAGGAGAATCCCTCAGTCTGGGGGACTCGACCCTTTTCTTTTTGGGCACCGGCTCGGAAGCAACGACAACGTCGTCAATAGGCACGGCCGCTCTCTTCCTAAGACCCATCGATTTCTTCTTAGAACGGGATGGCTTCGCTGCTGCAAAACAAAGCAAAACGTTAAGATACCCGAAGAGAGAACCAAGTAAAAAAAAGAGAAAGAAGCGAAACGCTTACTAGATATCGGAGTCGCAGGGATGGCAGATTTGTTTTTCCCCTCCCTCTTATCTTTCCTCTCTTGCTTTTTCTTCTCAAGCGCCGCCACTACCTCAGGCCACAATCGATGGCTGAGCTCCTTCAGCAGCCTGAACTTCTCCTTGAGTTCGCCGTTCGGTCTCGCTCGCCTGGACGGTCCTGCGAAGACAACAAACAACATCAGAAAACGCAAACTCAGCGAGCATAGATAGCAATTCTAATCAAGAATTCTACCCGGTGATTTAACCCATTCTGTCCTAATCTGATCAGCTTTGATCTTCCCGACTGAGGCTCGGTTTATCTTCACAAAGAAGAAATATTTCTTCCACCAATGAATCTTGTTTCGGTAATCCCCGAAAACAATATCATACTTCATCGTGGTATGAAACCGCTTGAAGTTTCCCTCTCGCGACGAAGCCCGGAGATCAGTAACGTGCTCGAATAAGAGACGGTCGAATACAACTCCGGCGGCTCTAGCCAGGGCCTCGGTAAAAACGATGTGGCGAACCACGCCGTGGGTCAGTTGACTCGTAGGGACGCCACGATCAGCCGCAAATTGCAAAAATAGAGGAGACAGAGGGAAGTTCATCCCAAATTCGGTGAACATACACTCGTAAACGCACATCCACCCAGCCGGAGCGTCGTAGGGCCTTTCGAGATGGCCAGGGATACGAAACTCCACGGAGTCAGGGAACTCGGCCTCCGCTATGAGGTCTCGAAGGATCTCCTCCGTCATCCACGACCTCCCATCGTGGATTAGGCCTAGGCGGCGTACGACTCGGCATCTTGATTACATCCGGGATGCCCTCGAGTCTCGCTTGGCTTGACGGCCCCGCTCTCTTGTAACCTTCTTGATAATCTAAGAGTCGAATTAAGCGTTCCAGTTTCCTAAACTCACATCTTAGATAGCCCATCTTGACGAGTGCTATCTCGGATCTAACAATGGACCGGTCTAGCATTATGTGCCACTTTTTTTTTTATATGATTCACATCAAAACCGAATTCATTTTAAATGAGACCATGTCCATTTTATTATATACTGACGGGACACTTCAACATTGTGATGAATGAATGATATTATTATTCTGTTCGTTAGCGGAATGGTTCACATTGACATCAATGACGACATACAAATTTTGACTTTTTCGAAAACACATTACTTAATTCTATTTTTTATTTGAGCTCGTAGCCTTGTCAAATATAGTTCGCGTGTTAGCGAAGTGATAATCATCATCAAACGTAAGATAAGTATCTAAATAAATAATATTCAAACGGTCCAGTATATCTACTTCAACAGTTAAACTTATATGTCAGAACTTAATAGATATATTAAAGAGGTATTATCCAGAATCCAGTGATGAAAACACTCGACTACTATACAGTATACATGTATACATAGATATATTGGGAACTTAATTATGCGTTAGGATCTTCTGATTTCAACCTTTTTAGCAACAAAAATAATTGTGCGAATGAAAGGACCATGTGGTGTGAGCGTGGCTCATACAAAGTTTAACGACAGGTCACTCCCACCTCACTGTTTTGCCTAATTTAATTTACTAACTTATACTATTGAATATTTCCAAATATTTATAAGTTCGAAAACATTCATACCTCAGTGTAGTTTTGAGATGCTAGGCTAAATATTGGTGTGTGTTCTGCACTTATACAGTTAAACTTTCACTTTTCTTTTCTTGACCCTTAGTTGATTTAATCATGAACCGCTCCAAAACAAAGAAAAATTTAGTCGATGAATTAAAAAAATATTGGAGTACTACTACTAACCAAGTCTACTAAACTATACACTAATTTATTTGATTTTATCATAGAAAACAAGAAAGAAGCAGCGACCTCAATGATTAACATTCGTCGGCTGAATCAGTATCGAGACTTAAAAATTAGAAATGGTGGTGGGGTTTGTTGCTTTTAGGTTAAGCCTTTAACATGCGATTAACTTTCTACAACAGTAATGGAGCTCCAAAATCCCACAAAAATAGGAAAATTATTCCGACACTCCAATTTTTTTCCTTTTTTTTAACTTTATTTCGACACTCACTTAGGATTCTGAAATCTGTGAAAACTCAGAATAACTCGCTAGTCACTTCCATGAAAAAGTGTTGTCGTACACTTTAGGGTTCACCCGTTTTAATTACACTAGCTCAAAAGCCCCAAACAGATTTTGTAGTATATATATATGTCTTTAAAGGTCACAATTTGTTTTTATTTTCTGATTATATATCATCAATTCTAGTGTTTTTTTAAATAAATAAACCCAAATATTACTGATATTTGAAATCTAAAGCAATATTATATTAGTCCGGTATTGTTGTAAAATGAAAGAAAAATAGACATATATCAGATACACAGTATGAGACTAAATCTTAGAAGTACTACAACAAAGTAAAAATATAAAGGAAACTAGAAAGAGTAAAAATGGTGAGAGCAATGATGTGAATTGATAGCTGTTGCAGAGAGGTGGGGGATCCAGTGGCCCCTATTTTATTCATTATAAAAAAAATCATTATATAGTTGTAATTAAATAAATAATCTTTGTATTTAATCACATTACAAAGAAAATGCATGAGATAGCTAAATCATAAAAAATTCAGTTCAACTATTATGTTTTCCTTTTAATAAAATGGATTCCACGCAGATTTTTTAACAAAAATCTATCATAACTTTTTTTTTTTTTTTTTTTTTGTAAAAGAAAAATCTATTATAATTTTTGGCAACAACGAATTAGTTTAGATTTTGTCCAAGTATCATTTGATTCATGTCAACCCAAAAAATTGACTATCTAGTATCTATCTAGCAACTAAATCTTTTATCGAAGGGGGTTTAACATTCTGAAATCTTGGAGTTGAAATTATTCGAAAACCAAAGCATCAAGATGTTATTTTTTCGCTTAACTAAACTTTTAGGGTTCTTCATATACACACAAATAACTTATTTTTGTGCACATGAATAAAATCATGCAAATCTAAAAACTTTCAAAAATAGTGTAATGGTGGACACAAAGCATGTTGTGTGTTATGGGGGATTCATGTCTTGTTAGCCGTTTCAACAATACTGCAAGAGGAGACATTAAAATGTCTTTGTCTGTGTCTCTACTGTGAAGAACATAACGGGACAGTTTTTGTCTTGCTTAAGCCTTCTGTTTCCATGAGCTTCGTCACAAGCCATTTGATGCTATCAAAGATAACACTATCAAATATCAAACTAGCTTCTTCTATCTCAATCAAAAGTTACTCCGCAAGGATTTATCCTTATTATGTAATGAATGATGGTCAACCATAGCTTTAAAGCAAGCAACCGAAATTTCACAAATACATTGCTATGAAAACACAGCACAAACCACTTTGTGAGAGTGAGAAATCAAGTAACTTTGATCTGTATCAGTTTTCAACAGTTTTTCCCTTGATTGGAACAGAATCAGATCATTATATTTATTTCATTCTATCTACAACAACAACTCACTAGCTAGCTCAATCAGCTTCAGGTTAGTTTCTATTGAAAATGCTATTTCTCTAGTCGATCAATTATTTAAGGTTTTTTAACTACAAGATAATGACAATTACGATTGGTCAGAAACAAAGGAGGACACAAAAATTTCTTACAATTTTGGATCTTTCCTTGTGGGATTTGGAATTTGTTGATTTTTATTTCATTTTCTAAAAATAAAAATATATATCTGAATCAAAGGTGGGACCCTTAGAGGAAAGTAATCCAAGCCAGAAGCTAAAACTCCCTGCCATTAGAATTTAGAACCAATCCCAAGAGATAAGGAAACTTCACAACAACAGAAAAAAGTAAACAGACAGAACAGAACAGAGAGATGAGCCGTTGCTGCTCTCTTGGGCTCTGTGCTCCGAATCCTTTTTCCTCTCTCTCCTCGAGACCTCGCAGTGTCAAAGCTCCTCTCAGTATTACATCTCACTCCAAACCCAACTCTAACACCGAGTCTCTTCTTCATGTAAGATTTCTTGAACTTAGGAAGAAAAATCTCTGCTTCTTGAGCTTATAATTAGTTCTTTACTTGTTACAGAATGTCACCAAGATGAGAGCAAAAGCCGGTGATTTCTTTGGACCAAAGAAGACAATCTTGGCAGCTCAACTCGGGACAGTCCTTGCCACGGTAAGAACACATGAGGCATCTCCATCTGCTGCATGTTCCTGATTGAGATTCTAAGAGAACACCTTTAGTTTTTTTCAGATTGATCATCCGGCGTTGGCAATAACAGGAGTCAACCACGAGCAAGAACTGAGCAGCGTAGTGCTCGACATCGGAGTCATAGCCGTTTGGTACTTCCTCGTAATGCCAGTAAGTTTTAAGACGATACTTTGTATAATCAAGAAGTATATATGTTTCTGAAATGACTTAACGTGAGGATTTGTTAGCCAATCATCATGAACTGGCTGAGAGTAAGATGGTACAGAAGAAAGTTCTTCGAGATGTATTTACAGTTCATGTTCGTCTTCATGTTCTTCCCCGGGTAAGTATCATCATCACTCGCTTCATCGATGCTTACTCTCTCTCTAGTCCTAATCAAAGTGTATTTACTTTACAGGCTACTGTTATGGGCACCATTTCTCAACTTCAGAAAGTTCCCAAGAGATCCATCTATGAAGTATCCTTGGGACAAACCAAAAGACCCTTCCTCTATCAAAAACGATTACCTCAAATACCCATTCGCAAAGCCTGAAGATTACGACTACTAAATCTTTATAATCTTGCGACTGTATGTAACACAACAATGTAATAACTTGTGCAGTATCACTTCTTATATTCGGTTTAAGGATCTATGTTCCAACATAATCACAATGGACTATCAAACTCAAAAGCATATAATAAACAGAAATAAACTTTATTGTCACCAGGAAAGAAGAAAGAAATTATCTTCTTGACACAAATTAAACAGTCTAAAAAACCTCATTATTGTCTACTCAAGCTTTTCAAAATTTTGTATCTTGGAGCGTAAAAAGGCTTTAACTTTTAAAGTAAATACTCTACACTGACGATAACCAGAGTTACCTCTTTACTTATCTTCCTCTTCTCTTCTCTCTTTACTTCTTCAAAGCAGTGGTGATTGCATTGACGTATTGGTCCAGGTCCAATGATTCCACCAGCTTCTTCACCTCGGCCATAGCTTCCGGGTTGGAAGACAGAACAGCCGCAGCAGCGGCTCCAGCAGCAGCTAAAACCACAGCAGTAATGGCTGTTCCTTTGAGGCAGCCAGTTCCAGAGATTCTCCCAGAGATCACTTTACAGGACTTGTCTGCTTCTTTGTATAGAGAAACATCAGCTCCTCCTTCAGTGATGGCTTCTTCGTTCTGAAAACATCAACAGGTCAATGTCAGAGAGTGGAGAGTGAATTAGTTTAGCTTTAGAAGAGTAAAGAGGCATTTACCTTAATCCTGAAGCTCTTCATAGCTCGGTTGAGAGTTGCAGAATCACTCGGCGATGATGATAGCTTGAGGGAATGGTCTTTCCATTCCTCTACAAGCTTCTTAAGAACAGCTACACTAGCAGCTAGATTCTCCTTGTAGAGATTGTCCCAGTGCTTGCAGCAGTCAACGTTTGCAGTCACAGACCAGATAGCGATTGCTGTCGCTTCTTTGGCTAAAACAGGATTCCCTGCAATAACGGTAACACATTAGAGCTCTATGTAACACTCAAGGGACTCAAGGTTTTGGTTTGTAACTATTTACCTTCACCAGCTAATTTCAGAGCAAATGTGAAGATCTGTTGTGTGACTTGTTTCATTGCCTTGCTTCCTGGTGCACCAGCAAGAGCCACTTCCTTCAACAAGGGATATACAGCCTCAAACCTCTCTGTAGCCTGTGTGCATATACAGAGACAATGCTTATGATCAGCATCAAGGTTTCGTTTTACAGATTCCAAAACTTTACTACTAACTTACCTTAACTCTAGCGGATGAAGCAGGGAATGTAAGCCGCACCAAGATCTCAAACGAAGGAGGTGGAACCAGTCTCTCTCCCTTCCTAACAGCTCCATTTACAAGTATGGTCCTAGCCTTTGGATTCGACGAGATTCTGATAAAGAAAATCGCATAATCAAGATCAGATGAATTGTTAAATTATGTAACAAAAGGAGATCACAAGAGATCTTTTGACTCACTTCTCAACCAACTGCAGCATGAGATCTCTAGACTGAGGGTTACAGCTCTTGCTACCGAGAACAGGTAACAAGTTGTGTGCCCATGCATACAAGCCTACAGATAAATCACCTTGAGAGGCCTGTCCACATTTCACAGATTACAAAACTTCAGAATACAGATTACAGAAGCACAACACAAATTTCCACATTTACATTTACACTAACCTGAGCCATCATCCAAACGGTAACAGGAAGCTTGTCCTGTCCCTGATACTTAGGATTCTCCCTCAGAGACGCCAATACTTGAGTCAAAGCATCAGGCTTCCTACGCAATACCATTGCCAATGCAACAAATATCGCCACCTAATCACCAAACAAATACAACATTCAATCGCACAGACGTACTTGAAGAAACACAAATTTGATGAGCAAAAGATTGCAAAATTACCTGAGATTTGGAAGAAGTATGTTGTGCACCTTTCTTCCCTTTGGCACTTCCTTGTTGTGCTGCCAAATCTGTGAGAATGCAATCAAACGCCCACAACACAAAGGCTCCAAGAGCCTCAACTGGACGTTGGTTGATCCAATCCACAGATGTCTTATAAACCGCCTCAGGAATATGAGACAACGGAACCTGTTGAATCCAAAAACCACAATCAATCAGCTTCATGAACCTAAATCGTAGACTTTGATTCGGAAAAAAGATCAGCTTACATCGATCAATTTGGACAAAGGAGACTCTTTGAACATCTTCACCCACGGAAATTGAACAGACGATACACCGGAAAGTGCTCTCCCAAAGTAATCGGCGAATCTCATCAGCTGAATCTCCGGCTGAGTCTCATACGACGCCTAAACAACAAACAAACAAAAAAGGTTGGATTTTGATTTGTGGGTTAGCGAATTAAGATCGGAATTTGCCAGATCGAGCTGAATTTCGCAATCTCGCATGCACTTACCGATGCTTCGACGAGGAAAGCTTCGAGATTTGAAGGATCAATCTTCGACGCAGCTTCAGGTAACGACACTTTCGGCTTCTTCTCCTTCTTGGGTTTCTTCGGCTTTTTAGCTTCCTCCGCCTTCAGATTCTCATTCCTCGCCGCGATCTCGTCATCGGTATCGTCGAAATCGTACCCCTCATCGCCGTATCCGTTAGATCGGCGTTTGGATCTCGCCGCATCGTCGTCATCGTCCTCATCGGTAATAGCCATCTTCGCCGCTAGGATCCGTCGTCGGCGATCCTCAGCTTGCTCCTCGAGCGAACGGAAGACGTTATCGCCTTTAGATTGATTTCCATTTGGAACGGCCTTGCCGGAGGAAACTCCGCCATTCGCAGCCTGATCCGCCGGTTTTTGTTTCCGGTGGCGTTTTGGGTACACGACTTTCTTCCATCCGTGGTCGGAGGAGTGGGAGTTACCGTTTGAGGTCTCGAAGCCATTGTAGTCCGCGGATTCGATCGGATCCATTGTGAAAGTTTCTCTCTTTCTTGCCTTTATTGATAATTCTCTCTCTCTCGGACGTGAAAAACAGAGACCAAAGTGACGAGATTTGACCGGAGAGAGAAGAAGGTTCTATATATATGAATGAATAGAGAGCAGAGGAAGATAAAAACAATATCCTTGTTTTTTATCCAATCTACGAAATTGCCATTGATTTCATGTAAAACAGATTATTGACCAATCCTTTTTGGATTTTGTTTTATTTGTTTTCTTAAATCATATATTTTTTTTAATTGTTTGATTAGTGTGATTCAACTTTCCAAAAAATCTAGAAAGGGTAAACACAAATATTTTTAAAAAGATTTCAGCCTCTGTTTTAATAGTTTTTCATCACAAATAAAGAAGGGTAAAGAATGGGATTTTTTGCATATAGCATAATCTCAAGATTCTATTTTTGATTGATTTTTGTACAATTAAAAAACAAATATTCTCACTGGATCTTAAAATCTCAATCTTTTTTTAATTTATAGAAAAAATTGTTAATTGGTAAAATGATCCATGACAAGAGTTTCCATTTGCATATCATCCTCATCTCATTGTTTAAGGTTTGACACTATATTTTTGGATATACATATTACACAATTAATATTGCAATAGTCCACAATTAATATTTTAGGTAAAATGTTTTGACTTTCCTTGACATCAGGAGATAATTCACTCACATACTTGTGATTGTGGCTCACTACAACAGAAGCGGCTTTTAACGTCGTTTTATATGGTAGTTAGCGTCGATAAAAAAGTGACACAAAAGAAATGGCGTCGGTTTTGTAAGCGTCGTAATATTGCATGACGCTAAATATATTAGCCTCACTTAATCAAACGACGTAAAGTTTAACGTCACAAAATTTGCGTCAGTTTTTATTGATTTAGCGTTAGTATTAATTTGACGCAAAAGCCAGACTTTTTATTCGTGTCACTTACGCAACCGACGTAAAACAAAATTACCTTTAGTTGGCTTTTCTACTTGTTAAACCGATTTATTAACCAAACAAAAAAATAAATTAACTACAACAAAACGTAACTAACATAAATTTTCTATTAATCAAATAAAATCTGGTTTTACATTGTTCTGAAAGAAAAAACACTAATGCAAGGAATCAACATATCACTCTGAGTTACATCAGTTTTATCCTGCTTATCCCTTAGAAACACCAATGGCGTGCTACATTTGCTGAAGTATCCGAATTGGAGAAATGCAACTTTGTGCCTGTTCAAACTTTTTCACATCGGTTGTCATGGACTCCATCCCATCCCTTGTACCTGTATCATTATATTGTTGGCTCAATACTTCATGCTAATTACCATACTATACTTTGTCTAACAAGATTCTAATACTATATACTATAAATAAAACTTACTGCAAAAAGAATATCATTGATTGCAGAGCATTACCCATCATATTCTCACCAGCTTCACTTGGGTTTGCATTTGCTTTCTCTATCAACATCTGCCAAAGATACAGCCATCTATAAGTGCGATAAAGAGGGTGTATAAGTCCACATACCCTTAAAACAAATGTAAGCAAGTTGTCTGGATATATATCCTTGAAACTGCCAAGCTTCGCCTTTGAAATTTCAGGCCTATGTGTCCTGTGAGTTTAGGCATATGTGTCCCATGAGTTTAACATCACAAGAATCTTACAAAGAGACTACAAGATGTCATAGTTTCTTGCCTAAAACCAAATACTACATGATCACTTTCATAAGCAAGTGAATAAATACAGAGGAAAGGGCAGTTCTATAAACAAATGAATGTTTTAATGATGCAAGCCTTGATCTCGGTTATGAAGATCACAAACCGTATCTTCATGGTATTATGAAGACTTACATGATGAAGCACGAAGAGTAATGAAGCCAATGGGAATGAAAACCAAGCCCAGTAGTAAAAACACTTTATAACCTGCAAGACATGTGAGTTTAAAATTTCAAGCACTGGAGATACGGGTTTTGATCAAACAATCAAAAGAGGTCACAAGAATTCATGTTACTAATTAACCGATGTTGGTGTTAAGATTGGCTTACAAGCTGGGACTTTCTGGTTTCTGCTGCTTAAACTGATACAGAGCTGCCGAATCACCACACACAAATTGATTTAATTTTCAGTTATGAACGTTTGAAATCTTTACATGGATCTATAAACAATGCAATAATCGACTCCAAATCACAGAATTTTGCCGTAGACTAAACTGTAATTAAACTGATACAGAGGTGCCACTCACAGTGATTCAATGTTCAGTGAAAAAGCTTGATGTTAGGTATACAAATCTGTAAACAATGCAACACTCAATACCAAATCACAGGGTTTTTTTCCCTAATCGAAATTGTAAATAGTTAAAGGCTTTGATTCAATATCGAAATCTTAGAATCACCTTTCTATCGTCTCGACCTTAAGCATGATTGATCAGGAGCACGATTCATCCAAGTGTCGATCCTTTCACTTCCATCATTTTCCCTCCGACTTCAACTATACATCGGAACACAAATCGGCGGAGGAAAAAACTATGGCGTCTCTCATGGTGAATCGATAGATCGATCTAGAATTGTGTGGTCTCAGAGCACACAAAATACGTAGATTCACCTGAACTCGATTTTTGTTTTCGCCTAATGTTGTTATGAATTTGTAATTAGATCCTTTTTCTCCTAGAGAACAAATTGAATCGAGATTAGATTTGGTACCGTTGAGACTGATGACGATTTCAATCCAACAGGATTGCAGATTAACGAAAAACCCCATGATCTCCATTGAATTGAGTTCTTCGATTTTGATTTTGACATTTTCGTCTTCGAGAAAGGAGAAAGAGTTTCAGAAAAAAAAACCTATGAGGAGAATAAGTGAAGTGTATACATTAATTTTTAATTAATTAATTAATAAATTAGATTACTGACGTTATAATTACCGTCGGTTTAATAAACGACTCTAAATCTCTTCTTTTTTAATAATTTAACGTCAGTTACTAGAGTGACGCTACTAAAGTGACGCTACATCACGAATCTCTTGTAGTGGCTGACATCGACTTCTTAAGTTCGATAGTTGAATTGAACAGTTCTGGAGCCACACATGTCATGCCCGCCAAAATGGATAACAACAACATAATACAAAAATTTTAGATAATGTTTCCAGAATTGGATCCTCCTCTTTTGTCAACAAGATCTTGGTTTCAATGTTCAAACATTGTACATTTTGTTCTATATTTTCATAGGATGATTGATAATTGATATACCCTCTATTTCACAATAATTCCATTTTTTTTATTATGTGAACATATCCAGCTAAACAAAAAGAATTCCATATTTATTTAAAGTGTAACTAAGATCCTATATTGCCAACTAACACCAACTCGCCAACAACATTTTTATTGGACTGCCATGACAACAGAAAACTGTATTCTTAAGCTTCTTATCTTATCTTTCTTCAATTTTCAATAGTACATGTAGTCTACTCCAAAGAACGAGATCTATAAATGTTTTTTATGTGCATTCTTCAAAATTGTTTGTATTTATAAGTTTTGAAGAATCTGGAGAATTACTAGAGAGAATCCAAAATTCAGAAACCTAAAATCAGTGTTTAATTTGTTTTTATATAGTTTTGCTACAAAAGGAAATGGGAAGTGGTTGGTACTTATGTTGGTGGAGAAGTTGTCGACAAATAGACAATTATCGCTTATGGTCAACGAAATTAAATGGCCAAGTAACAGAACCATACAAGTGATTAATTGCGTTTCTCACCAGTCACCACTAATTTATACTTGTATTATAAATTAATCTACGTTTAATTTGCAGCAAACGAAACGTGATGATAATAATATCTGAGCATTCATACTTGCATGCTAGCATTTTGGATCCACTTTGTGTTTTCTGTTTGTTAAGTTCAATACCAGTTATCATAATTTCACAGAATATTACTTTTTGAAAGAAAAAAAAAAATTGATCCAATTTTAAGATAGACACATTTAGCTTTTGAAAAATATGATAATTTTGGTTTTTTTTTTTTTTTTGTCGTCTAGAATTTTATTAGAATGAAGAAGATACAAGGTGTTACACACCAACCATACAAACTGAGCTGGCGGATATCAAGAGATCCCCAAAAATTAAGCCCATACAAGGGAAACAACAAATTAAACTACAGCCACAACAACTCTTAAACTACTTAGAAACTAAAAGAGAAGAAGATAAGGACACTCAACGATTAACACAACCGAAGAACAGCACCAACTCAAAGAACAGCACAAACCAAAAGCAACTTCGAAGCTTCTTGAGAATCCAACCAAAGAGACCTTACCTGAGAAGACCTCAGCCAACAAAGGAAACTGCATCGTCCCTCTACACACACAAACAACTTTCCAACTCACAGGACCACCCTTCATAACCCGGCCATAGACTTACTCTCCCGGATGCGTAACGATGGATTTCGCCTTGATAGAAGGCCAATGGACCAATGAGCTCTCGATCAGACGGAAAAGAAGCGATAGGGAGCGAACGAACCAAACCGGATATCGCCGACCTCCAGAGATGGAGCAGGAGATAGATCGAACGGAGAGGAACCAACCACGGCGAGCTCAACGGAAGCAGAAGAACAGAAGGCAAAGCAGAGAACTGAGAAGGCGAAAAAACCAGATCTAGCCCAAAGAAATCAGTGAAAAGAGAATTCGTTGAGCAAGTAGCATAGCCACACCGAAGATCCTATAGATCCGGTTCCAACGAACTCATAAACACTTAGATCTAGCCGGATCTGGAGGAATAACCAGAAGAGCACTAAAGACTTCTTCGAACATAGAAAACTAAGCAGGAGAAATTAGAAGGGAATAAAGCAAAGAAGAAAATACAGAAGACCAGACTCCGGCGCTGAAGAAGCCGCCGAAGCCGGCAAGCAAAGAAGCAGCGGCGGCCAAACTTTTAGAGAGAAGGGAGAGAAATTGATATATTATTCATCTCATTCATGATAATTTTGGTTATAAGCACAAATAAATTTTGTGAAATAAATGTCTATGCTCAATAGGAATCACGTTTTCCTAGACGGTTGTTGGTGACCGTGACTTGTGAGTGGGAGGTGCATATGTCAGCTGATTGTTGTTGTCTTAAGACCTTTTCGTAAAGTTGTTTGTATAGGGAGCAAAATGTAAACATGTGTTTATGATAAGAATATCTTGTGACACTCGTGTGGTGTTTTCAACACATGCTGGTGACATTTAAATCAGAATAAAACTTCTTAACTGACTGGAAAAAACCAAACATGTAAGACAAATAAGTTTTTTTTTGTGGATTAAAAAAATAACGATTATAGATGTTTGTGGATTATCATCTTCGATAAGGGTTTTACAAATCAACAGAAAATATTATCCGGAGAAAATGTCAGTACATGTAAAGTAATACAAAGGTAAAAGAATCATATAGAAATCACATAAAATTACTAGTATAAGCTTTTTTCTAATCAAGTAGTCTTTCAAAGAGGAAATGGATGGAGGAACAAAGAGGCAAGAAGGTGTTTCATCTTTTGATCAGGATTTCCAAATGCATCACCTTCTTTGTAATACAAATCGATAACTCGGGCAATGTTGACGACTCGAACCAGAACCTGTCTTGGCACAGCTTTTGACGTCATGAACTCATCCATCATTACCTTGTAACTCTCTCTTATCATCTTCTTCAGTTCTTCAAAAGCTGCTTCCTTGGAAACGCCGTATTGTTTCATATAACAGTTGACGCCATTCGCTATCTCTCCTCTGCTCATTTCTTGCTGCTCCATTATTATAGTTAATATATATCTATAACAATGATAATGAACGTGACATAAATACTTGTGATCTTATGCGTACCTCAAAGGTGGCTATGTCATTAACGAGACGAAACACTGTACTCAAAGCTTGGATAATTTTGGGTTTGGATTCGAACCATTCGTACAATGGCTTCTCATCACATTCTTCCATTGCGATAAAGCTGTAGCATGCATAGTCATCCATTGCTGCTGTTTCAAGCCCAAGCTCCATGTAATCTTCAAAGCTTGGCACTTGACATGTGCGTGCCCATGTTGCCAAGGCTAGGTACACTCTCCCTAGACTCTTAATCTATGATTTGAATATCCAACATCAGCATTTTATATCATTTGTTTGGCATAGAAAATTGAAATCTTGAATTGTCATGAGTTACCCTACGTACGGCTTACCTGATCTATTAGCACGCGACAAGATCTTCCTCGAACCTCCATTTCTTGTTCAATCTCTTCCACAGTTTGGAACACATTTTGGAAGATGATTTTCATATAGCTTGGTAGATTTTCAGTAGCTCCACGATCCCACCTAGTAGCCATCAAGTATATAATTAAAACTCAAGTACTAATAAATAGACTCTTTACCAAAAAAAAAAGAGTAGTAAAGAGACAAGTTAAGAGCTTAAGAATTAAGATATACCTTTGCAAAGAATCAGTGAAACTTGTAGCTTCAGGAAGAGTGGCATATGCATCATACGTGTCATCAACAACCGTCAAGATCATGGTAAGTTTAGTGGTTATCATTCTCCCTAATGAATATTTTGGCTCGAAAAATATTGCCAGTGACCCCAAAAAGAGCTCCACAGTTCTACTCCTAATGTAAGGGAGCTTAGATGCAAGATTTAAGCCCTTCCACCATCTGCCAATCAAGAATTCAAAACAAAATATAAAAGACCGATATAATTAACAAGATTGAATAATATTGGTGAGCATTTTCAACCAACAAAATTTACTTTGTGAGATCTTTCAACTCTTTGATGTAATGAAGCCGGCAAAAGTTGAAGTTTAGCTTTGCAAACTTGAGGACCGTCTCGTCGTGGCCTTCCTCTTGGTCGTAGTAAGAGATGTACTGTCTTGCGACTAGGATCTCTATGCTATGATAGCGAGCTCTATACAATGCGTTTTGTATATGCTTAAAGAGATTGTCGCTTGTTTCTTGCTCGGTCAACGACTCCAAGTGATACCTCGCGAAAGTCACCGCTTCGTCCATTATATCTTCCGATGGTGTTCCAAGATGTGCGGCTTCGTACAGCTGTAACATCCCTCTAACATCCTTTCCTAGACTTTGCTTCAGCTTCCCGTCATTACCTTTGAATCTATCAAACACATCTATACAAAACCAATATATGTTAATGCAATGTTATCATATAGTTGTGAATATTAAGTATATATACTTATGAAAAACTTTTCTAAGTAGTTGATTACCACAAGACATTTTGTGTCCGTATAGTCTACAAACTTCAAACATAATTGCGATTGTTTCAAGATCATCTTCTCTCGATATTAAACTGTCCAACTTCTCGAAAGCATGATATAGAATAACTTCGATTTCACTCTCAAAATAATGAGCAGTACCGAGGCTGATAAGCAAATGGATGAGACGAATCCTCTCTTTGTCGCTGATGTGAGGAGACATGAGCATTTCTCTCACTTTAGGCTTCATCACCGATTCAATTTCTTGCTCAAGTGCCGCAAAATCCTACGAAGATACAGTTTAGGGTTAGTTAAAGAGATCATGGTCTGCAAGAAGACTAATCAAGAAACACATCGGATTAGGTGTATGTATACTTACGGAGTCATCAACGGGAACAGAGAGAAAGTGGTCACCCCAGAACGATGGAGAGAAGTATGTCAGTGGACGAGTACTCTCAAGATCGCCACTACTCTCAGCCTTAACACAGAACAAGTCGTGTTTCTTGTAGGAAAGAGTATTGTTTTGCAAGAAACGGCTTGGAAAGAGAGAGAGGTTAGTCTTAAGACAGAGAGGGACGTTGTGAACGTTAGGGACAGTTTTAAGACCAAAAAACATTCTTGATGCTTCCATTTCTAAACGCCGTCGGTAAAAGATAGACACGAGAAAGTCTCTCTGCTATGTGTTTGTGGTAGGATGCCTCTGTTTACTTTGCTTTCTCATTTCTTATCTGTATTTTAAATAGACATGGGATCTAGTGGAGAGGTTGATAATAAGAAAACAATATGATAATTACGTTCTTAAGGAATCTTTTTCTATTTTTGTATTTGTAAGCGGAATCTTGAATTAGTCTTATTCAATATACTAAGTATTATTATTTTTCAGAGTATATTTCTGTAAAATGTCAACTATATCATTTTCTTTTGTCAACTATATCATTTCTCTCCGTATATAAAATAAACATATAGGGCGATAAAACATATAGGTTGATAAGGTTTCTTGGCTCTCAAGTATAGTCGAATTTCACTACCAACAAACACCACCCAACTACAAAAAATCAAACTGAATTGTTGGGCATGTGTATCCTAAATAATAGAGTGAAAAATGGATTGTACAAATGTTTTTGTTCAATTAGAGAGGCCCGTAGGTTTAAATCATGAGACCCATTAAACATCTAGCCCTCATATATATATATATATATATATATATATATATTTTTGAATATCACGTTCATGTCAAGTTGACTATGTATAAATTTTTGTTTTCGCCATAGTTTAGTTTACTTTAGTTTAGTCTTTCTAGTTGTACTCATTAACTAATTTTCTTTGTTTTTACAGCGGTATCTTAAAATACTATTTCAAAACATGTTTTAACAACAACTACAATATGTGATATGAGAACTAAAGAGAAATCGATTGAAATCATGTGATCATGTGTAACGTTACCAGTGTACACTCTCAACACATTGCAACGAGACAATTCGTAAAACAGAGATCTGTTGTACACGTGGCATTTAGAACTATCTCTTCGTTATCATCGATTGTGTAATCTTGCTTAGCCATAGGAACGAGACAAACATATATCGTGTCGTTTTCTTCCTTGCAGAAGCATCTAGAAATCTCCGTGTTGGATAAGGAAAGGTTTGGATGGACGAAATAAAACAGTATCATTTTCGTGGTAAGAAGAAGAGAAGCGAAGCACGGCAAAATGACTAGACTGTGTGAAAGAAACGAGAGAAGGCAAGAAGAGTACAAGTCTGTACGGAATCTTTGTGTATTTATCACATAGATTTGTACTTTCTCTTTTATGTCGCAAAGTTTCTTTCCTTTTTTTAACAAATAAAATCTGTTATCACTCTTTTTATTTATGGATTCTCGACAATGACGTCTCTTTTCAAGTTTCAACCACTTGACACTTTACGACAATCACACAAGAAATAAAGTAGATACGGTAAAAAGTTTAAAGTCACTTTTGACCAGAGCTCTGTTATAATATTGCGTGATAAATAATAAACTAATTTCAAAAACGTGTTTCTCGAGACAAATATTACAGACCATTGTACTAAGAAAGTACACAACTTGCGGCTCTGCGAATGTTGCAGAAATTTCACAGTTGCACCACTTGCAAGCAGGAGGAAGAAACCAAAAAAAAAAATTAACACTTAAAAAAAATCAAAGAAGGAGAAGAAATTGAAACTCTTTATTATTTCTTGTGAATGTAGTAGAAAAAAAAAAGGTTCTTCAACAGCTTTGACAATGGGAATCGAATCGAATCAAAAGCAAAAATAAAATTAAAACAAAAGAAACATAACCATAAACCAACATTGGTCTTGTTCTGTAGAGAAAGTCATCATCTTCAATGGCTGGAGACTTTGAGGCTAAAGGACTTGTTGATCCAAGCTTTCAAGCTCCCACCTTTCCTTGCTCTGTTAATGGTGGAAGCATTAGATCGCTCATCAACCTTCTTCTCCTCTGGTTTCCTACACAGAGTAAAGTTCCTTGCTCCAAGCGATCCAATTGCGTTCCATGTGCTTAAAGCTGTATCACAACAAAAATCCAAAATCAATTCTCCACACAAAAAACAGAGCTTCGATTGAAAAAACAGAGGAAAATTGAAATTGAAATTGATTTGGTTTATAATTACCTTCAGGTCCAACCATGGGGCAATAGAGAGAGAAGTCATTGAAATCGGATCCGAGAAGAGGAAGACGACCTTCGCGAGCGTAGCATTTAAGGGCAGTGTCGATCACAGAAGCGACGAGATCTTCCTCGAACGCAACGAACCGGATCGGACCGGCGCTACCCAGAACCGTAACGCTGATCAGAATCCGGTTCCCTTTAGCCTGATTCTTCTTCTGCTTGTTGTAGAGCAACATCTTCGCCAACAAAATTTCAAAAAACAGTAACAGATCCTTATGAAATTAATCTAACCGGGAAATTAGGATTCCGGTTTGGGGATTTGAGATGGGAGATTTTCACGGGTCGAGGCCGAGGCAGCGGAAGTACCAGCCTTCTTTGCAGGAGCCGAAAGCGAAGACAGAGGAAGCGGAGAGAGGGAGGAAGAAGCTCGCCCTTTGGATTGGAAGGGAGAGCGAAAACTTACCGCCGATCGGACTAATTTCCACCATTCACAAACGATTCCAGATCAAAGGAAGGAGAATCGAGATCGAGATCGGAAAAGGAGAAGAAGCCGTTTGGTTTTTCGGGATTTGCGAATCGGAGAAGGAAGAGGAATTTTGGAGAAGAAGCAGAATGTGTTGAGCTGAGAGGGGAAGGGGGTATTTAAGAAGGTAGTTAGGGTTAGGGATACTTTGGGAAATTTGCGAATTTGGGGATTTTTCGGAAGTTTAGTGTTCTGTTACCGTTTTGGTAATTTTTTTTTTTTTTTTGGAAACGTGCTTTTTTGGTTTGTTTGGTGACGTGTTTTAGTTTGTCCCGTGTATATCTACCGAGTAGGGGTAAACCAGAGTCGGTTCGGTTTAGGATTTGTAAACAATTCGGTTCAAGATAAGGTGTGGACAAATCTGAGAAGAGTGAATTTGGATAAGATCAAAAGTTAATTATAAAGATCATCTTTGATGGTGGTCAACAGGAAAAATATTTTATAGCATTGATGAATTGATTTAGCAAAAAGAAGGAAACGTTTTTTTTTTTCTTTTAAGAAAGAAAAAAAAAGAAATAAGAAAATAACAAATAGTAAATTAGTTAATAGAAAAATAAGAAAACAAATGAAAATAATAATTGAAATGAAGGGAATATTTGATTCAAAATTAAAAAAAGATCAAGGAAATTTAAAATAAATAATTAACATATAGACAAATGGACAATGCACCAAGAAGAACAGAACAAACTAATCTCACTACATATAGTAAAAGGTATCAAAGGAACATAAATTCTAACAACGCACCAAAATAAACAAGAAAAAAATGGGAAATAGCACAAGCTATTTTGTGCTATTTTCGTATATATAGTACAAACATTCTATAATATATATATAGTAAATCGTATAAAAAGGAAAGATAAACTATAAGAATGCTCTGAAAGAATAAGAACAAATCTCGCTGCTGTACAGTAATGAAATTTTTGTTTATAGTTTATCAATCTTATTCCATGATAAACACTATGTAAATAGTATGGACATTTATCAAACTTTTCGAAACCATATATGAAATTTGAAAGAAAATTGTTGAAACAAAAAAAATATTTATAAGTTTAATGTGTATATTAGATAGGGATGTTCCGATTTTTCAAGTTATAGTTATGATGTTTGTTTCCTAGGTCGATTTAAAACTTAAAAGGATGATCAAATCAAAACACACAAGAAGGCTATAGATGAAGAAGTTGTGCCTTCTTGTGTGATTAATTTTTTAAGTTTTAAAAATAATGTGAAAACTATATATTTCATCACAAACGTTTCATGCGTTTTCATTTTTGTTTATATGGAAGATTTTTCCACTAACGTTCCCTTTTACGTTTATATTTTGCTAGTCATTCGAACTGATTTTTTTTATATTAGATTGACATACACGTAATTATGCAAATCAACTAGACATGAATGATAGAGATGTAGGAGTTATAGAGTATCTCATTCAAACTAATCACAAGAAAAAATATACACTTATATTTTAATAAACGATATTTTACAGACATAATTAAACACAAGAAGATAATCGAGATCTATATGGGGAAGAGGAGGAAGTTGACTTCTATTATGACTCTTAAGCAACATGAAATGTGGCATTAGTGAAAGCATCACGTGTCATGCGTTGGACCACTGTCTTGATTCTTGCTGCTTTTAGGTCCACCGATGCAAACCTCCCCATATCAAAACTTGAGAGGTTACACGTTTCATCTACTTTAGAACTTAATAAGTTTTAAAACTTTGAGAAACCACATCTCTATTAAAGTATAATCACATCATTTCAGAGTATAAAGAAAGAAGCTCGAGGAGAGAGTTGTACCAAAATTCATCTTTTAGTTGTGCTGGTGATATTTCTTACACGCAACATCTAACACGGTTAAATAGCACTTTCGACAATGCATATACCTACACTAAATAAAAACTTGAAAACTTCTAGGGAGTTAGTTATAATCAACGGAAGGGTTGATTAAGTAGCTGCCCACTAAGCATGTTTCATGTATGTTCTTCATTATCTTTCAATTTTTTGAAACTGAAGTTCAAAGTCTTTACCATGTTGTTCTGAGGAATTAATTTTTGAATGTTAGCAGAGTTATGTGAATTTAAGTCATAGAATGCAGAAAACCTATGACAATTGGGAAAAAGTCGCTTCAACAAAAAAAAAAAAATTTGATATGAAACTAAACTATAACTGTATCACTATATTGGATTAAATAAAAGAAGAACATGTGATGGAAAGAAAGAAAGAGAGTTACTATGTGAGAGGGGAGGTGAGAGAGGCTTCGTGTGTTTAAGAGAAAGAGTTGAATAAGTTTCTTGTTATTGAACTTGTTCGTATGAGAGAGATACATTTCTTCATTACATGAAGTGCCTATTTATAGGAAAAATGAGAAGATGTAAGTCGGCTGTAAAAGAAAACTTACAAGTGAAATAAATATTAAAATATCATGATGAGGATAATTATCCTTTCAACACTCCCCTTAATTATCCGTCAATGTATTATGTACGGTCTCGTTAAAAAACCTATGTCATAGAAAAACCCAATGGGATAAAAACTATGACTTAGGAAAAAGAGTACCGTAGCATAATCTCCCCCTGGAAAAGATATAATCTTTTCTTTTCACAAGTTTTGTAGACGACGCATTCCAATACTGTGAACATGCTTCTTGAACACTGTAGTAGGAAGCGCCTTTGTAAAAAGATCGGCTGCATTGTCACTTGAACGAATATACTCGATGTCCACTTCTTGATTTTTCTGGAGTTCTTGAGTGTATGAGAAAAATCTTGGAGGAATATGCTTCGTTCTGTCACTCTTGATATAACCTTCTTTGAGTTGTGTGACACATGCAGAATTGTCTTCAAATATTTTTGTTGGCTCTTTCTCTGTAACTATTCCACTTGATTCTTGTATGTGATGAGTCATAGACCGGAGCCACACACACTCTCTACATGCTTCATGGAGAGCAATAGTTTCTGCATAATTTGAAGACGTTGCAACCAAAGTTTGCTTTTGCGAACGCCAGGAGACCGCGGTTCCACCAATTGTGAAAACATAACCTGTTTGTGATCTAGCTTTGTGTGGATCTGATAGATATCCTGCATCAGCAAAACCAACTAAAACACATTTTGAGTTTTAGGATAAAATAATCCTAAATCAATTGATCCTTGAAGATAACGAAAAATATGTTTTATTCCATTCCAATGTCTGCGCGTAGGGGACGAACTATATCTTGCAAGCAGATTAGTAGCGAATGCTATATCTGGTCTAGTGCAATTTGCAAGATACATTAGTCCACCAATAGCGCTCATGTAAGGTACTTCAGGACCTAACACTTCCTCGTTATCCTCACAAGGACGGAATGGATCCTTTTCAACATCAAGAGATCTATTAACCATTGGAGTACTCAAAGGAGTTGCTTTGTCCATATAAAAGCGTTTTAACACTCTTTTAGTGTAATTTGACTGATGCACAAATATACCATCTTGGAAATGCTCTATCTGGAGCCCAAGACAAAACTTTGTCTTTCCAAGATCTTTCATTTCAAACTCTTCTTTCATATGAGTTCTTGCATCATCAATTTCCTTTTGAGTTCCAATCATGTTCAGGTCATCTACATATACAGCAATAATCACAAATCCTGAAGAGGATTTCTTAATGAATACGCAAGGGCATATCGCATTGTTGACGTAATCTTTACTCAACAAATATTCACTTAAGCGATTATACCACATGCGTCCGGACTGTTTTAGTCCATAAAGTGATCGCTGTAATCTGACCGAACAGATCTCCTTAGCCTTTGATTTCAAATCCTCAGGCATTTTTAATCCTTCTGGGATTTTCATATATATCTCATTTTCAAGAGATCCATATAGATATGCTGTCACAACATCCATGAGATACATTTCAAGATTTTGAGACGCTGCTAAGCTCATCAAAAATCTGAATGTTATGGCATCCATTACCGGGGAATATGTTTCTTCATAATCAATTCCCGGTCTTTGAGAAAAACCTTGAGCCACAAGTCGGGCTTTATATCTTGTGACCTCATTTTTCTCATTTCTTTTTCTTACAAAAACCCATTTGTGCCCGACGGGTTTTGTATTCTCAGGAGTTGTGACAATAGGTCCAAAAACACTTCTTTTATTGAGGGAGAGTAATTCAGCTTGGATGGCCATTTTCCATTTCTCCCAATCAGGTCTTTTGAGACACTCTGATATTGTTTCTGGATCTGGATCATCACTTTCATGATCAATTCTTTGTATACAGAAAAAGAGAATATTCCATCATCATCTTCTATTTCATTTCTTGTCCATACTTTTCCATTTTGGGCGAAGTTGATGGAAATCTCAAATTTTTCTGTATCATGTTCGTCTTCTGGACGAATCTCTTTCTCTGGTTCTTCAAAAACCAGTTTGTTTATGTCTTCAGGACATATTTCTTTACTAGGTTCTTCTTGAACCTTCTCTCCCAAATTCTTTTTCTTTCGGGGATTTTTATCTTTAGAGCCCATCGGCCTCCCCCTCTTTAATTGGACTTTGGGTGCATTTGCTATGCTTCCATCATTTTGTTCCTTAGGAACATCTATCTTTGATGGAACGTTTGCAGCGGGTATATATGATTTCGTCACTCTTTTTGTATCTGTGAACGAATCTGGTAATTGATTTGCCATATTTTGTAAATGTATAATTTTCTGAACTTCCAATTCGCGTTGTTTTGTCGGGGGATCAAAGTGTAACAAATTCGGTGTACACCATGTGAGGTCTTTTGGAACCTCTTTAATTCCTCCCCCTAACGCTGGAAATTCATCTTCATTAAAATGGCAATCGGCAAAACGTGCCGTAAACATATCACCAGTTTGAGGTTCAAGATACCGAATAATACTCGGTGACGTATACCCAACGTATATTCCCAATCTCCTTTGTGGCCCCATTTTTGTTCTTTGTGGCGGTGCTATCGGAACATAAACCGCACAACCAAAAACACGGAGATGGGATACGTTTGGCTCCTGACCAGATGCCAATTGCAATGGGGAATATATATTATAAGCACTTGGTCGTATTTGGAGCAACGCTGCAGCATGCAAAATAGCATGACCCCATATAGAAATTGGGAGTTTTGTTCTCATTATTAACGGTCTTGCAATCAGTTGCAACCGTTTAATCAAAGACTCAGCCATGCCATTTTGTGTATGGACATGTGGAACCGGATGCTCAACATCGATTCCCAATGACATGCAATAGTCATTAAAGGCCTGTGAAGTGAATTCACCAGCGTTATCTAATCTCACTTTCTTAATAGTATAATCAGGGAACTGTGCTCTCAACCTGATTATTTGGGCAATGAATCTTGCGAAAGCCGTATTTCGTGTTGTCAAAAGACACACATGTGACCATCTACTTGATGCGTCAATTAATACCATAAAGTATTGAAACGGTCCGCATGGTGGGTGAATAGGCCCACATATATCACCGTGTATTCTCTCTAAGAACACAGGGATTCATTCCCAACTTTCGCTGGTGATGGCCGAGTTATGAGTTTTCCTTGAGAACATGCATTACATATGAACTCGCCCGTTTCTAAAATTTTCCCGTATTTCAACGGATGGCCATTTGAGTTTTGCACAATTTTTCTCATCATGACTGAACCTGGATGCCCTAGCCTTTCATGCCAGATTTTGAATGTACTAGTAAACTTCGGGTTTACTGTAACATATGATTCAGTCAGAGTAATATTTGTGCAATATAATCCGGAGGACATCATTTTCAATTCTTCCAATATTTGTCCCTCCGATTTGATGCAAAGGATTTCAATGCCATTCTTATTTATAGTCTCTATGTGATATCCATTTTTACGGATATCTTTGAAACTCAATAAGTTTCTATAAGACTTCGGGGAATATAATGCATCATTTATTTCAAACTTTGTTCCCCTTGGCATTGAAAAATTGGCTCTTCCAGAGCCCAATATTATTTTTGCACCACCAGAAATGGTATTCACGCTTTCAACGGAATCTTTAATTTTGAGACCGGAGAAATATCTTTTATCTTTGAGTATTGTGTGCGTTGTAGCACTGTCTGCAAGACACATATCTCCATCACGAGTCTCAAATTTCGTCATTTCTGGATTTAACAAAGATGCATTAATAAGTATTAAACAATACAAAGCTTATATCACAAGATACAAAATACCACATTAAAAACTATTTTACAACAAAAAGATCAAACTTTTAGGTTATCTTATTCAGGAAGATAACTATGTATATCATGTCCTTTTAGTCGTCTGTTTTTCCGTTGATCTCTTCGGAGTCAACCAGAAAATCTGAAACATCAAGATGAGTATCATCGTTTAGGCCGTGAAAGGAAGGACCGGGTTCATTGGAGATGAAGTTAGTCTCACTTTCTTTCTCCTTTGCTTTTTGTGATTCCCGGTACAGATCGGCTAAGTGTCTGGGTGTACGACAAGTACGCTCCCAGTGATTTTTCATGCCGCATCTGTAGCAAACACTTTCTTTTTGCTTTTTAGAATCTCGGCCGTAATCATTTGCTCGAGATCTTTTATATTCCTTTCATTGTTGGACTCGTCGGGACGGTACTCTTTTCCTTGTCCCCGACCACGTCCACGGCCACGGCCACGACCTCGGTTTCGACCGTATCCACGTCCACGTCCTCGTCCATTATTTTGGCTGGACGATGCTACATTCGCTTCTGGGAATGGAGCAGCTCCAGTGGGACGAGTCTGATGGTTCATCATCACAAGCTCGTTATTCTGTTCTGCAACAAGGAGAACATCCATCAATTTTGAATAACGAGTATAGCCATTTGCCCGATATTGTTGTTGCAGGACTATATTTCCAGGGTGAAATGTGGAGAGCGTTTTTTCAATCATATCATAATCGCTCACATTTTCTCCACATAGCACCATCTTGGAAATTATTCTGAACATAGCAGAATTATATTCAACAACACTTTTATAGTCCTGAAACCGGAGATATAGCCACTGGTATTTGGCTTTGGGCAAATCTATATATTTTTGATGGTCAAATCTTTCTTTCAAAGATTGCCAAAGATCCGCAGGATCTTCTTTAGTGATGTATTCATCTTTTAAACCATCGTGGATGTGATGAAGTAGAAAGATCATGGCTTTCGCCTTTTTCTCATCTGGATGTCTCTTTCGACTTGTCAATGGCATCAAGAAGCCCATTTCCTTTTAGATGCATTTTTGCACCTATTGCCCATGTCATATAATTGTTTCCAGAAATATCAAGGGCGGAAATTTCGAGCTTAGCCAAATTTGACATGATATCTGCATAGATCATATTTCATTAATATAAATTCAAATTAATAAAAAAAAAATTTGAGCATTATAACAGTATAAATTAGCAGAAATTTAGATGGCAGAAAAGTAAATAGCGAAAAAGTAAATTACAGAAAAGTAAATATTCAGGAAGGAGGCAAAGCCTCTACTCCAAGAGGAGGTTTCACCATCAACTCTTATATGATCTAAGGTGACATAGTCTACCATATGATCATTTGCTCGGAGTAGGTACAACCTAGCATCCCGGCTTAAGAAATGATTTTTCGATTGTGGAGACAAAGCTACCATAACAATCGGCTCGGAGAAGGCATAGCCTACCATCCCGGCATAGCATATAAACAATAAAATAGAATATAAGAGCAGTTCGTGCTGATAACGTGATATGAAACTAAACTAAATGTACCACTATATATTATATAGTGGATTGATTAAATAAAAGAAGAAATGTGATGGAAAGAGAAAGAGAGTTACTATGTGAGAGGGGAGGTGAGAGAGGCTTCGTGTGTTTAAGAGAAAGAGTTGAATAAATTTCTTGTTATTGAACTTGTTTGTATGAGAGAGATACATTTCTTCATTACATGAAGTGCCTATTTATAGGAAAAATGAGAAGAGGTAAGTCGGCTGTAAAAGAAAACTTACAAGTGAAGTAAATATTAAAATATCATGATGAGGATAATCACTATCCTTTCAACAAAATTGTATTAAATGGGTTAGAACTTGTAAGACAAACTTTAATTAAAAAAAAAAAAAAACAAAGACCTGTTTAAATAAGAACGGCGGAAGACAAACTCTATAAAGATCTCGAATCTTTTGCATTTGAGATCGTAGCGAATGAACAGTATAACTAAATGTCACATGATATGGTTAAACTAATGGTGTAGCCGTGTAGGGAAGTGGAATAAATATGGGAATTAACAGAATCAGGTGCAGATAGCATCATATGGGCCATGATCTTGAATGGTGCAGAGCCAAGCTAATAATTTCTGACTAAAGATAGATAGAGAGAGAGCACATGCCTAACGAATAGGACCAAAGCAATGAAGCATCAAATAGAGAGGTCATAAGTCTCGAACAGCTATCAATCTCATCTCCATGCATTATTGTTCTCTCAATCTACATATATCACAAACCACCTTCTTGGCAAAATATAATCCGTTATCCTGAGCCGCTCAATGTCTCTCACTTAACTTTGTCTGGTTGACATCTTGTATGATTTATCGCGTAGCTATGCATAATCTAATATGTCGCATTATTACATAGTTTTGTCTAATTAATAAATCGAAATGAATTGTTGGCTGAGTCTTTGTTAAATTTAGGTTTGTCATGTCCACATTGAATGATCTTATGACTTTTTTTTGTTTGACAATGATCTTATGACTCATAGCACTCACGTACCTGATAAATTATAGTTAAGATCAACAACATTTGTACGGCAATAGATGTTTAAACATCATACATCAGTCAAAGCAAACGGTCAGGATTTGTATTTTCCTCAGTCAAAAAGACAAGAACTACTAAGCATATAGTATATGCCCTTAACCTAAATAACAGATCATTTAGAATTTGAAGAGCATATTCCAAATTAATCTCATCCATAGAAAGGAAAAAACAATCAATGTGACAGCTGAGCCGTCTGTATACTGTATTTATTATAAACAATGATTTTTATTTTCAGTACTACTCCCTCCGTTTCAAATTAGTTGTCGTTTTGGCAAAATGTATCTGCAAATATTTGGACGTATCTGGACATGTTTTGCATTACAAATACATCCAGATAATTCCAGATACATTTTCCCAAAACGACAACTAATTTGAAACGGAGGGAGTACTAAGCAATACAACAAATAAAAATAGGAAACGGCTTATCTTTAATTATTCTCCAGCCACTCTTTTGTCTGTTCATTTAGCCACTAGCCAGATTCCCCAATTTCCTCATGACCGTTTGATTACAAATTCTCAATCATACGCCAAACTCTTCTAGATTCAAAGGTACGTAGGTCCATTCATTTCAACATGTCACACGTTATTTTGGCATCTCTACTCTATACCGTACCATTTGCTCCATATAAAATACAATATCTCTAAATGTCAAGATTCGCTACTAGCAATTCTCTATTCACCCGATTAGAATCTTGAGTTTTCAGTCGTTCTCAATTATTTCTTGCAATTTAAAATTAAAAAAAAAACTTAAAAAAAACTATAAGACTTTAAAAACATTTAACACTTTTCTCAAAAAAATAATTTATAAGATTTTAAAGTTGAAAATATGCGTATGAAAATAGTAGACGGTAAAACAATTACAATGGGTTAATTAGTAAAGAGGTAAAAAAAAGTAAAAATACTTGGGCTAACCAATAGTTACTGGCTAAGACTGTAAACCTATAGAAACTTTAGGGACCAAAACAGAAAACAAAACAATGGAGAAGAAAATGGTTTCGTCGTGTAAAATGTTTACAGGTGAGAAATGCGAAAGAATGATGATGAGAGAGAGAGAGAGAGAGAGCTAAAGAAAGTAAAGGACCAGCGATGAAATCGGTTATCCGCAAACTACGAATAGATCTGTCGATATCGTTTTTGGAACTCCGCGTTGAATCAGCGTCGATGTTTCTCGTAAAAATCCTATCTTTCGTTTGCACAAATCCAGACACGTTTTATAAATCACATCAAAATCCCCGCTTTATTTGGGTAAATTCAGGCAAAGGGTTTGTGTGTTCTTCGATATCTATCTCCTTGGGGTATCGCTTGATCCGAAATCATCAAACTTTCTTCGAGAAATCAAAAATCTGCAGCGATGTCCGAGGAACCGCTAGGGATTCTGAGAGTTCATGTGAAAAGAGGGATTAATCTCGCCATTCGCGATGCCACAACTAGCGATCCTTACGTTGTTGTCACATTGGGTCATCAGGTATCGATTCTCTCTGTTCATGGCTCTTTGATCAGATTAGGCATTTTGTGAGCAAAGCTTATAGTTTTAAGAGTAAATGTGGAAACTTTTGAGAAAAAGGATTGACCTTTATGGCTTTTTGATCAGATTAGGCATTTTGTGAACAAAGCTTATTGTTTTAAGAGTAAATGTGGAAACTTTTGAGAAAAAGGATTAGCCTTTATGATGCTTTAGTCGACGTAGATTATAAGCCACATGTAGGAGGAGGTTACAATGCGATGGACTGATTCTCCACCATGTGATTTGTTTTTTGGTGACCACCATGTGTGAAAGATCTCATTTTTGAGCTTCGTTGTATGTCTTATTTGGCTAAATTACAAGCTACATTTATTTTTTGTGCAGTACGTAATCTGGTTGAAGTGTCAATCACGTTAAATGATAGTTTGTTTTCTTCCAATCGATACATAGTTTTCTTGGAAAATGATATATGTATAATAATCTTGTTGAAGTGTCATCTCCTGAAGCTAATAAACATTAGTCGTATTGCTAATGAAGTAATGATGATACATGTCACTTTGGTTTTACATAATCTTGTGATTGTGTCACTGTGTTTAAACTCTGAATGTGCAATGTAACTTTCTGTTTTTTTTTACCTCTTATTGACCCTTTTTGATGTCATTGTTACAGAAACTTAAGACTCGTGTGATCAATAATAACTGTAATCCAGTGTGGAACGAACAATTGACCCTTTCCATCAAAGATGTCAGTGAACCAATCCGTCTGGTAAGCTATCCATTAAAAGCCTAAATCTATGAGCTTTAGCATTGTTGAAGAAATGTGGCTCATATTATGATGCTCTCTGTGTTTATGCAGACGGTGTTTGATAAAGACAGATTCTCGGGAGACGAAATAACTGTAATCCAGTGTGGAACGAACAATTGACCCTTTCCATCAAAGATGTCAGTGAACCAATCCGTCTGGTAAGCTATCCATTAAAAGCCTAAATCTATGAGCTTTAGCATTGTTGAAGAAATGTGGCTCATATTATGATGCTCTCTGTGTTTATGCAGACGGTGTTTGATAAAGACAGATTCTCGGGAGACGACAAAATGGGTGATGCGGAGATAGAGATGAGGCCGTTCCTAGAAGCGCATCAGATGGAGTTAGATTTCCAGAAGCTCCCCAACGGTTGTGCCATCAAGAGGATCCGTCCAGGAAGGACCAACTGTTTGGCTGAAGAGAGCAGCATCACTTGGAGCAATGGGAAGATCAAACAAGACATGATTCTTAGACTAAAGAATGTCGAGTGTGGTGAAGTTGAGATCATGCTTGAGTGGACTGATGGTCCTGGCTGCAAAGGTCTCGGACGTGAAGGTAATAATGTTTTAACATTCCTCTGTTTTTGAGTTGTGTAATGGTTTGATCTAAAATGTGAGCTTTTGTTCTCTTAGGATCTAAGAAGACACCATGGATGCCGACTAAACGATTGGACTAAGATGCAGGGATTGTTGAAGAGAGACTGTGAAGATGTGATGGTTTTTTTCTTTTGTTCATGGGAAGACGAGTTTGTCTTTCTTTGTGTCATCAGATTTTAAATTAAAAATGGCTCTGCTTTGTTCTTAGTTGTACATGTCGAATAACCCAACAAACCCTTATATATGTATTTGTATATGTTTCTACTAATTGAAGAAATAAAAGCAAACCCTGAATTTTCTACAACCTCTTCAAGATTTTCTCTGTTTCTTGAATCATGAGAATATATTTAGCTGCATCATATTGCTTTCTTAAAAAGTAATTAATATATACAGTATATATTGTTGCACCAGTGACCAAACGCAAAAAGGTCAACGGTGTTAACTTTTCTCCATTGTTAGGAAATAAAAATAGTCAAGAAGATATTATTACCAAAAGAGAATCTAAATGATGATGTTCGTGAAAATAACGCGTAGGAACCGAAACACCTGGAAAAGAAACCTTACATTTTGGCTATTTTATATGGATCTTTCTCGCTCTTTCGTCCATTGACAAGCCACTTTATTTAAAGGTGTCTCTCGTTGAATTAGAGCCGGTGATATTTTGCAAGGGAATAATAAAAGTAAAAGTCAGAGCCTAGAGACATTGATCGTTGTGTGTTTTCTCATAAGAAAAAAAAACAGAGGAAGAGGTTGAAGATGGAGGGTATGTTAGGGCTTATGAAAATCCGAGTGAAGAAAGGGATCAATCTCGCTCGTAGAGACTCTCGGAGCAGCGACCCTTTTGTCGTCATCACCATGGGTTTACATGTCTCTTCTCTCTCTCGCTGATTCTCATCTTATTTAATCTTTTTGTTTTCACAGTTTTTGATCTTTTTGATGTTTCTCTCTGTTCTTGTAATTCTGCTTACTTTCTTTGTAAATGGAAGATCATGATAGAATCTTGAAGAAACATGATAGTTTTCAATTTGTAAATGGAAAAAAAAAACAAGAGAATAATGATAGAAATTGTTTTTGATCTTAGGATGTTATCTTCATATTTTTCTTTTTTGGTGAGTTCTTATCTTCATATCTTGCATGCACTCTAATTGAAGTCTTTGAATTGCAACAGAAGCTGAAGACTCGTACTGTGGAAGATAACTGCAATCCAGAGTGGAATGAAGAATTGACACTTGCAATCAAGAATCTCAACGAGCCTGTGAATCTGGTGAATACTATAATATATCACTTGTTGGATTTTCTCAACTTTTGGAAGAAACCACTCGTTTGTATTTTTGACCTTTTTTTCTTTTTTCTTGTTGTTATGAGTGAAGACAGTGTATGATAAAGACACATTCACATCGCACGACAAGATGGGAGATGCGCAGATAGACATCATGCCGTTCGTTGAGGTTCACAAGCTTGGTTTGGAAGAACTTCCAGATGGAACAGTGATCAAGACAGTTTTGCCCACCAAAGACAACAACTTGGCTGAAGAGAGCAAGATCGTCTCCGAGAATGGTAAGGTCGTCCAAGACATGATTCTTGTGTTGAGGAATGTCGAGTGCGGTGAAGTAGAAATTCAGCTTGAATGGATTATACTCCCTGGTGGTAGAGGACTCTGAGAAAACAAAGATGGAAGTAATTTGATGATTCCTATATCTATGCATGTGTATGTGTGTGTGTTTAATAAAAGCTACATGTTTTGAAAACATAACATATTTTCAGGCTATTGCGTTTCTTGAATTGTATATTTTTGCACCAAACAAATGTTAACTTTTGTACATAGTCAGAACAAAGAACCAATCAAGAAGATATTATTACCAAAGAGAATCAAGAAGATCTTCGTGAGAGTAACACTTAGATGAGAATTAGCTAAGAAACAAAGAATATAGAGCTCTTAAGACTTGTCAAAACCGAAGTTAGGGACCAAGCTAACCACGTTAAGCACATGTGCCTAAGTCTCGGAATCAAAGTGGGGGTACTTTGTCCTTTGATGTGCCAATTTACGTGGTCCCGTTGAATGTGAGCCGGTAAATGTTTTTTAGGGAATAAGAAAGGGGGAAGAATAAGAGCCTAGAGACATGGTGGTGGTGGTTTTGCTTTCTATTTAAATTTTCAGATGGAAAAAACAGAGGAAACAGAGGAAGAAGAGGTTGAAGATGGAAGAGCTTGTAGGGCTAATGAGAATTAGAGTGAAGAGAGGGATCAATCTCGCTCGTCGAGACACTTTAAGCAGTGATCCTTTTGTAGTCATAACCATGGGTTCACATCTTTGTTATCTCTCTCTTTCTCATTTTCATCTGTGTATTTAGTCTTCTTGGTTGTTTGATGTTTCTGTCTATGTTCTTGAGAGATATATTCCTCTGTTTTTACTCTGTTGGTAGATAGAAGATTTAAGAATAAAACCTTTAAAAACACTTTCTTGCATGCACTCTTAATTGAAGTTGTGGAATTGTTAAATTGGCAGAGGCTGAAGACTCGAACTGTGGCCAAGAACTGCAATCCAGAGTGGAACGAAGAACTGACCATTGCGATCAAGAATATCAATGAGCCTGTGAATCTGGTGAATACTATCATCACCCATTGGATTCTCATTCTTTAGATTTTTTTTTTTTTTTTTTTTTTTTTTTTTTTTTGAATTACTAAGAGGTTCTGGGCCGAAGCCTATGAATCTGGTGAATACTATCATCACCCATCTACACTCATTCTTTAGAAGTATTTTCATTATGTGACTTTTTGTTGTTGTTGTTGTTGTTGTTATGAGTGTAGATGGTGTATGATGAAGATACGTTCACAGCGGACGACAAGATGGGAGATGCGCAGATCGATATCATGCCGCTCTTAGATGTTCACTCAATGAAACTGCAAGAACTTAAAGATGGAACAGTGATCAAGAGAGTTTTCCCCACCGGAGACAACTGCTTGTCTGATGAGAGTAGAATCATCTTCAATAATGGCAAGATTCTTCAGGATATGGTTCTTGTGTTGAGGAATGTCGAATGCGGCAAGGTGGAGATTCAGCTTGAATGGATTGAAATTCCAAGTGTCAAGGGACTTTGAATCAAAGATGAAAATATCTTCATAGTTTGTTTTGGTTTTTAGACAGTCACAACAATAAGTGAAAAACAGAGTATTTACTCGATTCAGTTATTAAACTGTTTTGGATTCCCGCGAGTTTCATCATCGGCACATAAACAGAGAATATGCTGTTTTTATTTGTTGTTATGTATTTGAAGAAAATAAAACGTGTGGAAGAAAAAACAAAAACAAAAAGAATCTAATAATCTTGGAAGTTTGCTTGAGGATATTTTGTTAAAACATGTGAAATTGCAGAGATGTTCAAACGTAAGGTTATGGTTTCATCTTAGTGACGAATCTTATCCATCTCCAAATCTCTCAAATTTTGAAAAACACTTCTAAGTGAATAAAAATCACAGATTGCAAAATAAAAATCTAAACTTGGAATTATATTTGCAGATATTTCTTTTTTTCTTTGGTTCTCTGTTTTTCAAATCTGAAACTTTGAATCTAAACCAAAACAGAGAGAATCAATGGCGTCGACTTCAACATCATCTTTAATGGCTTCAAAAACTGCAATTTCACAAAAAGCTCTGTTTTTCTCCTCACCAAGAATAGCAAAACGGAGTTTCTTAACATTCAAACCATCTTCTCCTCCTTCCGTTAAATCTCTGAGGACAAGATCTTCAAATGTCACTAAGTTCGATGAAGTAACCAGTTACAGTCTCGACGAGGACACGGACAAGATCCGACGGTTACAAAACGGTTCCGACGTGAGAGGAGTCGCTTTGGAAGGAGAGAAAGGCCGTACGGTTGACCTAACCCCTGCAGCCATCGAAGCAATCGCAGAGAGCTTCGGAGAATGGGTTGCAGCGACGGAGAGTAACGGAGACGGCGCCATTAGGGTTTCTCTCGGCCGAGATCCACGTGTCTCCGGTGGCAAACTAAGCACGGCCGTGTTCGCCGGTTTAGCTCGTGCTGGCTGTTTAGCTTTCGACATGGGTTTAGCTACTACTCCTGCTTGCTTCATGAGCACGTTACTCTTTCCATTCGAATATGACGCTTCAATTATGGTAAGGGCAATGACTCTTTTGCTTTCTAACTCAAAATCAATTGGTAATGAGTGGTTCTTGTTTTGAAGATGACGGCGTCTCATTTACCATATACAAGAAACGGACTCAAGTTCTTTACCAAGAGAGGAGGATTAACGTCTCCGGAAGTGGAGAAGATATGCGATTTAGCTGCGCGAAAGTACGCAAACAGACAGACTAGAGTCTCTACACTGATCAGAATTAGACCGGTGCAAGTGGATTTCATGAGTGCTTACTCTAAGCACCTTAGAGAAATTATCAAAGAGAGAATCAATCACCCTGAACACTATGACACTCCTCTCAAAGGCTTTCAGGTAAATAGTCTAGCATATTTTTATAATCTTTCTCTGTTCTTGAATGTTTCTATACAAAATTATGACGTTTGTGTGTGTGTGTGTATGTGTGTGTGTTAGATAGTTGTGAATGCGGGTAATGGGTCAGGAGGGTTCTTTACGTGGGACGTTCTTGACAAGTTAGGAGCTGATACGTTCGGTTCGCTTTACCTAAACCCTGATGGGATGTTTCCTAATCACATTCCTAATCCGGAAGACAAAACCGCAATGTCACGCACCCGAGCAGCGGTTCTTGAGAACTCTGCGGATCTTGGGGTTGTGTTTGACACGGATGTTGATAGGAGCGGTGTGGTGGATAACAGAGGAAACCCTATAAACGGAGATAAGCTCATTGCGCTTATGTCAGCTATTGTGCTTAAAGAACATCCAGGTGGGTTTACATTTTTACACTAATAATGATATTTGTTAATCTTTATCTATGATTGGTTAATATTGTTCTTTTAAGTATGGATATAGGAAGTACTATTGTGACGGATGCAAGAACGAGTATGGGGCTAACTAAGTTTATAACGGAGAGAGGAGGAAGACATTGTTTGTACAGAGTAGGGTATAGAAACGTGATCGACAAGGGAGTAGAGCTGAACAGAGATGGGATTGAGACTCATCTCATGATGGAAACTTCAGGGCATGGTGCCATTAAAGAGAACCACTTCTTGGATGATGGTTAGTTAACTAGTTACAACTCTTTGAACTACTTTTGTTATCATGATGTTTTTGTTTTTAATACTTAAGGCACATTTTAGGTGCATACATGGTCGTGAAGATCATAATTGAAATGGTGAGAATGAGACTCGCAGGATCCAAAGAAGGTATTGGTAGTTTGATCGAAGATCTTGAGGAGCCGTTAGAGGCGGTTGAGATGAGGATGAATATTTTGTCAGAGCCAAGAGATGCTAAAGCAAAAGGCATTGAAGCCATTGAGACATTTAGGCAATACATTGAGGTATAATATTATAGCTCTTATTAATTAATATTCATTTTGTTCTAGTTGTAGCTATAGAGACTTTTTAGAATTTACAAATTGAAATGATTATTAGGAAGGAAAATTGAAAGGGTGGGAATTGGATTCTTGTGGTGAATGTTGGGTGACTGAAGGATGCTTGGTGGATTCAAATGATCATCCATCTGCCATTGATGCTCACATGTATAGGTAATAACTTTGCTAATAGATTTTATATATCATATGATAAAAAAAATATGAAATGTGACATAATAATTAGTTGAATAAATTCAGGGTACTAGTGAAGGATGAAGAGAGTGGGGAAGAGTATGGGTGGGTGCACATGAGGCAGAGTATTCATAACCCAAACATTGCTCTTAATATGCAATCAATGCGTACTGGTGGATGTGTCTCCATGACTAGACTCTTCAGAGACCAGTATATTCAGTCCTCCTTAATTAAATTCTAGTAATTCCTAATTACATTTGATGATAAATTAAATTTTTATGTGTGGGTTGATCAGGTTTCTGGAAGCTAGTGGGGTTGCTAGATTCCTCGATATAAGTGACTTCGACAATTACATTGGAAGTCAATCGTGACGACCCTCTTGAGTTAAAATGCGAAATATGTAACTAAACCACACGCAAATACGAACGGCTACGTATTGTGTATCTCTTTTTAATCGTGTACATTATATGTAAAGATCTCACCGTAGAAAATGAAAACGTATATGAGTTTTGTTAATCTTTTTTTTTGTTAAAGAGTTGTGTACTTGTGTTAATCTTGACGACACCTTAGTTAAAGTTTACATTATTTTTGTCCTAGGATTTGGTTTCCATTAAGCGATCACCGAAAGAGTGGCCGAGCTTCTCAATGGAACTAACTCAATGAATGTTAACTTTGTATATTTTGTTTACTTTCTTTCTCTTTTAAAGATTGATGTTTCAGTTTTCTTAACAAAGTTATGTTTTCTTAAAAAATTAGTTTGACTACAAGTCTACAACCGATGTTAAGTAAACAGAATCCAGTGGTATGCCAAATTCAATAACCATAGAATTTCCGGTTCTATCGTTTACTATAGTTACGACTATGTTTCATGAATCTTTTTTTGTTTCCAATTAGAGTGGTTGTCTTGTCCCCATCATGTTCTTTCCAGAGAATTCCTTTTTCTTTTCAGGTGGAGTAAGTCTAACTAATTCCTTGGTTTAACGAATTTTCATTCACAATATATCCAAATCCAATAAACTATTTTTTTCTTTTACTTGAAGGATTTTTCTTCCATCATGGCTCATGCTCTGTATTAAATGCTCAATCGCTCACCCAATATTGCGTTCAAGTATTTAAAGCTTCCGTAAGAATAATACATTTGTTGTCAATTAAAAAAAAGAATAATACATTTAATCTTACAAAAAAAAGAATAATACATTTAATCTTACAAAAAAAAGAATAATACATTTAATCATTACCCAAAATATATCAAACCGTTTCATTATGAGATCAACAGTAACGTAAAGTAATCCGTGGAGATATTTGGTGGACCATAATAAATTAATAATCTCAATGGAAAGTAAAAGTTTCCGACAGTAGTTGGTTCAAATTTCTGTATAGATTATGTGCATGATTAGTTTGCTGTGGTAAATTCCAGTTTGGGTTTGTTTTTAAAATCACTCATGCATAAAATGTCTTTTTCTGGGTCAAAATGTATCAGTTGTGGTTTGTGATAATAGCCTCCCATGCATAATGATGTCTCAATAATACAATATAGGGTTAATTTTGTCGCTTATTGGTAAGCTGTATACTATTACTAGTGGTTTGTGCTAATATTGTCGTGGAGTCACGTATGAGTTTTTATTTTCTTACAACAAAACCCATATACAGTATTAAGATTAGCTTGGGGAGCTGACCACAGGTCACATAGGATATTCAATAAGAGAGACTGTCGACACGGATATTCAATAAGCATGGGATAAAATTAAAGAGAGAGAAAACCCATTAAAAGAAGAGCAAAAGAATTGAAGTTCTTCAATCTCGTTAGCCACTTAAAAACTTTCAAAATATTCAATCTCACCAACTGCTGACAATCACTTTCAAAACTTAGGGAAGTTAACCCCAGTTGCAACGATGTCTTCATGGCTTAAGTTTAGGGCCGCTAATTCAGCATGCAAGGAAGACGTACGGGACCTGGTTCCTTGAGACGGCCCCAAATAATTGTCCTCTTTGTCGATGACGAAGCCACCTCTAAATTTGTCATAAATCACACATTTATAATTAATAGCGGTACAGGCAAAGTCCCTAATTATCTACAATTTTAATCGAATCAATCATTCGACCCATCATCGATCTAATAGCCTCCTTCTTTTCATCATCAAATCAAGAAAGCACATATATAGGGATTTGTTAATCCAAACATATATTAATAGCAAACATAACATAAGAGTTTTATATATTTTTAGTAGCCACATCATAGCTAGTACACGTCGCTTCTTAAAGTTAAAATTTCCAACGTAAAACAATAATAGTACACGATGCACTCACACACAAACTCGGACATGGTTCCTTAGGCCTTATTGCATTTTAATTCAAATACTGAACTTGAGGCGCACACACATATTCTTATTCCTCTGCCAAGAGATGCTCATCGATCTCTTGGGAGACTTCGACACAGAACTGGAGAAGAGTCTCGGGATGAGCAATCTCCTCGCTAATTTTCTCATACTCAAGGTGCCAGTGCACAATACTACCGGGCCCTCCATGCTTAGGGGTCACCTGGATCGTGATCACAAAGCTCTTGTACTCTTTCATTAGATCACCTTCTATGACCCTGAACGTGATCAGGTTCTTCTCCGGCTCCACCGCCTCGATCTTCTCCTTTGCCACCTTTTTCTCCCCATCTACACCAATTATTTAACATTAAATAGTCAGAGGTTTAAGTTATGTACGGAAAATGATATATAATAACATTGATTGACTTGCCATGAACGTAGTTCCAGAAGATGATAGAGCCAACTTGTCCCCAATCGCCTTCATGCAGATCACATCCCTGAATGTTGCCTGGGGTTGCTTTGGAGACATGGTGTGGTTTGCCAGTGAACATATGATGGAACTTCTCCGCGGAAGCTTTGATCTCTACTTCTGTCTCAAGCTTCCCCACCAAACTAGACGTCTCTTTTGTCTTCACCTCTTCTTCCGCCGGCTTGTTTGTTGCCTCCACCGTTTTAGGAGTGGCCACTGTCACTGTGGTCTCCGTCTCTTTGACCAAGTTAGTTGGTGCCACGGTCACTGTTTTCTCCGCATTTTCTCCCACTGTCTTTGCAATTTCTGTAGCAGCCTCCGCCATCTTCTCTCCTGCTAATTTCGTGATTTTGAGGAAATTAGGGTTTTAGTTTTTCAAGAGAAAGTGATTTTTATTTTATTTTTTTATGAGTGAGTTTCCTTTGCAATTATACAGCCCCTTTATATAGAGGCACGAGTGAGCACGATTTATATATAATTAACCATTAACAAACAAAAAACACAGTTAATTACTTGCGTTAATAGATATATGATGAGGTATGACCTATTAAGTATTAACAAAAACAATGATTGAATCCACCGAACAAAAGCGACGGAAGGGATTGGGAGACAAGAGAAAGTGGTTGCATTATTACATGACAATCACAATTACATGACAATCACAATACAATACACATAATGGGTAGTTTTTTAATTAGAAATTAAAAAAAAAAACGTGTGTGGTTTGTATATGCGTGTGTATAAATAGGGGGAGTCTTGATATTTGCAAGATATCCAAAAATCAGTGCACAGTAACATATTCTCCAAGTTCTCGTAATTTTCTTCTTCATTTATCTTATTTGTTTGGCAAGAAAGCTCATTTCATCATATTTTTTTTCTTCCTTGCACAAAAAATGAGAATATGTAAGTGTCTAGTGAGAAACTAGATCCTAAATGTTTTTAGTTTATTTTATCACATGGTTCTTCACGCCACGCCTTACTCTGTTTGTCTTGTTTTGTATGCTCGTATGCATTTGTATTATCTTCATTAAGTAGTACTGTAGTAGTGTTTATCCATTTATTCAAATTGCGTCAAACAGTTACAAAGAAGAACTCTTCGTACAAAATTACGCTTTAAAGCTCGTTTCAAGAGACAACATGTTTGATAGGAATTGAATTTTCTTAGTCCTTTTATCTCGGAAGCGAATGCTCAAGTAGAAGAACGAGAGATTGATTGGTACACCGTAAACCAGATGTGGAGGTTGTGAAGTTATCAATTGCAAGACAAAGTGAGAGAGGCCAGCTTATCTCGGGCCCCGGTCATAAATATATTTATATAAATGGCTGTGAAAGTACCTTTTAGGTGCTCCTCAAGTTTATATGTTTACTAGTATTGTGCCCCGTGCAATGCACGGACTTGAACTTTTATAGTAATGAAATTATCTATAAAATTGTTTTTTTTAGTGTAAGTTTTTTTTTTAGTTACACATCAATATTGGAATTATAAACTGAACTCACAAACAGAATCCAAGATAGACTGAAATAATGATTACACAAAACATGGATAACCTAATTACTCCAGACAAAGCAAATTCATAATTAAAAGCAGTTATACAAAGTTATAGATAGAAATATATACAAATGGTTAAGACAAACTTGCTGCTACTGATAAACAAACATCTGCTACTGAGTGAGTTATGTGGAATCACGTGTCGAAATTTATGTATGTCAATGAGTAAGATTTACAAATGGTTAAACACAAATATAACTTTCGAAATACTAAATAAATTTAGCGACAAAGTCTTTGGATAAAATAATCCAATATGAATCTTCTAGACTATTCATTCTAATAACATGAATGTATGACAAAGTGTTATCCCAAAATCGCCGAGTAGCTTTGGGATGTCTTCTCACAATGTTGCTTCTAAGTTTTGTCCCGTTACTGTCTTTATGCCAACTACAGGTCATTAAAAATATCATAAACACAGGAAAGTAGTTATAGAAGAAACAAAATAAGAAAAGGAAGAGAAAGACCTTGTCGAGAAGAAAATCGATAGAACCATATCGTTGAAAGCTGAAACGATAGAGGTGTGATAGAGCGTCTTTGAACCTGCCATTTTAACCGTAAGAAAAATGCTGTTGTGGAAAATAATTCAGTCACATTCAGAAGAGTAATCCCAAAAACAATCTCAAAACATCAAAATAATTTAGTTATGATTTGGTGAAAGAAGTAGGTGGCTTCTGAGATTATTTCTGGTTGATTTCAGAAAAAGAAAAGCTAAAGCAGACCAACAAACAGATAAAAATCAAAATAACCCAGAATAAAAAAACTTAACTAATTATTCTCACATCTAATCCTTAGTATCTAGAATCACAAAACTCATGATTGATGTTTTCGATAAAATCGTATACATGACTAAAACATGATTTGAAGGTTAGAATTAGAAGCAAATTCGAAATTTCCATTAGAGAACTGAAGAGGAAATATACCAGAAAAAAAAACCCCATGGATCGAAATTGGTTACCTGTTTTCCTTAAAAGTGAAAAGCCCAAGCTACTGTCACAACTTGAGTCTCCATCGGTGCATTTGAGATTGGATCTACACAAAGAAATTCCAGATTCAGAACATGAAACTATTCTATCAATCAACATATGGAAGAAGAAGGAAATCTGTAAAGTAATCTGATTTTAATCATTCAGATCTACAAATCAATATGAGAAATCGTGATGAATAAAACCAAAAACAATTATGCAAGTGAAAATTTGATTAGTATAGAGATACCTTGATTTTAGAAGAAGAAGAAATTTAGTCAGTTCCCTGTTTGAGAATTGAGATCGAACTATATATGTGATGAAAGTGAAATTCGAATTATGAGATCGTGGAAGTTTGAAAAGAGATTCAGAGATCGTGGGTTTTGCCGTTTTGGGGAAGAAGAAGAGATCGTGGTTTTGGGGATAAAGAAAAAGGTTTTTCAATTAAAAAAACGAAAATAAAGAATAAAAATAATAATTATATTTGAAATAAATGAAAAATAAATTATTTGGAATTACTGAGGACACGTGTCGTTCATACAGGCCATGAGGTGACTGCTGATTTATTAGTATTAGATGTAAGTGTGGAAATGTTGTATGACAAAATCTTATCATGCTTTGCTAAAATATACTCCCTCCGTTTCAAATTAGTTGTCGTTTTGAGAAAATGTATCTGCAATTATTTGGATGTATCTGCAATGCAAAACACGTCCAGATACGTCCAAATATTTGTAGATACATTTTGCCAAAACGACAACTAATTTGAAACGGAGGGAGTATATATTATTTCCAAAAACCATATTCTCAAGATTGAGAGAGCTGTATAAATATAGAAAAAAAACGAAGAGACGAAAATTTAAGAGTAGGAAAAAAAATATCACATATCAAAAATTTAAAGTGATATATATATATATATATATATATGACATTTTTTGTGATTATTGAAAGTTGTCATTTTCATTATCTAATCTATTATAAAATTAAGAGTAGACCATGACAATGACAGCTTTTATGGAACAAAGGAAACTTAAAGGAGAGCAAGTCTGAAGAGAACTCCACAAAAACATGTAGTGTCCACATTACTATTTTCAAAACGCAATGAACTTTTTTTTTCTATATAACTTTTAATCCTTTAGTCTATTCTGAATTTCTGATGTAATCATTTTAGTTGTCAACGCACATTTGAAATTTGAAGAAACAGGTTTTGAAAATGTGGAAAATGTGATATTTAATTATACCATTCCTAACAGTATTTAGTTGTCAACTATTTATTATATCTCCATACAATAGAAGACCAATCTAGGGTTCATCTATTCATGATAGCAGAGAGTTAATGTTTTTTTTTTAATTATAACATACTTTTTATTTTTATAGAAACATGACATTCACACAACTAGATTACAGCATTCTTAACATTATTACCAAAAAAAAAAAAAAGATTACAGCAACTTTCTTATAATTCACACATATATATAGGACACGGCTTCTTATTTATTGCACTTTCATAGACTAAAATAAACATGCTTCATGCCACCCGTAGATACACAGTTAGAAAGCACTCTTCTCTATTCCTCGTTCAGGAGATGTTCATCGATCTCTTTGGAAACTTGAACACAGAACTCAATGAAGGTTTCAGGGTGAGCCACTTTATGGTCAATTTTCTCATACTCGACATGCCAGTGAACCACACTTCCTGGTCCTCCTTGCTTAGGGGTCACTTGGATCGTGATCACAAAGCTCTTATACTCTTTTAACAGATCTCCCTCTATCACCCTAAAAGTGATCAGGTTCTTCTCCGGCTCCACCGCCTCGATCCTCTCTTTCGCCACCTTTGCCTCCCCATCTGCACCAAATATATATATTTATTAGCATATGAATATTCAGGAGCATGTAATTTAATCGCATGATGATAGACAAATGGTCGTATTACACCTTTTTTTTGTCATTTTTGTAGATATATGGGGTTTGTTAATTAAGTTCATAGGTTTCAAACTCATAAAAAATAATAGTGAATTAATTTTCAAAGAGATTAAATTGTAAGAATTAATATAAACAGAAAATATTTTTAACGTTGACTTGCCATGATGATAATTCCAGAAGACGATAGAGCCAACTTTTCCCCATTCGCCCTCATGCAGATCACAACTCTTTATGTTGCCTGGACTTGCTTTGGAGACATGGTGTGGTCTCCCAGAAAACATATGATGGAACTTCCCAGCTGAAGCTCTGATTTCAACATCCGTCTCAAGCTTCCCAACCAAACTAGATGCCTCTGCCTTCATCGGATTAGTCGCAGACCCAACCATTTTAGTCGCCATTTTTTCTCACTTTGCTTTGTTTTTCTTGAGAGGAGGATGAGTCCCTTTTGAGTTCTTTAGCCTCTTTTTATAGAGGAGGGATTGTGGTAACGGCTGAGGAAGAAAACAAATATCTATTAATTGCTATTTGTAACCCTTGTGATCATGACCCCATCATTTTGTCTCACCTACTGATTTTGTGTAAAGGATAAGGATTATTCTTTGCGTTGTTCATAAAAAAGATCTAGCGATCATTTATCACACGGTTCACGTCGTTTCGTTTGCTGTCAAGTTTTTGCTTTCATATATTTGCATGTAGTGTTGTTTATACTTTATATACGCTTTATATATTTTTTAAAATGTTTCTTGAGAGAACATGTCGCTTGTTAATGAAGACACGTTAATTCATACGCAAATGAAAAAAAAAACTGTATTAACTATATTTTTTATATATGAATATATGTTTATAAACTTTTTTCCTTTAGTCGTCTACTTTCTTATATTATATCAGTTTAGTTTGATTGATAAAATATATAATATTAATTGGGATATATGACAATTTATTAACATATTATTTACAAAGAATGTTATTGAAATAAAATCTCTGGAATTCTGGGAAACAACTTTATACTGATTAAGCAAAACAACATTTATGGTAATATACATATCAGAATTTTTGAAATGTAACATAATTGGTTTTTGTTTTTTTGAAACTTTTTGTTTTTCTTTGTAGTTTGGGTGATGTCTTTTGCTTTAGCTACTGGCCGTTCTTTTCATCTTTTATTAATCATCTTGGTTATGCATCTAACTAAAAAACATTATATAACATATATGATATATCACATGCTTTATAGTTTTATAATAACAAACATTAATACACTTAAACAAACAAACAAAATAACATAATACATAAACTTAGAACATAGAACTTCCATTTCACCCATCACTCTCTCATATATCGAACACAGCTGATCATTATTTATATCATTTTCAAAGAAAGGAAATCGACATGCTTCAATCACACATATATAGGCACCGATAGGATAGTCATACAATGAGTACTCTCCTCTACTCCTCCTCCTCGGCCAAGAGATGTTCGTCGATCTCTTTGGAAACTTCGACTGCGAATTGGAGGAGAGTTTCAGGGTGAGCCACCTCCTCGTTAATCTTCTCATACTCAAAGTGCCAGTGCACAACACTCCCTGCCCCTCCATGCTTAGGGGTCACCTGGATCTTGATCACAAAGCTCTTGTACTCTTTCATTAGATCACCTTCTATGACCCGGAACGTGATCATGTTCTTATCCGGATCCACCGCCTCGATCCTCTCCTTTGCCACCTTTGCCTCCCCATCTACACCAATTAAAAAAATTATATTTATTTATATAGGTTTGACTGTGAGAATAACCTGAACGTTAGTCCAAAATATTTATTTAAGTATACATAGATATTCAGGTGATATATAGTAGCTGTTGCCATTTTTTGGGTACTATAGAAGTCACATAGTAAAGATAAAAGTGTATAAAGGTTGACTTGCCATGAACGTAGTTCCAGAAGACGATAGCCCCAACTTTTCCCCAGTCGCCTTCGTGAAGTTCACATCCCTGAATGTTTCCCGGAGTTGCTTTATGGACATGGTGTGGTTTCCCAGCGAACATGTGATGGAACTTTCCAGCCGAAGCTTTGATCTCCACTTCTGTCTCAATCGTTCCGACCAAACTAGGCGCCTCTGCAGCCATTTTTTTCTTTTCAGATTGGTTTAAGAATGGAAGATAGGTATTGAGAGAGAGAGGAGTAGTGAGTACCTTACTGAGTTCTTTAGGGTCTATTTGTAGTGGAATATGGTTGAGTAACTGTTGAAGAAGACAACGTTTATTCATTAAAATAATCTCTATGATTTGTAGTTTTCCATGTGATCCCGATCCCCATCACTATGATTAATCACCTGCCGAATTATTTGCATTGTTTTAAAAAGTGATATATTCATCAATCACACAATGCACGTCGCTACTTTCGTTTTCGCTGTTGCCAAGTCTCTGCCCTAATATATTTATTATTAGCAAGTGGGAATTAGTTGTTCATTAATTATTTCTTGGGCTACTGAATAATACACATCCGGAATTTTTTTTTAACATATTTTCGAATGGTGCGTATGTATGGGATCAGGTTCTTTGTCAATGAAGGCACGTTAGTCCACTATTTAAAATAAATAAATAAATGAAAAATTTCTTAAGAAAAAAAAGAAACGTTAGTTTAACTCTAAAACACTATAAGAAGCCATAATCAAAGATTTTGCTGTCGTTCATAAAGATTTTTCTTCAGAAAGACGGAATAGTTTTCAATTTAATTTATTGTCCGTCCCATGAGAAATAGGGAGTAAATTGTTTAAAACTTCAGTCTAACTGGTAACAATTACATGGGATTATCTGGATTAATCATTTGCTCCATCTAATTTTATCCCGTTAAAAAGGGATCCAATTATAGCCAAATCTTTTGTCAAAAAAATCCCTCCTAAACTGGCCATAAGAAAAATCATTTAAGGTTTTATAAGTTTTTAGAGGTGCATTGATCGAACTATAAATCCCTAGTTCTTTTCTCCAAATGATATTTTTTTTATACAGCTGAAACTCAAATCTAAATACCAAGAAACACAAAATTTGTAGACCTCGAATCGTATTAATACACAGAAACCATATAAGATTTGTTAGGATTACATGCATATTGGAAACGTGAGGAGGCTAATTGCAGTCTTTTGTAGGAATAATATATACCATGCTTATCATTTACGCCGTTCTATATTAATAGTTTCTTTGTTGGCTCCATACGCAAGACTCATTTGGGGGAATTGATTCATCAAAACCCTCTACCAAAAAAGGCCTTCTCAAAAGCCAACATGCCGACGGCGAGCAACGAAGAAAGATTAATCAATTGTGTGATGCTTTTGTTATATTTGCGATATTTTGGAAAACTGATTTTTTATTCAAATTGGTTAGTGATGTTTTTGGAATATCACACTTTATATTATATTTCTTTTTTTTTTTTTTTTTTTCAAAATATACAAGATATCATCATAACTAGACCCGCATCGGATTTAACTCTTGTGTTGTGTGCTAGTTTTTTGTAGGCTATAGAGTTTTGCTTCTTTTTTAGTTTTTTTAGTTTACTTTTACGTTTAATTGAATAGAGTTCAACATTTATAATCTTTAAAACTTTAGTTTATATTTTAATATGTGTTGACTACAACAATATAATTTTACAAATGTATATTTAACTTGAAAGATTGTTATGCTGTTCAGCATATAGTCTGCTAACATTGACTAGTACCTTAGTTTCTTTTACCATGTTTTAACTCTTCCAATTTTTATTTTTTTTCTGTCAACATATTTCAGCTTCTCTGAATCATAAATCTTTCAACCACTAACTACCACCATTTGGTCGAACTTTACGTGATTAGGTGCTTGGTTGAAACATTGTAAACATAAATTTCGAATACCCTCATGTGCATAGCTGCTGCTGCTACACTTTGATACTCAAAAGTACCAATTAAAAACGTAAAACGATAATAGAATACACATATTCATGAAACACATACAAACGATCGGACATGCATGGCTCCTTAGTCCTTATTTAATTATAAAAATTTCAAAGACTGAACTTAAAGGCAAAACACACGGACACAAACAGATCCAAATGAAGTCTTCCTCTATTCCCCCAACTGGAGATGTTCATCGATCTCTTTGGACATGTCGACTTTAAACTGGAGAAGAGTCTCAGGGTGACCCACCTCCTCGTTGATTAGTTCATACTCAAATTTCCAGTATGCAACACTTCCGGTTTCTCCTTCCTTAGGGGTCACCTGGAAGATGATCTTGAAACTCTTGTACTCTTTCAATAGATCACCTTCTAACACATTGTACGTGACACGGTTAGTTTCAGGGTCCATTGACTCGGTCGCCTGTTTCAACGCCTTTACCTCTCCATCTGCACCAAATTTAACATTCACATATATTTTATGGGTTTTAGTTTTAGATTATTAAAAGTTTCACATCAGAAATAAATGAGAATCTTAAACAACATATGGATCTGTTTATTTGTTTTATGGAGGTTATATAAATATAGAATATAGAGTTGACTTGCCATGAAAGTATTTCCAACCGACGACTGAACCAACTTGGCCCAATTCGCCTTCGTGCAACTCAGCGCCATGAATCAGGGATGGAGTTGCATTGGTGACATGATGTGGTCTCCCGACAAGCATGTCAAAGAAACTCTCCGCTGAAGATTTTAGCTCCACGGTTGCCTCAAGGATATGGATAAAAGGTTCCGTCATTCTTGATCTTCTCTGAAATATGCGGTATCTCTTAGGGTTTTGGGTTTTGAGAGAGAATGAGTTCTCTTCTGCACTCTTTAGCTCCTTTAAATAGAGGATCGAATAAAGTGAGAATAAGTCTAAAATTTATTTTATTACCAATAGTAACATTTCGATCAATTATTTCTCCTCTATGATCACGTATTCACGTTAACCCGCCTGGCGCCAACTGATAAGCCTGATCCATCTGACTTTTTATTTTAAATGTAAAAAAAATAAGGCTATATAACATATTCACAAGTTGGATTAGGAACTAGATATCTTCTTCCAATAGCTTATAATTTCTAAATCCAAATCTAAATCACAAGAGAATACAAGATACAGTACCCTAAAAGTTGAGAGTATGGTTTTAAAACAAGTAAACATCGAGCCGGTCCAGTCCTGAAAATTGGATCAATTTAATCAATCTAGATCGCATTGTCGGGATGACAGGTTCAGGCTCGGTATAGGTGGACCGATGGTTCAAGTCTTTCGACAATAGAATTGTTCGTTTTGGCCCCAAAATGTAAGAGACGTGGGCAGATAATTGTTGAAACATCTTTTTCAGCCTACTGGTATTATTTAAAGTTACGAAATACAGGTCGTGCATTCCATTTTACAAAAGCTATGATAATAGGGTTGAAATAAAATAAGATATGAAGTACTGTATTATTTCGTAGATAATAATGTAGATAAATAATTAATAATTACACACGCATTTTTGGGAATTTCTTATATTCAATGGAGTAAGAAACTAAGAACTTTTCAAGAAGCTTATCAATAATAAAATTAAATAAATTCTAAATGAGCAATACTTATTTAAAGGGTTCAGATTAATTAGAATTATATATGAGCAAATACTTCCATATTCAATGAAAGTTGACGTTATGGGGCATAGTAAGCATATAAGACCTTAAATTAATGTTTTGTTATAAATTCTTGATTTCAAAATATAATTTAGGAATCATATATTTTATAGAGATTGATAATTTGAAAGAAGGTTAGTCTAATTTGTGTTCTTAATTAGTTTTAGAACAGTATTTACTGATCTCCTGGTTTTTTGTTTGTTTCTCCATTTCCTTAACCCCTATCAGTTTTCATGTGATCCAGTGTTTAAATCTTGTTGCTAACTATTTTATCGTAGCTATGTAATTTCGTGCTTTCTTTTTACGTGTATTTCTATTTTGTCATTACGTTGCGTCTTATATAATATCCACTCTTGAAGAACTAACGTGTGATATTTTGGATTCAGAGGTTCATTGCCTTTATTTACTATTAGTCTACTACAGCACAATAATTGTAGACTTATGAGTTACTAGATCAGGTAAAACTGCATCGTATCAATTTGCTTCTTCGATCGCATTCCCTTATTAACTTTAATCAAATCATGAAGCAGAAAGCGCGAGGCCTAATATAATTGATTTTTCGAAACATATTATATGCTTTTATTATTAACAAACATTGAAGACATATTTTTAGTAGGTCCATAACTGATCACTACTAAGAAGTAACAACTTCCAACGTAAAGCGATCTTAGTATACATACACTTGTGACACACATATCTCTCTCACAAACTCATCACACATGGCTCTTTAATCCTTATTTATTGTAGTTTCAAAGACTCAACTTCAAGGAAAACACACACACATATATATATGAACAGATAAATGGATAGATATATAGATAGTCGATGAGTACCTTTCTCTATTCCTCAGACAAGAGATGTGCATCAATCTCTTTGGAGACTTCCACAGCGAACTGTAGGAGAGTCTCAGGGTGAGCCACCTCCTCGTTAATTTTCTCATACTCAAAGTGCCAATGTGCAACACTTCCAGTGTCTCCCTCTTTAGGTGTCACCTGGAAAGTGATGACGAAACTCTTGTACTCGTTCATTAGATCACCCTCTAACACCCTGTACGTTGCCCGATTGTTCTCTGGATCTATCGACTCAATCCTCTCTTTCACCACCTTTGCCTCCCCATCTGCACCAAATTTAACATTCACATTTATTTTATGGATTTTAGATTATTAAACTATAGAGAGGATCTACGTACAGTGATATAACCATATATGGATCAATCCACTCGATTTTGATTGGGAAGCCGATGAATCTTGATGGAGTATAGTATAAATAGAGAAATATAAAAGTTGACTTGCCATGAACGTAATTCCAGAAGATGATAGCACCAACTTGGCCCATTTCACCTTCGTGTAGCTCAACTCCTTGAATGTTGGAAGGAGATGCACTGGTGACATGGTGTGGTCTCCCGACAAGCAGGTCATGGAACTTCTCCGAGGAAGATTGTAGGTCCACAGTTGTCTCGAGGATCCCGACCAAACTAGATGCGTCTTCCGCCATTCCTGGTCTTACGCTAATTTGCAAAATTGTGTCTTAGGGTTTTGAGTTTTGAGAGTGAATGGGTTATCCTTCTGAGCTCTTTAGCCCCTTTAAATAGAGGAATGAGTGAAGCGAGAATAAGACGGATTTTTTTTTTTATTTAATTACTAGTTGTAATATTTGATTAGTTCTTTCTTCTATGAGATCACGTTAACCCATCTGGCACTAACAGATAAGCCTGATTTTATTTGGTATTTGAAGAAAATGTTTTAAACTAAGGCTATAATAAACTAGATTTTGGCTCGTGACATACAAAGAATTTGAATGAGTAGAATTAGTGGGAAAGCAGTCAGTTTGTGAGCCTTAAGAAGATTTGTTTGTTGATTACTACTTGTGATAATTGCTTTGGTCCATTGATTGATCAATAGTCAAGAAGATAAGCACAAATAACAATGTTGGTAGGGTTTCATAAATCCTGAACTAATTGGTTTCATCAGTTTGCTTCTAGGACATATACTGTTGGTGCTGTTCAATATAGCACAATTTGGAATTTGGAAGAGTAGTTTGAAGATGAACATTGGGTTGGTATACTGAATGTGAGTCATTGAACATACAGTTACATTTATTGTCCGGGAGCATACAAGCATACAATCTTTATCGATACGAAAAAAAAGAAGAAGAAGATATCATTGAATATAACATTAATTACACGATTCGTTTCATTTTTTCGCCGACAGTTTTTATTTTATTGATAAGCTTCTTGAAAGTTCTTACTCCCTTGGATATAAAATTCCAAAAAATAGATGTATTATTATTTGGTTCTCGATTTCAAAAAAAAAAGATGTATTATTTGGTATTTAAAATTTTATCTATGTACACTAGAGATCACTGTAATATCTTTTTTGTCAACCCTATAAGATCATATCTTTTGTAGCTGGAATACACGTTATTTCATTATTACAAATTATGATATATAAACATTAGTGTTATTGTGTTAATAACAATATTAGGTTCATGTCTCTCTTGCAAATGGAGCAAAACGTAAATTTCTGAAATAAAATAGATCATCCCCATTCCGTTTTCGAGATTTTTTTTTTTTTTGTTTTTTTCCCCCTAGAGGATTCTGTTTTCGACATACTTGGACAGTTGGACTAATCGGTCCATCTAACAGACCAGTCCGTATTTAGAACTTAGAACACAATTTAAACCAACCTTCTTCCAAATTGGAATAACATATATCATCCCATTTATTGCTTCTCTGTTGATTTCTTTTCGTTTCTGCATCCCTGAATCCGCATTAATTTCCATGTGACCTAATTTATGTTTTAAATCTTATTGCTATATATATATTTCGTGATCAATGACTGCAAAACCAAAACCAAAACGTTTCATCTTACTATCTTAGATAATTTTTACTCTCGATCGGAAATCCAACATGTGATCATGGTGTCTTTAATGGTTCCCATTGTCCGATTATTTACTAATAAAACATATTAACCGTGCATTTGTGTGGGTTAATAGGTAAAGCTCGATTGTATCAAATTTCCCTTCGACCGCCTTCCCAAATTATTTTAATCAAATCATAAAGTAGAAAGCGTTAGGCTTAATTAGCAATCATTTGCATACATAAAGTTCAATATACACTGTCGCTTCTGAAAATAAAAGTATCAGTATCCAACATAACACGACATAAGTATACATAGACAGATAGACTCATGACATAGATTCCCTCACTCACAAACTCGGACATGGCCCATTTAGTCCTTATTTATTGCACTTTAAGAAAAGCACATAAGTATATAAAGATAAATATAACAGATGCATGAAGGGTCTTGCTCTGCTTTATTCCTCGGACAAGAGATGTTCATCCATCTCTTTGGAGACTTCGACTGCGAACTGGAGAAGAGTTTCAGGGTGAGCCACCTCCTCGTTAATCTTCTCATACTCAAAGTGCCAATGTGCAATACTTCCAGGTTCTCCTTCCTTAGGGGTCACCTGGAAAGTGATCACGAAACTCTTGTACTCATTCATTAGGTCACCTTCTAACACTCTGTACGTGACCCGATTCTTCTCCGGCTCCAGTGACTCCATCTTGTGTTTCATTACCCTTGTCTCTCCATCTGACCAAATTTAATATTGTCATTTATAGGTTTGAGATTGTTAGCAATCTCGCACTCAAATCAGGTGAGACTTAAAAATAAAAATATACAAAGATATGTATTTCAATCCTTGAATTAGAAATTCATATGTATATATATTGATAACGTTTCGATATGAATGTATTATAGAAATAGAGAAATTTAAACTTGACTTGCCATGAACATAGTTCCACAAGAGGACAGCACCAACTTGACCAATTTCGCCTTCGTGCAGCTCACAGCCTTGAAGGTTAGATGGAGATGCATCGGAAAGATGGTGGGGTCTCCCGACAAGCATATCATGGAACTTCTCGCTCGAAGATTTTAGCTCCACAGTTGTCTCAACGATCCCGACCAAACTACTAGTATCCGACATTCTTGATCTTCTCTGGAATATGCGGTAGTCTCTTAGGGTTTTGAGAGGGAATGGGTTAATCTTCTGCGCTTTTCAGACCCTTTAAATAGAGGAATGAGTAAAGTGAGAATAAGACTGAAGTTTTATTTTATTGTTAATGGTGTGATATTTGGATCAATTCTTTTTTCCTCAGTGATCACGCTAACCCACCTGGCGTTAACTGATAAGCATGATTATTTGACATTTTTTAGAAAAACAAATGTTAAAGTTAAGGCCATATATATAGAAAATATATTTCATAGCTAGGTTGTGTCATACAAAATATTTTGATTGAGTAGATTAGTAGTCAGCTCGTGAGCTTCAAAGAGAAGATAATATAAATGAATGTGGGTTTACTGTTGCTTGCTTCTGTTTATATGTATTCTTCGTATTTTATATTACTAAATAATTCCTAGAAGATCATTTTTTTTTTTGTCAACTCTATAAGATCATATCTTTGTAAATGGAATAATAAAAAAGCGTCATTACTTTTTCCCAATTTTGATTTTTCATATGTTTGTACCACCATAGGCCACAGTTTGGACTTTTGATCAAATAAACCCATCAATTTCCTTCATAATAAATTATAGGAATATCTACCAGGTGACATAACGACAGTTTGAAAAAGTATTTGGTAATCGTCACCACCGTATATTCGTATATTGATTAATAATCAATTGTATAAACTTAGGAGTTAGGATGATTTAACCAAGATTAACTCATGGATGCCCGAATTGTAAAATCTTATACATGCTTTATTCATATATATTTCATGCACACATGACTTGAGAGACAAGAAACCGTTGTTATAAACAAAAGCAATATATAAATTACCATCTTATGTTTTCAGAAGATTTTTTTCAATATCTTTAGTGAGATAGACAGCAAAATCCATGTACTTGTTCGGAGCTGGAGAGTCTGAGTTAAGTTTCTCGTATTCCCAGCTCCATCTGGCTATACTTCTTCCATGGAGCTTGGGTATAATCTGAAGGTTACATGTGAAGCTACTGTAGTTCTCCATCACATCTCCATCGAACACAAACACAGTCATTGATTTGTTTTCCTCATCTATTTCCACTCTCTCCTTCATCTTCTCCACTTTTCCATCTGTAAACAAAAACCTTTAAAAGCATATTGATACAGAGAGTAGTACAAGTAACTTATTGGAGCTGTAATAAGAAGAGAGACAAAGATTTTAGGGGTTTTTTTACCGACAGACAAAGTCCAGTTCTTGGTGCCTTTACAGCCATCACCAGTTTGCTCTTCCACGCTAAGTATTTTCTCTGGAGATAGTTTTGGTACGCTGCGTGAAGTAGCCTTAATAGCTTGGAAGATCTTATCAGCTGAGACATTGATCTCAACCTCTATCATGGACTTCGCCATCTGAGCCATGGATTTTCTGTTGCTGCTCATTGGTGTCTGTGTAGCTCTGCTTATATAACTGCCTACAGTCTTTTGGAGGAATCAAAAATCTGTATTGGAATACGGTACCATGCCTAGCATTTACGCAAGTTTAAATTAATATTTTATTTGTTGTCTTCATATACAAGACTCTGCAAGGAGGTAAAAAAAAAAAAAAAAAAAAAAAAAAAGAGGAAACGCATAAACAATAAATAATATATTATTAACCAACGTAGAGCATACATAAACATAAAGTATACATGCTTACAAACACATATGATACACCAACATATATATCTCTTACCCAAACTCGGACACGATCGAGGCTCATTATTCATTTCAAATACTCTCATTATTCATTTCAAATTTTCAAATACTTTATCAAGCAGACATCCTTAAGACGCGCACATGTCACACATACGAGGAGTAATATCCTCTACTCCTCCTCGGCCAAGAGATGGTCGTCAATCTCTTTGGACATGTCAACACATAACTGAAGAAGAGTCTCGGGATGAGCAATCTCCTCGCTAATTTTCTCGTAGTCAAGGCGCCAGTGCACAATACTTCCAGATCCTTCAGGCTTAGGAGTCGCCTGGATCGTGAACGAAAAGCTCTTGTACTCTTTCAGATTATCACCTTCTATGCATTTCATCCTGATCAAGTTCTTCTCCGGCTCCACAGCGTCGATCCTGTCTTTTGATACCTTTGCCACTCCATCTGCATCAACAAGATAATATTTCAATCTCCAAAAGCACTCATACCTGGCCTGTAGGGTAAGCAAGCTAAGCCATCGCTTAGGGCTACCAATCAACTTTTTAATTTTTCTACCGGCCACATATTTAATTTTACATTATTAGTTTGTAGGCCACAAATTTTGAATTCTGTATTTTTTTTTTTAAAGAATACTGTAATTTTGGTCAGCCATATATTTGTATTTTTACTTCAAAATTATTATTTTCAAAGGGTCAAATAAAAATTAGACTTGGACTACCTAATTTGTTGGATCGGGCACTATAACATACTCCTACCGCGAGATGGTGCGCATCAGAAAAGGAAACATTCCCATTTTATGTTTTCATCTTCTGATACGTGTTATGTAAAAAGGTGTTAGATTTCATAATTCAAATTTTTAGTGAAATGAAATACCCTAAACAAAGCGATTTTCACCTCAAATCGATTTTTCTTTAGCTTCTAATTAATGCTTTACGAAATTCATAACTATTGGGAGAAAAAAAATCATAATAACTCACTTGGGGTTATTCCCAACACTCTTGTTATTATAAACAAAAAATACCTTGTTGGATCCGAAATTTGCAAGTGATTAAAAATTTATGTAGGATTTTGTAATCCTTATTTAAAACAATTTGTGTGAATTTTACAATGATAAAGTTATTGATTCATGAATGTTAATTGATTATAAATTAATATGGGATTTTAAATCTTTCACTGCTTTTAAAACTAAACACGTGAATTTTATATTTTTAACTAAATATAATGATAGTAGTTTAGTGACAGTCTATGATCAACTTACTTTTTGGCCATTAGAGAAATTTTAACGGTTGCATGCCTCGTACATTACTTTTGGTTTAGAATCAATAGCTTGTTTATTCTTTCTTTTTTTTGTTTTAGCTTGTTTATTCTTTAAGTGAATAAAGTTTACTTGCCATGAACGAAGTTCCAGATGATGATAGAGCCGACTTTGCCCCATTCTCCTTCGTGCAGATCAACTCCCTGAACGTTGCCAGGAGTTGCTTTGGAGACGTGGTGTGGTCTAGCGGTGAACATGTGATGGAACTTTTCAGCCGAAGCTTTGATCTCCACATCTGATTCAAGCTTCCCCACTAAACTAGATGCTTCAGCCATGTTATTTGCTTATCTTATCTTGTTTAAATAAAATGGTAAGGATTTTAGGAGAGGAGTGAGTCACCTTGTAAGTTCTTTAGCCTCTATTTATAGTGGAATGAGAGTAAGCAAGTGTTGAAGAATAGAACGACCATCTTTTTCATTCTGATGATATCATGATTTATTAGTTTGTTTCCCATGTGGTCACAGGCTCACCACCCAAACATATGGTCAATAATTCACAAACCCGATATTTTCATAGAACAAACGCACACCATTCACGTTGAAGAATAGAACGAAATTTTTGTTCATTTAAACAGTATTAACTGTATCATGATTATTAGTTTCGTTCCCATTATTAGTTTCGTTCCCATGTGCTCACGAGATACCACCACATCATAATATCAATATATATTTCATCAACCCGATATTTTTATAGAGCAAACGTACACCATTTTTTTTTTGGTAATGTGCAAACGTACACCATTCACGTATACTTGTGTTGTTCCATTATCTTTTGTTAACCCAAACCAGTGATCAATATCAAACTGAGGAAAATTTGAAGTCCCAGTATAGCTTTAAGAGATGTCGGTTCAAGAAAATATGAGAATACGACTAATAGAATATAAAACTAAAAAAGTATATTAAACGATATTAGGATAAATAACAATTAAAAATAAGTTAGTTACTTACTCACAAGTTGATAAATTAACATTTCAAATTTAAATAACAATTTTATTAACTTAACTTTATTCTTACTGACTCAAACGATAACATTAAAAAATTTATACAGCCAGTTTTTAAGGTTTAACTTCCAGATTTTTAATGCCATTTTGTACTGCCAAACCTTAACATTTGTTATTGGTAAAATACTTAACTAGGAGAAATACTATTTTTGAAAGAGAAATACATTTAAACGTTATAAAACAAGTTTATATGCCAAAATTATCATCACCAGATTAATTTTTCCAAAAATACCAATATTTTTTTTTTCAAAAATACTACATACACTACAAATGAATTTGAAGGGTTGATAGTTTGAATTTTTGAATTTTGGTTTTGTAATTTAGGTTTAGGGTTTAGTTGTTATGGTTTACACTTTATTTTTGAGGATTTATTTTGGAGGGTTTAACGTTTAGTTAGTTTTGTAGTATTTTTGAAAAACCTCAATTTTGGTGGTACTGTTGAAAACTAAAACTAGTGGTGATAATTTTGGGACATAAACTTAATTTTTAGTACTTTTAAAATGTTAAAACTTAGTAGAAACCAATTATTCGGATTTGAAAAGACAAATATGCACTTGATTTTATAATTGAAGGTTAAAAGCCAAATAGTTACCAAGTAATTGATGATTTCATATTTTTGTTAAGTTACAAACACTATAAAGAAATAATGTAGCCACCGACGGAACGAAAACATATTTACAACTTTACTATTTTAGGGCCATATCAAAACAGCGACAGACCAGCTCTTACCTAACTAATTAATATGATGGATCATATAATTTATCTTCTTCTTCTTTTTTTTCACTTGATTTTGAGGTACCACAATCGACAGTCTGAAATCAATTGCAAAAATGATTTCACTAATACGTACGACTAGTATTTGTTTTGAACAAACTGGTGACTATGGAAGCATCAATTTGGAGTGAGATAAGAGGTCCCAGAAAAATACCATACCGGAGATGAGAGAGCAACAACACATGTCTGAGAGGATATAGCATACATACATAAAAGCACATCATCACAGCATAACTACACAAGCACATTTAACTTTAAACCAGAGAGCTTTCTGATCTCATAGCCGAGAAGGGGTAAGAACTTGTCATTAGCTGCAGTTCGTGAGATATGTTCTGTCCTCAGCATATCAACTCCAAAGACCGATCTCATAGCCGAGAAGGGGTAAGAACTTGTCATTAGCTGTAGTTCGTGAGATATGTTCTGTCCTCAGCATATCAACTCCAAAGACCTAAGCGCTTAAGAAATTCAACAAATCAAACCTTTTAACAAAAAAAAAAAAAAAAAAAAAAAGAAATTCAACAAATCACCAATCTGAAAAGACGATGTAGAAGATAATCAACTTTATCCATAATTCTCACTTGTCAAAATATCTAAAGAGCCCCTACACATAAAAATTAGCCACTAGATCCAAACGAAGTCCGCGCATCAAGCAAGGAACCACAATTATCTGAAAGATAATTACTTGTCTTCAAACGTGACGAATTAAACTATAAAGGTAACTTCGTTGCCAAAAAAAAAAAAAAAAAAACTACAAAGGTAATACGTGGTAGCCTAAAGTCCGAAAAATGCCATCACACAAACTGCCACGTGTTCTATCTGATTTGTCATCACGCATTGGGTTAAAACCTTAGTCAGAAAATTGATTCAGTGATTGGAATAAAAACCATAGTCAGAGTCAAACTTACAGAGTTTTAATGTTTCAGCCTATAAGCAATTTCCTTTTTCTTCCACTTACAATCACTTTAAGTAAAATAACATAACATGGTGACTTCATCATGGTTCATTTGTTATCTCTCGATGGGGTTTCTTGTTATCTTTTACAAAATTATGTTGCACAAAAGCATGGATTCATAACTCAAAGCACAAACTGTTACATTATTAACAAACGGAAAGGGCAGTAGTAGCATACATAAACTTAAATTAGCCTTGTAGCTATACTTCAAATAATCAAATGAAGAACTCGAAACATAACTTGACCGTTGTAACATGCATATATCTTACCCTAACTCGGACACAGCTCATTATTCAATTCAAATACTTTATTAAGCAGGCATCCTTAACACGCGCACATCACACACACACATACGAGGAGTAATATCCTCTAGTCTATTCCTCGGCCAAGAGATGGTCGTCAATCTCTTTGGACATTTCGACACAGAACTGAAGCAGAGTCTCGGGATGAGCAATCTCCTCGCTAATTTTCTCGTACTCAAGGTGCCAGTGCACAATACTTCCAGATCCTTCATGCTTAGGAGTCGCCTGGATGGTGAACGCAAAGCTCTTGTACTCTTTCAAAAGATCACCTTCTATGACTGTCAACTTGATCAAGTTCTTCTCCGGCTCCACAGCGTCGATCCTGTCTTTTGATACCTTTGCCTCTCCATCTGCATCAACTTGATAACATTTAAATCTCGAAATGCACATGATACCCGTCCCGTAGGGTAAGCAAGCTACGTCATCGCTTAAGACTACCAACCAATTTTTTAATTTTTCTACGGGCCACATATTTAATTTTACATTATAAGTTTGTAGGCCACAAATTTTGAATTCTATATATTTGTTTTAAAGAATACTGTATATATGTTATATAAATATTTATGTTGGTCACATAATGAGCCACATATTTGTATTTTTACTTCAAAATTATTATTTTCAAAGGGTCAAATAAAAGTTAGACTTGGACCACCTAATTTGTTGGATCAGGCACTACAACATGCTCCTACCGCGGGATGGTGCGCGTCAGAAAAGGAAACATTCCCACTTTCTATTTTAGTGTTTACTTGTTATCTAAAAAGGTGTTAGATTTAACAATTCAAATTATTAGTGAAAAACCCTAACTAAGCGATATTCACCACAAATTAATTTTCTCTAGTTTCTAACGCTTTACAAAATTCATAATTTATTGGGAGGAAAAAGATCGTAATAATTCACTTGAGGTTATTCTTGTTATTATAAACAAAAAATAGCTTATTGGATCCTAAATTTTAATTGATTAAAAATTCATATAGGATTTTGTAATCCTTATTTAAAATAACCTGTGTGAATTTTACAGTGATAAAGTTATTGGTTCATGAATTTTAAATTTTAGTTGATTATAAATTCATAAGGAATTTGTAAATCTTTCACTGCTTTTAAAATTAAACAGGTTAATTTTTCTATTTTTAACTAAACATAATGATAGTAGTTTAGTATTCACCAAAAAAAAATGTTAGTAGTTTAGTGACAGTCTAAGATCAACTTACTTTTTTGCCATTAGAGAAATTTAACGGTTGCATGCCTCATACATTATTTTCAGTTTAGTGACAGTCTAAGTTCAAGTTTTTTCTTTTCTTGATAAATGAATATTAATTCAAAAAGATTCAGAAGCAGAATAAAAGTTTACTTGCCATGAACGAAATTCCAGCTGATGATAGAGCCGACTTTTCCCCATTCACCTTCGTGCAGATCACAGGCCTGAATCTTGCCAGGAGTTGCTTTGGAGACGTGGTGTGGTCTGGCGGTGAACATGTGATGGAACTTTTCAGCCGAAGCTTTGATCTCCACTTCTGTCTCAAGCTTCCCCACCAAACTAGACTCTTCTTCGGCCAAGAGATGGTCGTCAATCTCTTTGGAAATATCGACACAGAACTGAAGAAGAGTCTCGGGATGAGAAATCTCTTCGCTAATTTTCTCATAGTCAAGGTGCCAGTGCACAATACTTCCTGATCCTTCAGGCTTAGGAGTCGCCTGGATCGTGAACGCAAAGCTCTTGTACTCTTTCAAAATATCACCTTCTATGACTGTCATCTTGATCAAGTTCTTCTCCGGCTCCACAGCGTCGATCCTGTCTTTTGATACCATTGGCTTTCCTTCTGCATCAGGTAGATAATATTTAAATCTCGAAATGCACTCATCCCCGTCCCGTAGGGTAAGCAAGCTAAGTCATCGGTTAGGGTTCCCAACTTTTTATTTTTTTCTACGGGCCACATATTTAATTTTAGATTAATAGTAGTTTTTAGTCCACAAATTTTGAATTCTATATACTTTTCTTTAAAATAATGTGTACTAGTTAAATAAATATTTATTTTGGTCACATACTGAGCCACATATTTGTATTTGTACTTCAAAATAATTATATTCAAACGAATCAATAGCTTGTTTATTCTTTAAGTGAATAAAGTTTACTTGCCATGAATGAGGTTCCAGGTGATGATAGAGCCGACTTTGCCCCATTCACCTTCGTTCAGATCACATCCCACAACCTTGCCAGGAGTTGCTTTGTAGACGTGGTGTGGTTTAGCGGTGAACATGTGATGGAACTGTTCAGCCGAAGCTTTGATCTCCACATCTGATTCAAGCTTCCCCGCTAAACTAGATGCTTCAGCCATGTTATCTTGTTTAAATAAAATGGTAAGGATTTTTAGGAGAGGAGTGAGTCACCTTGTAAGTTCTTTAGCCTCTATTTATAGTGGAATGAGTAAGCAAGTGTTGAAGAAGAGAACGACATTTTTGTTCATTTAATCACCATCAACGGTGTCATGATTATTAGTTTCGTTCCCATGTGCTCACGAGCTACCACCACATCATAATATCAATAGTTCATCAACCCGATATTTTTATAGAACAAACGCACACCACTCACTTGTGCTTGCGTTGTTCCATTATCTTTTTGTTAACCCAAACCAGTGATCAATACCAGAATGAGGAAAATTTGGAGTCCAAATATAGCTTTTAAGAGACGTCAACTCGAGATAATGATACATAAGAGTAAGAGATGTCGTTTCAAGAAAAGATGAGGATACGACTAATAGAATATGAACCTAAAAAATTACAAACACAATAGTGAAATAAGCCACCGACGGAACGAAGCGTATTTACAATTTTAGGGCCATATCGAGACAGCAGTGGATCGGACTAGCTCTTATCTATCTAATTAAATATGAAGGACCATATAACTTATCTTTTTATATTTTTCATTTGAGTTATAATATCATTACAAATTAGGAGATAAATCCATCTTCTGAACTACCACGAATAACAGTCTCAAATCTCATTAATATGCATAAATGATAATAAATTGCATTCACTATTATCCAAACCTATCTCCGGACCATAACTTATCTTTATTTGTAGCCAACTTGTGCTAGGTAGAAAAGATAAGAAAAGAATTGAAAGACGTATCACGTATCATAAATAATTAGCTTTTTGGTAGCTATCAGAAAAGAAAGATAATAGTTCAGAAAAATCTCTATCAAAAAGAAGTATCTTGACAAATAGAACCCCGATATGAAACAAATAAAGCTGTCCTATTTATACACGTGACTATCTCAAAGCTGATGTGTAGAAACATGCACTGCAATAAGCCATGCAAATTAAGATGTGCCGATTCCCTCCATTTTAGTGCTTTCCTTACAGAGTGAAGACATAGAAATAGCAATTCAAGTGAAGTCTAATTGTAAGTTGTACACAGTATATAGACTCTATATACCTTGTTTATATAACATTCCCTATAAATGACCTTACCTATCGCAAGTCTGAACTTTCGTTGTCTTGAATCAGTCCGTTTAAAACGAATTCCAAATTTCTAGGGTCCCAATCTAAGAAGGAGGATTTTGACTATGAAAATTTAGTATTCGTTTTGAACAAACTGGTGACTATATGTAAGCATCAATCTGGAGTGACATAACAGGTCCCAGCAAAATACCATACCATAGAAGAGAGAGCAACAACACATGTCTATTGTCTTTTGTATTCTTTCGATGGGCTTTATTGTTATCTTTCATAAGATCATGTTGCCCAAAAGCATGGATTCATAACTCAAAACGTAAATTATTACATTATTTATCAAACGTAGAGGGTAGTAGTAGCATACATAAACTTGCTATACTTCAAATGAAGAACTCCAAACATAACTTGACCGTTGTAGTATGCATATACTTTTTTTTTTGTGCAACACGCATGACAAACCATCATATTTAATACTTACCCAAACTCGGACACAGCTCATTATTCATTTCAAATACTTAATTAAGCAGGCATCCTTAACACGCGCACATCACACACACACACACACATCACACACACATACGAGGAGTAACATAACGTAAGTGGTGATTTCACCATAGTTCATTTGTGATTTCTAGATAGGCCTTTTTGATATCTTCATAAAATCATGTTGCACAAAGGCATGGATTAATATTTCAAAACATAAAATTTTATATTATATTAACCAACGTATAGCATACATAAACATGAAGTAGCCTTGTAGCACACTTCAAATTAAGAACTCCAAACGTAACTTGACCGTTGTAGTATGCATATACAAACATGCAAGACACACCAACATAATATCTCTTACCCAAACTTTCACAGCTCATTATTCATTTCAAATACTTAATTTAAGCAGACATCCTTAAGACGCGCACACACACACACAAGGAGTAATATCCTCTATTCCTCGGCCAAGAGATGGTCGTCAATATCTTTGGACATGTCGATACATAACTGGAGAAGAGTCTCGGGATGAGCAATGTCCTCGCTAATTTTCTCGTACTCAAAGTGCCAGTGCACAATACTTCCAGATCCTTCATTCTTAGGAGTCGCCTGGATTGTGAACGCAAAGCTCTTGTACTCTTTCAAAAGATCGCCTTCTATGACCCTGAACGCGATCAAGTTCTTCTCCGGCTCCACAGCCTCGATCCTGTCTTTTGCCACTCTGGGCTTCCCATCTGCATCAATTAGTTTATACTTTGTTTATCTATAGGTTTGATTTTGAGAATGAACATAAATTTTTAGTTCGTAAACATATCATAAGCATATATGACTAATTCATGCAAATGATGGTATATAACTATGGTCACCGCCTGGTGGATTTCTATCAAGGACTGGTTCCGATTTAGTACTCTTTTTTTTTTCTTTGGTATTAGAGAATTCACATAGTGGATTGAAAAAACAAATTAAAAGAGCTTGTTTATTTTAAGTGAATAAGGTTGACTTGCCATGAACGTAGCGAAAGATAACGATGGAGCCGACTTTGCCCCATTCTCCTTCGTGAAGATCAACTCCCTGAACATTGTCAGGAGTTGCTTTGGAGACATGGTGTGGTCTAGCGGCGAACATGTGATGGAACTGTTCAGCCGAAGCTTTGATCTCCACGTCTGATTCAAGCTTCCCAAATAAACTAGATGCTTCAGCCATGTTATTTGCTTATCTTATTTTAAGAAAATGGTTAGGAAGTTAGGAGAGGAGTGAGTCACCTTGTAAGTTCTTTAGCCTCTCTTTATAGTGGAATGAGTAAGCAAGTGTTGCAGAATGGAACGACCTTCCTTTTCATTCAGATAGTATGTTTTGTTAGTTTTGTTTCCCATGTGGTCACGAGCTCACCACCACCCTATCATACTATCGATAAGTCATATGTCACCAACCCCATATTTTTAGAGAACAAATACACACCATTCAGAAAAGAAGAATTAAAATATATAAAAAAAAACCCACACACCATTCACGTTCAAGAAAATGTAAGGATACGATAAATAAATACAAAAAATTTAAAAATATTAAACGAAAATAAAAATAGTTAAAAACAAAACTTTAGTCTTACGTTTAAATAATTTAACATTATAAAGCTAAATTATATTGTATTACCTTAAAGTTAAAATGTCTTGACTTCTAACTTCATTTTGTATCGCCAACCACGTATCATAACGTTATTGGTAAAATACTTAACTAGGAGACAGTGTTTTTTTTTTAAGATGCATGTAAGTATGTAACTAGGAAAAACGTTTCCTAAAAGAGTAAAAGGTTTAAATTTAGTAGAAACTAATTCTTCGGATTTAAAAAAAAACAATTATGCACTTGATTTATATTGGAAACGTGAAATGGCAGGTGTAGAATTAAAGTCCAAAAGCCATATAATTACCATTTATTTGAATAAGTTTTTGATGATTTCATGTTTTTTCTTGAGTTACAAACACATTAAGGAAATAATGTAGCCACCGACGGACGAAAGCGTATTTAGATCCATATCAAACAGCGATGGAATATGAAGCACCACATAGTTTATCTTTATTTCTAACCAATTTGTGTCTAGTAGAATAAACAAATAAAAGAATCGAGAAACATATCAGAAACTTTTATTTAAGATGTTGACAGCTTCTACGGCTTCTACACAGAGCATAAAATGTCTCAATCGTCACAGATTGATGATCATTAGCCGCCATATGAGCATGGGAATGTGAAGAAGAAAGTCTTTTACATTGAACTACGCTTTGATTCTGCGATGTGTGTCGTGTTAAGACGTCTGGAAGAGACGAAGCGATATTCTTTGTGATGACATTTTGAGATAAGGCTCGAGAATTGAAGCAACGGATTGAGCTCTGCGTCACCCAACAAAAGTAGGGTTTCGAATCAAATCAAATTATATGATGAGATTATAACCAAAACAAAATCCCTTAATTACGATATCAAAAGCAACAGAAAGATCACAAACACTCTCTTTAATTTATTTTTATATTGTTGTCGATGTATTTATTAATGAATATCCAAACTTATATCAATAGTTCTTTTTTCACTTTGTAGATGGATCATTATCTCATAAATATATTTTATTTTAAAAAACAACGTTTCCGTTTTTTATTTTATGTAGTAGCATACATAAAAGCTGCAAGTAACCTTGTAACTGTACTATTACGTACCACACGTCGCGTCAAATCAACAACTTCAAACATAACATACATTCACGCATAACAAACACCAACAACAAATGTCTCTTACCCATAACCGCCGATCCTTATTTATTTAAAACACATAATTAACATCAACACATCCCACACACCGAGACACGAGTAATCCTCTATTCTTCGGTCAAGAGATGTTCATCGATATCTTTGGACATATCAACACAGAACTGGAGGAGAGTTTCAGGGTGTGCAACTTCCTCGTTAATTTTCTCGTACTCAAGGTGCCAATGCACAACACTACCAGAGCCTCCATGCTTAGGGGTCACCTGGATTGTGATCACAAAGCTCTTGTACTCTTTCATCAGATCACCTTCTAGAACCTTGAACGTGATCAAATTCTTCTCCGGCTCCACCGCCTCGATCCTCTCCTTCGCCACCTTCGCCACCCCATCTGCACAAATTGTCTTAACATTTTATTTCTATAGGTTATATCAAAAACAAATAGTTATATATATAACGTTTACTTGCCATGAACGTATTTCCAAAAGACCACGGAACCGACTTTGCCCCAGTCGCCTTCGTGCAGCTCACATCCCTGAATGTTGCCTGGGGATGCTTTGGAGACATGGTGTGGTCTCGCTACGAACATGTGATGGAACTTTCCAGCTGAAGCTTTGATCTCCACTTCTGTCTCAAGCTTCCCCACCAAACTAGACGCTTCTGCCATGATTTTCACTTATCTTGTTACAATAGAAAGAAAGGCTAGGATTTTAGGAGATGAGTGAGTTATTTGCTAAGTTATTTAGCCTCTATTTGTAGAGGAATGAGTGAGCAAGTGTTGAAGATTACAACGATTTTTTGTTCATTGAATTATTATCATGATTAGTTTTTGTGGCCCCGTGTGACCACGATCAAATCATAATAATTCACCTGCCCGGTACTTTTTTAAAGTGTAACGTGGGAAACTATTTACCTGCTTTGTTCACAAATTGATTTATAGTTGATATTATTGATCAAACACACCATTCACGTCGTTCCTTTTGCTATCATGTTTATCTTCAGCTCCACTAGCTAGGTGACACAAAACGAATAGTATAAATTAAATAAACCGCAGTAAAATTTAGCTGTAAAAAAATGGTCATAAAAGGTGGCGTTAAAAATGGCAATATAATAAACAACATTTAAAACTTAAACTTTCTCTAAGTTTAAAACTTAACCTTTCTCCAAAATGGCATATATAAGTAGCTGTCTTCAAAGAAAGATTAAACAAGCAATCCATGGCTCTATACCATAAAGCAATTGAAGAAACTTTGGAGAAAATGACTAAAACTGCAATTTCTTTACAAGAGCATGAGTGTTATACAAAGAGTTTATCCTACTATCTTGAGATACATGCCATCGGTCTAGCACATACAGTAACTCTCTTTGGAAATCGGTCTTTGCATTTCTATTGTCGTCATTAACTCATTGTGTTTCAGTGGGTAAATAACTCAGCCCAGCCCAAACTTAAACTAAACCCGCCCACTAGAAACCCAAGTCTAAAGAAGCCTGAAAATATTAGACCCGGAAAAAAAGCCTAATGGATACCGGATCTGTCTGTGGGTATCCGGTTTTGTTGTTTTTTGTTCTAATGGGATTAGTCATAGCATTTGAAAAATAAGGTCTCTTAACTTAAAGTTCATTTCCTTAGGAATCCGGATATTTGAGGAAGGACCGTGATGCTGGTAAACATTTAGGGGTAAACAGTAAAAATTCATAACAAATAAATTATAGTCTGAGTTTGTCATTTAGCTAGGGGTAAACAGTAAAAAACTAAAAACTCATAACAAAAATATTATGGAGTCTGAGTTTGTCATTTAGGGGTAACAGTCAAAATTCATAACATGTGGAACGACAAAAAGTCATGTTGTTATCATCTTCTTCAAAAGTCTTCTGATTCAGATATTACAGCACGTATCGTTCAACATAGAGATGTGGGTATCATTTGAAACTGAAAACAGTAAATACTTATACAACTTTGTAATTTAATGGCACTCACAAGGAAATTAATGTTAAAATATTGCCTAAAACGTCTAAATCTCATCTGCTTTGACCCCAACAACCGATATAAAACAAAAAGAGTAGGGGTGCTAAATTAATTTTAAATTGTTTAGAGACAGTGAGCTGTCTCAACTCTCAACCCACAAAGTCAATGCCTCCAAAGAACATTGGCCAAAGTGTTCACCATGAGATAAAAACACAACTCATCGTCATTACCAAGAAAAACTCTAATTACAATTATTAGTACGAAAGAAGTCACAATTATGAAAAAGAAATTACAAGAAATAAAAAAGTGAAGAGAATGGTAAAAAGAAGAGAGTGCTTTCGAAGACTCTTCCCTCGAATAAACACAAAGAAGTGACAGCCGTTATTAATACCGCCTGCCGTACTTTCTTCTACAGACCACACACACACACTCTCTCTTTGCTTACGACTTCCAAGACAAAGAAAGAGAGAGAAATAAAGAGAATTCTTGTAAAGCTTTTGCCTTTTAGAGGAAAGAACAATGCAGATCTTAGAAGGATCCGAAGACCCATCTCCGAAATAAACCAACTATATTATGTCAATAAATCTTATTTTTACCCACAAGACAAAAAGTTGAATTTCCCACATAAAAAGAAAAAACCCTTTTCTTCTTCTCATTCTTTTCCTACTTCTCTCTTCTCTTGTCCTCACAAAAAGTCTCAAGCTTTGACTTCTACTGTCCTAGTTGATTTGTTGTTTGTCTTCATGTTCGTCTGTTTCTGGTTTCTCTGAGATGGCTCACGTGTTGGTAGTACGAAGAGAGAAACAAGGAATGAAACTTAGAAGATGTGACATGTGTTTCTTCTTCTTGTTCTTCTTCTTTGTCATTTTTCAGATTAGCTTGTCTTCTTCATCAGCTTCTGGTCACTTTGTCTCGCCGCCGAGAAAAGCTATGGTATACGCAACGACGCCGTTTCGTGGGCCATTGAGCAGAGGAGATGACATTTATGGAGAAGACAAGAGAGTAGTTCACACGGGTCCCAATCCTCTCCACAACTAATTTTTTAGGCGTTGCTATAATTATCAGTTACCCACCACACCTACAATGGCTACAAGCAAAACGCAAGACGCAAACGCCGACCGCCGATCGCGATCCAAAGGTACCGTTGTGTAAAATCGAGTTTGTTATAGATTTTGTAAGTTTTGGAATCTTTTTGTTTTGTATTGTTTTGTAAGCATAGAAACAGTTTTAGCTTTTAGGGTAGGACTTGGTTCGGTTATATGGAACTCTATTAATGTTAGTATTAAGAATTTAAAGATTACACACTAATTATGCCTTCATTTCATTTTCCGGTTCAAACTAAGTGAACCATTGTGAATTTGTGATATTTTTTGTTAATTACTAGGCTTAATTATTCTTCATCTCTTTACCTACAAGAACAAAAATAATGAACTGGTCAAGTATTGCAAAGGTTATAAACTTATAATGTAGTTTTGTTTCACATTCCAAACGTTTTTTTTGTTCTTCATTTGGTGTGTAACGTTTCAAGAATATGGTATGGTTTTAGCTCTGAATAATATTAAGTTTCCTTCTTGGCAATCAACCTTCATAATTCCATTCTTTCTCTTTGCTCTCAAGTCTCAACATATATGAATAGTTCAGAGCTAACCCTACAAATTGAGTTAGTATGAATAGTTCTCTATCATACTAGTATTACACTATTACTATGGGATGCCAATAATACCATATGTATTTTATTTATTTATTTTGAGTACCAAAAAGCAGAGATTAGATTAAATCAACTGCTCATCATGACTATTCATTTGACAATTCTGCAAAGTGACCAAAGGTCGTCCATCTCACTATTATGTTCAATTAGAAAACTCAACACTATAATTGTATATCAAAATAGTTACGTTTTTGGTATGAAAAAGTTGAATCTGAAGTTATCATGGCAACCATTTACAACTAGAATAAACCTGGTCTCGAGGGAATATGTCACCTTAGAACGTTTATATACAAGCCATCTTCGGATTCAATCATTATCCAATCCATTCGTCATTAAGTATAAACATGTGTAGTTATATAATTGATTGAATTCTTTAGTCTTTTGAAATCCACTGAAACCATTTATAATAAATACTCCTACGTACTACAGAAAAGCAAAAAAAGTTACAGTAATTAATGTCTATTGTAAATAATGGATTAAAAATAGTTTTACTGCTCCCACCTGATAAAAGAAAGAACAAAAAAGTGAAACATGTTTCATAAATGTTCCCTCTCAGTGAGAAATGGAAGAAAACAAAAATTACACATGATCAAAGAAATAGTTGTATGACTTTATTTAACCATCCATATTTTCTCTCTCACTAGATTATTTGACTCATTTTTAACGTCTTCTTTTTTCTTGACATCTATCATTCTTTTAACTTTTTTGTCGTCATTGTTCATTTTATAATTTCTCCTACATGGTAAACATTTGACAGGTTAATATTGTTTTCTTTTTTATAAAAGAAAACATTTGACGTATGGAGATTGGAGAAGAGAAATGGTCAGGCCAGGGCTGAGCTGTGATACTGTCCATCTTCTTTATTGCTCTCATCTGCCTCTTCTCTTTACCGTTCCCTCTTTATATATATAATCCTCATTTTCATCCATCTTCTTAAATATTCACAGGCATGTCAATAAATGTTCATAGCTTCTTAATAGTTAATACTAGTATTAAATTTTCCGCAAGTTCACTACGGATACATTACTCAGGCCGAAGCTTAAGTGGTCAAGTGATCTACGTGCAGAACCTGAAAATGTAACGATTTTAGGCCCTTGACCTTAGAGCCAGGACCACTCTGCCTTACGAGTTATCATAGTCTTGTTATGGTGTTTGTTTTTGTCAAAAGTCAAAACTGAATTAGTAACAGTACATATACACACGTATGTGAAATGCATGATAATTCTTCAGCTTGTATTGTTTATAACTTCTCATAATTCAGATGTTCTCTCAAGAAAAGGGCAAGACAAAACTGAATTAAGAGTTAAGTGTCCAGGGCCGACATAATAGAGATGAGAAACATGACGGAAACTTGAATTTTAAGACTGAGTTTGTTTTGTCAACTAACGGAGACCAACAACGTCAGAAATCAATCGTTGGGAATAGTGTAGTTAACTAGATTAAAATATCTGTGTATTAATAATTTTTTATAGTTTTACTGTAAACTAATTCTTACTACTATAACGCATTCGTATTAATGTATTATCACGACACATAACGGTAGTATTAATTGATACAACCTTTTTAGCAGTCCCAAAGATTCTCTAGCTAGAAATATCGGTCGAAGATATTCATTTATGATTGCCCCATTTGTATTACTTGTATTGTACCTAAGTTTTTAGTAGTAATTCATTTCATAAGTATGTGTGTTCTTATTAATTTCGGCACACCAGTCTCGCTCACTAGCTCTATTCTTCTTTAGGCATAGCTTTTTAGCCTTTTGATAAATATAGAAACTAGTTAAGGACTTATTCTGAAGAACACTTTGAGTCTTTGACTAGGATTAAAATAGTAAACTTTCATCCGTTTTAGTTATTGTCTAGACATATTGGATATTTCTTTTACAACACACATAAGTTTATTTACCTAATTTGTATTTTCTTCATTCAATAAATAGAAATCTAATGGTCTCATAGTTGACCAAGGGTTAGCTAATACTTTTATACCAAATCTAGGATTCAAATCCTAAAAATAGTTAATGTAGACAAGCCTTTGACAAACAAACAAAAAAGACAAGTTTATTGGAAATTTGTTCATCGTGGTCCTGGTGTAACCATTCGTGATTTCATGTGTATAGATAAAATCATTATCGTAAATGTGATACAAGAAAAATCGTCCATCGTGAAGCTTTTGTAGTGTTATTTATTGTGAAATAATTTGTGAATCGTTCCTTGCGTTTTCAAGTGCTACAGTAAATTAGATTTGCTCGTGAATGACAACAAGATCATCATTTGTAGCCTTGTATAAATCAATAATGATATATCAAATGACTTTAAAGAAAACTCCAAATAATAAAAGTATATACAATAGAAACTCTATAAATTAATACTCGATAAATTCATAATCACGATAAATTAATAAAATCTCTCGGTCCCGAGTCGGGCCAATGTAAAATATGACACAATTCGATAAGATAATAAGATAATAACATTTTTAAAACTCCTATGTAAAATATGGTCCCAATAATATCATAAATTAATAATTATCATATAAAAAAAATAAATATATAGAAATAAGTTAACCTACTAGAATATAAATGTAATGTAATGTTGTTTGCTTTTTTTTTTAAAGTTGAATGCCTTTTGTAGTTAGTCTCTAAAATTTCTTACAACATCAAAAAAATTTAGTGTTGTATTTTTGAATTGCATCCAAAAACTATGAAGAGTTCTAGACACGATAATTGTCTTTTTATGCTTAACCGCATCTAAAGGTATTATAACAAAATGACAAGTACCAAAAAATGTAAAGTAAATACAGAAATATAAAAGAAAAAAGTTAAACAAATTTACCTTCAGAGAGAAATTTCTTATTTGATATAAATGAAAATTGAGAAGTTTCTTGTCATTATTTTTAATTTTTGTTTAGTCAAAATCGTTAAATTAATAACTCTATAAATTAATAAAATATCAAAGTCCCAACATTATTAATTTATAGAGTTTCTACTGTACATATTTTTGACGAAATACGATAAAATAAAATTCTTAAGATGCTTCTAAAGTATCGAACTTGTCAGCCCAGTAGGGCAGCAACACTGAGCTCAGCCCAATTTTGGCCCATATCCAAAACCAAAAATATCTAATTTGTCAGACCAGATTAAACCGGGTTTCGGTACGAGAATTTGCCGACTGTTGTTAAAATAGCTGAAGGAAGAGAATATGCCTTTTAGAGTCAAAGGAAGAAGATTCGTGACTGTCAGATTTTCCATTCTTCTTCTTCTTCTTCTTCTTCTCCTTTTCCCAACTTTTCTTTCTGTTACTTCCATAACCACCTGCTTCCTTTTTTCCGTTTCTTCAGATTCGACTTCGATCTTTCTGTGCTGCTACGTCGCAAGGTTTGTTCTCTGCTCAAATCTCAACTGCTCAACTTGAGTTAAATCTGTCTTTATTTTGATTCTATCGAATTTGTTTCTTTTCTTTTTTTCTCCCGGAACAGTTATCTTTAGAGCTACACGTAATGAATTGGATATGAATTTGGTATCTGATTTGAATATGTGCATGTCAAGTTTTCGAATTGAAACCCAGAATTTGTGAGCTCTTGGCTCTTAGCCTACGACTTTGCTATGAAACTGAAAAACGCTTAGAAAGTTTCTAACTGTTCACAGTTTTCATCAAATCTAATTTTAGGTGACACACACCTAATTCCTCTCTGGCAAAACATTATTTCGAGATTATTGGTTAAATTGACAAATCTTTGTACAGATTGCAATTATTCTCAACGTCCCTTACAATTAATGTTTCTTTTTTTGTTTTTCCTCTTCTGGTGATCAGATTCAGAGGAGCACAGCTGAAATAAACAGTACCAAACCAGGCTAGACCAGCAAGTAAATTGCTGGCTAGCAAAAGACTCTGCCTTTGTGTTCTTGAAATGAGCCCTCAACGCATATCAAAATCAAGCAAAGCCCTTGAGGGCATCCATGGGGTTCACGTTGTGTCTCATTCCCCTTTCGCATTCGAGCGTATCAGCCAAGTTTCCACCTTTGAATCCTCAGACGCAGGAACAAAACAGAGTCTTTTCATTGAGTAAGTTGATTAGAACTTTCAAAAATAAGATCTTTATGACATTCTCTGCTATAAGTTGATTTTGGTACTTCCAAAACAAGATCTTTATGACATTCTCAGCTTTAAGTTGATTTGGTACTTTAAAAATAAGATCTTTATCACATTCTCAGCTTTAAGTTGATTTTGGTATTTCCAAAATAAGATCTTTATGGCATTCTCCGCTTTAAGTTGATTTGGTAACTTTCAAAACAAGAACTTTATGACATTCTCAGCTTTCTCTCCTGTACTAATGGTAGATAATTTGTAATGCCATTTATCGGTTTGACCTAATGAAACTGTTCACTGTGTTCTTTAGATGATTGATTCAGTGCCCTTTTTCTTTTTTGATCTTGTGCAGACGTGTCTGGCAACAAAGACCACCATGCTTAAGACCCATCCATTGCAGCTGCCATGGTATTCAGAATATCTACTACTTGTTCTTGCCTTTCCCTTAGCGTTCCTTTGATCGATCTTTATCTCATACTTTATCGACAGGTGATCAGAGTCTATTAGAAACAGCTGCTAATGTGATCACATCGCTCCCTTTCGTTTTCCTTGGTATGCAGACTCCTAGGTAATTCAATCAATCATCCTTACTTTGTTTGTTTTCATAAAGAATTGTTTCTTCTTGGCTAATATGAAGAAACATGTGGACTTATCAGGAAAAACTTGAACATGAAGGTGTATGCAAACTCCTTAATCGGAGTTGGAATCGCTTCAAGTTTGTATCATTCTTCAAGAGGGACGCTGAGGAAGTACCTTAGATGGGCTGATTACACAATGATAGCCACAGCTACCGTTGTAAGTCTTTTTTAAACTTTTACATTGATACTATAGTTTACAAAGACTGTAACTTATAGTGTAGTTTTTTTTTTTAACAGTGTTTATCGAGAGCTCTTAGAGAAGAGAACCCAAAGTTCTTGATGGCTGCATCAGCTTTGGCTTTACCGTTCCAGCCTCTCATGGTCTCAGCTGTTCACACTGGAATGATGGAGGTAACTCAAAAAAACCTCAACTTTTTACAATCCATTAAGCTAAATCTCTCAGTGGTTACAATCCTAACTCAAAGTTTCTACTTTTACTCAGGTAGCATTTGCGAAAAGAGCATTAAAGGATCCAGATTTGAAATCGGCTCATAACGTACATAAGTTGTCTTCGTTGTTGGGTGGAGCTTTGTTCATAGCTGATGATCTTTTCCCTGAGACACCATTCATTCACGCCGGTTGGCACCTAGCTGCAGCTATTGGAGTTGCAACTTGCAACAAGCTTCTTCAGTAGTTCCTCAATACTATTTGTATATGTGGTAATTGTGGAACTGCTGCCATATATTCTTGGCTCAGTGTCTCACTGAGCTCTTAATCAGCCGACATATCTAGTCACCGTTGTAGTCATCCATCATCAGTTCGCTTGTAATCTTATTACAAATCAGAGCTTTTTGCTTTTCTTGTCTCTTTCTCGTCTTTTTGAACGAACATAAAGAAACAATACGTAATCAATAAGAGTTTTTCATTAAAAGTTTTAAACTTTGTTGCCAAATGGTATCGAGCGATCTTACAGAAGCTAAGAACAGAGGTAGAACAGAGCGCAATCAATACAGCTGAAATGGGTTTGAATCAGTTTCATCGATTATAAGAACATGAATGTGAGTCGGAAGTTGAATGTTTTGATGAATAATTTGCATTTATATAGGGTTTGATCCAAAAGCTAAAAGATCAATATATGATTAATATATGCTTGAGGACTGGAGTAGAATATGAAGAACGAGAGATTCCGGCTCTTTCTAAACAACAATATGATTCGCCAGAAACAAGTTTTCACAACCTCCTGTTGTGATTGTTTGTGAACCCCAAATGAAAAGTTAGAAACTATAACTTCTTGTATAAGGACATATGTTGTCTTTCCAATAAAAACTAGGGGATATCCCGCGCTACGCGCGGGTAGCATTTATAATTTAGAAATTTTGGAAAATTTGGGTGATTTCTATGTTCATAATGTATTTTTACATTTTCATGGTCATTTTGCACGAATGTAATTCCGCGAGTCATTTTGGTAGAAATGTTTGGTAGACAATGGAGTTTGTAATATGCGTGAGAATGTATATCGTAAACCGTAGAATTTATTTATTTTTATTTAGTATGATGACCGTGTCCCACAAGTAGAAGTAAATATTGAAATTATCGGTGGACGAACTTAGTTATTTGAATTTATACTTCACGGCAGGAATTTAATTGAATCGGGGAGCAGATGATGGTTAGAGTATAATGTTAATAAAATATAATCCGAAAGATTGTGGTGTATGATTTGGGATAGTAATTCCCCCGAAATGTATATAGTGCAGAGATGTAATTTTTAAATATTTTGGATCCCTGCTTTGTGGAGTATAATGTTGATTCTCCCCCTATTGTGCTTTAATTAAGAAAGATATTTTGGGATCAACTGTCATGGCTCGGGTAAGAGGATCCCATCACCAGCATACTGCAAAATCCCTGACCGGTTAATCGGTTTGCATCTTTCACCCATTAGTATCCTCTTCTTGCACAGCTCCTCTTCTCCACTACCCTCACTCAAGTTTTTTCTTCTTCTTCTTTTTCGTTTTCTCGTCTTCAGTCTTTGCCCCAAGAAGAGAGTATCTTGAGTCGAACTCTTGCGCTTTCCCAAAAGCTCTTCTTCTTCTGAAGTATGTTTTGCTTGGGTTTAGCTGTACCAACAGACAAACTCTCATCAGCTTCCGCAGAATTGTCTCCTTGGTGATCGCTTTTTTCACCTGCAAGAGTTTTCTTGCGGCTGAAGACACCGGAAATCGCAGAAGTCATCTTCTTAACCGGAAAAACCATTCTGCTTCTGATGAAATCGTCTCCTATGTGTAGCACATGAAGGTAAGGTTTTAGATTTCATCTCTCCTTCAGGCTCCGCTACGGTGCTCCGGCTTTGGTCAAATAGAAAGCATTTCTGTAATATTGAAGTCTTACATAATTTGACTATTTGAAGAAGCAAATATTCAAAGTATACACTTGAACTGAAAATCAATAAAAGGAGTTTGTATACTAAAGAATCATTTCTTTGTAAACTCAAATCAACAAATTGAGATTTTGTTTCTCGACACAAAAGAGACAGAAATCTCACAATATACAAGAACAAATCTTTATCTTCTCCTTAACCGTTTTTTTAACTCTTTACATTTGAAACCATGTTCATTGCCTAAACTCAGTCTGCGTCTTGGATCTCTAGTTGGTCGCTGCGGCTGCGAATTCAAGGTAGTGTTCGGAGGTCTCGCTTGGTGCTGGGATCAGCGACGGGATTAAACTTCTGCCACAAGAAAAAAAAAATCCTGACTAAATCAGTAAATTTTGTAGCAAACACTCATAAATACCTGGTTTCTAAGGGTTTAGCAGTCCTGGGCTGGATTTTCTTAGGTTTGGGGTTTGCTGCGCTTTGCAAATTATAAACTCTGGGCACATTCACTTGAACGTTTAATCGCCACATCAGATCAGAGCAATCACTTGTCGCGCCTTCATCAGATTCGTTATCTGTAATACTCTGCACCTCCAAATCTTGTTTCCCACAATTTCTGTCGTTTGAAAGATAATAGACATCAAGAATAAGAAGATGCATATAAAACAAATGTTGGTTAATGCAATGTGAGTTACATACAGTGATCGTAGTTGTGGGTTAATTGACTCTTCGTGCTTATCGATCCACTCCCCTGACTTAAACTCTGCATCCTCGTCTTTTACATTGAGCGTTTGCCTCCGCCAAGACGGAGAAGAAGATTGCATTAGCTCATGAAGATCTAAGCTGTGTCTTCTTGAAGTTGTTAAATCGCTATAAGCCTGCATATAATTAAACATATAAGACAGCAGTTTTTTAGACTCAGCAACTTTGATTGCTCCTGAAAGAAGGCAAAAGCATACCTCTGGTCCACTTAGATCCATAACCTGGGGCCTCAGGTTGGTTGGAAGTTTGGGTCGAATGGTAGGAGTTTCAAGTGATCTTCTTCTCGATATGCTCTCACGATTGACTGGTATAGAGCTTGGCTGTACATCATTACCATTTCCTTTCCTCGCTAGAGCCAATTTAAGAATCGCAATCTGACGGAAAAACCGACAACACTATCAGAACAGTGACAGGATACTAATGGAAAGAATGAGTCAAAGTCTGGTCATAGTGTATGGTTTAACAACCTGTTCTTTAAGCTCCTTGACCTCTGAGTTATCTTTGTTCACACGAGCAGCGCCTAGCTCGACACTCCCCACTCGTTCAGCAAACTTCAGAGTGGACAAACATAAGCGTCTTGGCTGATCCTCCTGTGAGATCGACTACTTCTGTCATTCATGGCTGTAGAGCTCACTGCACGGTTCATTTGTCCCAGATCCATCAGCTGTATAACGTCATCGGTTGATGAGACAGGCACTAAACTTGCGGAGTTCACACAAATGATCTCGAACATTAATTCCATTCTGAGAGTTGTTTCTGATTTCTAATGTGATCAAGAGTTAATGATCAAACAAAATCAAAGTATCTCAGAGTACTTAAGAAAATGAAAACACTTATAGAAAAAATTATTAATGAAAAGGATATCTTTTAGTTTGGCCATCTCTGACTTGCTCGTTGTAAATTTCAAGAATCTGAACCGAGAGATTTCGTAGCTGGTCGTGTCTTTTCTTTGATCTGATAGAAGAAACACATCTTCCAGTGCCCTGAAGAACTTCAACATTTCCTCGACTCCCATAAATGGAGGAGTCGGACAACAACCTCGTCGTTGCGGAATTGACCGGCGATGTTGTCGATGACCTTGAAAGTCTGCGGCTTGTCAGAGGGAGAAAGAGATTGATCTCTGAGTAGGTTTCGTAATGATTTGGAAGGTAATGGGTTCAACGCATACAATTGAATTAGGTGCGGCGGATTTTATAGTGGTTAATGAGACGATTTCGAGGATGAGTGGCTGGCCATCGAATTGAAAGGACGAATAAATGGGAAGCAGTGGTTACACTGGGAGAGGAACGGGAATCGGCGGAGAGATGAACGAAGGTGGAGAAGGAGGAAGCCGAAACGAATTGGTGTCTGCAGCGGACTGCAACCGGGCCGGAGCGAAGTGGGTTAGGGCGCCTAGATGGGCTTCGGATAGAAGCGAATTCGTTTTTAAACTTTTTTTTTCTTGCCACGTGACATTCTCTAGGTGAAACTGTGAAGTGCCTTGCCTCAAATAGCTACTATCATTTAGTAAAGATGTAGTCTACATGATATATGAAATTTAACATATTTATTTATTTGTTTATTGACCTTTTATCTTTATAGTAGTATTGCAGTAGTTACAAATAACTTAATGTGTTGGTTTTGTATTCGTGCGTATATATAGTTATGAAAAATATTTCATATTGTGCAAGTAAAGTTTATAGCATGTAACGAATTTCCCATTAACATTAGACTGTAAATTTGGTCAAAGCATTTCATAATTTAGACTCTAAATTTGGTAACAAAACGTTTTCAACATTAGTTTTAGTATTTATCGAACATAATTTTTGCAATCTGAATGGAACCGATCCCACCCCTACCCAAAACCCGAACATCCATATCTACCTAGAATCATGCACACACTAAAATATTCTCATTTTAAAAAAAAACTCAATTTGATAAGTTTTGACAAAAAAAAAATGGTTTTAAGGAAATTTTATTTGTTGTTTTGGAAGATCAAAATTGCTTGGTAGAGGAATATATTGATATGGCAACACTAACAACAAAGAGGAGAATCAAGGGAGTAAATGATATTCAGCTTGTAACAAGGGTTGTCTCTTCAAATGGAGCTTACTTGATGACGAGTAAACATGAGGAAAAATTCCGCATAGGCCAAAAGAAGAAGATAATTTTGTTAGTGGTAAAGGGAAACGAGAGGACAAAGCAGACCAAGCAGACCGAGAAGTTGCTGCTTTTCTCTTAGACCATCTAATAGGTAAGGAGGAAGAGAGATTTGGGCGTGTGCCTCCAACAACCATGGTGCGTGTCAAGAATTTGGTGACGGATCTAAAAAATGGACAAGCGGTTCAGTTTATATTTTGTTAGTTTTTTGCTAATTTTTTTGTCGTGAAATTCTTGGATCCATAAATGTAAGGTATTTCATTTTAGTAGCTCAATTTCAAAGTTTTTGGATCCATAAGTCTTTAGTTATCTGTTTTTTGTTTTAATTAGTAAATACCGTTCTCATTTTTTATTTATTTATTGTTAGATACGTAAGTGAGTTTGGACATACATGTTATTTTAAGGTATTTATGCATGAATGCTAGTTGAAATCTTGATATAAAAAAAAAATGGTATGAACTTGATAATTTATTCAACATATAGCGGCTGTTTATTTTGCATAAACGTAGTAGCATAATTATTAAGTTGGAAAGTTTATCTTTTAATGAAAGGAACCAGTTTTTCCGTTCCTTTGTTCAGTCTCCGTTCAATTTTCGTACAATTCAATCCCAAAATTATAATTTTTTTATAAGGATAAATGGAAGCAAGGAGTTGCCGCTTTTAATGAGCATGTTAGATCCATTCTATCTAGCCTATGTCACCGAGAACGGTGATTATGATCTACTCGTTTTTTGTTCCTATATATTTCATGTTTAAGCAAAATGGAATCTCATACCAAATAATTTGGTTTGTACGAGATTACGCATTCATAAAAAGAGAACAATTGCATGGTCAATAAACTAATGTAATAATAGCTCATTCAAACTAATGTCTTATTTCCTCCATCTCAAGTTCTTGGAGTAGTAAGTTATTGATTAGTCTAAAAGAAGACATCATTTAATCTTGTGTCTCAAGAGAACTGTGTCACCTCTCCGAAATCATTTTTACTCGGAAGATGCTCCTTACAACGTGAAGTACGAAGACCAATCACTTGAGTACACAAACTTGTTGGATTCTATCTCTTTGATCAACTATGTCATCAAGTCATGTTCCATCCTTTTCTCATGTATACATATCTCTAACACTTGTTTTCTTATGGGAAAAGGAATAGAGAGAGGAGGGTCTTATACTAAGTTTTAAGCGGTCAATAATAATTGATATCGCAATAAAAACAGTCGACCACTATGTAGTTTATAACTTTGGCCTTGTGATTTGTGAACAAACAACAGTGTTTGACATTGAGTATCTACAAACTTGTGAAAGCTACCAAAACCGGAAGAAATAAGTTACTCTAACAGAACCGGAGATGAATAGTGAACCGGATCAAGGTCGGCTAGATAAAACAAAAGCAGGTAGTGGGGTCCAGAGCTACTCCACTTAGGACACAAAAGCCAAAAGGCATGGATATATTGGAGGAGTGACCAATTAGTATTGACATTTTCGAAATTTCGGTCATGCATGCCAATTATAACGAGTTATTTTTATCGCACAATGCGTGTATTTATATCATCACATCAATAAACGTAAAATTAGTGTATGATGTAGCGGAAGCCACGATAAACACAGCTCAACCTATGATTTTAAGGAATCAATCGGGACCTGCCAGCTCAACCAAGAGATTTGATATAATTCTCACTTGGGACCTGCTTCTTGAACTCGTTGAGATCTCTAGATATACCGAAAACAAGGATAGAGAATACTCTTCTCTCAAAAGCCAAAGCTCTTTATTAATCAAAATCAACTTCATACAAAAGGAGGCCTAAACGGCTTATTTATAACAAATCTCAAAATCTAGAAAACCCTAAAACAATAATAGGAAATTATCAAAATAATAATATAAATAATTATAATATTTCTAAATATCTCTCTGTGTACATTAATAACATTGTTGTATATGAGCATATGTTTACTAGTTTTATACTAATAACAATACAGTATATTATATTTTGTTATAATAGTTTACTTATCCCATATTTATATTCCTCTAAACAGTATTAGTTTTTCAAACTATTTGTTTTACTTTTGTTCTCCTTGCTTTTTATATTAAGATGGTACATGATCTGAGTTTCTGTTATTAGAGATGTTATTACTTTTTTTTTGGTCAAAGAGATGATTACTTTACTGTAAAATTAACACTATTAATTTATACGGATTAGAATTAGATCCATTTGGACCATTTCTCGTTTTTCTAGGATTATTGAATTTGTAACGCTCAACGCGTAACAACTCTTTGGCTACCCGTTATTGTCCCACATATGATTAATGAATTATAACTTGGAATTTAAAACTGGTAAAACAAGAAATAACTGTTCATACGAATCTGATTTGACTTAACGACCCATAGTCAAACCCCATTCGTTCTCTCCAAATTCCACCAATCACACGTACACACACCTCTTCATTAATTAATTCCATTTTTTTTTTGTTATTCGCTCAACTTACCACTGCCCTTTATTTCTCTCCCTTAATTTTTGTTCCTTCATTGACCTACTTGAAACCTTTTCCAAATATTTTGTCTTGTTTTGAAACTTTATCTTTCTTTAATTTTCGATATTTGATATTTCTATGAGGCTTAATTCCTTATTCCATATTCCACGCTTATCAACACAATCTTTCTCCTTTGTCTGTCTTGTTTTCTTTTCTTCTTTCACATGTAAGTGTATATACACATACACATACACACACTCACATTTCTATTATCATATATAACTTCAACTTTACCTTTTCTCTTCAAAAGAAAAAAAAACTATCTCATCTTCATCAAATTCTATTGATTCCTTTTTCTTCATCCATGGACTTCTCACCTAATTCAAGCTCGTTAGAATTAACAATATCGATTCCGAGTTTCTCTCCGTCTCCTTCACGCCCATCATCTGGTAATATCCAAGGACTAATCAGATCATATTATACTATGTATAGTTTTGATATATATATAGTTACATCTCTGAAAAAGATCCAAATTAAACTGTGTTTGGTAGGTGATCACATGGTGAGAGATTTGGACATAAATCTAACGCCAAAGACGGAAGAAGATCGTGAGTGGATCATGATCGGTGCAACACCACATGTCAATGAAGAAGATAGCAACTCCGGCGGCCGGCGGCGCAAAAAGCTTCGCCTAACCAAAGAACAATCGCATCTTCTTGAAGAGAGTTTTATACAGAATCACACCTTAACCCCTGTAAGTATATATATGATATATCATACAATTTTGTGGCTCTTTATACGTTTTGCTTACGTTCTGTCGAAAAGAGGAAGAAGAAAGAGAAAAAAAAAAAAAAAAAGAGAGTAAATTTTATGATGATCAAGTCGGCTGAATATTTCGGTTGGCTAATTATGATCCCACAGAAGCAAAAACAAGAATTGGCCACCTTTTTGAAGCTTAGTCAAAGACAAGTTGAGGTGTGGTTTCAGAATCGAAGAGCTCGGTACGTATTTCGATCTATCCCTTCGTAGATATCATCATCGCTTATTATACATATAAATCGAGGAAAATGAGTTATAAATAACGTATAGAATTTTGTTTTTATATACGGTTATTAAGCATGTTGTGTAGGGTTTTTGGAATTGTATTTTTTAGTGGTTGAGAGTATATTAATTAATCAGAGTGCGTTGACAGAATATTTATATATAAAGAGAGATATCGTGAGATCGTAACTTAGATTCTCAACATAATTCCGGATATATACAACTATACTTTTAGAAAAATGTAGTAAAGTGGAAGTGATCCTTTTTTATCCAAGTGTTTCACGTTGATTCCCACATACTATAGTTATCACCCATTTTATGCGACACATGAAAGCCCGTACTCTTATTTTTGTGTCTACGTGTCTATATATAAATGTCCGTGACTAACAGTTCATAATACAGAATCTAATAAATGAATCAACGAGAAAAAAGTGATAGGGAACATGAGGGACAAAGTTAGAGACAATAAATGATGTGTTTATTTTGTTCAGCTCATCTTTGGCCAGTCCACAATTATGATGTTTGTCCCATATAGCATACATAGTTCTTTAGTGAAACACAAACATACACATACACACTTTTTATCAATGGTTTCTCTCCGTGTTTAATTATACATATTCACATATACATCAAATGAATGTTTATGTACGTACAATTGTGCATGTATACATGTTGCGTCTTGCGTGGTTGTTAGTTCATAATTAAAGCCCTTAAAGTATGAATTTAACTACCTAACATATACTGTACTACGTTATAAGTTGGATAAATGAGGGCCCTAAAAATGTTATAATCGTTTTAGAGTTACTTTTCAGTTTCATAAGTAAATATCTTTAAAAAAACAAAAGTAAATGAGTTTTAACTTATCCTTTAGTGAAAACTAATGTATAATATATATTTTTAGTTTGTTCATTGTGATTTAATTATTAGTGCATCGATAGGGGCATATTGGTATAGCTAAAAAAATTCTCAGTGAAAAATATTACAATGACAGTATTTTTGAAACAAAACAACTACTACATGTGTATTTTCTAAAACAATATGACATATATGTCAAAATAATCTTGCGTGTTGTTCATTGCGGGTCAATTAAGCAATCACTTATATAGTATTACTTGTGAACACTTAGTTTTATATGCAAAGGTCGGTTGAATAGTCTCCCAAAAGTAGAAATTTCTCAAACACTAACCTCGTCAAAAAATTATCAATATACTAGTACTAATAATTATTTAGCCTATGAATATAATAATATATATGGTTGGTATAGGACAAAACTTGGTAATTATGGATGAAGTAAGCATTTAATGGTACGCATGACACCTTTGATTTATAGGAGTAAGCTAAAGCATACGGAGATGGAATGTGAGTATCTAAAGAGATGGTTCGGGTCGTTGAAGGAGCAAAACAGACGGCTACAAATAGAAGTTGAAGAACTACGAGCTTTGAAGCCATTATCGGTCTCGGCTTTAACCATGTGTCCTCGGTGTGAACGTGTGACCGATGCAGCAGATAATGACTCTAATGCCGTCGAGGAGGGAGCAGCTCGGAGCAGCCAGTCACGCATGACAATTTCCTCTTCCTCTTCCCTCTGTTGACTAGCTCGGTCAAAGCTCAAGTCAAAGTCAAAAAAATGAAACGCCTGTAAGGAGTAAAAAAGCAAAGATTTGATGATGATGATTAGGAGGATTTTGTGCATAGTTCTCTAATTATTTTATTACACCAAGTTAAGAGGAAAAAGAATTTGTTTAAGTCCTCGTTTTATAGCCAATTTTCATGTTATTGTTCGTGACTTTAATTTTCATGTCCGTTCGGATTGACTAGTATTATTGACTTGAAAATAGAGAAGTTTTATTCTGTGTAAAACGACGAAAGTACCAAATTGTAGCAAAGCAAAAAAAACGACGGAAGTAGATTAGAAAATGGGAAAAGGATATGATTAGTCACTAAAAAAAGGATAAAGTTTCTTTGAAAAAATCAAATCTGGTAGAGAGTAGCAACCAACAAATAATACATCATAGAACTTATATTAAATTTTGTTATATATAATTGGGTTGATTGGGTACGGATAGATTGTTAAAACATCAATTAACGTCATTGTTTATTTGACTTCCACAAGTCTCAAATAAGGCTGCTATTTATTCCTTGACGTAGATAGGTAATAAGAATTTTTTAATTGATTTCCGGTGGAGATATTCACCTAATTCACCTGGTGTCTCATTCCAACTATATGTTGTTATTTTTTTTAATTTTTTTTTTCTGGTTAAAATTGTTATTGTTTCTTTACTTCTTGGGGGTGTTGGTCATCTTTAGTTATCCTTGATAAAAGAAATCATTTTGAAGTTTCAACATTTTGACATCAACCGCTTCTGTTGAGTTTATCTAAAACCAAATCAATCTTATTCTATGATTGACAACATACCATATTTAAACATCATGAATCCAATTTGGATTTTCATATCATGTTAACTTTAAAGATTTCTAACTCATAACCAATTGTCGGGTTTTAATATTATGTTAAGTTTTACAAACGCAACCATCTAGTGCCATTATTGCCATCAACGGAGCTCACCATCTAAATTATTTACACAATCATGATAACTTTCAATCTTTATTCACATTTTTTAAATCTGGCTCACTAAGTCCATATAAACTCCACATTTAGGGTCTGACTGGTTTAACCGCTGCGGTTGCGGTTGCGGGAGTTTGCGGCTGCGGGAGTTTGCGGAAGCGGGAGTTTGCGATTAAAAGCTGTTTGTACGACTGGTATAGCAATTCATAGCGGTTGCGTTTGCGGGATATTTTTGACTGGTTAGCCAGCGGGTGCAAGAGCGGTTTAACCAAAAGTTACTAAAATAAAAATAATATATAATTATTCAAAACATTTATAACCATATTAATAATTTTTTTTTTGAAATATATTTTTTGATGAATTTTTAATTTGAAAACTACCCTTTTTTTTTGGTTTTGAAAAATACACTTTTTATATGTAAAATGATTATTCCTAATTTAATAAAAACGAAATTCAAATAAGAAATATAAAATATTAATATTTGATAATAATTTTGTATCATTTTAACATCCTAATTACCTGTTTAGTTTTTTTTAAACAATTTAATAAAAATATAAGATTGTTTATATAAAGTTTAAATGGGGTGAGATTAAAGTTGTTTATGCAAAGTTTCAAAAATATTTAAATTTTTCAAAAGATAAACATTAAAAATGAAAGATATATTTCTCCACTTTTAAATTTTTAATAATTTATAAACTTTAAATATATGTAAAGTTTTAATTTATTTAAAGTTTCATTTGGTTTGAATGTGTATGAGGTTAAGTTGTTTATATAAAGATCCAAAATATTAAAATTTGTTTCAGTTTAACATATACTATATTTATTTGAAAAAAAACTTATTAGTTTATTATTTTTTTAAATTTTCGTTTATAATTTGTAATTATTTATTATTTTTTTGTTTAAATCACGTCAAAACATACTTTTTACATTTTAAAAGTGTATTTTTCAAAACAGAAAAAATTTAGGGTATTTTCGAAATTTTTAAACATAATTATGGTATTTTTCAAAAAAATATACCCTTATTCCAAATTTGGAGATATTATGTTTTTTTTTTTTTTTTTTCAAAAATACACCTTTCCCCAATTTTAATATATATGTTTGGGTTCACTAATCCTATATTAGGGTTTAGATTTTGGGGTTTAGGATTTAGATTTAAGGGTTCAATGTTAGATTTTAGGGTTTTAGATTTATATTTTAGGGTTTAGAGTTCTTTTACTAAATGAAAAAAGTGTAGTTTTGAAAATTGGCACCATAGAGGTGTATTTTTGAAAATTGGCATCTCAACAGGTGTAGTTTTGAAATTTCCCCAATTTGGAGGTATTATGTTTTTTTTTTTTTTTTTTTCAAAACGCAACCGCCCGCAACCGCAAACGCTTGCAAAAATGAGCTTTTGATTTTCAGCGATATAGAGCGGTACAGAGTGGTATAGAACGGTTGAAAGCGGTTGTCGTGATTATTATAAAACGCTAAGAACCGTTACAAACCGCAAACGCTACGTTTGCGGATGGTAGCGGGAGAACCAATCATCACGTTAGTATAGTGCAATTTTGTCCAATGGAAAAATCCACACAATTTTTTACTAGGCTTGTATCAGTTACTAAAATCGATGTTTTATTACTGTTTTAGAAATATTTAATTACAAAAAATTATAAGATATTAATACAGCCGGCAATTAGCATCTCAAATCAGCATCTTTGGGACAACGTTGTCTAGCAACGGGTTTGGGTTTTCCTGGCCCAATTAATCATTTTAAGATAGCCCAATGGGCTGAATTTCTGTATATCCGTGACTTGAAACCCGATGGAAAAGTTGAAAAGCTAGCCATTTTGGAAAAATGGCAAACTGGTAAACTTGAAAAAAAAAGATCCTCACAAAAAAAAAACCTTTTTTCAAGAATTGATTTGCACTTTTTCGTATGTAGAAACTTTAGTAACAAGAAAATATATTTATCCGAAATTTTATTGGGAGACAAGTACAGTCGTCAGTAACAGAGGAATGTGTGTTGGAATTACTGAATTAGGAAGATGAATGGAATTTTATGTTCTCTGACTTGCCCATGTGCGTCGCACGTGCTTTATATTTGGACATGATGCGTGCATGTCAAAATGTCGCGCCCTTTTTTACCATGTTTTCTGACAATGCCCATGTGGACTCATCTCATTGGTCAGAGGTTCAACATTATCCTAGCTGTATTGTTTGGTGATTTGGTGAGGGAAACAAAAATACAATAGCTCTTGTTAATAAGAAAACAAATGACTTCATTAGTAGTAGTCATTACCCAAACAAAGATATACAACTGGTAGTCTGATACTAGGTAAATAATTATCATAACATTTTTAAAATTGTATTTAATTTGTAGAACCAATACGAATTTTATCTAAGGAATTTTTTTTTTGTGTTAATTTATGTTATATGAAAAGTCATGATTTTTCACACATTGATCGGTTTTTGAAAGGATATCATTCATATTACGGTCAATTCTAACTCAATATTTTTTGCACTATACGGAAAAAAGTTTTATCACATCAACAAGATGATTACAAAGATGACTCAATCGTGTACGTAATAACATGTGGCAATTGATGTTTAACACATCTCTGATCAATCTCTTATCTCCCTTTGCTAGTGAACTAATAGTCTTTGTCCCAGATTATTTATCAATAATTGACGACGATCAGTACTTTTAACTATTCATGTTTGTAAGTGTTAATTGAAAAGTTTATATGACAACTTCACCTCCTTTAATCACGTGCTTAAGTCACCAGCAGCCATCATTGTTCACTTTCAAAATTGTCTAATTCGCTCCGACGTACCACTTCTTTTGAAGAGCTGGAAGTTCTGTAACAAATAGTGATCGTTTATCAGTAAATATTAAATTCCTAATTTTTTTTATTTCTCACGATTTTTTTGTTCGTGTGCATATATATATCATGTACAATATTTTAAAATTAAATACGACTTAAAAGTAGACTAAATTAAGCAGTTGAGCACCAGTAGTAAACATCAACTAAGCTCTATACGAATTGTATATTAATGCATTGGCTTGATTGTCCAACAGTTAGGTTGTCAAAGTCCATCGTTTAGTCAATATTCCAAACATATATCATCAAATATTAATGTTTATATGATCGCTCAACACCAACACCGTTCTTTTTTTTCTTTCCTAATGCGTGCGGTTGTTTGTGTATCCTTCTTTCTATCTTGTAACAGTTGACAAGTACACATCTCAGTTCTCAGAGATCTTTGGAAGCATTAGTCATAGATTCATTTAAATTTCGTTGTCGTTCCTACAATTCCGTAAATCAAAGACGAAAACTATGTTTAAGTTTGACTTGGAGTTTGATTATTTCAAGCACAACCTAAATGTTATCATACAAATATTGTCTTTCTATTAACAGATACAGAACTTTTTCTTATATATACATCAAACTTCTTTTCCTTGATAATATGCTAACTAAATTGAATGACAAAATGTGACATCGTTATGAGAGAGAATATATTTTCAAAAAGAATTACCCATGAGAATTAATTTATTTTAAAAATAAATTAGTTCAAGATAAATCTTTTTATTTTTATCTTGATTAATGTCTTATGATGGGAGATTGGAAGTAATTTGGGTAAAAGGTGTATAGTAATCTGGAAACCAAATTTGCAGAAAGGTGTTGTGGAGTGCCTTGCATGTCAAGCGAGTTATAGTATGAAAACTATCTCAAGGGACTTAACTGTGTTGGTGTGATACATCTTCAGAGCTATAGTACCGCGCGATTAGGCTTAGAAATCTGCCTTTTCTGATATTCCGCGAAATGTGCGACTTTACTGGCAAAATATATGATAAAATTCACTTCATTTGGTACTTTGTGGGTACTAGTAGCTCCTGTATCGTGATATTCATTTGGTACTGCCCTTTTTGAGTACATCTTTGTGTGCTAGATATAATTATAAATTGCATGATATCTCATAAGTTTTATAGGAGATTGAATATATTTTATTATTTCTAGTTAATGAAAATGGTTACGCTACCATATGAAGTGCTTCCAAAAGTTTCCTATATCTTATGCCGGTATTTAGGATTATTTATTTGGTTAACTGAATCCAATTATTACTATGTATAAATACATGATTCGATATTAAAAATAGTTGAATTAATAATGGTTTATAATTTGGTTTTACAAGACGGCATGTTTTAATTATCTTATATCACGATTATAATCATTCGTGAATTGGACTTATTCGAGGAAGTTGTGTCCAGAGATAGTTTATGCAAAAAGAAAGATACAGACACACTAACTCACAAGAAGGTCACGACATTCTCTGTCTCAACCATTTATTCATATGGAACTTTGGTTGTGTACTAAAAAGAGTAGTATTACCCATACGGGGAAGAATTTTTTATAAGATTAAAGGAGAGAGAAAATAAAAGATTTTTGTTTATATACAAGTGATTAGATGGAACTTTGGTGATGTACTAAAATAGTATCCATACAGGAAAAATAAAACATTGTTCTTCATATAAAAGTTATGTAGATACGTTTTATACGGTTATCTTTATACTGTATTCATATTTGAGTTCATTTGAACAAATAATTGAGAAACGACGTATAATGATGAGACTATATGCTAAATCTAAATAATATGTTCCTCTAAGGAGAGTAATTGAGTGTTGCCTACTTAACGGGACAAATGAGTAAACCTAACAATAACATATAGAGACACTCGACGCCATTAGCCAAATTCCATTTGAGCCATCCAATTCATACTCAGTGGATCTTTCTTTGTCTCCAGCCCATCTTGTCTCCATAATTTTTTAATGATTACTTTTTTCGCTAAACACAAAAAAGATGACAATTTTCAAGTTTTTGTTTTGATACTGAACTATTGTTTTTTTTTTAATTATTGGTTCGGGCATCAAGATTATGCTGCTATAAATAAATATTTTGATATTGATATTCACTCATGTGGTATCAAGATTATGCTGTTATATACACATTTCGATATTGATATCATATTACGAAAATGGCTTATCAAAAAGATAAATATATTACGAAAATGGATGAGCTAGAGTCTAGCTAGCTGCTAGAGAATGAAAAGAAAGGTGAAGTTAAAATAAACAAAAGCAAAGAGGAGGGGACAGAATAGAAAAGGTATGTCTGCGATGCCCATCTCCATGATTTGAGTGCCACATGATATACCTTTTTCTAAAGATCTAACTCAGATCAGATGCTACTTGTACAAGTAAATATGGTGGCACTGTCACTTTTATTTTCCATTTTCCTCACTTCTTTTTGGTTTATCCATTTTACACTAATCTTCGTGAAATATATTCTCACTGACAAGCCCTGGATAATACATTATTTTGTTTGATAGTATTACGTTATTTATTTTAAAATATTCTACTACCTAGGTCCAAAAACTAATCTCACAAACTTTACATAATTACATCCCACTATATATTTAAAAATATTGCAAATTTAAAACTCTATCACTTGCAAGTTACCACTGGACCAAGATGACTTGATTAGTAACAAAAATATCCGATATTAGATATTTTGTTTATTATTACAAATGTATTTTTATACAATTACACATGTTTTTTTCCTTACAATATGTTAGTTAGTAAATATCAACAATTATATGCGAATAAGAAAAACATTTTGGTCAAACTGTGCACAAAGACAAAGTTCACTTATTTACAAATTTACGATCAAGTCATTTACCCACATAAAAACTAAGATCACTATAGCAAAGTTACCGAATGAATATTCAATTATATGTTTATTCTATGATGAAATTGATTAAAAATATTGGATAATTAATAAAATAAAAATAACAAAAAATTAGTAGTAAAAAGGAACTTGGGTCGTCAAGTATTTGCTGTATAAAGAGGTGTAAAGTGACCATCCCTCCTTAAATTATATCCTCAAAAACCAAACTTGCTCACTCCTTCACACACTTCCCCAAGTCCCCACTTCTTCTTCTTTCACCGGAGACAAAAATGATCTCATGGCACGACCTCTACACGGTCCTCACGGCCGTGATTCCTCTCTACGTCGCCATGATCCTCGCCTACGGCTCCGTACGATGGTGGAAAATCTTCTCCCCCGACCAATGCTCCGGAATAAACCGCTTCGTCGCAATCTTCGCCGTCCCTCTCCTCTCCTTCCACTTCATCTCCACCAACAACCCTTACGCCATGAACCTCCGCTTCATCGCCGCCGACACTTTCCAGAAAGTCATCATGCTCGCACTCCTAGTCCTCTGGGCTAACTTCACCCGCTCCGGCAGCCTCGAGTGGAGCATCACCATCTTCTCCCTCTCCACTCTTCCCAACACCCTCGTCATGGGGATCCCTCTCCTGATCGCCATGTACGGCGAGTACGCCGGCTCTCTCATGGTCCAAGTCGTCGTCCTCCAGTGCATCATCTGGTACACGCTCCTCCTCTTCCTCTTCGAGTTTCGCGGCGCCAAGATGCTCATCATGGAGCAGTTTCCCGAAACCGCCGCCTCCATCGTCTCCTTCAAAGTCGAATCCGACGTCGTTTCACTCGACGGCCACGATTTTCTCGAGACCGACGCAGAGATCGGCGACGACGGGAAGCTCCACGTCACCGTGAGGAAATCGAACGCCTCACGCCGCTCCTTCTGCGGTCCCAACATGACTCCACGGCCGTCGAATCTCACCGGAGCTGAGATTTACAGCTTAAGCACCACTCCCAGAGGCTCAAACTTCAACCACTCCGATTTCTACTCGATGATGGGTTTCCCCGGCGGCCGTCTCTCCAATTTCGGTCCGGCGGATATGTACTCCGTTCAGTCTTCGAGAGGTCCGACTCCGAGACCTTCTAATTTCGAGGAGAATTGCGCTATGGCTTCTTCCCCAAGATTCGGGTATTATCCGGGTGGTGGAGGAGGAGGAGCCGGGTCTTACCCGGCTCCCAATCCGGAGTTTTCCTCAACAACTACCGCCACGTCGGCAACAGCTAACAAAGCCGTTAGTAAAAATCCAAAAGACAATCAACAGTTACAGAGCAGCGGCAAGTCTAACAACCATGACGCGAGCGCTAAAGAACTCCACATGTTCGTTTGGAGCTCCAACGGGTCGCCCGTTTCGGACCGGGCGGGTCTTAACGTACCCGATTCAGGATCCAACAACGAACAAGGAGGAAGATCCGATCAGGGTGCGAAAGAGATCCGGATGTTAGTCCCTGACCAATCCCAAAACGGTGAAACCAAAGGTTAGAAATTAAAAATCATTCAGTAATTTCCACATTTAACTGGAAATTACTATAAATTCGGTTTTGTTTTATCTGGTTATAGCTTTAGCTCGTCCGGCGAGTGGAGATTTCGGAGGTGAGCCGTTTACGTTCGCCGGAAGAGAAGAAGAGGGAGGAGAGAGAGGGAAAGACGCGGAGAACGGACTGAACAAACTTGCTCCGAATTCATCATCGGCGGAGCTACAATCGAAGACAGGTCTCGGAGGAGGAGAAGCGAGTCACGGGAAGCAGATGCCGCCGGCGAGCGTGATGACGAGGCTGATTCTGATAATGGTGTGGAGGAAGCTAATCAGAAACCCAAACACTTACTCTAGTCTCATTGGCCTCATTTGGGCTCTCGTCGCTTACCGGTTAGTTGTAACTAAAATTTACTGAATCGAACCGACCGGTTATTTGGAAAATTTTAATCCGGTTTTGTGAATTATGAAGGTGGCACGTGGCAATGCCGAAAATCATTCAGCAATCTATCTCCATTCTATCTGATGCTGGTCTTGGAATGGCAATGTTTAGTTTGGGTAAGTCATCTTCGTGCTCTCTGTTTTATTCCTTTTGATTTTTTTATTCATTTATTTAAAAAGATAAAAAAAAAATCCGATTCAGACCAAACGTGTTATTTATTACAGGAAATAATAACTTGTTTGCGTATTATCGTTGACATATTAACCGGTTTACATAATAATAGAAAGAAATTAGGTAGCTCATAAATTTCATTTGCTGTTTTGTCATTTTTAAAGAATTTTGCGAATTTTAAAAGATGGACCATCCGACAGGTGGGGTAATGTTGTGAGTGTCTTATTAGATAAATGGTAATGGTGGACGACATGGTCTCGTGTTGTTGATAGTCGTTATGGTCCCCATTTTTATGGGACTTTGATTGGATTTTTCTTTAATGTTATAGATTCATTTACCTGATTCTGTAATTAAAATGGTATGTAAAAAATATTCGTGAAGGGTTGTTCATGGCGTTGCAACCCAAATTGATCGCTTGTGGAAATTCCGTGGCAACATTTGCCATGGCGGTTAGGTTCCTTACCGGCCCGGCCGTGATGGCTGTTGCCTCCATAGCCATTGGACTACGTGGTGATTTACTGCGTGTTGCTATAGTTCAGGTAAAAATCTTTTTTTTTCTTCTCTTTTTTTAACCATGCCATTTTAGTAATTTGTTGTAATATGTTTTGATGTGTGTTTTAGGCTGCATTGCCTCAAGGGATTGTGCCATTTGTGTTTGCAAAGGAGTACAATGTTCATCCTGCTATTTTGAGTACAGGGTAAGTTTATGGAAGTTGATTAAATTCATAAGACTATTATATAATGTTGGTCTAATGACATTTATTGTTATAACATTTTCAGGGTAATATTCGGAATGCTTATAGCGCTTCCGATTACGTTAGTTTACTACATTCTACTCGGGTTATAAGCTTTTCGATTGTGCAAACCCTTAAATGGATCAAACTGTAGAGGGAGGGAGGGATGAAGAAGATAACACAAGAGAGTGTTCACCAAAGTAAAAAAGCTTAGAGTATATAAGTGAAACTAGGGAGTAGCATGATTTAAGGAATGATGATGCCTACATTACAAGCCAAGAAACCCTTTCTTCTCCATATTTTATATGTAGAATATTGGGAGATAATTTGAGTAAAGACAATGGGACGCAGATAAGGAGGAGCAAAACATGGGGCAACGAGACAAAAGGATAAATAAAAGATTGGAGGAAGAAGACAACTTATTATTTTTGTAACTTTTTTTCCTTTATACAAGTCCCTTTTTGTGTGTTCTTTGATTAGGTTTGTTGTAACCATTAGTTGATTACAGTAGTTTCTGTTCTTTTTTTTTGTTATAGATGAAAAGTGTGGTTTTGAATCTTTCCTTGTTCCAGTTTTCACATAAGCAAAGAGTTTCTAGTAAAATCTTAGAATATAATATGTTTTCTTATTAAACTGTTGAAATTTTAGTAAAATATATAATCAGATGAGTGGATTTACTGATCCTTGTCTGCTGTGATAATGAAAGTAGTAGTGGAAGAAATGGGTTAGGCGCTTTGGCACAGAAAGCATTTCGTGTTAATCATTTATTTAAGCTGATGAGTGATGAGTGATATAATTAAGGGATTGTCCATGTGTGGGGATGATGAACACTTATTAAAAAAAAGATAAAGAAAAGGCAGAAAGATAATAAAAAGTCAAAAGCTTATCTAAAAGTTTAATAAAAGCTGCCTTTTCTTTTCTTTATTTGTTTTCTCTCGTTTCTTTCGAGTTTTTTCTTTTTACTAAAGTGGAGGCTGTATTTGTTTTTTTTTTGTCAACAAAGTAGAAATTAGAAAATGAATATTATAATAGAGAGTTCGGCCATTTTTTCTCGTTTTGCGGACCGATTTTCTTTTCCTCATATTTTAAATTAAGTATATAGTTAGACATGCGTTTGGTGGATATTAACTTATTAAGTACGTATCACAATCATATTAATTTTGACGACTAATAAACTATAAATAAAATATAAATGCACGTTATGCACTTTTGGACAGTAAATTAGTTTACCTGCTAAAACCAAAACAAATACTGACTAAAAAAAAAATTGCAACTTGTAATACTAGAAGAACTTCGTACTTATAATAGTATACTAGTATCGGATATATATTACAAATCCTATATGATTTGAAGTATCTCTACAAAAACTGTTTGCATGTTATTATCAGAAAACTTAATAACTTCCAACGTACGTATAATATCATTCTGTAACCTAATGGTATCACCTGATCCAGACGAAATCGATGGCTGTAATCACTAACGAGGAGTTAAATATGTGATTAAGTAATTAGTGGAATGAACGTTGATTGGGCTCCGAGTATCCATTGAATCTGTTGTCCATTGGATGGGAACATAGTGGGACGCAAATCGAAAGAAGTCTGTAACTAGTTAATCCACCGTCACAGCTTAAAGCTGGTCGGCTAAATTATAATTAAATGCTTTATCAAGATTAGCAGTGTATTTATATAAAGAGTCTCATTAGACCAACATGCGTCGCACAAAAGCTGTAAACTGTAATGGGCTCCGTGCACCTTCATTTCAATCAATTTATATAATAAATCTCTTTAAGTTTTTGTTACTATCGAAAATTTGTCAATGAATCAGAAATATATATATCGGTAACATCGTCGTGCTTTTGGACTTTGGATAGAAGGGGGTTGTCTCGATGATAATAGAGTTTTACCGTAACAAAAAACGATACTATGATCAATTGAACCTCTTACAAAATGTAAAAAAGAATTTGATTTGTTTTTTTTTGAGCAGAGGTACATGCATTTAGATAATATATGTAGTTGATAGACTATAAACCAAATGACTACAATATTTAAAACTTATAATCAACTCTAGTAATTTACTAATTTTGTCGTTTTAAATTTATATACGCACAATTCACATGCGGACACTTATAAAAAGAAAGAAAAAACTTTAGTACGGGAAGAATAGAAATCAATTTGTTTTTTTTTTATAAATATTTTTTTTGATCATCTTATTCCAAAAGAAAAGAAAAAAAAAATCTATTTTGATGATGTGCTTGCTTACTTAAAAAAAATAAAAAAAAAACTCCGTTATAATATTTAAAATGGATATTTGAATGCATACAAAAACTACAGTCCGTTTTAACATATCACATCTTAATATGGTAACACTCGAACATATAATGAATATGACATATATATCACATATGAAGAAAATGAAAATACAAGCACATGATGTTGTTTAAGAAACTTTTGATGTGGAGAGGAAAGGTTGTCATGTTCGAGCAAGAGACATCCATGGACCAAGGTCGGTTTTAATACGTGGAAATTGTGTATTTGAACAAGTTCCGAAAGATCATGTGTACATAAAACACGCTAATCGTTTTCGATTGTTTCCTTTTAAGTTCATGACCATATAAAAATGAGCGAGTGTTTCAAGAAATCTACGAGTTTAAGAAGAAGAAAACACTCTCGTAATTTCCTATGTACTTAATTACATAATTTACATTATCCACACCGTTGGCGTACTTTCCAAAATGCTATTTGCGAGTATCACACACACACATCAACCTTCCCACGAGAAATCTTGTGGTGGCATCTCCCCAAAAACTACATCCACTACTTGCGGTGTATGTCTGATTGACAACGCCACACAGAAATGCTAATGCACGGCCACATTACCATCACCAAATTCGCCAACTCGAAGCGCCCGCAAAATAATAAACATGCCATGCAAGTTGGATATGTCAACATCAAAACTCATCAACCATGTATTACAACTGGCAAACCCGACTCAGGGATTTGGCGGTCCAACATTCGAAACCAGGACCAAATCAAGAATGTGTTTAAAACATTCTTGATCATTGTTTTTCTTGTCACGAGTTTTGGTTTGCTTCTAAGATCTCGTCCTAATCTTTAAGGTGGTCCAACATCTGCGGAAGATTCAAAATTCACCCACACACATACCTCAAACCTAATCAATATGATTACGTAGCGCAAATTGGAATCTGAACTTAAAATATATGCGATGTATTTTAATTTGTACTAATAGCTACTTTATGAATTTTTTTCAATACTCGTTTACAATTCAATATCTTGTTTTCATCAAGTTAATCTTTTGTAAATATTAGCCAGAATTTTGAAATTATTTTTTAAAAAATTCAAGTATCTGCAAATTTTATTATGTTTAAACTGTACACTATCTTATAAGGAGCTTAAACTGCAAATTTTATTATGTTTGATCCGCCGCTAGTTAATATCCAGATATATAGACATGCTTGGTAATGATACTTTGTTAGTGTACATTCGACAAAAAGTGAATAAATCTTTAAGATATGTATGCTTCTTGCTTGTTTGCTTTCTCTTCCACTCGCGCGGGCTGTCTCTATACTATTATTAACTATGCCCACTCCTCTCATGTGCTCACATATTCCCCTCATTGGCACCTAATGTTACGTTTATCTCCATTGGATTCTTCTCGTTATAACATTGCTATCATTGATTATATCAAAATGGGACATGTAACGGGTTTTGGCATCAACAAGACCGTCCGGCCTACAACACGATGGGCAAAGCGTAGGGTAGGGACGAGAACACAAATGCACGATGTGTTCATTGAACGAACAAACATTTGAAGATGACTAATGGAACTAAGAGTGAAAAATGGACGTGGAATAAGATAAGAGCTGTGTATTATCCAATTAAATGCATAGACATTGAAATGAAGTAACAAAAGAATGGACCCAATAGAAGAAGGAAAAGAACAACTGTGACTTAGTTGTCCCATATATGTTGAAGGCAATGGATCGAGTCACATTATACCTGTCGAAGACGAAGAAAAAGAAAATATGTGGATCACAATTTGCGGACGTAGAGCCAAATAGTCTCTCTGTCCCTACACTTTTGAAACTAATCATCCCAACCTCCTTACCATAAATGTGCATTTTCTATTAGAACAAATGTGCATGTTATTTATTGTTAGAATAAGATACATATTTATGGAGCGGAAAGGGATATGAAACTGTTAGTCTGGCTATTTCGAAAAATCAACAGACCAAAAAAAAAAAAATTGTTGATTAAGGTGAGACTGGATGCCAAAACAGAGATTTGAAAATATTATTAATCATCAAAAATTCAAAATCATCAAAAGAATGCATAAAATCTTAAATAAATTACATATTTATAAGAGAAGTCGAAACCATAAGACTCCTAATTAAAATCATATGATTTTTTAAAGATAGTTAGAAGTTATCCAAATATCTCCATGCATGTATCATAGACTTGTGGGCTGGTGGCCATAAAAATTATATTAGGGTTGATCTTACAATTCATTCTAATTAACCAATATTCTTCATGTAGATTCTATCCAAGGATTTCTTTGAGTAACTATCAATTCGACAAGGGTTTTTACGACAAAAGAAAATGTAAATGAGAAAGTGAAAGAAGATTATGATTGGGGAAAGATTATGAGAGGATATGGTGGCGTCCTCGTGTGCGTGGCTGCATTCTCGTGGCATACCATCACCATACTAATAACTGAATTCCAGTATTTTTTTTAATATTCTTAATCAATAAAGCGAAAAGAGTAAAAGAAAACGTGAATAGATTGAGAGAGAGAAGGACAGGTGAAGATGGGTGTCGGCCGAACCACGGACACCGGTCGGTGTCTCAAGACAAAGGAAGCTTTGCGTCTGGGGACCATTCACACTCCCTCAACACACCACCCATGCCAATGCCAACTCCAACTCCAACTCCAATCTTCATTTTATTTTCGGTAACCACAAAAATAAGTAGATAAAAATTAAACTCCTTTATTAATGAAATTTAGCTTAAATTTTCTTATTGTTAGTTAGTGATTTTAAAGTGTATAGTTTACAAGGGAAAAAGCCAAAGGAACGTAAAGGCAAATACAAGTGTATCCCGGCATTAGTTTGGTTTGGTGTACTTGTGTTGTTATGCTTCATGTTCTTTGGCTACTTTTTCCTCACATTATCTTTGGTTCCCTTCACTTCGTTTTTTTTCCTCAATGTACTCATCTATTTGACCCTTTTTTTGTAAGGCAATGTATACTGTTGGAGGGGTTGTACATTTTGAAGAATAAAATGTGTCACGCATGAATACGTGGACGTATGATTTGTTGTCAGAAAAGCTCTCCGATGAACATGGAACAAATGTCAAACCTCCCTAATGATCCTAAGATGACAACAATTTTGGGAGAGAACATCCGCACCTCTCATTGAACGATACAAGTTTCATTAAAACCATTAGGTCACTTGGCAGTCTCCAAAAACTGACCTGTATATATGCTTAAAGCATATATGTTTAAATATCCATATAAGAGGGAGAGCAACTTTGACGATTCGGAATTAAGCTTACTTGTATCTCAAAGACTATGTGATGAATCATATGAACACTTCGAAATTTCCTTTTTTTCATATTGAAGTTGCTCTTAATTCACTTGGAGATATGATATGAAAAACATTCCTCTCTAATTATTCCCAGTCACGGCCCAGCCCAGTTTTATTGATAACTTATGACCGAAATCCAAGTGAATCTATTTTGTAAGGCCCAATTGTTTTACTGTGCAAACCAAGCCTCTAGAAGATCCGAACGTGCATGAGGATTGTGCACTAAAATGGTGTTGAAATCTAGCCCTTGCAATATCCGATTCAACTTTCGAAAATAGAAGTCGCCGAAGAAAATTTATCATATGTAAGCAAGTAAATTAACTAAACAATAAATCGCATTAAAAAGAAAGGTTACTCGAGGGAGGATGCATAAGTTCCCATGGGGGTTATGGCCAGATCTTATATCATTTATGAAATGAAGAACATATTTACAGTCTCTCAGCGTTATTAGTAACGGTTTCAGCATAGAAAAACAAAACACTAGGACTTCAGCCGTCTTACCCACCGGAAAACATGCACCCCACCTACATATCCAAAGAGTCGAAAACAGTCCCTCAATAACTCAAAGCACTGCACTGATCTTCCCGAAATTTTCTGCATCGATTAAAAACCTAATTTTTGCGATATTTTTGTGTGAACAGTTAATGAATATTAACTTTAAAATCCTGTAGATTTTCTATGGTTTTTCAGATTACATTATCTTTTGTTGGGATTCAAGTTAACAACCGTTTGTCACCTAAATCTTTTTTTATTTCATCCCAAAGCGGGAGCAAGGTGATTTGTCTACAACAAATTATAACCACATTTTTCTGATTTTCGATGCAAATGGAAGTTTGTATGCAATTTCTAAGACGAAGATAAACAATCATCAAGGAATGAGGTTTTAATATACCTCTTGGACCATCCAAAAAAATATCAAATTATAATAATCTTTAAACATCTATGCTTTTGCGGGAAAATTACGAACAATATTTGTACAATTCAATCAAAATAATTGCTGGTTATGAATAAAGTAGAAAAGACATAAATACTATTATAATAGACAAATTTGCATGAAAGAAAGTGTAAAAAATACATAACAATAATTCAGAGTTATATCATGGCAGACCAACAAGAGCATCAGCTTAGTACCATCGCGCACCCACCAGTTCTTCCTGTTTTGCAGCCACAATCAGGGCAAATGGGACGTAAGCGTAAGAGCGTCGGATGATGTCTTACAGCAGCCACAATCAGTTCTTCAGCCACAACCAGTTCCTGATCCGGCGACTAAGCATGCTCGGAGGCCTCTTCCTAGCAATTGTGCTGTCCGTAGCTTCATTTTTTATTGATGCTATGTTAACTATTGGCAGAAACATTGGTGGACGACTTGTTGTGAGTCGTCTATAATTCTAATAATGTTTTGCCTAACTATAAGACTTGATGATACATTGATTTGTTGTAAATTTTATGATCATTATCACGGCTTTTTGTTATAAAAAAAAAAAAAAAGATAATGGGTGTAACTCTAAAAAGGGATAATCAAAAGTTCTATACACGAAAGTTTTTCATTTTAAAGTAACCTTATGGCTCTCATACTCTCTTATCGTAGAGGAAAGAAGAAGGAGGTGAAATTCTTTTGAGAATATCATAAAACTAAAAGAATTGTAACTAGTTATAAGTTTAAACTCATGCAATGATCTCAATTAACAAGATTAACCCACTTTCATGGTGCTAATCACCTTTTTAATCACAGTTTCAAGAGCTAATTCCCATTACTGAAATCTAAACTAAAAAGCATTAAGAAACAGTCCAATCAAGCCAATAAACAGTTGATAATTAATCAATCCCTTAGAGTAAACATGCAAATTCTTAAAAATTCGTATAATTATTTCAGAATAAATAAAAAATAACAAAAAATATGGAGTGGGGTTTATGACGTGGCATAACCCTGACACTTAAAATAAAAAACTCGATCCACATCTACCGTCAGAAGTTAAAACCGCCGTCTAAACATTATATCAAATCATCTGAACCGTCGATCATGTAACCCCAAAACCCGAAATAAACGGGCGTGATAACGGAGAACGTGACCAAACTCTCTGACTAGAACAAGACAAAAAAGGAAACAAAAGCACATGACATGATTCTTTCACCCTTTCGTCTCCCAATCTCGATTCTTCTTCTTCTTCATCTCTACTCCCTCAATAGTTGAATATTTTCTTTCTCACACGAACATCTTTAGTTGACATACAAATGGCAGGAAGCGAGATTCAAGACCCGTTTAACCTTACTTTTCAGGTAACTTCTTCTTCTACAAATGACACAACCCTAATGTTCTTGCTTGAAACTCTGTTACTTGCGTTATGCTCTTTCTTGATTATGCTCTCACTACTTAGTATAGAACTAAGGGAAGAAAATGAAAATATCAATATGGTTATTTGGCTAGTTCGTATAAGTGATTTATTATGAAATCTGGGATGCAGACGAGTTCTATACACTCTGGATCGATATCGTTTGGGAGATTCGAGAAGGAAGGATTGTCATGGGAGAAGAGATCATCGTTCTCTCACAATAGGTATCTTGAAGAAGTAGACAAGTGCTCTAAACCTGGCTCTGTCACTGAGATGAAAGCACATTTCGAGGCTCATTTCAAGAAGAAAGGTATCCGGTTTCCGGATTCTCTTGAGTCTCATCAGACTTGGGGAGTTCGTCAACCAGATGATGATGCTGTTGATGCAACTGAAAGTTTCGAGGATTATCGATCTGATGATGAGAGTTTCTCTGATAACACTAGTCAATCAGACAGCCATGAACAAGAGAAATATGAGGACAGTGATCGTTGTGGTGTGAGCTATGATGAGATTGTTGTGAATTCTGATGATGTCATTGAGCTTGATGAAGAAGGAGGGACGGCTCTTGATGTTACTTTAGACAATGATGAAGTTTCAGAGATTCCTAAGGAGGATCATCCTGAGATGCCACTAGAGATTGAGGTTCGAGATGGAGATGAAGAAACAGAGTCAAGACTTGATCAAGAAGTTTTCAAGAAGGTGAGATTATACATTGTTTATGTTTTTTTGCATTGTGATCACATTTAGACATTTGGATTTATTATGTTTCTTGGTATTACTGATAGGCATCTGATGTTACTGAAAGACCTCCCACCACCTCCTCTGATTCTGGAGCTAAGCCTCTGGAAAGCATTTCTCATGTTGTGAGTGTGAGTAAAGCTTTTATAAAGAGTCATGATGTAACTCCAAAAGCTGCTTCTAGGAGGACAAATGGTTCTTCTTTAAGTTCTAAAACCAATGTAGATGCCAAGAGGTACTTTACTTTTCTTTACATAGAGAAATGGTGTTTATAACTTGGTCAGTATTGCTCTTTACTTAAGACTTCTTGGTTTTGTGGCAGCCAAAAGGATCTGAGACCGAAGAAAACCGTTGAATCTCAACCTCCAACATCGAAGAAAACCGAGACTCCAACAAACAGGTCTGTTACTAAGACCACTATAGTGATTTCATAGTAATCAACTTCAAGAATCTAACGGTTTCTTTTACAGGTGCAACAGTAGTACCTATTCTTCTAAGTTAGAGATGAGTGCAAGTGCTTCTGGTTTCCGTTTTAAAAGTAGTGAACGAGCTGAGAAGAGAAAAGAGGTCTTCTTTCTCTTCCAAAACTAAACATTTTTATTGCTTAAATTTGAAACTACTGTTTTAGGTTTTTTATGAAACTTTCTTTTCTTTTCAGTACTATACGAAACTGGAAGAGAAAATACATGCTAAAAAAACAGAGACGAACCAGGTTCAGGCCAAAACTCAGGTACCATCATCATCATCTCCATGTCTCTTTGTTTTATTTACATTTCAGAAAAGATCTAACTGGATACTGGATCAACATTTCGGTTGCAGCAAAAGGTGGAAACTGAGATGAAGCAATTCAGGAAAAGCCTCAATTTTAAGGCAAAACCAATGCCTTCTTTCTACAAAACCGGTGCTAAACCGGTTTCTCATAGCAAGGTATATGTTTCGATTGGTCGCTAGTACTATAACTACATCTTCTCAACACCAAGAAAGTAGCAAAGTTATTAAACTAGCTTTCTCTTAACATTTTTAGAATGAGACATCTAAAGTGGCACCATCAAGACCACATACGGCCTCAGGCTCAGTTACGAACAGAGCGGTCACAAGAGTTGGTTATAAACACGGCTTTGAAGAAAGTAAAACGGTGAAGGTAGTGGTTGGTACTAGAAAACAGAGTGCGGTTAAATATTTGGATATGCCAAAAGGTAATCTTTCGGCGGTTGAAACAAAACAAAAGATTGGTACTAGAAAGAGCGGCAACTAAACAGACATGTGGTAGTGCGGTTAGCTGCGTTGCGTTCTGTTGCGGTCAATCATTGTCCTCTGCTTTTGTTTATTGTTCTCTTAAGCTGAAATTTGTAACTCTGCTAAGTACTTTTAATCAATAAGAAAACTCTGAATATTATATATTAATATTCAGAGTCTAAAATTTAAAAATGCATAAATTCCAGTTTTAAATCTTGGCATAAACCAAACAGTCCTCCACGTGTTACAAGATAAAAAGAAATAAAGAAAACGTAGATACTAGAATATTGTTGCGTGTTGGAAGTTTTTTTTTTTTTTTTTTTTTTTTTTTTTTTTTTGTATGAATGTTAAGATTTATACCATTTCTGAATTACAATGTTGTTGATGGAAATTTGTTGGAAGTTGAAACTGACGAATTGTTTAGTTTCAAAGAACAAGTTAAATTGAGATGGGACGATAACTTGTTTACTTCTGAAACATGATTAATGGGAAGAAAAATAATAATACTCAAAATACCTTCATGTGCTGTTTTGTTACATAATCATAAACTCAAAGTTTATGAAGTGTGTATTTTAAATTTTGTGTTTTGTGTTAGAACATTTATAGAAAGAAAAGTCATAACGTGAATTAATTGCAATTGTCCACTCAATAACCTCCACTACGAAGTCACCAACTGAAAGTGACGTTCTCCACATTGGTTTGCACTGCATTTATCCTAATTTAAGCACCGTGACAACAACAACAACATTGATGTTATTTTTAAAAAAGTATCAATGATTGAACATGAAAGAATAAAGTTATTCTTTTGGCTTTTTACAAGTGAAGCTTAATTTTGAATAGTTTGAAAACAAAAGAGATCTAAAACTCCACTACTTAGCATATTGAATAGTTTGCAATTAACTGACGTTATGACTTTTTTTCTGAAATGAAAGAATAAACTTCTTAGCCGATAGGCTATAGATTAAACCCTTTTTCCAATTTGTTGAAAATGCATAGCCATAATTAATAATCTACACAAGCTAGAGCATATTCCAAAAGTACCACGCCACTTCTTTAATAGTGTTAACATAAAGTTTTTCAACTAACAAAAGTTACATTTAACTCGTAAGCAAAACGTTACCGAAAAGAAACGCAAGCACCGCAACAAGATTTGCCACTGTGACGATCCTCCTCACCGTCGACTTCAGGACGACAGATGAAGATGACGACTGATCCGTCTGATGAGGTGGCTTTCTGTAGTAGAACGGGAAGTAAGGCAAGATAGGATCCGGCGGTGGAGGACCGTAATCTCCGCCGCCTGAGTTATCTCCGACATACGGTGGAGAAGGGTAATTCGGTACATTCCCCGTCGGAGGAGGGTAATAAGCTGTCGGTTGAGGGTAATAACCGGTCGGTTGAGTCACTTGAGTAGAGCCACCGGCTATTGGCGGCGGGTAACAAGGGTACGGACACGGTGTCTCCGATATGGTTAAGAACGGGAAGTTCATAAGAGAAATCACGAAAGATAGACTTAAGAGAAGACGGCAACGTTTACTCATGATGGCCATTGTTTTCCTCTTTTTACTTATGAAAGATTTTTTAATGGTTAAGAGAAAAACATGTTTGCTTAGGAGGGAGAGAGAGAAGTTTGAGACTTTCTTTTCCTTTCTTCTTGCAAGTCTTGGGTGGAAATCACTAAGTGAGGGTTTTAAAAGTATATTTATTTATTTTAAGACAAAAAGACTAGTGAATGAAAAAGTTATATAATCTTCAATTAAAAAAAAAAGTGTTGAATAATAACGACGACTAACTAACAAGGTCAATGAGGGCAGAGCTAACGTGTCTTGTAGCTACGATACACTTGTTGTCTTGTAAATTATGATACTTGGCTGTATAATCTCGTTCCTTGTAAAGAAAATTATCCAAGTCACCGCCGCTTGATAGATATACTCTATGTGGTTATTAACAAAATAGTGTGATCACTGACTGATTACTAGTTAATTTCATGTGATATACAGTGATATCTTGGCACTGACTGATTACTAGTTAATTTCATGTGATATACAGTGATATCTTGGAGAGTTACCGAATGCTTATCCATTTTGTTGTAACTCCCAATTATAAGAGGACCACTTAGGGAATATTCTTACACATGTCATATATTTGTACCCATGTGTGTAGTGTAGAGAGAGAAGGGAGCTACTATAGTCATCAGTAGGTAGATGATAAAAAGCTTATAATTAAGCCCAGGCTGTGATTTGCTCAATTATTTCAAATTATACAATGGAAAGCCTTTGGAAAGTAAAGAAAAGAGAAAAAAAGGGAGGCTAATTTGCTGATTCTTGTTTTTTCTCTACCATCCTTTCCTTTTATTTATTCTCTTAATCAAAAAGGTGATTAAAGAATAGTCAAGGAGGTATGTGGTGTTTAGATATCTTGAGTCAAATGAAATCGTATATACTAATTAAATTATGGCGATGGCTTTAACTAGCTTTTATGTCATAATAGTACTTCAATACTACGTGTTTCTAACAATTGTAGGTGCAGTTAATTAGTTCAACCAATCGAAGGGAAACTGGTTTAACAATGTTATGAATTTTTTGGAACCAAAATAAAAGAAAAAGCAAGTTGTGAAATAAAAGTAGAACTCACTGAGCTTTATATTAATGAAAACGACAGTTTACAGACCGCTAAGAAAGTAGACATTTAGACAATAGACATTAAATAGATAGTAGGATTAGGACCATACATATGGAGAATCTGAGTTCTCTACATAATACACTGTTTAGACGATTTTCTAATATAAAAACCCTAATTTCTTACAGATTTTGGACATTAATTTGGGAATTAGTATAAAACTTTATTAGGTTTTACGTTAATGAAGAAACATCTTCACATTAGCCAATAAAAGGTTATGAAAAAGTACATGCATTCGTAAGAAAACATATTCAGAAATCTGAAAATATATTCAGAAAAATTCTGGCGAAGATTAGCTAGCGTTGTAAATGTCATGTCAAGGACGGTTCTTCGGACCTACGTTTTGGTGAAACCGTTTCACCGTGAAACCCCCAAATAGATTTAGTCCTTCGTCTGTTGCTCTCGCTCTCTACGAACCTCCCTTTTGTTTATAGTATTTCTTTAGCTTTTCATTAAGTTTTTTTGAGTTTTTGACGTTGACAACAAAAAACATTTTGACTTTTTCTTGAACTCTTCATCGATGTAAATACCTTTTTATAACTTTCTCATCCAAATATTCGCGACGTATTTAACTTTACTCTGCTTCCTAACTTTACAAAGAAATTACCGGCATAAACTCTTTACTACTGCAAGTTTGTATAACTTCTATTCAAAGCATTTTATTCTGCAAACATCCAGTTTGAGAATCAACCTAAATTAAGATGAGGAGTGGGACCATATATTTTCTAGAATTCATAACTCTGCAAACACGCTTAAATAATTTAATGATCATATCCGTTGTATGTACAACGAAATATGATGAACATCGATCCTAACTTTAAAAGACAAACATAAATACATAATAATCCACAATTGATCAATTCTTGGACAATAACTAAGCGTATGTTGATTGTGGAACATATACCCATCCATTAAAGTAAACGATCAAACAAGAAACAATAACAACTCATCAATTCATGTTCATCAAGAAACACATAACTCCCAAGGCGATCAGTCCCGAGATCTTCACAACCGTAAAGCTTTTCTCAGCAGCCGCTCCAAACTGTTGGTCAACGGGATACAACTCTCCGGGTGGACCCGTCATGTATATGTAAGTCGAAGGAGGCGGCGGACAGTAAGACTTCTTCGGTGGTGAAGGAGGCGGCGGTGGTGGAGGACAAGCAAGAGACGGTGGTGGAGGAGACGGAGGAGGAGGAGGGTTCTGGAGACAAGGTGTGCACTTTATTGGATCGTCTTGGAGTTTTCTATGGGTGGAAGAATCTAATGCTTTGATCATCATCGGGAACGCAAGAAACACCATCACCGTGAGGATCGGGACGGTGAGAGATTTTGAACGGTCAATTCTCTCCGGCATCTTGAAAAATGTTTCAAGAATTGAATAAAGAGAGGTTTTGTGGATTCTGTTTTTTTTTAGACGTGAAAATGAGAGATATTAGCTTGGTGAAAGTGATCTTGTTTGGTAAGCAGTTGCATGGGACTGATTGTGATATACTTCTTCAAGGTTGTATATTTCAGTGTAGCTTTTTCGTTATTTTAATTATTCACTAAAAATACAAATAATGCCAAAAAAGTATACACTTTACATAATGCAAGAAAAGAAAGAGAAGAAGAATACATTCGATTGTGTTATCGGCGTTTACATGTGAGTTGGAGCTTAAAGTCAGGGGTCCCACATGGACCATATTCGTATAATCGTATTACTAGCTCGAAATGTATAATTAAATTTAAACAATAGTGGAATTATTAGTCTATAATCCACCGTCGTCCACCCAAAAAAAATTAATTCTGTTTATAAAGCGCAAAGGTTCCCAATTATTTGTTACCAAAATGTAAGAAGGTTTTTATGACACAATGATTGATCGTAAACGTTGTTGCTAGAGCGTGAAATATTGGTTGCTTTCTCTAATAAAATGAAAAGTAGGCAAAGCTGTCTAGAAAATGATTTCATCTCTTAGTGTTGGTGCATTGCATTTAATTAGTATTAACCTAATCATCTCTTTTATCTTGTATCTATGCCTAATCATCTCTTACTTGTTCCTCCTTAATCAATTGTCATGCTGTTAATTAAAACAGAGAAATATTAGGATACAGAAGACACATCTTAATTGTATTGCATTGTGTCTTTAGAGAGAAAACAAAACCTAACGGTTTCGGGAAAGACTATAAAACAGCGTCTACACACTGTATTCCAAAAATTGTTGTTTTTGGTACATTGCACATGCAGTGATAATACATGAATTGACTTGATCAATATTAAAATAAAATAAAATGATGTTATATGTTTTAAGGCGCCCACCGACTACGTTTAGCCAAGTTGGTTGATATGATCCAAAGCTTCATTAAAAACCCAAAACCACTAATCGTATCATTGGTCCACATATTTCACTACAAATTATACTTCTAAACTTGCTAAAAATTGACTCCATTGTTTTACTTTCAAGGCATTTGAATTTAGATAAAGCCTTATCTAACTTTTTTTGTTTTTCTTTTCCTGAAACTTTTTCTTTACTTACACACAACGAACATGATCAATTAAGGCATATATTCTAAAGCTGAAAATGATGATACGCATTATGCACCGACCGGCCAAAATGGACCGGAATAAGGACTTGAGCCAACATCGAAATTGGCTACCAAAGTTGCTACAAGCCAAGACAAAAGTTTGGGCTATAAATGCCCATTGTCTTCTCTTTAGTATTTCTTTCATGGTTAAAGATTTTTCAAAGTGCCTTTGTCTTTGTTTATGAAACAATATTCTTCAAGTACAAAAGCAACAGAAAAGGGCAAAACAAGTTGATCCATTTCAAACGAACATTATTTACAATCCTACAGAAACTTCTTGAGCTACTTGTCAAGAAAAGCAAAACGTGTTAACCCTAGAGCACAATCGATTTCTTTGTCCCACAAGTCTGACCATACGTCTGTCACAGAAATGTGAGAATTTGGTGCCACATTGTATAATCTATCAGCTGAAAACTAGGAAAAATGATTCTGACATGTAATCAAAATCTTCAAGACTCAGATTTTGAGTTTTTTTTATCCTCCAAATCGTTATCTCGATCTAGTTACAGTAGCTGCTCTGAGGATAGAACTCAAAGTTTGAAAGTGGCATCGACATCTGTGAACTCCAATCTGCCGGTTGGTTTAGGTCAAACTTCATTTCCATTGTGTGATTCTGGAACAATGGTTCTGATTGGAACTCATAAACCATGTCATCAACCATTGTTTGCAACTCCTCCAAACTGAATTGCTTTTCCTGCAAGCAACCATAACCACCAAGTTAACGTGTGTAAAAAGATAGAAATATTAGGTCAAATAAAAGTTCCAAAAAACGGAAATTTACCTCTCTCCTCGTCTGATCCATGAGTGAGACCATCTCTTGAACAAAATCAAAGTATCCCTTTAACACCAAAACACAAACCTAATCAGCGTTTTGTCGACTTATAATAAACATCTTCAAAAACAGCAATCCGAAAAATAATATACCTCATCTTCTTCAGTATCATAGAGTCCTGCATCGTACAAGCTTCGTTTCCTCTGATCCGACAACACTGAAACATCGCAAAAGTTGTAACAACAATGTCAGTCTTCAGACAAGAAACAAAGAACAGAAAAAAAAAATCTCAAGAACAAAGTCTAAAACAGATCAATACCTGAGTAAGCTTCTTGAATCTGCTGGAATCTTCTTTTTGCTTCTCCAGAACAAGAAGGATCCTTCGTCCACCGATCAGGATGCCATATCTTCACCGAACAACAAGAAAAGACAATGTCAGACTCAGAAACACATTGATCTGGTTTTTTTATCTTCCCTCCATGTAGCAAGAAGGAACGATGACTCACCATAGCCAACTTGCGATAGGCTCGTCGAATCTGCTCAGCCGAAGAATTAACGGCGACGCCGAGAGTTTCGTAATACGACGGAGACGTTTGCTTCATTCCAAACTCCATTGGTTATATATGTTATTATATAATATGTAATCTCAAGGGCATACACACAACGCAGGAGACTAGTTGTTTCGTTTTGAGGCTTATATAAACAGGAATGGTGACTACAATGGCGGTTATATGGAAGAAGATTTTTTACGAAAAGAATTTCTAGAAGCTTTGGGTTTCCAAAAATATCTAGGCTCAAGAACGTTCGGGAACATGGTAAGAAAGCAGATATTATCCACAAATGGGCAAATGGCTTTAGATATTTTAAGATTGGACGGCTCTGATTCTATGGACGGTCACTTCATATGCAAACAAGACACGTGGATTTAAACATGTTAATGGGATATTGTGTGTTTATAAGTTTATTTATGGGGTTTACTTTACTTGTCCAAATCAGACAAGTCATGATGTATAATCGTATGAAAATATGGAAAATGTAAAGATTGGATACTAAAATCATCATAACTGATATGGAAAATGGATTAGACTAAACCAACATAGCTAAATTAGCTAAACACCAAAAAAGTTGTCTATTTTTTAGTTTCTTTAAAAAAAAAAATGGTTTTCTTTCTTGTTTCAGCACAAACTATTGTTAATGTACACTATTCTTATTCGTTGACAAAAAAAAAAAAAAAAAAAATACACTATTCTTATTAAAAGTGTGTAATGGTTGTAGTTGGGCTAATGGGCTTTGACAGAAGGAGCCTACCTAACTTCATACAACTGAAAGGACCATTTGAGAATTGGTTGTTGTTTTTAATTGAAAGTTTGAAACCGACGGGCAACGGCAAAACACGTTGGCAGCTAGCAATCTTTTGTAAACCAACCTTTTTGTATAAATACAATAATGAATGTTGCGACTCATACTATATACACGTTATAATCATGTGACAAAGATGTCAAAAACCACTATACATCTAACATACCATAAAACACTCTCTACATCTTTTGTTTTCCATGGAGCAGAACATTTTGGCTTTGAGGGTAGCACTTGGTTCGGCTATGGAATTCCATTAATGTTAGAACAAAGAATTTGAAGATGGCACATCTCTTATACATACCTTCGTTTCTTTTTCCATTAATTGAAACAAAAGTGAACCATGGTACTTTTCTTTTTTTGTTTTCAGCTTTACTAAATCTTATTCAAGTATTAAATACTTGAATAAGATAGTTCATTATATTTATTTCTTGAATAAGATAGCTCACTGCATCTTATTCAAGTATATATTAAATATATACCAAGTTAAAACAAATGCTTCATTCCTCAATTTTTCCATCGCAAATATTATTCACTATTGCAAACAGTATTAACAGTTCAATCATTCAGTTAATAGCTAAGAGTACCATTCATGACTTATATTTTTGTCTACTAATTTGGAATCATCACTCTGTGGTTTTATGGTTTGCCTTAATTCATTTTTGATTCGGTGATGATGAATTTCGTCTAGTTTCAAAGAGTGTTATACATGGATGAAACGCATGTGAAATGGGAAACACGAGATACTTGGTTTCAGCTTTCTTGGCATAGGCACATATTTGGAGATACCTTAAGTTGTTGTTCCATCTCGGTAATGTTTTTTTTTTTTTTGCTCTTTAACGATGGTATACTGTTTTTTTTGCTATCATTGACCTCGCATTCTAGTTATGGAGAAAGATGTAGTAGTTAGGAAATGAAATAAAAGAAAATTAACATCGGAAACATTGGCAAAAATATAATATACTAGAAAATTATAAAATATGGTTTCATATTTAGAAAACGCAACTAATATTCTTACGGGATTCAAGATATATTACGGGATTGTTCATATTATATACCTTCACGTAATAATTCTTGGGATGATAATTGAATGAGAAAAATGAATCGAATATAATTTCCATGCATATAAACTCTTCCAATGGACAAATGGGGTACTTCTTCAACCTACCGCGTAGAGATTCGTTACAAAGAATACAAGCAAATTGAGGCAAGTAAAATACAAAAGAATAAAGAGAAACTAAATTTCAATAAATTTTATGAAAAAATCAATGTAAAAGGAACGGTGGGAAGACATGAATCACGCGTCGAAGACACACCTACCCGAAGGGTTTTGGAGAGGAAACAAAGAGACAAGCAAAGAGATGCGAGTTTGGTTTGGTTTTTGGTTTTTGGGGGTTGGTAGGGTTTGAGGTCCATATGCCTCGATCTTCCTCTCCTTTTTTTCTTTCTTTATTACAAAATTTATATCTTATTGTTCCACTACAATCGAACCATGCATGTATACAAATATATAAGCCCTCAGCAAAGTTGTTGAATTCAGTGCAAACACTTGTCAAAGGAGCAGTCTCGATCTGTTTCCATCTTATCTTCGTTGTATGCTCGACCTTGGCTTTGGCTTTACCATCACATATATCTCTTTTAAATTTATTTAAAATCACATTAACATTATAAGCGTTACGAAAAATAAAATAAAAAAACAACATGCAAATTACCACTTCTTAGGAAGTAACGACTCTTAATATGCTGTACTTTGTTCTGTGTACTAGTTCTGAGAAATACCCATCTTCAGATAAATTGAAAAACATTGCAAACATATTTAATTAAATTCGTATAAAATATACTTTTTCATCAACTAAAATTAAACAATCATGTATATACATATATGCTCATCATGGTTCTGCGTATGTGCAGATTTCTGCCTAGCTATATCGAACTCTTTAACGTCACAGGCATGTATGTTTATAACATTATCAAACCGAATCAACCAAATGCTTTTTACACGAATTCTTTTTGGTCTTCAAGTCATTAACTTCCTTATAAAAATGTTTCTTAATGTGAAAAATCCGCATGCCTATACTAAGATTTTAGGCAAAGGAAACGAAAATTCCATATGTAAACGATAATACAAACATAAGCACTTAAGCATATAAATACCTTCAATTAGAAAAACTACTGTGTGAGTATGTGTCTGCCATATAGAAAGCTTTCGAAGCTATATCTTTTAAACTCCAAAAAAAAACTTCCGAGACCGATCATATTCCCGATCAATCAAAAGAAGGTTAAGAAAGTTTTCGAAGTTATATCTTTTAAACTCCAAAAAACAAAACAAAAAAAACCCTCCGAGACCGATCATATTCCCGATCAATCACAAGAAGGTTAAGAAAGTTTTAGTGTTAGGGTTTTGAGATCAAGGCTAAGGTCGAACAGACAACGAAACAAAGATGACAACACACAAGATTGCTCACTTTGACAAGTCTAGCATCGAATCCAATCACTTTTCATCTCCATCTTCTTGATACCCACCCACCATATATATAAACCATCCAAATATCATTCTTAAAAGTTATGATATAAGGTAAAAAAGAAAAAGAAGAAGCAGAAGAAGAAGAAGAAGAAGAAGAAGAGAAGAAGAAGGTATATTTCTGAAGAAGGAACCCTAAGCTACTTATAGAATAAGATATATAATGGAGGAGGAGAATCCACGCAACCAACGATGAGTTAATTTAAGGATTACGACAAGGCTTGATTGATAAAACATCTGTAGTGGAAGAGCCTCGCACGTGTCAACCAGTTACACGAACCCTTTGGTCTGTTGACTCACGGGTGGTTCGTGTGCAACTGTGCATGCCTCTTCTTCCGCTTCGTGCGTGCGGCATATACATATACACACACATACACCTTTATACATATACACTGTACCGTACCTACCAACGTCTTAGTTAAGAAAAAATTGTATATATTGATCGTGAAATGAAGAATCGACAATACCCATGTGCGTAGTTATAACTAGATTTCCTATGTTGAATATTCATATATACTATAGTGTCAAAAAATTGGAACCACCATAAGAAAATCAGCAATAACCAAAATATGTCTCACCAAAGAATATTGATATCTAACTTTTACTGATATAGCAAAACTACTGAATATTGTCACTGTTCTACGAAAACTGTAGATTCGCGCATATGGAAAAAATCTTACCACTTCAAGTTTTATTTATTTTTGGAATGGTGGTAGAGTTTTATTTCGTTTGGATAACCAGTGTACCATGTTGTAGCTTTATTTGGAATGTTACTGTTGTGCCGTTAGTGAAAGTACAATGATGAGCTTCAATAATTCTGAGAGATGAGTTAAATTTCATGTGGTTCGATTATCCTTTTTCTCCGGTATGCTGTCTGTGTTTTGTCCTATTACGTGTATGTGTATTTTTTTTTACTTTTTTTTGCATCGATAGTATCTGTTTGTAAGTTGTAACGAACATAAATCAGGTATAATTAGCAAGATAACACAGTTTTCTATATACAGTAGAAACTCTATAAATTAATACTCGATAAATTAATAAACACGATAAATTAATAAATTTTTCCGGTCCCAAGTTGGGCCGGTGTAAAATATGACACAATTCGATAAGATAATAAGATAATAACTTTTTTTAAACTCCTATGTAAAATATGGTCCCAATAATATCATAAATTAATAATTATCATATAAAAATTATTTCTATATATATATATATATTTTATCTAGATATCTACCTACTAAAATATGAATCTCTCACACATAAAAAAATAAAAGAAAAAAGGAAATTTAAAACAATATAGCGAGTATGAGAAAATGTAAACAATAAAGTAAATATAGAAATATTAAAGAAAAAAGTTAAAAAATATATGTATAAAGGAAAATTCTTATTTCATTTGAAGGAAAACTTAAAAGATATTATTGAATTTTATTTTTTTGAAAAAAACATTTTTGGTCAAAATCTATATATTAATAACTCTATAAATTAATAAAATATCAAAGTCCCGACATTATTAATTTATAGAGTTTCTACTGTATACTGTATAAAAAGGGAAGAAACTGATGATCACATGTTTGGTAAGTACTACTAACAGATGGATGAATTAGATTATTTTTTCAACAATAGAAATTGGAGTATGATATTTTTTATAAAAGAATTTCTAATTATTCTCATCCAACATTTCCACCAAACCTTGTTCGTTGAAGACTCAAGTTTTTCTCACCTACCAATTGCGCAAGC